CTACGGGAAGGGCTGTGAGTGCGAGAGAGACAGGTATGCCCTGATTGGCCGCAGCCCTTCGCAGCCTCCGGACATTCAGACATTCAAGCGCGCAGACGTGAGAAAAGGGCATAATTCATCTCTCTCTCGACCCGCGCCACCTCGGCCAACGCAGGCCAAGCCAGGCCCGAGCGGTAGTAATGACTTACCGTTTCATTCTGCGTTCCATAACACATAAATATAACGCCACACACACACACGCGCACACACACACACACACACACACACACACAGTACGAGAGAGCGAACGCGCGCCGCGCTTCGTGTGTTTATAAATCACAATGGGAACGCAAGGGAACCCAATGCGTTCCCTTTCACCTGACAATATCATCAACAAATGAGGTGAGGTGTATCAATTGTCCGCACGGGGGAGCGGGAAAGGGAGGGGGGGGGGAACTGCCGTGCGCCGGCCAGCAGTACACAGCGAGCAGGGACACGAGGAGCAACAAGTCTCGGCGCGGGGTGGCGGAGGAGCGAGAGAGAGGGAGGGAGGAGAGGGGAAGGGCAGTTGCAGCCCCTTGCTCTACCTTGCTCGGTGAAAGCCCGGCCCAGCCCCGCGCGGGAGAAGTCGGTTGTGACCGCCCGGCCCGGACCCGCCCGCAGTGATTCCAGTGTCTCCGTCTCTCTCGCACCCATTCGGAACGGCCCCCGTGAGTGCGAGAGAGACGGCGCCGAGTCGTCGCGTGGAATCCATAAGCGGGTCGCGGTCTTTCTCCAGCCGTCCTGAAAGTCCTGAACGACGTCCTGAGAGTCCTGGACGCGGCCGAGGAAAGGCGGGAAACTAATTGGGAGACACGCGGCGCGGGAAACCCGTTCCGTGCGCGGCTTAGCCGTCTCTCTCGCACTCACGGGGAGTCCCGCTGGCCCGTTGGGGTGCGAGAGAGACAGAGCGAGCGACGCATCGTCCGCGCAGTAGCCCGCGGCGGTCAGGCACAGCCAATGCGTCGCTTGCGTGCGCTTCGCGGCTGACCCCGCAGTCGCCCCGCAGCGCGAGAGGAGTCCGCGTGCCCGCCCTCGCGGCGCACGCCACTGCAAGGCACTGCAAGCCAAGGCACTGCAGGGATCGACTGGAGAGCTGCGGTGCGGTACTGTACGGAACTTGGCGTCCCGAGGGCTTTCGATGCATCGTAAATCACGCACGGGACGAGAATGAGGAATCGATGCAGAGAGTAGGAGAGACCGCGATGAACGATCACGAATGAATGAATGAATGAATGAATGAATGAATGAATGAATGAATGAATGAATGAATGAATGAATGAATGAATGAATGAATGAATGAAGAAAGAATGAATGCTAGAAAAAGAAAGAAAATGAACCAATGATCGAAGTAAATGGACGAATGTAAGAGAAGATGAATGGCTCGCCGACTCTTACCTACCGCGCACTTTCAACTCGTTTCCAGAGCGCCGCAAATACCAATACCAGCCGTGGTCTCTGCGGCTGCGGAGTGGTGTGGTATCTACGGAGCGGGACCAAATATTTCGTTTGACCACTTCCCTCCCTCCTCCGGCTGGCTGGTGGCTGCCCTGCCTACTTGCCTGCCCGCCTGCCGGCACAGCCGAAAGCCCATCCAACAACGGCAATGGCCGCAACTCATGATGGTAGCGGGAATCACTTTGAGCCGGGTCAAGACTAGCGCCGGCCAGCGGGCTGTTGATTCCAACCTGTGCTTTCGTCTCTCTCGCACTCACACTCGCGGGCGCAGGGAGTTCCGTAGGGGTGCGAGAGAGACGGAGCGGCGGAATTCGGAATCGCCCTGCAGTCGGGGCAGCAGGCAGCAGCGGACCTGGGATTGGAACACCGGGAGCACAGCAGCCAATCAAAGTCGCGGAAGGGGCCGCTGGGCCGCTATAGGGCCGCTAGGAGGTGCGGTTCGAAGCGGGAGAAACGCACGGCCGGGAGTGGAGTGGTCTCCTGCCCACATTCTAGTGTCAAGAGCGTGCTTGAGTGCTGGCGGCCGTTTTTCCTGACGCTGTGCGAAACAACAGTAGCGCGTTCAGTGTGCGGCGTTCGAACGCCCCGCCCCGCCTCGCCGTACGGCAACCGCCGTTACCGCCTTCACCACCGCGCTTTCGCAGTGTGCACGTCGCTGGGCTTCGCGGCCGAGCTTGGCGCCGTCCTGGAATGAGCTCCGGTCGGCCGGCCGGCCGGTCATGCAGGCCGCGGGGACGCCGGGGCGGGCAGGGCGCGGCGGGGTCGCCGCATTGGATTGCGCCGCACCGCGCTCCGGCGATGAGCAATAGACTCCACCTGACCGCGACGCGCCCGCCCCGCCCCGCCCCGCCCCGCCGAATAGCAGAAGCAGCAGCAGCAGCGCGAGGCTCTGAAGGCCAATTCCAAACACCCCGCTGCCTCTCTCGGACTCATGGATCACCTCCGGCCGTCTAGTAGGGGTGCGAGAGAGACAGAGCGACGAAGGACGGGCAGTGTGTGCAGCGCAGCGGGCCGTTGGCTTGCCGTTGGGGCCGCGCCGCCCACCTCTCAGGCTCACGCCGAGGCGAGGGCCGAGGCAGCGCAGCACAGCGACCGACCGACTCATTGAATAATCCGCAGCCTTTACTGCCCGTTTAGAGAGTTTACGATCCGCCCGCACCGCCACGCCACCAGGCCATCCCGATCCCGGCGCCAAGCGGCCCATCGCGCCCCAGTGCCGTCGGGCCGTCGGGTCGTCCGGCCCCTCCGAGGTGCCGTGCCGGGGCTCGGGGAGCAGAGGCCACCATCAGGAGAGAAATTTAAATGGCCCGTCGACACACCGTGCCGACACCGTGCGCAAGACACCGCACATCGGGCCGGCATTTAGAAGTCACTAGCGCGCACGGCAGTGAGTGCACTGTCCGGCCAGCATGAGTCGGGATGGGTTAGGTTAGGTTAGCGAGGTGACGTGCAGGCTTCCTGTTTTCGCCTGACTGGTGGAAAAAGAGTGGAAATGGTGGTCGCCCGCCCAGCGACTGGCCGCCGTCTGTGAAGAAGATCCTGTTGGTTTGATGCCCTCACCGAGCCTGCCGGCCGGTCGGCCCATCCGAGGCAGCCGATGCAGCCGGCCCCAGGGACGGCGACGCGACGGCGGCGTCCGCCGGAAGGGAGACGGCGGGAGACGGGGACGCACTGCCGGCCCGGCCGGCCCTGCCCGGTCACCGTCGCTCCGCTTGCGGCTGTCCTGGGTGGCGTCGCCCAGCCCGCCCAGCGTCGCCGAGGTGGTGGGGAGGATATAGTTTCAATTTGGCTGTAGCTCCGTACATTTTGTCACTGGCTTCGAAGCACCGCGTCTCGGAGCGGCATCATGGACCGCCTCCAACTGTACTGTACCCTCCGAAGTGGAGCTGAGAGGGGAAAGGCCCTGGAGCGTTCATCTCTCACAGACTGGTCATTTTCGACTTTGCTGCCCTGACACGTGGGCTTTAGAGGATCGTCACAGTGCCGCCATCTACGCCTGGTTCCTCCCGTTTCGCACTTCGTGGCGCAGGAGGCGCGGGGCGAGGCGACGCGTCAGCTGCTCCGTCGTGCTCCCCCTTCTTCCTGTCCGGTTGGATGCACGCGCCACCAGAAGGAAACACAGCGGCAAAGCGGCGCGTCCGTGGCTCGGCGCCGAGCTGCGGCCAGGCCAGGCCATGCCAGATCGTTGTGCAGTTTGGCGTCGGATTGGCGTCGTGCTTCCAGCCCTCCCTTACCCCAGCCTCACCTGAACGACGCGTCAGCGCGCGTCAGCGAGAAAAGGACGACGACGACGACGCGCACCTGTAATGCGGGGAAGCCGTCCCTGGGCGCAAATGGGCCTGCCGACGGGCTGGCCGGCCTGCCCGCCGACTGCAGTGCGCTGCCGACAGTGATCCATGCGCACCATTTGTCAGTCAAACTGGCTGCCGCTGACGGGGCACCGCACCGCCGTCACCGACCGAGCCGTGCTGGCGGAGGACCAGGACGACCAGCGCAGTGCCGCCCAGCCCCGGCCGCAGGGGTCGGCGATGAGGTCAAGGCCGTAAAAAGGAAAGCCTGGCGATAACGCCAACGCCGCTACTCCGCGCGCAAGAGACTCCCAACGCTGGCCGTGTGTGCATCCTCCGCGCGCACGGGGTATCGGCAAGGTCATTTCTTTGCGGGTTGGTGTGCGTAGCCAATGACCCCCGCGATAACCCGTGTCCAGGTGACAGACCATATGGGAGGGCTCTGGCCGGCTCTGGCGCATGGAGTAACGACGGGGTCTTTCCTTTCGCGGCTGATCTGCCCGCCGATAAGCTGGAAGATTAAGTTTGACCTGCGCGGCCCTGGACGGGTGCATGGTGCGGGGCCGATCTTGCAAAGAGCGTCCTGTGTTAGGGTGTAGTGTCCAAACCGTGTGATTCCTCGACCAGTGTGGCGATGTGTTCCCGAGGCGCCGGTTCTGGGTGGCTTCGGCGGCGTGCCACCGGCCACCGAGCAACTAGCGTGAGAGCCTGGACGGACTTGGCAGTGCTTGGCAGGCTCGGCCCGGCTCCCCGGGGCCCCTCCCGTTAGACAGACATGCAATATACTAGATTTGCATGCGCCTCTCTGAGGCGCAACAACCGCAGCCAAGTTCCGGCGAGGGAGGCATGACTCCTCGCGTCCACCGCCATCATTTGTCGTGGGTTCGACTCCCGGCCGGAGCGTTGTCGTTTTTCGTTTTTCCTCCACGGGATCGTCGCGCCAGCACGTGGTTCTTCTGACGTATTTTGAGGGGCTGCCGTGCCGAACGCTGCCGAAATAGCAGACTTGGCTCGCCTGGCGTGCCGCTTGCTGCGAGGCGCTTGCGAGGCACTGCAAGGCCACTCCACTGAGCGCAGGCTATGTTCCGCGGATTAATTCTACAGTGCTGCTCCAGGTCGTTAACCAAGCCACTCTAGGGAAACAGTGGGACAAGCCGCACCACTCCAGAGCGACGGTGAAACAATGATTCGTGGCAGAGGCAGTCGGCAGTAGCTCCGCGCGCGATCGGTACTTACTTGTGTGGGCGTGCCCATTGCTCTTGATGTGGTTGTGGTTCCCGTGGTTCACGTGATTCGTGTGGTTCACGTGGTTCCCGTGGTTCACGTGGTTCGTGTGGTTCACGTGGTTGTGGTTCACGTGGTTCACGTGGTTGTGGTGGATCCCTCCGTTGCTGGTCGTTCTCATCATCGACGTGTTCCGTTGCATCTTTCCCATGCGGGCAAGGCTAAGGCTGGCCGGCAAGGCTGGCCGGCACCACGGCGCTTCCCGGCCTGGCGGGCTTGGCGCTGGTCTCGGCTACGTGTCGCACTCACTCCCGCATCACTTAGGCAAACAGAATTCACTTTGCTGAGAACTATTTTTTAACGACGTACTGTGCGCATCGCACTCTGCACAGTGACGGGCCGTCAGACAGTCCTTGGCCGCGCCATACACATGTCACAAACACAACACTTGGACACGCACGCAGGGCGCGCGCGCGACGTCGCGGACCTCCGCCCTGTCACATGACGGGGAGGGCGAGGCGCGCCTTCAAGCCGAGCGGCGTCGTCGCGGAGCGTCGTCGCGGAGCCGGAGCCGAAGCGCGGCCGACAGAGCCGAGGGGAACCGAGCGCAGCGGAGGACCGAACCGCCTCAGCCGGCGCATCGCACGCCACTGAAAGTCCCTCCTGTCCTCCTGGCGCGGGCCGCCCAGCCGTGCCGACCGGCGGGAAGGGAGGGACGTTCGCAGCGCCGCGCCTACCCCTGCCGCCGCCGGCCGGGCTGCCCGCTGCCCGCTAGCCGCCGCGGTCCGCCGCGGCAAAGGCGCGTCGCTGTCCTCCATGTCGGTGCGGGCCTCCCGTTGCACTTCGGCCGTCAGGGCGTCAGGGTCTTCCACGCCGGCGCCGTGTTTTGTTCTGCTCTGCGGGAGCGAGCACCGCCCGTGTACCGCCTCACTGCTCTGCTCGTTGTGCGCGCCGATGATGGCACTCTGCGACCTCGCGGCACCTCACGGGGCCCGAGCCAACGCCAGGACAACGCAGGCCGCACACCTGCGTTGTCACCGCGTCACCGCGTCGTCGAGCCCCACAGGTCGACGCCCTGCCCTCGCCCCCGCCCCGCCAGCCCACAGCTGATGCAGGAATCGGGTCACGGCGTCACGGCGTCGACATGGCGTCGCGGCGGTGAGGTTGGTGAGGTGACGACGCGGCGTGTGCCGTGCGCTGTGCTGCGGGCCGCCCGTCATTGTGTAACCACGAGGTGACGCAGCGCGACGCCGAGCCAAGGGCCAGCTGCAGATTGATTCCCAAAGTCATTTTCGTGTCTCTGTCTCTCTCGCACTCGTGGTGCGTCCCGTATTGCTGCGAGAGAGACATAGCTACGGAAACGACTCACGGAATCAGACTTCTGAATGCGTGGCGGCCGGTGGCGGCGCACAGGTGGCTTTGTCTCTGTATGCCAAGCTGGTCTCCATGGTGACGCCCCTTTGGCACCTTTGGCACTGAGGACTCAAGAGGGCCCTCCGAACAGAGAGAGGACTTGGCTTGCTGTTGCCCGCCGTCCGTTGGGCTGCCTAGCTGCCGGGCGCGTCGCCTGCCGCGGAGCGGCCAGTCGTCTCGCTGCTCGTCGAGGACCCGCAAGCCACGTCCGCCAGGCAGATGGCCTGCTCCAAGTGCTCCAAAGGGCCCTGGGCCCTGTCACTGTCGGTCGAGGCTCGCTCGTCCGCCAGGCAGATGGCCTGCTCCAGGTGCTCCAAAACGAGCTGGTCCCTGTCGCTGTCCGTCGAGGCTCGTTCGTCCGTCAGGCAGACGGTGGCGGAGAGGCTGCGGAGGGGACCGTCCGGGGTCCGCAGTGTCGCGTGCTCGCCAGCCAGGCCAGCCTCGCCGGCCGACCCAACGGAGCTCGCGTCCAGGATGCTGGCCTTCTCGGTGCTGCCGCGGGACGGTCGCTCGTCGGCCAGGCAGATGCTGGCTCGCGGGCCTTGCGGTGCAGGCTGCAGGGGGTCGGCCTTGGGCTTGGCCTTCCGCCGGTGCACCAGAGTCGTCCCCTCACCGACGTCCTCCTGCGCCAGGGGTGCACGACCAACCCATATTTTTTACTCTAGAAACCAATATCTATAGAAATATTTCATAAATGTCCTCTAGGAAATCCTTTTCTAGCCCATTCCTGTGTACCCATCTAATAATGAATATATACAGGTGTTTCAAAAGCCCCGTAGAAGTTTGAAGGTGTGCAACCCGCTCGCCGTCGTGCGGGCGGGCTTGCCTACGCGCTGGTCGGCGGGCGCCGGAGCGATCATGGGTTGCCACTCGTCCACAAGTGCAGCTGGGTGATGTCCCCGTCCCCCTCGCGGCTCCGGTTGCACTCGGCTCCATGATCGCTCCGGCGCCCGCCGACCAGCGCATAGGCAAGCCAGCCCGCACGACGGCGAGCGGGTTGCATACCTTCAAACTTCTACGGGGCTTTTGAAACACCTGTTAGAACTCAAGCCCACCTCCTGGTGCTTTTCGCGAACATCGGGAGGGAAGACTTTGAGGTCGTTGCTGCGGAGGGGCCGGTAGCCAGGTGCATGTCGACGGTGGATTCGGCAGGCGATGGCCACCACCGTCAAGTAGACCATCAGGCACAGCAGGATGACGCCCAGCAGGTACAGGGCGTGCCGCCCAGGTCTGTAGAAATGAATCGGATTGGTGAACGGAGTCCGGCGGAGTCCGAAGAATCGGCCCGTCGCTGCCATTCTCTAGCAGCCCTACAAGACGCCCCATGAGAGCGACGGAAGGAAACAGAGCTATTGAACAGCTCCTACCCGCGAAGGTCCAGTCCTGCTTCTTGAGGACGCGGACGTCCGCGGAGAGGGCGACGGGGCCGCCAGCCACCAGGGCACACGTGTACACGCCGTTCTGGCCGGTGCCGACCCGCTCCAACCGCAGCGCCGCCGTCCAGTCCACGCGCGCGGACGCACCGCGGCGGCGGCGGCGCCCCAGCGTGGCCAGCTGCGGCGGGGACGCGTCATGTCAGGCCGTCGGGGTGTTTCATGCTGCCAGCTTGACGCCACTTCCACACCTTCTTGCGCCGCGCTTTCCACCGCTGCAGGAAGCCCGGCTTCTTCGTGGTGGTGGTGACGTGGCGGACCGTCTCCAGGCCGGCGGGGTCCTCGATCGCCATGCCGTCGTGCTGCCAGGACACGGCGGACTCCATGCTCGCCCTGGACGCCAGCAGTTACTCGCCATACTCCATGGCACTGCTTCCAACATCCAGCTGGCATACGAACCCTGGACACAGGATGACGAGGTCGTCGCCGTCCTGGAGCTCGTAGTCCACGCGGGGCACGGGCCGCGGGGGGTCGCGCTGCCAGGGCCGCCGGCGCCTGGGGGCCGGGGCGCACTGCCCCTGGCACGCGTGCTCGTCCACCGCCACGAAGTCCGCCGCGTGCTTGGACAGCGCCGAGATGTCTGCGAGGCGTAAGTATCACCGTCGGTATCGCCCCGCTGACGGCCGCCCCTGCAGACTGATTCCAAGAGTCGTCTCTCTCGCAGTCATGGGTTGTCTCGAATGGGTGCGAGAGAGACAGCGACGGAAACGACTCTCGGAATCAGTCCGTCCTGCACCTACTTGGGTGCGTCTCGGCGAGCAGTGCTGACCGGCAGGGCAGGGCGCTGAGCGGGTCGCCGATGACGTCCGCCAGGGGCTCCAGATGGACGCCGTGCTCTGAAGCATCTCCGGGGACTCGGAGGCGGCAAGAGGCCACCCGCTCCCGCACGCCGTCGCCGCCCTTGCCGCCCCCGACCCAGCCCTTCCGCGAGCAGTTGACGCACGGCCCCCACGGCCCCCAGGCGCTCACCGCCTCCAAGCCGACGCCGGCGGCCCTCAACGCCGTGCTCAGGGGCAGCAGCGTGGCCTCCCGGTACGCCTCCCAGGATGACTCCGGGCCGCGCACTGCGGCAGGCGCCGCCTCGTCCACTGGTGCGCGCAGAGGGTTGGTCATTCACGTGCTTCACGGCCTTGTTCAGCAGACTCGATCCGTCTCTACCACGGGGCAATCCGTGCGGATGCGAGGGAGAGAGAGGACTCACGGTCGAGGAGGTACTGGAAGGGGCGGCCGCGGTCCGGGCCCTGCAGGTGGCTGCAGGAGTACAGGCCCATGTCGGCGCGCGACACATTCCGCAGCACCAGCTCGTGTCGGTCCCCGAGGAAGACGCGCCGGTCGTCGCCCCGCCGCGCCCAGTGCGGCGCCTTGCTCTTGCGCGCCTGCTCCAGCTGCAGACCGTGGACACCGAACGGTGAAGGTGGCGGCCACGGAGAACCCAAGGCGCTACGGGGTGGTTGTCTAGGGACCTGCACGGGCCGAGACCCGGAGGAGTTGACCAGGGCCGCAACCCGCCAAACCGCGTTGACGGCGTCGTCCCCAACCGCGTCCTCCTCGCCGCTGCAACGCGTGGAGAACGCGGGCGGAGGTGGTCAGCGGGTTCATTCCACACATTGCTGCCCTCTCGCACTCATGAAGGCGTCCCCGGTGCGACTAACCAGAAGTTGCACAGGAGCACGGCGGCGGCGCCGGGCTTGAGGAACACGACGGTCGGCGCCCCGAAGAGGCGGTCCGACACCAGGCTGGCGCGCGGCTCGCAGTGCCGCCGCGTGTCCTTGACGTCCTTGCCCACGACCAGCATCACGACCAGCATGGCGGCGAGGACGAGCTGCTCGCCGAACAGCCGATGGAGACGCACGCTGTTCATCATTCCTCGCCAAATATCCGAATAGTCGCAAATTGTCGCCACGCTATCGCTAAGTACCCAATCAATGTTGATTGCAGTTCGGCTCGGCCTTTGAAAAGCCCGGGCCCAGATAAGTATGACAAATTGAAATTCCATTCCTCTATATCTCTCATACCAATCCATGAATCGAAAAAGCTTCTCCCGCTTCGTCTGCTGCGAACCGTAAATATTGTGGTTGCATCACAGACTTGTCACAGAGGATCCGTCCGGTTCTCGAACTATCTCATTGTTTTTTTAAAATTCTTCATGCAAATGTAAGATTCTGCGCTGTTTCTGTCTCTGTTTTATGGGTACTTTATCTGACCTCTGTGAGGATATTGTTAGCAGTATCGCATAGGCTTTGAAAAAGTAGGTGTTGTGAGAAGTAATGTCTTAAACTTCTAATCAATTTCTATTCCATTCTCAGATGGGTCAGTCTGGCAGTTGTGAAAGTTCTATCCCCGAAAAGGTTACAACACTACAAGATGAACTGTTTCGTCAAGCTCGTAGCATTACCGAAATAGCTAACCTCTCATATGCAGAGTTTCAGCAACAATTGGGAGACTTGAACAAGTTGTAAGTTGAAGTTACAATTCCCTTCAATGCCTTCAAACAATAGTTGTTCCAGGCCTCTAAAACTGAGTCGTCTTTTCAGGTCAAAGCATTGCATGGATGCAGATGGAAAGATAATGGTCTTTGCCGTTAAAAAAGGCAGTGACTCTACCATTCTATGGAGGGGAACTGTGAAAATTGCCTGTATTAAAATTGACATGTCTACAAACAAAATCGATACTTATCGCCTTCTTACTCTAGCACAATTTTTGAAGGTATTTCTGTGTTCAAAGAACAGTGCTTGAATTTAGCTATCGTGTATGGAGAATTCTGATTCTATTTTGGTTCTGTTACCAGGTGTTCCGCTCTATTCAAAGCCAGTTTGCCGCTGCACAGCAATCTTCAAACAGAGGATCGCGCAGTGCATCAATGGATGAGTCAGACACTTCATCTTCCTCCACCTCATCCAGTAAAGCAAACAGCTCTCAAGCTTTTACCACCACAGATGCCATTACACTTCTGGAGCAGCGAGTTCAAGAGGCAGCTAGTGGCATTTTAGATATTGATAAACTGACAGAATGCTGTATTTGTTTGGACCGGAAGCCTGAAGTAATGCTACCATGTGCACATAGCTATTGCCTGGTGTGTTTCGAACAGTGGTTAGTACCTCTTATTTAAATTTTCAAATTTTTAAAAATGTTTGCCTATAACTTTTTACTGCAAATTGTTGAATTTCTCTTTCAGGAATGTGAAACACAAGACGTGCCCAATCTGCCGTGAAGCACTTGACAGCTCAGATGAGACTTGGGTGATTTCCGATTTCCCTGCTGAGAATGAGATCAGTGAGGATATTTGTCATTCACTCATGAAGCTTGCATGTAGCCCTCCTGAAGAGAGCAGGTAGTAGGTAAAATATTCAAAACAGATGATGTTATTAGGCAGCCCACACGCGGGCAAAGCTGACAGAGCATTAAAACATGGATTTTTTATCTCCATAAATGCATGAATATGTTTGTATGTACTCATACAAAGATGGAAGCAACTTGCAAAGGTACAAGTTAGAAATCAGTATGGACAATCTTAATAATAATGATGTTTCTGTCAGAATTTTGAGTGCTTGAAAACCCAAAGGTGAGCTTCTTTCCCTGTGCTCTCTCAACAATGATAATATTTGGCTTTCCCTTAACTATCATGACATAACTTATATTTTCATATTGCAATAAGATTTTAAATCAAACCATATTATGATAATCGACCTGTCCTAGGAAAATAATTGTTACAAGGCTGGACGCCAGCCTATTTAAGATCATTTCATTGCTGGGATCTCAGTAACAATTCTTTTCTTAAGACTGTTCAATATAAAATATTTTCACCGTATTAAGGCTTTAATAACTTTCAGATTCCTAGTGGACTCTTATTACTTATGGTTGTGCAACCAAATTCTAAAATTTTAAAACTTTTTGATTCATTCTTTAGTACTTTATTATTAATAAAAAAGAGGTAGGAAGAACAAGTTTTGTTTTGAGTGCTGTGTAGAGTGATCACTTTTCTCTCCAAAATAGTAGTTGTTTGTGTACTGTGCAGTGTAGTAAAACTCATTTCAGACAAAATTTTGGAAACAAATAATCAAAATAACTGGGGTTTAGCACCTATGACTGATTGCAGTCTGAATGTTAAGTCCCAAGTATTTCAGAAGCATGATTTCTGACACCCATCTCATCAATACGAACATCCCTGTATTTTTAATAAACCTTTTTTTTTTTTTTTTTTTTTTTTTTTTGGACTAATTTTTGTATACAATAGGTGAAGAGTGTTCCTCTGTGGCAAGGAACAATGAAGTTAAGTCATCAAGGTTGTAAAATTTACTAAGATAAAAGATTTTCAGAACTGTTAAGCTGTTTGATAAATTAACCCATGTTTTGTACAGTCTAGAATTATTTGAGCAGTTGTCTTGCCTTGGTATTTTGTGAAAGTGTAAGCTGCTAAGCAAACTTTTATTATTTTATTTTTCCTTGTGCCTTAGGAAACATGTATTCAACCAAAGTTCCCTAGTTGCAATTCCTGTGATAGTGGAAGTGTTTATCAACCATCACAGCTGACCCAACATGTCATGGACCGAGGTATTGTTTTTTTGTCCAAAGAGTGATGAGAATTTGAATTCACTTGGTAGTTGTGATATTTTTATTTATAAATTCATATTTATTTAAGTTTACCAACTGTAATTTACTTTGATATGTTTATGTTACACTAAAGGAGGATAAAACCTTCTGTCTAATTCTATGCCTTTTTCTTTCACATTCTCTTTGATGCTTTTCTTCACCATGGCCAGCAGGGGTCAGGACACGACTGAATCCACACCTTCAACATGTCTTTTTCAGCAGACATGACAGCTGTGTAGGTAGTTAGCTAGACGTATGAAAGATTTTTAGTTAGAAACAATGCCACAATGCTGTTATTTTAACTGAATAATGGTCAATTTGATATACCTTATTGAGCACAGGCCGTGTAGAGAGGACGTTTACTAGGGATTGGGGCACGTCTTTGTTTCCAAGCTGATCCATACAATGTATAGCAGGGTTACGTCGGTCATCATAAAAGGGAGGATCCCTCCATTGGTCAAAGTTGGTTTGAACAAGGAACCAGTTGCCCATTTGTTTCTTTTGTTTCTGTCCAAGTGGCCAGATATTGAAACTGTTTCTTCCTCGGGTTATTATACATCCCTGAACAACACACAGAATAAAAATCAAAGCTCACATGTAGAAGATAGAAAATGGGGAACACGCTTTTGTGCACTTTATTAAATTCATGTACCTCCTTTGATGAAATTCCAGACAGTATGAAGTAAACTGGTGCAACAAGAGATGGTTTTGCAAGCATTTTCTGTGCGCAGGTGAAACTATTGCATTTTTCCATGACTTGCCTTGTAAGAAAACCTATCCATTGTTGATTGCGCATTCCTGAAATCCATTCTATTATCCCCACATAACCACCGTTTATTCTAAAACGTTCATCTATGGTTAGAGTGAATTTTTTCTGAAAACAAGTCATGTTTTATAGAGAGTGATTGGAAGATAGACAAAACTTATGTTGCTGAAAGGATTTAACCATTACTCACTGGTTTGAGTGCCGTTAAAACACCAGTGTAACCAGCGTAGTTAACAGCACGGTAAACAGTATTGTTCCCTCGCACAAAACGTAATTGAACCACGAGAGGTTTTAAGAGGCTTGTAGTTTGCCAAGTGTGGTTTAAGGGGTCCCACCTGCATAGGCACAAGCACAATAAAAGGACATAATTGAAAACTAATTTCTAATATTGATTCAAAAATAGGCAAAACATTTGTAAAATACCCTAAGACATACCCTAAGAAAAGACCAAAGTCCAAATTTCTTCCATGAAACATTACTCCACTATCTGATTGTGCAACAATAGAAGTACAAGCACTGAAGAATTCATAGAATACATTAAACAGAGTGATTTCCCCTATGCCAACTCCGGTGGCCTCAGAAATCCCTATTAATTCTTCTCTGTATTCCTTTGGCAAAGTTTTTGTAAGGAGAGGCAAAACATGATCAACCATCCAAAACACACTTTTTCCAAATAGTAAATCAGAATTGTTTTTCATGTTCTCAATGAGAGTAATTATCTGCAAAATGTACAATGAAATTAAGGTACATTGGAAAGATGAGGTAACTCAAAATTCATATGCGAGACAAGAACACACTACATACTCCCTCTTTTTTATCTTGGACAAGCTTTCTCCACCGCTCCCTTGGTGGAAGATCCAAATTTATTATATACTCTGGTATATCTCTGGAAGCAGAATATCCAATTAGTTCCATTCGACACAAGTTTTTGTGGGTATTTGGTGTGTCACTCACAGTGAGGATGGTGGTACAACAGCAGTCTCACAATGATCAAACTGAAACCATTTCAATTTTTATTACTCAGAATGAAAGCATGCATTAGAGGAACATCAAATGCCAATGAGCATACCGGGGTGAAATTGCTTGGTCGAATGTTTTCCATGTGAGAAAAGTTCAGTGCTGCTTTGATGTTCCCTTTTTGTCTACCCATGTCAGCCAGCATGGTAGAACTCATCAATACTACCAAGAGAAAATGCAGCCACCATATCTCCATTTTCTAAGATAAAATAAGGCATTACAGAGGGAATTAAACTCTGATCAACCAGAGAGAAATCAGAAACATCCAGTCCATAAAATTAGACCACACAATGAAATGGAGGGGTGATCAAAACAAAAAGAAAGTATTTCTATTTAACGGTGTTTCATATGTTTTAATCATTAGCAAGTACATGAGAGTGAAAACATGAATTCAATCAGTCTGAGTACAATATTAAAGCTAAAGCATACTTGCTGAAATGCAGCGTTATAAAATCACCAAAACATGACTAGCAGCATTTAAATGAATAAAATATGGAATCCACATCACAAAGAACAAATTCTTGGCTGAATTACATATCCACAAATCCAGATTCAAAAATACATTATACGATAATATGATTGCTACAAATCTTACAATCAGCGTCAGAGATCAACTATTAGCAGCCTTTAGACATGCTGCACGTCTAATATAATAACAACTTATTGACAAAGAATTACTTAAGTAACATAAACAGAACAAGAAAAATAACAGTTGAAAGGGCCTAGGAATCATCTAATGCAGCTGTATTGCTGGCAGTCGACTGTAACAAATGTTCCCAGGTTGTCAAGAGCAACACCTTTAGCCTCCATGGGAGAATGAATTTTAATTTGTCTGACATGAGTGTCTCGTCCATTTTGGTGATTGCTAAGAACCGCTATCTGAATCATAAAGGTCCTGATGGGGCGATCATGAATGTCTTTAAGTGGCACACGAACCCATCCATTAGGCTCATTGAGTTCTATTACTTCAACTTCTTGAAGATCGTTGAAATTGGTTCCAGCCCGAATGGAGATTCTGTAGAATTTCAAAGTAATTCAATAAAAACAATACAGACAAAAAAAAACAGAATATGTAACCCATTCAAAATGCGAATGAACTAACCTGCTTGGACAATAGCTCTCATCTATCTTGTAATCGAAGTATATGCAGATATCTCGTATTGTTGTCTTTCGACGAAACTGAATGTTGACAAGATGAGGCAGCTGCCCATCGGACTGCCAGTAAGTATCCATGCAGCCATCTCTCAGCTGACCAATACCGTTTCCTGAAAAATGAGAGACACCAATTTAATGAGAATATACCTCAGGGGATGAGGTGAGTACCTGCCCAACTAGAGGCGGAGTCTGGAAGTACCAGAGAAACAAGTGCCCCGTTAATGAAACTAAGACGTCCAAAACGGGGTACTGGTCACGAGAAGAAAAGCCTAAAACGGCAATAAACAGATGATCGGATGGATGCCAAACATACCTGGTTTGCACGAAGAAAGACTCCAAACTGCTTGAGCGCCGACTTCCCGGACTTTGCCGGCGCGTTCATCTCTCGAAGGGTCGCATTCTCCCCCTGATCGAGGTACAGTCGTCATGGTTTCTAGTAACGCAGCGGTTCGGACACAAAAACCTAAACTTCTTTCTTCTTCCGTCGACTTCTGAGCCTAGAATCCCAACGGAAATTTCGATTTGGGCTCTCCAATGCGCTGTGTCTCTCCGTTGTTCGCGGTCGCCTCGTTTCCTCCAACTGCCTCTCTTGGATGGAACGCGACGCGAACGCTTCTAACTTCTAACCTAACCTTTCCGTCTTTGACAGGATTGGTGAAATAATGAAAAATTCGGCTGAACGCTGCTCAGCTGTTCAAAGACCTGTAGCGCAGGTGGCGCGGCTGGCGGCTGCTTTTGGAGTTCGCGGTTTTGGCGTCAGAGTATTGCGGATGCTGACATTGAATCAAACACGATTCAACCTGACGATTCCTTTGTCCCCTTTGTCTGCACGGCGCTACCCGAAAGAAGAGAACCCAACGTCAAGTACCTTTGCTAGATAGAACATCCGATTTTGAATGAGGGAAGTGCTGGAGTGAACATCGGCAGACACGCGTGACAGTCTTCAGTTCGGCCAGTAGTAGTGGTTGAATCAAAGCCAAATCAAACGTAATGTTTGTCGAGCGTGACGTACAGTGCAGCGGCAGCGGGCAGATGGCGCAGCGCAGGGCTGATGATGGCAGCAACAGGATGGGGAGGGGAGGGGTGCGGAAGGGAAGGGGTGAGGGGTGACAGTGAACTGCCGCGTAAGCATCATCATCGCCGTGCTGTTTTCTGATTTTTTTCCTCGAAATTTTTGTTTGTTAGACTGTACTTTAGAGGGTTAGATGTCCGTTTGCCGTCCCACTGTTTGCGCTGCTTCATACAGCCTGTACCGGGCTTCCCATGCGGAGACTCCGAGCTGGCCTTCGTGCGGGGAAGTCCAGCACCATAGGCAGGCCGCGGCTCCACGTCCACGACTTCCAAACACTGCTTCCGACGCTCTGTCTCTCTCGCACTCGCAGGGCGACCCGTAGAGGCGCGAGAGAGCGGCAGAGCGACAAAGCACTGGTCGGAATCAGCCTGCAGGGCGCGGTGGTACGTATGACGATACTGACTGAATTTAGCATTAATGGGGCCGAGGGCCTAGGGCCGAGGTGCTTGCAGCAAGCGTCAGAGCATCAGTCAACACGGAACTTCTGGCCAAAGTGGCAAGCGCAGGTCGAAGTCGTGCGTGTTGCAGCGTGATGGCAGAGTGGTGCGCTCGTTGGGGTTGACGGCGTGGTTGAAAACCACATGAAAGTGTGAAAGGAGGGGGGGGAGGGGGCACGACTGCGGGGCACGACTGCGGGGCACGGCAGGCTCTCCTCGGGGGCCTACGGGGGCCTTACGGGGGCCGGGGTAGAGACTGGGAGAGACCGGGAGCGCCCCACCACGGCCGAGTCGGGCAGCCCGGGCGGCGCGCGGCGCGACCTGTCTCTTGGCCGGGCTTTGCTTGGCTTTGCTTGGCTTTGCTTGGCTTTGCTTGGCCGTTTTGCCGTGCCGTGGCCGCCGCTTCGCCGCTTGCCGGGCTGGGCGGCTGGGCTTGCTGCTGCCCCGGCCAGTGCCGCCGCGGCCATCACTCACGTCACACTCGCACGACCCGATCGCCGACGTCGCCGCAGCACGCAGCAGAGCCGCAGCCGGCACCACGCTCAGCACCGCGTCTCCGGCGTTTCCAGCCATGGCGGCCCCGACCCGGCCGCGGGCCGCTCTCGCCGCCCTCGCCCTCGCCGCCTTCATCGCCGCCCTCGCGCAGCCCGCCGCGGCGCAGTCAGGTGAGCACGGCAGCACGGCGCCCAGGTGCAGCTCGGGGACCATGGAGGCGTGGAGGTGGCGCGGGAGGCAAAGTCACTGAGAGTGTTCGTTCGCGACTGTCTTTTGTTTTGCTTGTACTCGGCAACGGTGCAGTAGTTGTCGCAGTCAGGACTCTGCGCTCAGTGAGAGTGTTTTGGTCGGATCGGCTTCACAATATTTCCTTATCGTCAAAAGATGTGGTGGGGGCGGGGCAGGGCAGGTCAGCGCAAGGCCTTGGTCCAGATCGGGCCGCGTGATCAGCACAGGCATTTAACGCGAATCGTGTCTGGGACTAAATTTATCTTTTTCATACGGGGAATTTCCACCTCAGAGCTCCTTACTGACCGGTGATGCCCTTTGAAAAGGCGCGCCGTTTAGCGGACTGCAAAGCGCGAACCGCACGGAATGTGAATGCCACACGGGAAGTGCTTCTTCCCGCCAGCGACGCAAGCGGGTCGGCAGAGACTTGGGCTGTTTCCGTTTCCAGGCTCTCTGCATGCGAAGATACAAAGCTCCAGGCCCCACCGCTGCTGCCGTGCACAGGTGTCCGTGCCGCCGTGCCGGGTTCAAGGTCACGCCTCTCCGACTTACACAGACACACACAGCGGCACGGGACCGCGACGCCGCGACACTTGTGTGCGATTGGGGATAAAGGATGCTGAAGGGGGAGGGGGGAGGGGCGCTCGTGTATCGACGAGTCTTCCGTCATCCAAGTCATGTGTGCTAATGGCGACGCTCTAGAATCTCGAAACGATGCATTCTTTTACTCCAAGCGCGAGACGCGTCGCGACGAACGCCGCGGAATTTACCGCCTTCGCGACGACGGTGTCTCTGAGCCCTGAAACGAAAGGTCCTGGGGTCCTGGGCTCCAGCCCGGAGCCATGAGACGTAGCGCCCGACGTGGCCAGGTAGGCCACCCAACGGGCTCGTGCGCGGGGCGCGGACGTCGCGTTGCGTCGGGGCACAAATGATCGTCGCCTTGTCATTGTTGTTGTTTCTCTATGTCTCTCGCGTTAAGACGGCATTGTGGTGTTCCAGGCGGCAGCTGCTACACCCCGGAAGACCAGGCCGGCACCTGCATCCCCGTGGTGCAGTGCCCGCCGCTGGTGGCGTTGCTGCGGCAGCGGCCCGTGCCCCCCGAGAGCGTGCAGTTCCTGCGCAACAGCCAGTGCGGCTTCCAGGCCAACATCCCCCTCGTAAGTCGCCTCCTGTTGCTGCGAATGCTGCGAATGCTGCGAATCTGTGGGCCAGGGCCGCACTCGCGTCCCTCGCCCCGGAGCGGGCTGGGGGCTGGGAGCGACCGGAGGAGGCTCTGGAATTGCCGTTGCCGATGACGGCACCCTGGCGAGTACTGAACCGCCTCCCGCCAATCTGTGAGAGCCGTAAGAGAGCTGGATTTATGAAAAATTCATTCGAGGTACTGTCGCTGTAAGCGGGTAGAGTCCTACACGCGTTGCATCATTGATACCAGAAAGATAGCGCAAGTGCTACTGGAAAAATGTCACATAGCCCTTTTGCTTTTGGCAACATGTTGATCCTCGTTTGTTCGTTTTAGGTTTGCTGTCCAAACACGGGAGACCGTCGGCCCAACCCCAACAAGCGCCCCTCCACCCCCAACAACCGCGTGTGGGGCACCACCTCGACGACGACGCCGCGGCCCAGCCGGCCCAGCAACCCCCAGCAGGGTGGCCACGTCAACCTGCGCCTGCTGCCCACGGACGTGTGTGGCGTCGACCTCAGCCAGCGCATCTTCGGCGGCAACGAGACGGACCTGGACGAGTTCCCCTGGATGGCGCTGCTGCAGTACCGCAGCGGTGAGTGTACGCCACGCGAGGCGACGCGTGGCGAGGCGTGGCGACGCGTTCCAACCGGTGCACCGGTTTTGAGCTCCACAGTCGTTAAATGGGACTCCAACCGAACGTGTGACCTCACCAATGGATTGCTCTTCGAATAAGGAATCCATTTATGGGGTCACATGCTCGGTTCGAGTTCGGCAACACTTGTTCAAAAGTTCAGAAAGCGGATCTCCGAGACTGACGCGTGCCCGGCCTTGTCCTTCATGTTGCAGCCCGCGGCCAGCTCGGCTTCTACTGCGGCGGCGTGCTCATCAGCAAGCGCTACGTGCTCACGGCGGCCCACTGCGTCGCCGAGGACTCCATCCGACTGTGAGTGCGAGTCGCCGCTTCTCCCCTCGTGGGGACAGATTCGATGCATGGACTACCGACGCCAATGTCTTTCGAGCTTGCTCATGGCTCACGCCTCCCTTTGCCTGCAGCGTGAGCGTGCGCCTGGGCGAGCACGACACCAAGACCAGCCCGGACTGCAGGCCGGACTACACGAACGGCGGCCAGATCTGCGCCGCCCCCGCCGTGGACGTGCCCGTCGAGCGGTCCATCTCGTACCCCGAGTACGCCAAGAATGACCCCAACCACTACCACGACATCGCCCTGCTCAGGCTCTCGAGGGACGTGCAGTTCACTGGTAAGGAATTCCCTGCGGCCCGGACGGCCCCGACGACGCCTCGTCCCGAGTCTGCGTGCCTAACCTCTCCCTCATTCCCGTTTCCAGACTGGATCAAGCCAATCTGCCTGCCGACGAGCAGCGAAGTCGCCGCAAAGTCCTACGTGGGCAAGAAGCTGTGGGTGGCGGGCTGGGGCAAGACGGAGACGCGTAAGTATCCGCGTGTGCCTCTGTGGGTAGGGTGCGTGCCGGCCGACGACTAACGCCCCTCTGCCTGCAGGTTCCGAGAGCGACGTGAAGCTCAAGCTGGCCGTGCCCGTGGTGTCCAACGCGGACTGCCAGCCCGTGTACCAGAAGGCGGCGGTGCGCCTCAGCAGCGGCGGCCAGCTGTGCGCCGGCGGCGCGCAGGGCCGGGACTCCTGCAACGGCGACAGCGGCGGCCCCCTCATGGGCCCCGACCTGCACGAGAGCGGCGACATCCGCTGGTTCAGCACGGGGGTGGTGGCCTTCGGGCCCGTCAAGTGCGGCCAGGCGGGCTGGCCCGGCGTGTACACCAGGGTGGCGCACTACATGCCCTGGATCCTCGACACCATCAGGGACTAGGCCAGCACCTTGCTGCACCTTGCTGCACTTTGCTGCATTTTGCTGCACTTCGGGGGCGAGAACGGGCCCTTGCCCGTGGCGACGCGGTTCTTGGTCTCCATGACGGGGACGGCTCGTTGCTGTCATGCTGACTTCGACGTCACCGCGGGAACGCCTATGACCGCATAGGACCCTTCATTCATTTTTTGGGCACAGGACTGAAAAAATAAGTGCCCCTGCCAACAGCTGGGTATTATCCGTCAACTTCTCTGTGATTCATCATAACTTTATATATTCTGTGTGCCCATTTTTTTATTTTTTTAAAATATCACAATTGATTGCTAGGACAATTTTATTTTGCATGTAAGCTTTAGGTTTTAAGAATAATTCTACGCAGTACCCGTAAATGTTTATTATGTGACTGGATTTTATGTTATGAAGTAAGTTAGGTTTTTCTACCAATGCAATGTTGTGTTCCGTGTCGTAATTGCGAGCTTATTGGTTGACGCAATTACCTGTGTGTTTTCATTTTCCACTCGGATATCTTTGTGTGTGCTCATGTGCTTTTGTAAATGAGGTCGTAAATAAACAAAAATCTTGCCGAACGTAAGGTATTCTTTTTGTTAAATTGAGTTCGAATTGGACCTTTTTGTCTGAACGTTTCTGGTTGGGAATGCATGTGATTGGCCTGCCAACAACAGTGCTAGCTATAGTCGATTCATTCCTAACTTTAGACTCACTGTTCTCACTTTCGAATCTTCAGAAATGCCGGTTTCTATTACATCACCATCACCCATCTCTATCGTCATCATCAGAATGGTTCCAGTGATTCCCATGCACTGCGCACTGTAAAGATTCCCCCAAAGATCCCCGGTCGTCTGCCTACGCCTGCGTACGCCTGGTTCCCGGAGCCGATACTGGTTAGGTCCAGCCAGCCGAGCGAATCACGAAGAGTTGTTTCGACGCTCTGTCTCTGCCGCACTCATGGAAGACTCCGCAAGGGTGCGAGAGAGACAGAGCGACTGGCCGCTTTTCTGAATCGCTGGGCCAAGTTGACGGCGAGGTTCGCGTCACGGCAGGAGCCTGGTTCGCGGAAAGGCGGGGGACGGGGCCGGGACGCCCCACGCCCCACTCCGGCGCGACGGGGACCCCGACGGGGTGGACCGGGCGACTGGCCCCCGTCTGCCCCGCAGCTCGCAGTGCAGGCACCGCGAGGCACAGACACACATTGCCAGGCCGCTCGCCGTCGGTGTCGCATCCTCCACGATCAGACCGAACGCCGCGCAGCCGCGCTCCCGTCATGGCCGTGCCGACCTCCCCGCGGGGCGCCCTCGCCGTCCTCGCCGCCTTCGTGCTGGTGCTGGCCGAGCCCGCCGCGGCGCAGTCAGGTGAGCGTTGGTCCGCCGTCGCTACTCCGCGCGCGAGACGCCAGTTCACACCCCTGCGCGCGGGGTACGGACGGACGGCGTCCTTCCCTCTTCCCACGGATCGCACTTTCCGGGGGACATTATGGGCCGCGCCGATACTCCGTGCGCGAGAGCCTTTGGATGGTAATCGCGCGTAGAAGAGAGAAAGAGAGAGGCAGCTCGTTTTAGCCAGCTCCGTAATTTGGCCTTGGCGATGACGCGACCGGCTAATAAGGCATTCGCCGGGATTCCCCATCTGCGGCCGCAGGCCGTCGCAGGCCCTTGCTATGCAAAATGGAAAAGCGGGCACCAGGGCCCTCGACGCCGCACTGCGAACCGCACACCGACTCTGCGGCTCTGTCGGGCATTATTTTGCCCAGTAGGCAACCCAACCTACAGGCGCATGAGGCGGGAAACCTAACCGTGTGTTCTGAGAAGACGGACCCGAAGGACCTCTTCTTGTCGATGATTGTCGAGTCGATTGTGAGGTGCCGAGTTTGTGACCAAGTCGACGTCGTGTGCTGCTCTGCGCAGGCAGCTCCTGCTTCACCCCGGACGACAGGCCCGGCTCCTGCATCCCCGTGGTGCGCTGCCCGCCGCTGGTGGCGCTGCTCCGGAAGAAGCCCGTGCCCCCCGAGAGCGTGCAGTTCCTGCGCAACAGCCAGTGCGGCTTCGAGGCCGCTATCCCGCTGGTGAGTAGCGTCGCTTCACCCCGTGCACAGTGGGCCAGAAGACCGGTGGAGGCGGTCGAAACTTCGGACGCGTTTTGAGATCCACAGTCGCTAAACGGGTCTCAAATCGAACGTGTGACCCCACCAATGGATTGCTCTCCGACCGAGGAATCCATTGGTGGGGCACACGTTCGATTCTAGTCCCGTTTAGCTACCCTGGTGGTCAAAACGCGTCTAGAGTTTTGGCCGTAGCCGTGGCGGACGTCGAAGACCCACTGCAAGTCGGACGCCTTGTCTCTGTTTTTCAACCCGTCCTCCCTCCGGCCGCGCAGGTGTGCTGCCAGAACACGGGCGACCGCGCGCCGAACCCCGCCGTGAGGCCGACGACGAGCAACCGCGTGTGGCCGGACCCGGTGACACCACCCACGTCGCCCAGCGGCCCCAGCGGCCCCAGCGGCCCCAGCCCGCACGACGGCCACCCCAACGCCGGCCTGCTGCCCACGGACGTGTGCGGCATCGACCTCAACCAGCGCATCTTCGGCGGCAACGAGACCGAGCTCGGCGAGTTCCCCTGGATGGCGCTGCTGGAGTACCGCAGCCGTGAGTACCGCCCCCGCCCTTGCCGCGTGTGCCCTCGTCTCTCTCGCACCCGTGCCGAACGCCCTGTGAGAGCAACGGAGACAAGAGCGGCCGGGAGTGCAACTTCCAAAGCGACTTGGTGCTGCCGGAAACCCCCGCGCTAACCCCTTGTGTTGGCCGTTGCAGCCCGCGGCCAGCTCGGCTTCTACTGCGGCGGCGTGCTCATCGCCAAGCGCTACGTGCTCACGGCGGCCCACTGCGTCCAGGAGGACGCCATCCGACTGTGAGTCCAGCGCCGCGACCGGCCAGGAGGAAGAGCGCCTTCGACGCTGTCTCTGTCGCACTCTTTAGGAATACGAGAGAGACGGCGACGAAAGGCTCTTCGTTCGGCCGCCCCATCTGATGCTGGTGCAAGGCGTTCCCGTTGTACTTGATGCCTTCCTTCGCCTGCAGCGTGAGCGTGCGCCTGGGCGAGCACGACACCAAGACCAGCCCGGACTGCAGGCCGGACTTCTTCGGCGGTCAGACCTGCGCCCTGGCCGCGGTGGACGTGCCCGTCGAGCGCGCCATCCCGCACCCCGAGTACAGCACGCGGGACCCCAACCACTACCACGACATCGCGCTGCTGAGGCTCTCCGCGGACGTGAAGTTCACTGGTAAGTGACTGGGCAGGCTGGAAGGTGGCCGAGACGCCGGTGATCTTGCAGTGTAGGTGTGTGGGTCGCCGTCACTAATGCGTGTCCGATAACGCCTTGCTTCCAGAATGGGTCAAGCCCATCTGCCTGCCCGTGTCCGCCGAGGCCGCCAGCAAGTCCCAGGTCGGGAAGAGGCTCTGGGTGGCCGGCTGGGGGAAGACGGAGAAACGTAAGCACCTTCACGTTAGTTTACTTTGTTGTTGTCGTTGACACGGCTCTTGCGTTGGACTAACCGCCCCCTGGCTGTCCGCAGGGTCCGAGAGCGACTTGAAGCTCAAGGTGGCCGTGCCCGTGGTGTCCAACGCGGCCTGCGAGCCCGTCTACAAGAAGGCCAGCGTGCGCCTGAGCAGCAACAGCCAACTGTGCGCGGGCGGCGAGCCCGGCAAGGACTCCTGCAGCGGCGACAGCGGCGGCCCGCTCATGGCCGTGGAGGACGACGCCAGGGACGGCAGCAGCGGCCCGCGCTGGTACAGCACGGGGGTCGTGGCCTTCGGGCCCACCAACTGCGGCACGCGCGGCTGGCCCGGCGTGTACACCAGGGTGGCGCACTACATGCCCTGGATCCTCGACACCATCACCAACTAGACCCTGGCCAGTGTCGTTGATCCTTGCCAGCACCGAGTAGTGCCGTCCAGCGCACGACGACACCCGCATCACATCTCTCTCGCACCCACACCGCTCGCCCCATGAGTGCGAGAGAGACAGAGCGACCAGCGATTCGCTGTGCCCTGCAGGGCCACGGCCAAGTTCACGTCCGTGGGAAATGCCCACAGCCGGCGCACCACGCGGCGCGTTGATGTGATAACGACTCTCATTTACGTACTGAGCACCATTCGATTGATAACTCATCATCTTTGTTTTCAATAATGTTCGCCAAGCGCGCCAAGTCACTCGAAATACCATCCTCTCAAAACTAAGAATTGAACCGATCCGACAAACCCTCCTGTCGGCAGGACAGCATGGCAATGGGTTTGAAGCATTTTTGCCAATGCTGAGTAGTACCCTGCCAGTTTTAACATGGTTTTAACGATAAAACTTTATGCCTCTCCGGCTCGTCGTTGGACCTGAAGTCAGCAAGTGCCATATTTCACTGTCCGTCGAACTCCTCTGCTGTGATTAACTAACTACCATAACCTTCATGTTTGCGACTGCTGTCTGATCGGGGTTGGTTACTGTACAGTATTTTAAGAAATAAGTAAGATTAAGAGTTTACCTTTTTGTGTTGTTTAAGTGTAGTTTTTTCCTATGCTGCTAGAGGAGGGAGACCTCCCGCTCCTCGAACTAAGTTTGTGATCAAAGTAAGTTAGGTTTCTGTAATTAAAGACACTTTTGACCCACCGGGTTTACACACACGCCTCTTCTTCTGAACCCCGAAACCCCTTTCCTTACTTTGACTTTTTGACCGCAACAACGTGGTTTTCCTCACGTGGTTCTTCACGTGGTTTTCCGCGCTCCCGCTCCCACGCCGGTTGGGCTGGAGCCGTTTGAGCGTTCCCCGCCTAGGATAATAACTGGTTGATTCCGCAGGCCGCTGTAGGGGCCGCGCGGCCGCGCCTTGAGATGCCTTGAGAGCGACGGACGGAACGCTGCGCGCTGCGCGGACTCACGTGGCCGATACTGCGTTCCACCGGCCGTGCCTTCGGCCTGAGCCTTACTCGTAGGGATCCCGAAAAGCAAGGTCCAAGCTTTTTCAAGTCTGGTACACTATACGACGTGTCGCAGCCAAAGCAGCCAAAGGCACTCAAAGGCGCAGGGACTTTACGACCAGACCGGCTCCAGCATCTCGCCGCTCTTCTCCTCGGCCGGCAAGCTGGCAACTTGCCGCGGGGATGCGGGCGCGGGCCGCGGCGGGCCGCGGCGGGGCGGGGCCCACAGTCAGCACGCATGGTATGGGAAACCCCTCGCGTCTCGCGTCGCTGCTGTGACGTCCGCGGGAGCGAGGCAGAGCGAGGGGCCCACGGTGACGTCAGGTGGACGAGTTTGGCGGCTTGCTTCTGCAGCTCTGCTCCAGGCTGCTCGCCGCCGCCGCGGCGCACGATTCAACGTGTCCCCGCGCTGCAGACACATCACACGCACGCTCTGCCCCCCTCTTTTCCCCACAACGCAGGCACACACGCACACGCAGACACGCACACTCTTTTATGCTAAACATCTTGGCTAGAAGCGGTAAATGCGGTTCTCCCAGAAACAAAACCAAAAAATCACAAGTGGAAACAAAAGAAATTGTATTTTCCACTCCACCGATAAGAAAAACCCAACAAAAACAACAGCTAACTACAATAACCATAACAAAAACAACACAACACGTGCATGTCCAAATTGCGCCGCCGCTTGGTGTGTTCCTTGTTTTCCAGTCATATGAACTGACTCCACCTGTTCCATCTGACCGCTGCCGCCCCCCCCCCTTTTTCCACGGTGGTCGGCGGTACACGCCGTGGCTACGCCGCTGCCTCGCCATGATAACGCTCTCGATGATTGTTATGCTTCGCCGAAGACGAGGAGATGGCGTGGGGACCGCGGCCTGGCGGCGAGGTGGCTTGGCGGCGTGGCGTCCCCCCTCCGGAGTCCGCGCCGCGGCATGGCGGCATCCCGCGAGAAACACGCTGACGGCCGCCGGCCTGACGGCGTCATCGTTGGCCTTTGTGGGGGCAGCACCGCCGCGAGCAGCCGGCCGCCAGTCAGTCATCTGAAGCCGGTCTAGTTCGCGGCTCCCGTCACACGCCGCGCACCGTGCACTCGACCTGCAGCATGGCCTCCAGCATGGCCACCAGCACGGCCTTCACCCTGGCGGTGGCCGCCGCCCTCCTCGCCGTGGTGCACGCGCGCAGTGAGTAGACCGGACAACAGCCGCCGGTGCGGTGACTTGTTTTGTTTATGTGACGGCACGCCCTTGCGTCGCAGGCCTGGAGCCCAGCGGCCCGCGGCCCACCTTGGACACGGCCTCCCTGGGCACCACGGAGCAGCCCCCCGCAGAGGGCGCAGAAGCGCGTCGCTTCCACCTGCGACCTCCCGGCCTGACGCGCGACCCGCCGTACCTCACCCACTTCGGCGACGTGCACTTCCCCGACGTGCAGTTCCCCGACTTCTCGTCGTTCGCCCCCAGCAGGCCCAGCAGGCCGAGCAGGCCGTCGCGGCCGGCGTACGAACGACCCGAGGTGTCCAGGCCGCTCGACCCGGACTTCGGGTCCAGCTCCGAGGAGAGGCCGACGCGCCGCCCCAGGCCCACCAGCGCGCGCCCCGCCTCCGCCAGCCTCATCAACCCCAAGGAGTGCGGCGCCCTCGGCGAGGACCGCATCATCGGCGGCAACATGACCGTCGTCATGGAGCTGCCCTGGATGGTGCGCCTCGGCTACGAGTCCACCTGTAAGTACCTCACTGCTCGCGCGGCCCAGGCCACTGTTCAGAACTTGGAGTAGCTCGGTGTGACAAGAGACCGGACACTGACCCGAATGAAGAAAAAGCTCCGGACTGAGTATTCGAACCTCCGTTCTGCCTTTCCGCAGTGAGCCCCTCCTTCAGCTGCGGCGGCTCCCTCATCAACGAGCGCTACGTGCTGACGGCGGCACACTGCGTGGGCGCCGGCGAGGACCCGTGAGTACCGCGGACTACTCGCTCTGTCTCTCTCGTGCCCGCGGTGGGACGCCCCGTGAGTGCGAGAGAGACAGAGCAAAGACAGTCGATACCCCGCGCGCGAGGCCGCCAGGCTCTACCCCGTGCTTGCTTGCAGCGTGATGGTCCGCCTGGGCGAGCACGACTCGCAGCGCACCGAGGACTGCTCCACCATCGCCGGCGCCAGGGTGTGCGCCCCGCCCGTGGTGGACGTGGACGTGGAGAAGGTCATCAGGCACGCCGACTTCTCGTCCGTCACCCTCATGAACGACATCGCCCTGGTGCGCCTGGCTCGCCCGGTGGAGTTCACAGGTCAGACGCTTGGCCGGTTTTCGTTGGTGTTTTGCCGACTGCCGACGCTCATACTCGCTTCCCTGCCGACAGACGCCGTGAGGCCCATCTGCCTGCCGACGTCGCGGGTGTCGTTCGGGCCGCTCGAGGGAAAGGCAGCCTCCGTCGCCGGCTGGGGCAAGGGCCTGAACCATGCAGGTAGGTTCTGGATTTCAGAATATCGAGTCCTTGAGAGTCATGTGAACACTCGGAATCAGTGTGCAGTTTGGTGTGGACGCGGCCCACGCCGCCGGCATGACTTGGCCGAGGCGACGAACTAACCCGAGACCTTTCTCTCCGCGCAGTCCGAGGCACCCGCTACCTGATGAAGGCCAACGTGCCCTTCACGTCCTTCTCGAGCTGCGAGCGCGAGTACTCGAAGCGCGGCATCGACCTGGACGAGCAGTCGCAGGTGTGCGCGGGCGGCAAGGCCGGCGTGGACTCGTGCCAGGGCGACAGCGGCGGCCCGCTGTACCGCGCCGCCGAGGTGGACGGCCGCCGCGGCCCCTTCATGGTGCAGTTCGGCGTCGTCTCCTTCGGCCTCCAGAAGTGCGCCGTCAAGGGCGTGCCCGGCATCTACACGCGCGTGGACCACTACCTGCCCTGGATCACCAGCCACATGGAGCCCTGAGGACAGGAGGGGTGAACGCTCCCTTCCTCAACTCTCCGTCCGCGCCTCGGACCGAGCCGGGCCGAGCCCAAGAACCACGTGCCGAAGTGCCCCAGTGCCGTGAACCTCGCGGCGGAACCACCAAAGCTAACCGAAGTAGTAGACCCTCCGGATGATGAAGTTTGTTTTACACCAGTGCTGTGCTTTTGCTAAAGACTCATATTGATTTTGTGATACTTTAAAAGCAATACTTACGTGGTGCGTTGGCACCGCTTCTGCCTTCTTTTATGACAATAAGTCTGAGATTTTTAAAAAAATGTTTACCGTCCTATGAGATTCAATAATCTTCTGAGTGTATTTTTTCTCTCGATAAACATGTCAAACATTTTGTGATGAGACAAAAATTATATAAATACTTAAAATCGTAGCTTTTATAAAATCTTGTATTTGAAAAATCAGTTAGTACACACTAAACTTCTTACGGATACATCCTATCTGTATTACGGACATTTTTGTGCAATTGCAATTACGGATAGATTTTGCTTGTAATACGGATGAAATCATCCGTATTACAAAGAGTTTTACGTCCGTAACATACAGACGAAAATATCCGTATGGTACGGACGTAAAACTCTTTGTAATACGGATGATTTCATCCGTATTACAAGCAAAATCTATCCGTAATTGCAATTGCACAAAAATGTCCGTAATACAGATAGGATGTATCCGTAAGAAGTTTAGTGAGTATGGCAACTATATGCAATCAGTCAGGTAGCCATGCAAATTATGTTACAGTAGAGGATTATTTATGATCGAAGTTATTTCAAGTCAAGTATGGAGTGACAAGTCGATTCGACTCGATTGCTGTTTCTCGCGTTAGTGCTTACTTTCGTGAAACGTAGCGTTTTATATATTTATTTCCCGGGCCAACTGTTTGATGTACAAAATATGAAAACAAACAATAAAATAATCAAATGAATGTGATAGCAGGGAAATAATTTCATCCGATTCTCATGACTCTCTTCGTACCCAGCCGAGCACATGGGCGTGGATTCCATATGATCCCTTGCGGATTAGAAACTAGTAACGACCAAGAACAACAAAAAATGACGCACTAAATATGAAATGCAGAAGTGCGGAGACCCTGATTTTCTGTAAATATAAATTGAGGATCAAAATTCTTTGAATTTAACTTTTTTTTTACTTAATGTCTTATGGGATGAAAAACAACGTCAACAACTTATGCAGAACAGCACTTTAATATTCTTCCCGGACAAAATAAAAAACAAATCCTCACTCTTCACGGGAGGTTGTAAAGCAGGACCCACTGGACGGTGGTCAGCAGGAGGGGCCACCGAGAAACGTATTCGTAGCCCCGACCCAGACGATGATCCCTCTTCACCATTGCAAGCAGCGTTTGCAGTGTTTCTTCCAGTTCTCCGATGGTCTTCAAAAAATCCGAATCCACTGAGAACAAGAGAAATAATACGTGATTATGGATGTGACATTTTGGAGTGCAGAGGACAGAATGTGGATCCAGGGCCGGGCTAGCCCTGAATGGGTGCGGCGGATTGGGGTGCGTTTTGCCTACGTTCTAGACGGCACCCTTGACTTCAGCCCCTCTGGCTTCACCCCCCCCCCCCCCACTTCTGCCCTACTGTACGATCCACCCCGTCGTGGAGAGATCGGCCAAGGCAGGTTATCGAGAGCAAGGCGCCTGCCACAGGCCGTCCCGGCAGGCATACCTGCTGTGCGGGCTGGCCTACCCCGACGATGACAGGCGCTAGCTTTCTGCCAAGTTTTTATTTAGTTTTTGGTTGTTGAGTGCAAATTCGATACATGAAAAAGTCTCGTATATTTGCGTTATTACCACAACAAAGAAAGTCCTGGGCAGTTTTTCTGAAGCTGCACTTCAAGCTGAAAGAACAGCAGAAGGAACCCAGAGGCAAAATTTCTTTGCGCTCGCCGCCCCCTCGGCCTATATTGACAGACAGGTTTGCCCCCGCACTAAAACTTTATCTCGCGGACTGTTTTGTTTTTGCGTGTCTATAATCACTTCGAACGCACAAACAAAACTCGAAGCGGGAAGAAAGCGCGTCTTCAGCCGCTCTGAGAGGACACGTCTAACGGTTTGCAGGGCAGGCTCTGCATCTAAAACAGGGCTTTCTTAAACCAAGGCGATTTCCTTGAAACAACAAGGGAACTTCAACCGTTCGAGTACTACTCCTAAGTAAATTATCTTGGTTCTAGAAACGCCTTTTTTTGTGTCTGTGCAACGGTTGGGGGTGACTTACTTGTAACGCGCATAGGCTTGTCCACAAGTTGGGGGCACACCAAGTAGGTGGTTTCCAAGAAGTCGTGCGACTCCTGCGCGCCAAGCGGCGGCACTCCCGGACAGCGGAACAGCATTCTGGGGTAGACCGCCTCCAGCCCCCGCTGCAGGTCTTCGACCAGGGCGTCGAATCGGAGCTGGATAGCTGGCCGTGGCGCCCTCGTGAAACAGCGTGGGCAGGGGAGCGGCTGCCGTCGTCCGCCGCCGACTCCGATGAACGCCTGACTCATCACCAGCGTCTCGAGCACTGCTCGCCAGTCAAATCGAATCGCAAAAGATTTGTGGCCCAAAAAAATTTTGGGGTTAAAATTCGAAGAAAGCACAGGATGGGTGCGACTGATTCACTCCGGGTGTGCGACTAAGGGGATGGCTCGGCGGCACTGCACCACACTGCACGCGTCGGAGCCGCAGACTGTCGATGGACGCACGGCCGAGGGTGACCCAGAAACATCCCCCCTCCCCCGGAGAAGCACTGCGAAAGCGTGAAGCTGGACTGGCGGCGGCCGCTGAGTGTGTGTGTGTGCGTGTGCGTGCGCGTGCGTGTGTGTGTGTGCGCGTTTGTTGCGGGGCTGATCGCTTATCGCCGCGTCCACAAAATTTAGACGTCCGTTGCGACAGTGAGTCGTTTCCTTCCACCGCGGGCAGTTCCTTCGAAGCCCTGCTACAATTTTTTGTCCGTAATATTTTACTGAGCTCTTACTTGCTGCTCGTGCCCCCTCATTGGAATGATGAATGAAACAAAGTTACTGGGAAAAATTAGTTTATTACTTTTTAAAATTCATCCAGTCAACCGAATCAAATAATCATCGTTTAAGAGTACAAGTGGAGTTTGACTGCGGTCAGCATGAAACCCCACAGGAAAGCAGCCTTCGGGTACCCCTGCCCCAGATGCGGTGTTGTCGTCACCATAGCAATAAGCGAAAATAACGTTGATTCCATATTCTTCAGAAGTTTTCGGAACTGGTGTGGCGCTGAGAACAAAAGAAACAATTGCGTAAGACACAAAAAGAGGAGCGACCTACTTGTTCATGGAAAACTAATATAAATTAGCCGGTGAATAAGGGGAGATTTCCGACTCTGAAACTTTTACTACCAAAAAAAAACACAAGAGGCATGTTGCTAGAGTAAAAACGGGGTTCACTAATGCTCTTCTCACCATCAAAATCTCAGCTCAAAATAAACACACACACACACACACAAATTTTTTTGTTTTGTTTTTAGGGGTGCGTTTGATTTTCTTTTCGCACGCCGACGTGCCTTACCTGGCATGGGCTGGACGGGCTTCTCCCGTATCTGCGGGCACAGAATCATCATGAGCTCCAGAAGGCCAGGCCCCTTCGGCAGTCCAGCTCGTGCGATGCCCTCCAGGAAGAAAGGGTAGGCAACAAACAGGTCGCGGCGGAGGTGCTCAACGTAGGTGTCGAAGACGATCTGCAGCAGCGCTGGTTGCAGAAGCTGCGACGTGCTGAACTTTGGCTGCGGCCTGCTGGCCTTTGGCTGCGACCTGCTGGACTTTGGCTGCGACCTGCTGGACGACTTTGGCTGCGACCTGCTGGACTTTGGCTGCGACCTGCTGGACTTTGGCTGCGACATGCTGGACTTTGGCTGCGACATGCTGGACTTTGGCTGCGCGCGGTGTGCTCTGCTCGCGTCGCGGCAGTCGACTGGCCGATGCACACGCAACGCGTGGGTGGTGTCAAGAGACACCCCGGCGACACGGCGCGGGTGTCGGTAGCGCAGACGCCGTCGGCCTGCCCGGAGCGCGGCTACGGTGACGGCCTGACCCACAAGCGCCGTCGCCTCGGCCATCGCCCCGCTCAGCCAGGGAAGGCCGTGGTGAGGCACGGCGGGAATGAACACAGCAGGTATCGTTTAACGATTCTTACCGTGGATTCCCGTGGCTCAAACTACTGTATCATCATAAAAAGGGGGCGGGGGCAAGTCTCAAAACTATCCTCTGATGGGCGGATCTGGCCCTCAAACGTTTTGCCAGCCGTGGGCGATTCCGAAGAGTCATTGTACCGCTTGTCTCTCTCGCTCCACTGCGGGACCCCCGTGAGTGTGACAGAGACAGAGCGATCCTTTGGAAACAGCCGGCCGACCGGAGAGGACCACGTCGGCGCATTCCAGACCAGCCGGCGCGCGTGCCGCCGTGCCGGGGCGCTCCTCTGCCGGGGCGTTCCCACGAGCCCCGCCCCGCCCCGCCCCGCCCCGCCCCGCCGCACGACGCCCAGCCGGTCCTGCTCGGCGGATGGGCAGGCCCGGGCAGTCCCGCGGAAACACTTGGCGAGGAACGACCATGGCGCCCGCCCCGCCCGCTCTGCTGCTGTGGTTGGCCGGGGCCGCCCTGTGGGCCGCCCTGTGCCTCCCTGCCGGTGAGTACCACGAGGCAGGAGGCTGCGACCCTGGGCCGCGCCCCGCCCCGCCCATGCCCCGCCACTCCTCGCTGGCTAACTCGCCGATCCCCCCGCAGCCCTGGCCACGGCGGCGCACTCCCAGCGGACCTGCGAGGCCTTCGAGAAGTGCGTGCCGCTGTCGGACTGCAAGTCCCTGCTGCGCCTCGTGACGCACAAGGACCGCAAGCCCTCGGAGCACGAGAAGGCCCTGCTGCGCGGCGCGCAGTGCGGCTGGTCGCCCACGTCCGCGTTCATGCCCCTGGTGAGCACCAAAACACAGTGTGCACCGTCGAGGTTAAGGCTCCACTGACGCGGCGCGCGGCGTGTCACAGGTGTGCTGCGACCTGGTGCCGTGGGGTCGGTGCGGCGAGGTGCCCGGCGCGCTGCGAGACGCCGCCAACGGCCCCGCCAACGAGGGGGAGTTTCCGTGGATGGCGCGCCTGCTGTACAGGGGCCCGGCTGACCGAGGTGAGTGACGAAAAGGCGTCGAGCCAATGTGCATGTTGTCGGTAAAATTACCCCTGAAGCCAGAATTTCTTGTCCCAATGGCTCTGTGGCCCCATGAGCCGGTCGTGTTGGCTCTTCGTCCAAAGCAACTTGTGCCTGCCGTGGACTTACGTGACATCAACGACTCTCTGTTCGCTATTGCAGCCGATGGTGCCGACGGCGCCGAGCTCCTCCACTACGAAGGCTGCGCGGCTTCGCTGATAAGCGACCGCTACCTGCTGACCGCCGCCAGCTGCGTCACGGCGCGGGACAACCCTCCGTGAGTTCACTTCGGTTCACTGCCGCCTGCGGGCCGCTGGGTAGGCCAGCCCGCCGAACAGGGCGGTGCAACGTGGCGGCCTACCCTCACTTGGTCGGGCGCCCTGCTCACACGGAGCCTCCCTGTGTTGCAGGGCGTACGTGCGGCTGGGCGAGCTGGACGCTCCAGAGGACCCCGCCTGCGTCGCGAACAGCTCCGACTGCTCCTCCACCGCCTTCAACGTGGCCGTGCAGGACGTGGTGGTGCACCCCGAGTACGCGGTGGGGGCGGCGGGCCACCAGCACGACATCGCGCTGGTGAGGCTGAAGACCGCCGTGCGGTACAGCGAGCACGTGGCGCCCGTGTGCCTGCCCATCACGGACCCGCTCGGCGACACGCTCAAGAAGGACCGGCCGCTCACCGTGCTCGGCTGGGGCAGCCTGCACCGCGCCAACAGTGAGTCGCATCGGTCGCTTGTTTCGGTTTCGTAAACTACTTTAGAAAAATTTACCCCCAACCCTTTTTTTTTGCTCAGCCAACACGACGCGGCGCTTGACGAAGAGCGTGCTGAGGGAGGTGCCGCACGAGTTCTGCACCGAGAAGTACAGGGAGACGCCGGACCACGTCGACGGCGTGCACCAGCTCTGCGGCCGCGGTCTGGCGGAGGGCTCCGACGCGTGCCACGGCGACCGCGGCGCGCCGCTCTCGTCCACCAGCGTGCGCCAGGGCGCGGTGCTCACCATCCTGGAGGGCGTGGCGTCCTTCGGGACGGTCTCGTGCGCCACGGACGGCATGCCCGCCGTGTTCGCGCGCGTCGCCACCTACCTGCCCTGGATCATGACCAGCATCAAGGTGGCGTGAGGGCGCCGACGGCTTGGCCGACCACCACCATGGCTGTGATTTCCAACCGCGTCGACTGCGTGAACCCATTCCGAAAGCGGCTTCTCTGCTTCACTCCGCGATCCCAATATTTTCTATGGCGGTTGGGCAGGGCAGTGTTAACGGACTGTTTGCCCAATGTTCCGAGTGAAGTGGACCACTTGCGTGTTTCAGCCTAACGTCCGTTGCTGGCCCCAAAGGTATGTTGCTGCGGGTTGACGCGGGACAAAGAAAGTTGTGCGGATTTTGCCTCCCTTGAGGCACACGACCACCCAGGTTATAGGAGATTTGAAACGGTTCAAGTTTTCCAAGGAAAAACCCAACATCAAAGAGACCATTAAAAAATGATAAAAAGAAATTTTACACTTTTTTGGTTTGCCATTTTCACGCGCCTTAGAGATAAAACGACACAATGTCACATTCCAGGAATACCAGTGGGTCCAGCTATAAAGGGAGTCGGGGCCGCCTTACTCGAACCATCTGTATAGCCAGGAAAATGAATCCAGGCACAATTCCACCCCCACCCCGGTTTTTGAAACGCCTCCAAGAAAGGCCTAATCTAGGACAGTCAACGTGCCACCCTGTTTCGGATGCGCGCTTGCGTTGCGTGAAGGGGGCAACCTTGAACCCTCAAGTCCTGTGACTTACGCTGTAGTGGCAGGATGCGGCACTGCCCCGTTCAGCCAAATAAGGGCGTTGCCTAGCAGCCTTGTCCTCCGTCGATGCGTTATTGTTTCTTTTGTGAGTGGAGGGCAAGAAAATGGCGTCGTGGTCGCTACCCCTTCGCTCTCGCTACTCCGCGTCGCGGACAGGGGGTAGCCCGGAGGCTTCCCGGGGAAATCGATCCTGCGCGGGGGGGCCGCCTCCGCCAGCTCTGCCGCTGTCTGCCGCCCTGGTCGCGGCAGGGCCCTGCTCGCCCACCCACCAGTCCAAGTGCGCAATTGCAATCTGAATCTGAATCAGTGCAGCCAGGGCAGCAGCGCCTCCGTGGCCGTCTCAAACATTTGCCATCCCGCAGAAAACCCGGGTTGGCTCTAAAATCTATTTTTCTGACAGTTAAACATAATTTTTTTCAACACGTGTGCCAGTAAATACTCGAGCCTTTGTCTTTTTCTCAGTGTCTCCGATTGCGTTCTCGTATATCAGCAACGAGGAGGGAAATTTTTGTTGTCCACAAAACGTGTTTATTGTGTCTATGTGGCGGGCGGGGCACCATCAGCCGCACCGCACAACCAGTCACCATGCCTGGCTTTCCAAAAAGAAATGACGTTCCATTTGTAGCTTATTTTGTGTGAGACTGTGTGCACTTAGTGCTGTTACCGCGTCATCACGACCGACCGACTGGAACTGCGGTGCACAATCAAGCCATTTGGAACAGGGTGAAGGAGCTCATGACAAACAAGAACAAGAGTTACAACAAGAACATTTTATTTAATCCTGGCAACACTTAGACAAATAAGCAAAATAACACACTCTCAACTCCTCCCAACTCATGATTTTTTACAATTAAATTGTCAAGTTGTCTTAACAGCAAAAAGCAAAACACAGAAGAGAAAATAAAATCAAAAGGGCGAAGTGCAGAACGATGAATGATCAGAGCACAAAATTGTCATATTTGAACTTCAAACAAACCGCCAAAAGGAAAAACAATGACGGTCCAAACATGATTCAGTTAACGCCGTCAAAAATAGGTCCTTCTCAATACATAATTTGTAACTACTTCACAGCCTTCTAAAGCACAGGAAACGTTTCCCCTCAACAACAGTCAACATTGTCTTCCACAGCCATCCAGAGCCTATCGATTTTGACTGGCTCTTGACAGGAGCATAGACAGCCACCAACACAAGAAAATAATTTTTACCTTCTAATTTGCTTCTATCATCCAACTATCGTCAAAATAGAGACTAGCATTATTCAAAATAGATACTTTTATGAGATTTTCGAAAAGTGGAAATCCCCGTCATGCACCAGGATTAATTATAATAGTTTTTGCTGTAAGTTTTTTGACAGAGGTGACGCACTCCTGCATCACTCACAATAATCCGTACAAGTCTCACAATTTTACAATTCCTTGTACGACGAAAAATATAGCCAATAAAGAATTACTGGCGCTCTAGGCTCCAGCTCGCTTGAAGGGCACACCACTACTTCTACACCCAGAAAAAGCTACCATTGGATCAATACTAATTGAATCAACACTACAGGAATAAGTGCATAATGCAGCTTCTAATCTACGATATATTTCTACATTTTTCTGGGTGATTTTTTTTTTTTGTATTTTGAGAACTTTTTACTGCAAATTAAATGGAAAGACTTTGCGCCAAAATGTGGCGAGACATAAAGTCTCGCCAAGTTTTGGTCAGACCTAAACGTCTCACTAAAATTTGGCCAGACAAAAAGGTCTTGCGACAAAATGGCGAGACTCTCTTGTCTGAGCACTGTAAAAGACGCAATTACGGTCCATGCGGCGGATGATGAATTGCGGCCTTTACAGAGCACAGACAAGAAAGTCTCGCCATTTTGTGGCGAAACTTTTTTGTCCGACCAAATTTTGGCGAGGATTTCAGGTCTGACCAAAACTTGGCGAGACTTTATGTCTCGCCACATTTTGGCGCAAAGTCTTTCCATTTAATTTGCAGTCAGAAGTTCTTGGCGAGACTTAATGTCTCACCTCTCTGGAGAGGTGAAAAGTCTGACCGTTAGATTTGTAGTAAGCTGTTACTGTAAGGGGAAATGACCCAACTGCCATTCCATCTCGTCGTCGTCCTCTTCCTCCTGGACGTGGATGGCACGGCGGAGAACACGTGTAGCACGGCAAGTGCGCTCAGGCGGCCCGGGGCGCCTCGTGGAAGGGTCGCCCGGTGGGCAGCTCGCGCTGCTGTTAGCCAATATGGACCCGCCTTCCAGGTCCACAGGCGGAGCAGGTTCCAAGAACGGGCCCAGAGCCGAGGCCATGGCTGGGGCGTGTGCAGAGGGCAGTCCGGGGGCCAGCGCAGGGGCCACGGACGGGGCCAAACCAGGCCCCACGGCTGGAGCAAGGGCCTGCACACATTAGAGTCAAGTAAGGAACCGCTCCACCGCTCGCTGAAGAGCCCCAGCCAGTGGACTGCACTTTAAAGGGTCTAAGGGCCGATTAGGCTCGACGCTCGGAGCGAGATTCACGTGTGGAAAGGGGGAGGAGAGGAAGGGGGAGTTTCTACCAACACCACCACTACCACCACCACCATCACCCCGCACGCTCAATCGTGTCACGCTCGTTTCATCGAGAGGTTACGCTCCTGGAAGGGTGAGTCCACCACCTCCGGAGCCCACCGCAGCGAGCATTGATGAGGCTGCGAAAGTCGGAAAAGGGGGTTGGGTGGAGGGGAGCAAGGCAGTTCACCACCACCACCGCAACCTGTTGGATGGAGTGGACAACGGCGGCGGAGGAGGGGAAGCAGATCATTTGACCTACCTAAATTAGACCGACAAAAAGTAGACCGACCCGACCGACCTAAATAAAAATATTAAATAAAAAATTCAATAAAGTTATTCGCATTTTTGACCGACTTGAATAAAAAAATTCCCATAGAGCGCGGGGGTTATTTTTAGGGCACTAGGCCGTTACCTCCACTGAAAACACCTCCAACAGTGAAGCCTCCGTCGAAAATACATCCACGACGGCGGCCTCGACGGCGGCCTCGACGGCGGCCTCGACGGCGGCCTCGACGGCGGCCTCGACGGCGGTCTCGACGGCGGCCTCGAAGGCGGCCTCGAAGGCGGCCTCGACGGCGGCCTCGAAGGCGGCCTCGAAGGCGGCCTCGAAGGCGGCCTCGACGGCGGCCTCGAAGGCGGCCTCGAAGGCGGCCTCGACGGCGGCCTCGACGGCGGCCTCGACGGCGGCCTCGTAAGCGGCCTCGTAAGCGGCCTCGTAAGCGGCCTCGTCGGCGGCCTCGTCGGCGGCCTCGTCGGCGGCCTCGTCGGCGGCCTCGTCGGCGGCCTCGTCGGCGGCCTCGTCGTCGGCCTCGACGGCGGCCTCGTCGGCGGCTTTAAACTGTAAAGGTGTCTCCAGTCGAGGAACTAGGTTTACCAGGTACTGAGAATCCCTGTTCCAACATGTGGACGTGTTTCCGTCCGAGAACCTCGTCCAATGCAGTGGACATTTTTCGTGGATGTCTTTTTGATAGAGGCTTCACTTTTTGGAGGTGTTTTCAGTGGAGGTAACGGCCTCTAGTGTGCTAAACCCCCGCGCTCTCCAAGAGTTTTTTTATTCAAGTCGGTCAAGAACCTTTGAATAAGCCACAATTTGATAGTTTAGTTCTTTGAGATGGGCTTTCGTTACAATCGTAAAGATCAAGCAATTAAAAGGCTCCAATAAGATTTTCTTTCCGCGGCGGAGAATGTGCTAGTTGGGTTGCCTATTCGCTCGCTGCATATGAAAATGCAGACATGTGGGGTATGGCGACGCGCGGTGAAATCATCGGCGGCGTGCTAAACTTTGTCGGCGGCGGCGCGGTGCACGTGTCTAATTCACAGCAGGAGCGCAACTTGAAGAGCGCCCTCGCCGGCCCAGCCTAGCCGGCCCTGGCCAATGACGCGGCATGTGATTCGTGTTACGTGGGTTTGGCGCGCGGCAGCCGCCGCACCGGAGGCAGCCGCACCCCCTTTCCCCAACCCGCGCGCCGCGCGCAGCGGCGAAGCTGCGTAGCACCCCCTCTACTCCGCAGCCCGCGCAGCCCGCGCAGCCCCCGTGGACTGGCGGCCGATATACTGCTGTGATTCCGCGGTGTTTTGTTTCTCTGACAGGCGGAGCGACGAAACGACTAATTGCACCGGAATTCGTCCACCTGGGCTCGAATGATTGTCTGGTCAGGCATAAACTCACCTCAGCTAGTCCCAATGAGAAGCCCGTTCCACGGTGATCATATTCTTGGAACTCGTACTCAGACGCCCTCCTCTTCTCAGCAATATTTGGCTCCTGTTTGGACAAACAAACATCGTGTTTAAAAAGACACGCAATCCTTGCTGTGCCGCTGCTTGGTTTTCCAATAAATGCATTGGAATGTTTGGTGATATAAATTTAGAATATTTTGGATTCAAGGGTTTCTTTTTCTTGAAAAAGTTGCAAACTGTTCCAAATTTTAAGGACAGTTCATAGTTTAGGCTCTAGTACACTAAACCGTTATTTCTCATTTTTCAGATGGATCGATCAAGAAAAATGTTGACGCTGCGCCGAGCCAGGTTGCCAGTGCGACGGCCAAATTCAGGGGGAAGGGGAGGAGGAGGGGGAGGGGAGGAAGAAGGGGTGGCGGAAAAAAGACGCCCACGGGGTTGGCTGCAAATTGAAGTGTGTGAGGCATGTCGTGAAAGGTGCCATGCACACTGCAGCGGCGCGCCGCTTGCGGAGTGCGTCAAGGCCAAGATCGGCGAGTGAGAGGCCCACGGGCAAATCTGCACACTTGAGTACACCACTACTACTACTACTACACTGATTGAGCCGGATTCACCCCTCGCTTCATTCCTCGGGAAAGGGTTACACCGTGCGGGCGTCGAGTCGAATCGCGCGTGAGTGAGCGTGAGGCGCGTGTCACTGCCAAGCCACTCCTATATCGATTCCATCCCCGAAATTAAAAGCAAAACTTCGGCTGCTTCTCTGTTGAGATTTTATTCCGGGAGCGTGCATTCCGTGGATCGCTCGCCTTGCTCGTCTGGGAATGCCGGGCCGGGCCCAGCCGGGCGAGTGAGCGCGCCCGATCAAGACGACGAGTCGCTTTTCATTTTCATTTCGGATCTGCGCAGTTCGCCACCGCGTTTTCATTTTATTATTACGCCCTTAGACGTGAACTGGCCGTGGTGCGTCGCGCGCCCCAGAAAAAAATAAATGGCAACAAAGGGAAAGTCCAAGGTGCCCCGCGCCCGCGCGTGGTTCGGTACGAAGGCGAAACAGCCGTGTCCCCGGGAAATCGCAGAGCTGAGGGGCCAGAGCCTGGACAACATTATTGGTCAAATCGCCCTCCCGGATGCCTAAACGGACAGGGACGGACCTCTTCCAGGGGGTTCAGCCCCTGGGATCAGCCTCTGGAAGGACCCGTCCGAGTTACAGAGACTTCCATGATTGTCAAAAGGGTTAAAGGGGTGATCATGTAACTGCCTCGCTTTACGGTGGCGGCACAAGCACAGCGGTGCGGGGGACTGCCCCGCTCCGCGCGGCCCCACACTACGCGCTGCGTCCACTCCCGTGTCACTGCGTGCTGCCAGACTGATTCCGAGAGTCGTTTCCGTCGCTCTGTCTCTCTCGCACTCATGAGAGGTCCCGCATAGGTGCGAGAGTGACAGAGCGATGAAAACGACTCTCGATGCGCGAGATAGATTCGTCTTACCTGGCCGAACGCCATGGTGCGGGAGCGCGGCATCACTGCAGGCGACGGCGGCGGGGTGGCCGGCGGCAGCCTTTCGTACAGCGTGCGCATGACCCGCACCGGCGTCGGACTCCCCAACCTGGAGCCGCCTGGCCAGGTCCCTTCGGCAGTGGCAGGCTCCCCGCGGCGAGGAGACAGCGGTGCCCTAGGCGAATTCGGCGACCTCGGCGGGATCGGCGACTTTGGTGGGATCGGTGATCCCGGCCTCGGCGAGCTGGGCTGACCCGGCGAGCTGGGCTGCCCCGGCCCCTTGCCCGCCCCCCCAGGGGCTCCTGGGCCTCCAGAACCGCCAGAAGATCCCGCAGCTGCAGGCCTCCCAGCAGACATGGTCTCACCCCTAGTGATGTAGACGTTCAACTCTTTGATAGCGATCTTGAAGTCCGTCGGGACGGACATGCACTCTGCGAACGCTGCTGCGCCCGGCGTGCGCTCCGCAGCGACTGGCCCGGGGCGCGAGTCCAGGCGGTGCGGGCTCCAGGGGGTGGCAGCGAGGCGCCCCGCGGCAGGCGGGAGCAGGGGGCAGGTAGCAGCAGGCAGCAGCCGCAGCAGCGCCGAGGCGGCACCGAGGCGCCCCGTCGGCAGGGCTGTTGAGCCTCACCCGGGGTCTGCCGCCCCGCCGTGGGGCGTTTCCTGGAATCGGGTCCATTGCACAGATGGAAAATACTCGGTGTGCATTGAGGGAGAAGCTTCGGCTCCGGTCAATGAAAAGCCGGTGCAAGCTCGCTTACCACGAATTTGCCACGTCGTTTTGAATGCTAATGATTGGCAAGCCTGGACCTGAATCACTCCCCCGCTTTCTGTGAGTATTACCAAAAATGGACGCAGGGTGACCGATCGGTACATTTGCTGAGCAGAGTGAACGCCAGTAAGCGGCTGGCCCGCACTCGTCTTGTTTATTCCGGTGGGAGAAGGGGAGGGGGAGGAAGGGGAGGGGCACCTTGCCTCCTTCGCCGAAATGACAACATTGGCCATGGCCGTGCCGTGCACTGCCCGATTCCGAATGTTCGTCTCTCTCTTGCCCCCCTGCGGCACGCCCGGGGACGCCGCATGAGTGCGAGAGAGACGCAGCGACGAGACGATCCTGCAGAATGAGGGGGCTGTCGGGCGTTCTGACGCGCCACGCCGCGCCACTCAGACCCATAGACCCACGCTTCACCGCCCCTGCCGCTGCATGCCACTCCCGACAGCGCGACCCGGCCGACACGTGCACAACTTTTTATGAGGCTTGATTGAATGGGTTCCGCTCCCCCGAACTTCGGCCTAAATCGGGGCCAAACCGCGCTTCTGCATTCTAAAGGTGTGTGTCGAGGTGACCAGCCTGGCCACACGCCGCGGCCACACGCACGGCCTCAGACTCATATTTGCCCCGGTCACCACGTCGGAAGGAGCTCAGGCTTCGCACGAGTACTTCGCAGAATGAACAATGGGGCAGAAGAGACCCCCTCTACGCGGGTCCGAAAAAGCTGTTGATGAACTGGAGCGGCGGAGACTCGCCAGACTTCAATCAAGTAGGCAGTCTAGCTCATTTGGGATCGAGCCTGGCCTCGACGTGTCTTAAAGTGTGACTCTCCCCGCGGGGGGTGTCGCAGCGTTGGTTGCACGGCATGGCCGGCCAGGGTGAGCGAGGTGGCGGGGCGGCGGGGCGACGGGGCGGCGGGGCGGTGCCCATTGACGCTGCGTGTGTTAGTGACGGCGCTGAGAAAGGGGCAAAGATTCGCTCAGCAGAAAGTTTGGACCTCGATCTGCAACCAATTTGAAAGGCCGTACACGATTTGCGCCGCGTCTACCTGAGAGGACGGGTGGCGCTAGGGAGCGGGCGGGGCGAGGGCCGGTCACAAAGCGACCAGCCGCCGGACGGCCCGGCGTCTTGCCTACCCATTCTGCCGGCCCCGGCCCCGGTCCCCGGGTTACCGATCCGGATTTCCACGCGGCGCAGGTAGGCGCGGCGCATATTTAATCCTCCCATTCGAACAGCAATTTTGCCGTCTCTGCCAAAATAAAAATAAGACGTGGCACACACACGCGCGCGCGCTGCACGGTCCCCGGGGAGAAGTCGATTGCACCAGACGATGAGAGTTTTGCTCGGAGAGCAATCAGCCCAGCCCGCCCGCCATCAGTGCCGGCAAGTGTTGTTTTGCATTCACCCGTCAAGAGGGCCAGCCGGACGGTGGTCAGCGCAAGGCGTCGATGGGGTCTATGGTGCATATGGGTATTGCCCCCCCGCCCCCCGCCCCCCTCGCCGGCCCGTGCCCCCCCCCCCCTCTTGATTATTTACCCAGGCTTCAGTCAGAAAACGCATCGAACGCTGGTGGCCCGAGGTTCGTTCTGGCTACCGGCTCTGGCCGCGCTGCCAAGGCGCATGGCCTGCATTGTCCGCGCGGGCACAAGTACCCCCCCCCCCCTCCCTCCCTCCAGCAGCGCCAGCAGCGCGGCGGGCCAAGGCGGGCCTTGCCGGTGTCCTGCAATAAGCGGTCCGGCTCGACGCACCACCTGGGCAAGAAAATGTTGTGCGGCAGCAATCTGTCCCGTTCTCCGAACCAAGCACGACCGAATCGGCGGTTTTGTTTGCGACCGCCCTTTCAACTGGCTTGTGCCTCTGGTCAGTGGTCGCTGCCACTGCTGACTGCAAATAGTGGTTGACTTTTCTAAAAAGAGGGCCTTCCCTTTTTTGGTGTGGTTGCAAACTGGACACCAATTATAAAGCGTCAATGAAAACTAAACTGTGTGTAGAGTCCTACTTTGAAATGGCCTTTAAACCTTGATGCCGTACTCCTGTTTCACTGGATTCCCTTGCAGGTCATGATTACAGGGAGGTCGGCCATGGCAGCAGTAAAAGTGCACAGCGCTACCACCCCCTGACAAAAAGCGTGTGTGTACCGCTGTAATCGACGTGGCTTGTGGCGCTGCGCAGGCTGCGCACACACGCGCGTGGCTGGACCCTGTCATCAAGTGATCCGCTTCGCCAACACAAAGGCGTGGGGGTTGCGGCGGACGAGAACGCGCTCGGGAAACGGGATATTCCGATCGGAATGGATGTGTTGATAAAATCCGGCCGCGGCAGCCAGTCTCCGACTATGAAACCAACCGCTCTGATCTTGGTAGACTAGGGTCAGGCCCTAGAGCAGTGCTTTTCAGCCTTGAGGTCGAGACCCCATTGAGGGTTTTGGAATGGTATTTTGGGGTCACGGCTGGCTTCCTTATTATTCGGTTTTAATATGTCTTTGCTTTCGCTTGAGACTGTGAGCGTGTTCTAACTTGATGCCGCAGCCCCCAACAGTAGCGCTGGGTAGCGCTCCTCCACCACAGCTCTCCACCACAGCCCTCACCACAGCCCTCCACCACCGCAGCCCTCCTTCACCACAGCCCTCCACCACAGCCCTCCGCCGCAGCCCTCCACCGCAGCCCTCCACCACAGCTCTCCACCGCAGCTCTCCACCTCCACCACAGCCCTCCACCACAGCCCTCCGGCGCCCCCGCCACCCCGCGCCCTTGGGCGCGACTCCCCGACGAGGTCCCCAGGGCCAGGAACGGCGTGCCGGTGCATCCCACCACCTGTTGCTCCCCCAGCCCTGCCAGCATGCTGCCAGCAACAGGCCTGCGGTTCGAGCCAAGTGCGCGGGCGCGGGGCGCGGGGCAGAGGTGCGCCGAAGAAGGCGTGGCGGGGGACCGGGAACACTTCGTCCACTGCTCTGCAGTAAAGCGAAAGTGTCGTGTTTTGATGCATTGCTAGCATACGAGTGAACTCACTCCTTCCTTACATCAAAGCGTTTATCTTCTGCTTAGTACTAGAAATTTGTTGGCACTTTTAAAATTATTTTTAGTAACTTGACAGTCACAATGGCGGAAATTGTTGGCACTGCGTCGGGCCGCAGTACTCTAACCAGGAGGAGCTTGTGGCACGAAAGGTAGAGTGTTGTTTTTCGAGTAATTTCCAGACTTACAGCGAGTGAAGGCCAGGATAAAAGACCAGGGTTTGAAACTGTTCACGGCATCTTTATGGCAAACCGTGCTCCACTGTTGCAGGAGTCATGACCTCCCTGATGGCACTCTGCCCTAGGTTGACAAAAAACAGCGTTTACTTTTCCGCCTCGCGTCAATTTTCTGCGGTCTTGCTGGGCTCGAGGTCCCCGGCCCGCCTCGTGGGGGCGAAGTCGTGGACGATCTCGACGGAGCCCTGCTCGAAGCTGAAGTCGCCCAGACGGTGCAGGTTCTCGATGCTCAAGCGGTTCCCGCCGCGAATGACGTCCTTGGCGACGAACAGGACGTACGGGTGGGCCTCCTCGGCCTGCACGTGAGAACAGGGCAAAACCGTCATTTTCCTCCCTGGTTTGAGGTTTGAGTGGAGGCCCGGCCCACCCACCTGGTGGAAGGTGGTCTCGAGGTCGGTGGCGGGCATGTGGATGTGGTGCACGGGCAGGGACATCTCGGGGAGCGCCAGGAAGCGGGCGGCGCTCAGGGTGAGGGCGGCCTTGGGGACGGCGCTGTTGATGAACTCGCGGAGGGGCTGCAGGTATCCGTTGGCCGGGTCGTAGATGCTCTTGATGCCCCTGCAAACACAACACCGACATGACTCTCGGACGCCACCGCCAGCCGACTCCACGCACAACACGTACTTGGGGACCACGAAGGCGCTGATTTCATCCTTGTTCCTGAAAGCCGCTACCACGCACTTGTTGAAGACCGCGTCGATGCCGCCCTTTTCCCCGACCAGGTAGTCGATGGACGAGAAGGGAGCGCCTAGAAAAAGACGGAAACATTAGTGGCTGCACGGAGCATATTTACCCCGGGTGGACGATGGCTCACTGTACAAGCCGACGGTCTTGGCGTCCTGCTCCAGGGCGATCGTGGTGGTCAGGGCCGCCAGGGCCAGCAGGACGGCGACGACGGCCTCCATGACTGTGCTGCTGCAACTTAACCCGCGCACTGCACCCCGCCCGGCCACCACCGGCGGCTTATATTCGGCGGGGTCATCGCGCCGTGCTCGGCCTGGCTAGCCTGGCTCGGCCGTGCTGCTGGCCGCAGCAGGCGGCGGCCGATAGGTGCCTCTAGTCCGTCCACGTGCGCGGCGTGCGCGGAGTTATCGCCGCCCTGCAGGCCCATTCGGGGAGGCGTCTTCTGTCTCTCTCGCACTCATGGGGCGTCCCGCATAGGTGCGAGAGAGGCAGAGCGACGACTCTCGGAATCAGTCCAACTGCCCGGGTGCCGGACGGCGGGCGGAGATCTGGAGGGTCGCGAAAGGAACGAAACTTCCATGGCGGCGATGCTGACGCGGTGCTCCGGTCTGTCCGGAGATCATTACAGATGCTTCTAGAAACGGCGGATTTGGGCAAAGACTTTGTCCCTGCAAGTGGGCCCCTGCAGGTAGGCAAACCGCGATACCTTGCCCCTCCCTCAGGCCGTTTCTGGGTCCGCCCTGCTCGTCTGCGAAGAGAGAATGCCGCGGGGCCCACGGCCTTCCGGCGCGACGGTTCGAACGCGAACAAGCGAGAGCGTGGCGTCGTCGTATTGCGCGTTGCCTTTGTTGACAGCGCCCGGGGCACGGCTAGGTGTTACTCCACTTCGATGGAGTTTCCACTTGTGCGACGCCGGCCTCGGCAGCGCCATCTCTCCGGTTCCGCAAACTCGCTGACTCAATCTGATCGAATTACGCGCTTGACCATACAGCATCAGCGCCTTAAAACGCTGACTTGTCGCCCCGCCCCGCGCCCCGCCGCGCGACTGATCTGGATCACGGCCAGCGCGTAGAGGGTAGCGGGGTAGCGGGGTCCAAGCGGGGAGCAGTGGCTGTTGTCTCTCCCGCACCCTCGTGGAACGCACCACGAGCGCGAGAGAGACAGAGCGTCGAAGGCACTGCCACTCTGCTAGCCACGCAGGATTCCTGCTGCGGGAGGGGACGGTACTTTGCGCTACCACACAACTCTGTCCGTATGCAATTTCGGTCCTCCTGAACTGTGCTACCGGCCGTTGACCCCGTTAGGACAAAACTCCGACGTCATGCACGGAAAAAAAGGATTAGTTGTGACAACTAACATGTTAGTTGAAAAGCGTCCAAAGAAGATTTTAGTTTCCACGACTAAAAGTTTGCTGCTCGAACGAATTTATAAGTTGGAACGACTAAAAAACTACAGTTGGCTCAAGGATAAAGTTGATTGTGCGTACACTATGTTAGTTGTGAGGATTAACACGACCGTCACGGAAGAAAATAAACCACGCACAGAAAAAAAATCTGCGGCGGGAATCGAACTTAGGACCTGTCGCTTGTCAATCAGAGACGCTGCCCACTGCGCTGCGGACATTCTTAGGAGACCCGACTTTCGGGCGATCATTTAATCGTCGCTTGTCCTAGCATCGGTCAGTTTGCTGTATCAGCGTCATTGGTCATTCTCCCGCTATCAGCTCACCACAGCGCAGTGGATAGCCTCAGCAGCTCTCAGATCACAGATTCCGCGATCGATACCCGTTGAAGGTTTTTCTTATACGAAGCTTCTTTTCTCTCGTGACGCTCATGTTAGTCATCACAACTAACATAGTGTAGGCACAATCAACTTTATCCTTGAGCCAACTGTAGTTTTTTAGTCGTTCCAACTTATAAATTCGTTCGAGCAGCAAACTTTTAGTCGTGAAAACTAAAATCTTCTTTGGACGCTTTTCAACTAACATGTTAGTTGTCACAACTAATCCTTTTTTTCCGTGCATGACGTCAGCCAGCCAGGAGCCCTCGCCGAGTCGTCCTGGCGAAACCAGTCGCGCTTCCCGTCGCCGCATCCATGTCGCTGCACCGGGTGGCGGGCGGTGCCGGGCGGTGCCGGGTCCAGCAACCATGCCCCTCCCCCTTTCTCCCCCTCCTCGCTACTCCTCGCCACTGAGCTGGTCGCAGCCGCCCTCTCCCCGCGGCCACCGCGGCCACCGCGGCGTGGCTGGCGCGGTGGTTCAGTTCCGCTCGACAAAGGACACCCAATGACGACCGCCGCGGTGCTCCTCGTCGTGGCCGGCGTGTGTGTGGCGGTGGGCGCGCGCCCCTGCGAGCAGCACGAGAAGTGCGTGGCCCTGGCAGTGTGCCCCTCCCTGCGCCGCCTCGCCGCCAAAGGAACCGCCCTGGACGCCGACGGCAAGGCCGCGTTGCGGGCCGCGCAGTGCGGCTGGGCCGCGGGGGACGCCGCCATGCCGGAGGTGAGCACTTGCTCGGGTCCTCCTCGCCGGCCACGGTCGGCGGCCTCCTGGCGTGCAGTGTAGCCGGTGTCTGCCACGCTGGAATGTCCGCAGGTGTGCTGCCCCTTGCTGCCGCTGGACGAGTGCGCGCTGCCGAACCCCGACAGGCTCCTCTTCAGCACCACCGTCCGCGTGTTCGAAGCCCCGTGGGTGGTTCGCCTGGCTTACCGCTGTAAGTGCGAGAACAGCGTTTTTCGAACAGCGGTCTCGGCGCTCAGTCTCCCTCGCACTGCTGATTCGCCCCTCAGGGGTGCGAGAGAGACAGAGCGGCCAAGCGCTAACCGCGGTCCAGCTGGCGATACGTGAAATAGGCTTATGCCGATCGCGGCCTTGGCTTGACACTATCGCAGTGCCGTGGCCGCGGCCGTGGCGTCGTTGAGGCTGGCTCTGTTAATGGCGCACCCGAATTGAATGGTGTTTGTGCTGGCTGCAGCGGGGAAAGGTTCGCTGGAGTTCGGCTGCTCGGCCTCGCTGGTGACCGACCTGTACCTGGTGACGGCGGCGCACTGCGTCGTGCCTCGCACCCCGTGAGTACGCCGACGATCGAGTCCGTCGCGACGCCGGCCCGCACCTCACGGCCACGTTCTGGTCCTTGCTGCAGCGTGTCAGCGCGCCTGGGCGAGCTGGACACCGGCACCGAGCAGGACTGCTCCGACGTCGCGCAGGACCAGCTGCTGTGCGCCGCCCCGGCGCTGGACGTGGCCGTGGACACCGTCATCGAGCACCCCGGGCACGCCGAGCACGCGGACGGCAGGAACGACATCGCCTTGGTGCGGCTGCGGCGCGCCGTGAGCTTCACCGACGACGTGCGCCCCGTGTGCCTGCCCGTGGACGGCGTCGTCGTCCCCCCGACCCGCGGCCACCGCTTCCTCGTGGCGCACGGCTGGGGCACGCAGGCCAACAACGGTGCGTTGCAGCGTTGGAAGTACGGAGAATCCCACACTTGAAATGCGCGGAGGGGTGGAACTTTCATCCTCCGCACTTGGAAGTGCAGAGTTTGCAGTCTCCACGCTTCCGCGCTATGCCAAAAGAGGCAGAGGCTTTCAGGGCTACTCCACAGTTGAAGTGTGGAGACTGCAAACTGGAGAATCACTCCGCACCAGAGAGAGTGTAGTTCTCCACAGTGTAGCTCTCCACACTTGGTTTGACAAGCGAGCCGCGCGTTCACCGTCCTCGCCCTCACCTCCGCGTCTCTGCGTGTTGCAGGCAGCGCCGTGATGACGAAGGGCCAGCTGGTGGCGCTGACGCTCGAGGAGTGCGCCACCAGGTTGCCGGCCGCGCGCCGCGTCGACGCCGCGCTGCAGCAGTGCACCGTCCCCAGCCACCGCTCCAACGCCTGCCGCGGCGACCCGGGCGGCCCGCTGACCGGCGCCTCGGTCCTGACGGGAAGCGACTCCCGAGCGGTGGAGTCCCTCGTGGGGGTCTTGTCGTCCGAGGCCTGCGACATCGGCGCCAACGACGGCGTGCCCACGGTCTCCACCCGCGTGGCCCCCTTCGTGCCGTGGATCTTGGCCAGGCTCGCGGAAAACGGCAGCGTGCACTGACGCGCAGTCGTTGCTTTTCAATCAATTTGCCTTTAAAAAAAAAAAAAAAAGGCTTGTTTTTCGGACAGTATGAATGCGTTAAATAATGTTTCTTCTAGTCCGGCGATTTTGAAGTTTTATTCTATCTCAGAGAACAAACTGTGCACTCTCCATCACTGCAATAAAATATCGAGGCACGCATGAGTCCTTCATTAGGCTAGGTTGACATTCTGACTTGGTGAGACGTCAGACCTCAGACCTCTACAGAGCATTCCTTTAAGGCGATTGCCCCCCTAAATTTAAGTTAACGGATTAGGCTCAAATTTGGAACACATGTTGGGAACTCAGTTATGATGCCCCTCTCAAATTTTTATGACGCTAGTTCAAATTTGAACAAAGTTATTGAACCCTGAAATGTCCAAACTTCGTGCAGCTCACCCGTCAAAAGTACGATACGTGGATCAAAACCAATTACATATTCGTGCAGTAAAAATGAGCGCCTATTCAGTGTGACCCCTCCGAGGTTCGTGCCTACACTCCTTGTAGTCCAAATAGGTGGTCAAAGTTGGGCCAAAATTGGTTCAAAGTTGTACTCCAGATTTGAGAGACATGATCTCGGAATTTCATTCCCCAAGGGGTCACACTGAATGCGCACGTCTTTCCCCTACACAAATCTACCTTCAGATTTGTTCTATCATTGATACTTTTTGAGGGTGAGTTGCACAAGTAAAGCACTGTTTTTCCCCCCCTTTAACCCATTTTGAAGTTGGCGGTCGTTTGGCGGGGCTCTGGACAGTGGCGCGGTGGCAGGTATCCGAACTCGGTGCAGGCCGGCCGGTGCGGCGCGACACATTTATGACAGACAGCTCGCCTGCAGCCGGGCATTGTCTTCGCCGCCTTCCCCCTCCCCTCTCCCCCCGCGGTAAGCCGGAGCTGCAGACGCTGACCTGGAGCGCGCCGGCTGAGGTGCCGGGCCTGCTCGGACTCCGATCCAGCCAGTCCACCAACGAGTCCCTCGCGACTTGAACGCGTCGCGCTGGCCACAATTTGGCGAGAAGGACGACGCGAAGGGAAAGGGGTGACACGTTTCATCCTCAGAGTCTGATAAGAGGAGCTGAAGGCCGTAGAAGAAATTTTATCCCCGATTTCAAATCGATGTTGAACTGGTGTCAAAATGATCGTAAAAGAAAAAGGAAATTGTTGGTACCCAACCGCCACCACTCAGTTGCAACATTCAAATTTTAAATTTGGAAACTGGAGCGCATCGGACTCCACAGTGAGCCGCGCGCCTCGCCAGTCGGCCACTGCTTCCCCCTCCATGCCTCGCCTCGGCCGTCTCGCTTGCACTGCGCGGGTGAGACAGAGACGGACAATGACATCTGTTCGAGCGGCCCGGGCTGCACCGGCCGCGCCGCACTGTCGCCGCACTGTCTGGCCATCGACACTGCCAAAACGCACCGCGCTGTCCGTCACCGGCCAGAATGCACGGCAGGTATAGGGATTTCCACCCAGAACTAGGACCCTTTTATTTTTTGGAAGTACCTGACTGTAGTGCCATCTCTCGGGAGAAGGCTACACTACCTGAACGAAAATGGCACGGAGTATTCGCAAAAACGACTCCCCGTCAATACACAAAATAAGTTCCTTTAGCCATCGCCGGAGTCCGGCAGGGGGGCAAGCGCCTTAAGCTCTAGCTGAAACCTTGACACCGTTTTTTTTTTCTTCTTCTTCAAAACTGAGCCTATGCATTTTGAAGTGTGAAGTGCTCGAGCCAAAGGCGCTGAGCGTGACGGTGTCGCTTTATCAGCAGTAGTTGCCGTGATAGTCGCAGATATGTCCTCGCTTCGCGCGGTTCCCGGATAAGCACTTGCTTCCGGTGTGGGTCGCTTGGACGGCAACAGCTTCGGCCCACTCCCGCTGGCTTTTGAGAGTGGCTCAGAAAAAGGGTTTCGAAATAACAAGCGCGTTAAGGATTTCGTTGGTATTTCTATAATCTCCACTCTTTTTTTACATTGTTGATACAAGCGATTTCTCGCACTTAATACAAAACTGATGATCACCCATTCAATCCTACTGTTCCCCCGCAACGGTTTTTTCCGCCTCAGTCACCTTGGTGTGTGCACTCTTGAGCGAGCCTGCTGTTCTTATCATCTTTACTATACAACCTACATCCAAATGATCGAGTGTAGCATTCTAATCCTAATCGAAATTACAATACGACTAAATTAAAGAGGCACGTCCGAAATATTTTATTGGTTCCCCGCATCCTGTGAGCTGCGCCACCAGCGAAAAGTCGATACGAGGTGCGGCCATTATCACGGCTTTGCCTTATCAGCCGCGCGGTTCTAGGAACCGCACGTCCGGTTTGGCGGAACACAATACGCCGCGGAATCTTGATCTACCCAATATTTTCGACTTGCAATGACAAGCCCTTCTGTCCGTGGACTGCTATTTTTGTTTCTAGGATGCAGCGGTTGCTTGACGACACTAATGGCATACTAATGGCATACCAATGAGATGCCAAGGGGCAGCCTGGTGCTGACGGACGGGTGCCTGCTCGCGGCCTAGGTAAGCCCGAGGGCAAGCCAGCTCACCCTAGACATACCGCACTGATCCATCACAATGACTATCACAAGGACGTGGCCACGCTTCAAGTCCACACTGTAGCAAACACTGCAACATCATCAAGTTCATTACGCGCATCCCAAAACGTTCGGTCTCCTAGTCCGAGCAGCACATGCGGCAGCAGCAGAAGCAGCAGCCGGCGAGCAGCCCGCACGTGAGCAGGTTGCAGTCAGGGCCGTCGTCGCCGTCGTCGCGCTCCTGCACCACCACCACGGGCGGCGGCGGCCCCGGCTGCGGGTAGCCGTACGCCTGCGGCGGCGGCGGCGGCCCCATGGCGGGAGGGGGCGGCGGGTACGCGTAGTACCCCTGCGGCTGCTGGTCGTATGGCCCGCTCATCCTGGCGAAAGGGAGACACAAATCACTGGGGCTCGCAGTGGGGTGGTATACTCCTGCGAGCGTGCATTCCAAAAGTGTTATTGGCTCTTATATGAACGGCAGTGCCCTAGTTACTGCATGGCCGCGAGCTCACTTTGTCGCTCAGAATAACTGCTGAGCAATGAAGGGACTCGCGTGGTACATATTAATAGCCGACTAGTTATCGACGCTTGGACTTGTGGCGAGGGGGGAACAGCTTTACACATTCATTGTACAAAATTTGACCACATTCCACATTCAGGTGGCAAAAACGCCTGTAAGTAGGCAACAAGTGTGGCAAAAACGCCAGAAATCTTGCACATTCTTGCACATTCACACAATCATTGTACATAAAATTTGACAGTGGGTCACCCCTCGACTTGTGGAGTTAGCAGTCCCGGCACTTCAAGTGTGGAGAAGGTCACAGGGCTCAGATCTCTTGGCATGGCGCAAGAGAACTCTACGCTTGAAGTGCGGAACTGCAAACCCTGCTCTTCCAAAAGTGCGGAGACAGAAAATGCAACACGGCCAGTGCGGAGTTCCACTCGGTTTCGCAGTGCCGCGACCGCGCGGACCATGGCGTGGACGGCACGGCGCGCTCACCTGCTGCAGTGAAGTGGCGGTGGGTGTGCCGGCAGCTGGCGATGCCAGTCGAGAGGGCGAACGGGTGGCCTGGCGGTGCGGAGAGGAGAGGATGAATGCTGGCGTCCTAGGCCCGCGAGCTGCTGCCACTGGCCCTGCGAGTGACGGGCTAGCTTGGCCAGCCTGCGATACCCCCCCTCCCCCACTCCTTCCACCACCCTGTAGATTAGTCCCCTGTCACCTTGTGTCGCTATCTCGAGAGCGGTCTTTGTGTACAATAATGATTCAGCGGCCGAGTGGCGTAGGCCAGTCTCCCTGCTAGTTCCTGGAAGAGCGTCGCTAGGACGTAACATCCTGTCGGATGCCTTTGACGTTGAGGCTTGCAGAGTGTCGGTGGCGCCCGGTGCCCGCTATGCATTCACTCCACGTAAGCCGGCCGCGCCGGCCGGGCCCAGGCCGGGCAGCCCCGTCACCGGACGGCTTGTCTCGTGCACGGGATGCGCGCATGCGCGCGCCGAACGAAGTGTTCCTGGTATTGATACGAGGGGACCAAGGCGACCGAACAGGAGCAAATGAGGCAGAAAAAGCTGACATTTTCCACGGAGCCCTCTCATTAGATAAAGTTTCGGTGTGAGACATTGCTTCGATTTTCACTGATAATACTACATCTATTGTACGGAGGTAGCGAGGTTAGCCCAGTGGATCGAACGCGCCATTACACAGGAAGCCCTCAAAAACAAATCAACGAGGCAACGATGCATAACGACCTGGCGCACTCGTCAAAACCCGACGCCGCGGACCCTTCCAATCACCGACACATCAAGCTGACACTCGCCGTACAGCAAGGCACCTCGGCCCTTTCGAGCTCATGGCAAGGTGGGAACTTTATTCTAGAAAGAAGCAGTAGTGTCTGAGACCGCTTCGATGCGATCCGTATATGGGCCGGGCATTGCGCGTATTTAAAACGAACAAGATGCGTTTCTTGGCTTTTCGTTCATCCAGAAGAAAAGCGAAGCACGACGGAAAAAAGTTTGGCATGGCAAAGCTGCGAGTGTACCTGTACTGACACGGAATTTGGCCTCCAGTGGTGGGTTCGTTTCCGACCTCTACTGTAAATATCCCCCCCCCCACACACACACACACAAACACACTCGCCGTTAACGAAGCGCCCATGCTTTGATGTGCATTGTTAACGTGACAAGCTGCCAGTGCACGGTAAACTGAACCCCGATTCGCCACATACTCGGCCGCCTTTGGCCCCTTTGGCGCCTTCGGCGGCGCCTGGCGCTCCCAGAGCAGCAGAATCGGCGGCAGGGTGGATGCCCAGCGCCCTCCGCTCGTCGACACGATGCTCCTCCCGGTGCTCGGCCTGCTGGTTGTGCTCGCGCTGCCGGGCGCCGCACGCGCCTGGCCGTCGCCGCCCGTCCCGGACGACCCCCCCGAGGCCGTGTGCGCGCTGTCACTGGTGTCGCCGCTCCTCGGCCAGCACGTGTTCGTCGTCGGGGACCTGCCCTGGCTGGGCGCCTTTTTGCGCCGCCTGCCCGGCACAGTGGCGGTCTCCCTCCTGCCCAGCGACACCGACCTGTGGAGGGACGCCACGCTCCACATGGCCAAGCAGGACGCCCTCGTGGTGGTGGTGGCGGACTCCCCCGCCGCCCTGGTGCAGGCGGTGCCCGTCTCCACCATCCCCAGGCTGGCCCGGGTGGTGATGTGGGCGACCGCCCGGCCGGACACCAACGTGTCGGCCGTGGTGCAGGGCCTGTCCTGGAAGTGCCTCTCCAACACGCTGCTCGTGCTGGCCGCCCGCAACGGCAGCGCCACGGTCTACCGCAACACCTGCAGCTGCGGGGACGCCTGGCCGTCCCTCGGGAAGGAGGTCAACAGGTGGGACCCCGAGCGCGCCTGGCAGCATGGCTGGCAGCATGGCTGGCAGCATGCCTGGCAGCATGGCTGGCAGCATGGCTGGCAGCATGGCCCGGACGAGCTGCTGATGCCGACGTGCCACCAGTGGCGACCTCCCGTCGACGGCGTGCACACGGCGCTCGTCGAGTCGCTCTTCTTTTCAGAAAGTTGGAACCGCTCGGCAGACCGCGCGGAGCAAACTGTCCGTGAGTTCTCCAAGTTCTCCGGCGTTGCGTTGACGATAACCCGGACGAACGGCAGCAGTCAGTCCTTTTTGAAGTACCTCCACGCCGCGAGGTGCCGCCTGGACGTTGTGGCCAGGCTTTCCAGGCTGAGCACGGAGAACGACTTCTGCGTGTTCCCCTGGGACATGCGGCGGTCGCTGGCCGTGGTGCCCAGAGGGTACGGGGATGAGCCTGGCGGGGGCATAGCCGCGCTAGCGGGCGTGTTCCCCTTCTCGCTGTGGGGCATGACGGCCACGTCCGTCTTCGCGGTGGCCCTGGCCGTGCTCGCGTCGCGAGGCCGCGGCCCGCTCGCCACGGACGCCGGCAAGGCCGTGCTGCAGGCTTTTGCGCCACTGCTCGGCCAGCCTCCCAGCCAGCCAGTGCAGCACCCTGCTTGTCCTGCTTGGGGAAGCTGGCTGCTGGCGAGCATCGTCATCTCTGCCTCGTACCAGGGGCAGCTCCTCAGCAGGCTCACCGTTGGCAGTCCTGTCAGCAACATCAACTCTGTGGAGCAGCTCGCCGCCAGCAACCTCACCATCCTGGTGCTCAGCCCGGGCCACGAGGCCATGTGCAGCCTGCAAGACTTGGGGCTTACGAACAGGGTGCAGTACTACCAAGCCCAGGGCATGGGCTTCAAAGACGTCCTGAGCCACATCGCCGAAACACGGAGCGCCGCCACACTGTTGCCGGAGGCGATGATGGCGGACTGGATGGCGCAGTTCCCCGGCCTGCACACGTTCCCGCTGCCCTTGGAGCACTCCGTGACCGACTTGGCGGTCATGTGCGGCTCGCCGCTCCAAGCGCGCCTCCGAGACTTCCTGGGGCGCTGCCGCGCCGCGGGGTTGTGCGGCGGCACGCGGGCGGCCATGAGGGCAGCGGCCAGGGCGGACGCGCTGCCCGCCACCACGTACCGGCCCTACCGGCCCCTCCGGCTGAAGCACGTCCAGCCCGCCGTCATCGTCCTGCTCGCCGGCTACGTCGTCGCCGGCCTCGCCCTGCTGCTGGAGACCCTGGTGTTCACGCTCCCGTCTCCGTGACGCGGCGGCCCCCTCCCAGCCAGCGTCTCAGACCGCCCTGGCACCATTGCACCAATTGCTTGATTGCACCTTGCAGGAGTCACGACAAAAAGGCGGTCACAAAGCGGATCATAAGCGCTCGTTGGACTGCGTTTTACGTAGTAGGATTCATTCATGCGAGGAGTTCACTTCTGTATTATGTGTATTGTGTTCGAAGACTTGAATTTTCTTGATTTCATTAAAAACCGATAAACAAAGCTGGTGTAATGTCTTCTTTCGGCAGTCATACCAGAACTTCACGAGGGGGAGATATTAAGACAATTGACAATGGAGCAACCGTGGCGTCGACAATCTCCTTCACACACGCATCTTGCAGGCAAAGAAGTACTTGCAGGCTGACAACAGAACCTAGAGCATAAACCAGTGTTAATTGGAAGATAGTCATGTGTAGATCAAAGGCGAAATAACCATTTGCTCTCAGAAATTCATTGGCACTCATGAATTTCATTCGAAGTTCTTCAAGATTCACCTGAAATTCAAAAACTTGCATAGGCTTACCCCAGTGACAGCCTCACGGTTGCTGTAGCTGATACCGAAGAGGCTGAAGCTTGGGTCTTGGCCACTCTCGACGCTCGCGAGCAGCCACTGCAACTGAGGGATGCCCTGTTCAATTAAATTTGCCCTCTTCATTAAATTCTGGAAACGTATGGCAATCGCATGCTGACCTCTTTCTCGGCACTCGGGTCAACTATGTCACGGTGTTTCAAGAATAGGCACTGTAAATCCATGGTCAGGGACTGGAACTGCAACAACAGAACTGTAGTATTACACTGGGAAAAGGGGAAGTTGGAGCTGTTATTTCGGACGCCAGTGCCTGCATACGGGCGAGTATAATGACGCCGCATTCTCTGCGAGATATGCGCTTACTCGACCGCTGGAGTAAACTAAGGGGATTTTCACCCTGAGCGAGGCTAGGGTACGAGGGTCCCAGCGGCGTGCCGAGCGTTTTTTTGTTTTTTTTTTCTTGTTTTCAGTTTAGTCCAGACCAATTAGAAGTCCGGATGTGCGGCCAGCGTGCGCACCCCTCACAGTGAGGGTCCCTGCTCCATCATGCCGCGCAAGTGATGAGTCCGACCATTCCTCCCTAAAAGTACTTGGAGTCACCTCAAGCGCTGGCCACACACATGACGATGATGACAACCACCGACGAAATGAACATGCCGTGGTAGACCAGCGCGTTCAGCAGGCTGGCCCCCAGCGAGGCGGTGAAAGGAGAGTCGAGCACCGGCGAGCTGAGTGACAACAGGTGCACGATGAGCAGCAACATGCAGGGGCCGTTGACGTAGCAGCACTGGCGGTACATGTCTTGGAGGAGGAACTGGCGCTGGCGAATCGCTCGCACGGCGAGGCTGTCCAGCAGGCGGTTGTCTCGACGTGCCGCCCGTACCATCCTCCTGCCCTCGACGCGCAGGTCGGCGGCCGCGGCGCTGATGACCGCCATCGGGCACGCCACGCGCCAGTGCAGGCAGGCGGCAGCGGCCGTCTGGGCCCCGCACTGGGCGCACAGCACCAGGAGCGAAGTGGTGTCTTTGACGGCGCACAGCCGCACGAGCCCGACCCCATATTGCATAGCGTCCACGCCGTGGACCATGACCGTCATCGCCGTGGTCGCGAACAAGAACCGCCAGCGATCCGCGCGCGGAGGGTGAGCGTCCATGTACTTCTTCTGGCAGTCGAGGAGCACGGCGAGCTCGCGGCGCCGCGGCATGCACACCAGGCACTCGACGAGCTGCACGACCCAGCGGAGCACCGCCATGGGCACGGACTCGGAGAACAGCGCGAGGAGGGCGGCGTGGACGAGCAGGAAGCACGCGCACGAGGCGAGCAGCACCGCCGGGGGCACGGCGCGCACGCCGCCGCCGTGCCACTGCACCGGGATGTAGCCCAGCACGGCCCCCAGCTTGAGGGCCGCCGCCCAGAGGAGCAGGGTGGCGCTGCGGAAGGCCATCGCCGTACTGCACCGAACCAAACCGGGGTGGAGGGGCGACTGACGCAAGGGCCAGCGAGCGTCCAGAGTATTGGTCGATCGGAACTCCAACTACGTGTCACAGCGTAGCCGTTCTCAATGGGAAGGGGTCGGAAGCGGTCAACAACAACATAAAGATGGCTTGCTCGGCCACCCCAAAGAAATGAACTGACGGACATGCGTCGAATAAGTCGCACATGCAGGGGGCGGTGTTGTGGCCGGACGCCTTTGAGGCAGGAGCTGTCACCGCGATGCGACCGGTCGATCGGAGGTTGGGTTGAAGTCGGCAGACACGTGCCTCGACCGCACGGCATCGCAAGCTGCGCAAGCTTACCGAACGTGACCGCTACACTGCAATGAGTGGGGCCGAGACGGGGCGCTGCGCGGAATCGGCGGCCCCAGGATAATGACACCTTGACAAGACTCGACGCCGCCACGCCAAAGATCGTCAACGGGTGGATCGCGTTGGATCGTGCTCTCCAACGTCGGTCCGGGTCGGTCCCGAGCCAAGCCCTGGCGGGCGTGGGCCCGGCCGGCGACTGGCCCAGCTTCGAATCCCGGCAGAAGCCTGCATTTTTGTCGGTCTCTGGCACCTTTCAGGTTCTTGAAAAAGAATATCCACGGTATTTATATGTGCCGTGAAATGTTAGCTGCGGTTGCAGCTCTGAAATCGCGAAAAAAAATTATAGCGCCGCCGGGACTCGAAGCTGGTCAACGGTTTGGGCCAAAACCGGCGCTTCGGTTTGGTTCGGAACCGACCCGAACCGACGTTCGCGAGCACGATCCATCGCGATCCACCCGTTGACGATCTTTGCGCCACGCGTTGCCGCCACTTACACCTGGGCGGAGAAACTCCGGGCGGGTCTTGGGGTAGCTGGCATGGCTGACGTCACGCGCGGATTTTCGAGCTTTTCGAGCCCTGCTGTGACGTCACCGGGCGGCGGCGCACGCTGGCTCACACCTCCCCCCCGCCCTGCGGTGGTGGAGCGGCCCGCTCCCCGCGGCCATGCCGGCCATGGAGGCGCTCGCAGTCCTTGGCGGAGGCCTCTCGCGGACGGATCGGTGGGACCATCTGTGGACCAGTCGCACCAACCATGCAGGCCGCTCTGCTCGCGCTGCTGCTGTTGGCGGCCCTGGGCTTCGACGCAGGTGAGGTGCACGCCGTGCGGCCGTGCACGGTCTGCAAGGTTGACAGCACTGCGGAAGGCGGGAGCGTGTTCGGCGTTCGGTTGGCACAACTTGTGCCGCGAAAACTTGGAACTCTCGTGACTAACAGTGACGTTCCTCCCCCAGTGCGCGGCCAGCGGGCCTGTCAGATGCACGAGCGGTGCATGGCGGTGACGCGCTGCCCGCCGCTGGCGCGCATCGTGGCCAAGGGCCCCCGCATCACGGCCGAGGAGAAGGCCCACCTCAGGGCGGCGCTCTGCGGCTGGGGCGGCCAGGGCGCCCCGCAGGTGTGCTGCCCCCTGCTGCCGGTCGACGAGTGCGGCGCACTCACCTACCCGGACAGGATCATCGGCGGCAACATGACCGTCGTCATGGAGTTCCCCTGGGCGGCGCGGCTGGGGTACCGCGGTAAGTTGCCCTTCCTCTCTTCGAAGCACGCTCTCGGGCTTGTGCTGGACGATGCTCAGCCATCGACGGCAACCTGGTGCAGATTTTGGCGATGGCCTTGTGCTTGGCGACGGCCTTGTGCTTGACGACGGCCTTGTACTTGGCGAGGGCCTTGTGCTTGGCGAGGGCCTTGTGCTTGGCGACGACCCTGTGCTTGGCGATGACCATGTCCTTGACGACGGCCTTGTGCTTGCAGCGCGCGGCGAGGTGAGCTTCCGCTGCGGGGGCGCCCTCATCAGCGACCGCTACGTGGTGACCGCGGCGCACTGCACCGAGGGCCGCCAGAAGCCGTAAGTACAAGTACCGCCAGGACGGCGCTGGCGCCGCGGCGGACGAAGGACGCGCAAAGGCGCGCGGCTGCATGCTCCTCACCCCCGGTACTTCCAACCCGGGTCGGTGAGTCGAGGCCGGTGTCAAAGGCCCGCGCCAGCAGGTTCGGTACCCTCGGTACAGTCCTGTTCGGCAGCAACATGGGGCCCGGCCGGCTGAGGCGGCTCGCGCGCTTTTGGGCGTAGTTAGCACCGCATCGGGGTTGCCTCCGACGCGAGGTTCTAAATGCCCTTCCTCACCGTGTCCTCCAGGGTGGTGGTCCGCCTGGGCGAGCACGACGCCGAGTCCGAGGTCGACTGCTCGACGGTCTCCGGGCGCAAGGTGTGCGCCGGCCCCGCGGTGGACGTGGACGTGGAGGAGGTCATCGAGCACCCCGAGTACGAGAAGAACGCCAAGAAGCCCACGGGGCTCTGGAACGACATCGCCCTGATCCGCCTCAAGCGGCCGGTGGACTTCTCGGACTCCGTCAAGCCCATCTGCCTGCCGTTCGCGTTCCCCACCGGACCAGACGACGCCCCCGTGCCCGGCGACGCCTCGCAGACCGTGGTCGGCTGGGGCCGCATCTCGCAGGACGAGTTCGGTGAGTCCGCGCTGCCAGTGCTGCCTCGCCGCTGTGCGTTGTCCGTGTTGTCACTCCATACTTCCTTGGGCGGAGTAATTCTCCGCACTTGGGCGTGTGGAGTTCGGAGTCCCCACAAGTGTGGAGTAGCTCACAAAGCTACAAGGAGGACTCCACCCTTGAAGTAGTATGGATACTGCAATCTGCACTTCCAGTGCGGAGACAGAAAATTCTGCAGTGTTGGATGGTCACACGAGCCCGTTCCTGTTCCAGGCGAGTCGAGCCGCTACCTGCTCAAGCTGCGCCTGCGCGAGATGGACCACGACCTGTGCCAGGAGAAGTACAAGACGTACCCGAACCGCGTGGACAGCCAGCGGCAGGTGTGTGCGATCGGGCGCAACGGCCAGGACGTGTGCCACGGCGACAGCGGCGGCCCGCTCTCTTCCGTGGTGTCGCAGGGCGGCAGGATCCACGCCGTGCTCAAGGGGGTGGTGTCCTTCGGCCCCAACGTGTGCGCCACCAACGGCGTGCCCGGCGTCTTCTCGCGCGTCACCCACTACCTGCCCTGGATCGTGTCCAAGATTCGATGAAGACGCGGCTACTCGTCTTGTTGTTATTATTATTAGACCAACTGTGATTTATTTAATGTCTGTGTTTGTGTGTTTGCGAGAGAGCCTGGTCTGATTTTATTATTCCCTCGTGGACTCTTCCTTTTGTGTGATGTGTACATTTTGATGTTTTCTTTGTCTTGCCTCTGTGGCGCACGCTGGGCGTCTGAAATTTATTTACACGTTTTGATTAAAAATGACTGTCTTTGGAAGAATTCCGCGGTGTATCTTTCATTCCTGCCGCAACGGCCAACGGCCGTCTCAAAAATAGAAGTGCTCCTCTTTGCATCGAACTACGTCGTATCATGCCATCAATCTTGCCTGAGCTACTTCATGATACAAAGTCAGCCTCTCGTTCGGCTGCTGGACTAACTTTGTTGATAACTCAAGTTTGCCAACTGTAGGCTAGCCCAGCACACCACTGCGGCCAGCCCATCCGGCGGGCCAATTTAAAAAAAAACCGCACTGCCTCGCTCGAGGCCTCGCACGTTGTCGACGGCCACGCCTTTGTGATTGCGATGGAATACAGTTCGATCGCGCGTTGGGAAAACCGCGGCAGGGAAATGGGCGACATCGCCTTGGTTCATCGCGGCTTCGGGTCGGAGCGATAGCGGGGGAATTCCCTCGTCGGCGGGAAGCCCTGACTGACACGTTATTCAAATTAGCGAGATCAGAAAAATAACACAAAAATAAAGGAGTAAAGAGGCGAAGCCGCGCAGACGTCAGCGCGGCGGCAGTAAGTTGATAACACCGGTTTTACCAGCCAGCCTCCTCCAGTGCAGGCCGCTGGATAGGTCGGCCAGGTACAGTTTGAAGTCTGCTTTCCCTCCGCCTCACTGCAGTCTGCCAGCACGGTCTGTCTGCACCAACCACTTTCGTCCGGATTCGCCACTGCCAAACATTCTGAATACGAGGAAAGCCGCTAGACCGCTAGACCCAGCGGGGGGCCTGGTGGGGGGCACTCGCGGCACTCGCGGCACGGGGCGGCGACGCGAGAGAGGAGGGGGGCGGTAACGACGCCGGCCGGCCGGTCCGCAAAGCGCGCAAGGCCAAGGATGCGCGGGGCGGGGCGGGGCAGGGAGGACTGATGTGATGTGAGGCGGGGTGATGCGGGGTGAGGCGGGGTGAGGCGGGGTGAGGCGAGGTGTGGCTGGCCGGCGAGAGCACCATCAGTCCAGGCCTCTTCAGTTCGGCCCGAAGCACTCAGCGATTCGCAATGAGGGGGCTGCGAGTTTTCCTGTTCCTCGTCCTGGCCCACGGTACGTCCGCCGGAGCGGCAACAGCGCCCGGCTTTTCTTCAAAACTGTTTTAAATCACTGTTTTCAAAAACATGATGAATGTGTGTGGGGGCCCGTTGCTGATGTGTCGTGTCTGTTCCAGCGGCGGCCGCCCAGTGGATGCGTCCCGTCAACGGTGAGTGTGCCGCGCCCTGATTACTCCAAGGTCTTCCTCTCTGTCTCTCTCTCACACTCATCGGGCGTCCCGGAAGGGTGCGAGAGAGAAAGCGACTGTTCGAAATGAAGGTGCTTGACGGCGTTGTTGTCCCACAGTGGCGGGCGAGCGGCAGTGCCCCCTCGGCCGGATGTGCCTGCCCCTCCAGGACTGCGCGCCGCTGTCGGGGCTGGCGCAGCGCGGCAAGCAGCCCACCCGCGAGGACGTGCTGCAGCTGCAGCAGGCGCACTGCGGCTTCGCCGGCGTGCACCCCATGGTAGGCATCTCCACGCCGGCGCGGTGCACGCACTTGCCTGTGGAACACGATTCTTGTCGCGTCGCTACCCCGCGCGCGAGGGCAGCCTCCCTTCGCTCGGGCCGAGCACCCCGCGCACGCCGCGCACGCGGTGCGGGGTATAGACGGGTCCACTGCTTGATTGCCCTCGGCATGCCGATGGAGTAAACTGACTCTGCGGCTGCAGGTGTGCTGTCCCAGCGGGCCGAGCGCGGCCGGCGGCTCGCCACCCTCTGCGTCCGGCAGCCCCGCGGCGCTGGCCACCGCCAACCTGCGGCTGCTGCCCCTCGACGAGTGCGGGCCCGTGAGCGCCGACAGGATCATCGGCGGCAAGGAGGCGCAGGTCATGGAGCTGCCCTGGATGGCGCGCCTGGGCTACCGCCGTAAGTCGACCCCTCCGAAAGGTCCCCCAGTGGTCTCGTCGCTCTGTCTCTCTCGCACTCACAGGGCGCTTCGAAGGGGTGCGAGAGAGGCGGAGCGACGAACGGCCATGGCGGTGGCTGTCCTTTTCTTTGGAATCGATGCCATGGCACCGGCACGGTGAAGGGTTGACGGTGTGTGCCTGCCGCAGGGGATGACTACTCCAACGTGTTCGACTACAACTGCGGCGGGAGCCTCATCAGCGACCGCTACGTGCTCACGGCCGCGCACTGCATCAACGAGAACACCGGCCTCATCCCGTGAGTGCGCGCCTCCCCGCCTCCCAGCCAAGAAGAGTCGTTTCGTCGCTCTGTCTCCGTCGCACCCAAGGGGCTCTCCGAAAGGGTGCGAGAGAGACCGAACGACAAACCGCTCCTCTGAATCCCCCGGCTGCTTCCCTGCCCCCCGCTGCCTTTCGTCGGCTGCCTGGTGGCGGACAATGACGGCGTCTTTGACGGCGTCTTTGCGCAGGGTGTCGGTGCGCCTGGGCGAGCAGGACGCCTCCTCGGAGATCGACTGCTCCTTCGTGTCCGGCGAGCAGGTCTGCGCGCCGCCGCCCGTGGACGTGGTCATCGAGCGCATCATCAAGCACAAGAACTACGGCGAGAACCGCTTCCAGAACGACATCGCGCTGCTGCGCCTGGCCAGGGCCGTCGAGTTCACCGGTGAGGACCCACCCCAGCGCGTCGCAGGGGAGTCCCTCCGACAGGCGCACTGCGACATCGAACGGACAACTAACTGACAATGAACACACCCGCTCCTGGACGGCGCGCTGTCGCTTTCAGGTTGTGACGTGCCTCTTTGACGCTCACGTCCGTCCGTGTTGCAGACTTCGTGAAGCCCATTTGCCTGCCGGTGGACGCCAAGGACCAGAAGAAGGACCTGACCGGAAAGAAGGTGATGGTGGCCGGCTGGGGTCGCGTGGCCAACAGGAACGGAGGTAAGGGACGCCAAGGTCATCGTGCGTTGCTCTTCGCCTTGACCGCCAAGGCCGAGGTCAAGGCCGACGTCGTGCGTTGCTCTTTGCCTTGACCGCCACTGGTGGCACTGACCCTGGTTCTCCTCGCAGCGGGCGGCAGCAAGGTGCTCATGAAGGTGAGCGTGCCCGTGTCCAAGGCCCAGGACTGCGCCAACGCGTACGTGCCGCTGCAGCTGGTCATCTCGAGCGAGAAGCAGATGTGCGCCGGCGACACGGGCAAGGACTCGTGCCAGGGCGACAGCGGCGGCCCTCTGACCACGGCCGGCCAGGTGAAGGGGACGCCGCGCGTGGTGCAGCAAGGCATCGTGTCCTTCGGGCCGTCGCACTGCGCCACGGAGGGCACCCCCGGCGTCTACACCAAGGTCGCGCACTACGTGCCCTGGATCGTGCAGAACATCGAGCCCTGAAGACAACGCCCCCCTTCGGCCCCTTCCTTCGCCCGGAGCCTGGAACCGCCTACTTCGCCAGGAGTCCTCCCTTCAAAAGACTGATTATCAATATGGTTGTGTGACTATCGATTAATTTTGACAATTAAAGATTACTTTAATTTTTTGTAAGAGAAACATATTTTTTTTACTTTATATGTAATTGCCTTGCCTCGCACATTTTTTTTTTTTTGGAGGAAGGTTGTTTTTGCACGAAAAAGCGCAACCGCAACAGCCGGAAGGCGGTTCACAAATTGGCATCGTTTGTGCTGGTACACACGTCAGAGCGGTGGCGAGGCGGCGGTGCGCGTCGTGCGTACTGGAGGCGGCCAGCCCGGCACGGCAGCCCGGCACGGCAGCCCCACGCGGGGCCGGCCGGCCAGCCTGCTGTGACGTCATTGGCCACCCGTGTAAACAAGATTGGCGGCGCGTCTTGCTGGTGCCGCGGCCCCTCGGCTCCTCGGGGAGAGGACGAGTTTGTGGCGTCTCCAGGGACAGGGCCGGCGGCGCGGAGGGAGCAGGGTCAAGGCGCCGAGGCGCGCCGAGGCTTGAGGCTTTGACCGCCACGACTCGTTCGCCGGGACACCCAGCCTGGCCAAGCCTGCCCAGGTAAAAATGGGCTTTATAAAGGCCATTATAAGGTTTTTTATGATTTTATAAGGATTTTTTATCCAATTTTATAAATTTTAATATTGTCATATGAATAAAGAATTATACAATCACACGGAAGTTTTATAAAGGGATATGTGTGCAGTTATATAAAGTTTTATACAGAAGGATGTATATGGCCGTATAAAACATAATGGATTCCCATATAATCATAGCTAAAGAGCTTCTGCTTATAGAGATATATATGGACACATATAAACAGTTTTATATAACTATATAAGGCATCCCTATAAAACTTTATATTTCCTTATAAAAGTTCATAAAATCATATGTATGAACGTATATATATACTTATAAGTTTTTATAAGCCTTTTGATATGGTTTTATAAATGTGTATAAAAACTCCCGTCTGACTTTATAAAACTCATTTTTACCTGGGTGGCCAAGCCTGGCCGAGCCGGGACCTGTTGCCGTTGCCCCGACCGGGAAGGGCGCGACCGGCCGCCGAACCGCAGACAGAGTCGTTTTCGTCGCTCTGTCTCTCTCGCACTCGTGGGGCGTCCCGTGCAGGTGCGAGAGTGACGGCGACGTCAACGACTCTCGAGATCGGTCTGGGGGACCCTGTGGCGCGGCTCCAAGCGATGCGACTCGGCGCCGCACTGCCCGGCACCCAGCCGGGGACGCCCAGTGCCGCACTGGTGCGAGAGCAGGAAGAAATGCCACTGTGGAGCACACTGAGAAAACCGTACAAACTATTTTAGGCTGTACAAAGGAAAGCAGCTCGTTATAACAAAGTATTTCGAGCATACATAATCTTATAAAGAAGGTACTTCGTAATTTACGAATTATTTCTTCGTACGCATGCTCAAAATTCCTCATAAGGTTTTAAGCATGTACACCTGGTTTTCGCAACGTCGAGCAAAATGTATACTCAGCAAGATCTGACTCAGCGCTCCCAGTACAAAGTGTCCTTGGAAGTGCTACACTCCCATGGTAATTCCGTGGACTGAAGGAGCACAAAACGTCGACCCAAATATAAAGGCTGTCTAATCAATGGATGAAGGATAGCGACGTCTTGGACTGTGTCGTCGCGTGGAAAGGTCGCGTGACAGCGTGACAGCCCTCAACGCCTGCGGGGTAGACTGCCCCGCCCCGCAGCACTCGCGCGTCCGGCGGGCTGGCCTATCCCGCAGTTCGCAGGCGGCATGCCGAAGGCCGAGCCGAAGGCGTGCCCGTGGCCAGGCCGCTGTCCAGGGCACGTCGCCGCGCTCGCTGGAAGCGGCGTCCGAGCGCGGAGGGACGGAGGGATGGGCGCTGTGAGATTGCACGGCCATTTGCCCGGCACGCTGTCGCGGTGTATACGAGGGTGGAGGGCGTGCCGTGCAAAACTAGAGGCTGCAATTATTTTCTGTTTCGTTTATTTTTAATGAACAAAAGACCCCGCATTTCATTTATGCTGGGAATGAAACAAAGTTGTTGGGTAAAGTTTGGCCCGTTTCAGGTTCTTTTTGATTTCGGTGACAAAATGTGGCCGGAAACCTCAAGCGAAAGCCTTCTTTCTCTCCTTTTGACCTTTGCCAAGGCCTTTTCCATTTGAATGTTGAAACAAACGACATCATATTTTTCTCAGGAGGATTTTTCGAGGAAATGCATTTTATCCATGGATAAAACGAGATCAAATTAAAAGCAATCGTCATACCTCGTCAGTTCCTCTGAATACCTGTGTTTAGTTGAAGTTCTTCATAAAGCGCGGCGGTAGCGATGGCCACGACCAGGACGGCCGCGGCCACGAAGAAGAACCGCCAGCGGGCGGCGCTCAGCGGGTGCACTGCCAGGTACGACCTCAAGCACTGCAGCAGCACGGCCAGGTCGCGGCGCTGCGCCCCGCACGCCAAGGCCTGCCAGAGGGGCACTCCCCCGACCAGCCACCAGTCTCGCAGGACCCGCGGCGAGACCACCGCCAGGCAGGTGACGAACACGAGTTGGAGGCACGCCGCCCTGGCGAGCAGCGCCATCAGGCACGCCGAGCGTACGCGGTCGCCGCGCCACCGCACCGGCAGGCAGCCCAACCAGGCCGCCAGCTTGAGGGCCGGCACCCAGAGGCAAAGGGCGGCGCGGCGGAAGGACATGGCGGGCGGAGCTGGGCGGAGCTGGGCGGAGCGACAACTCGGAACGATCGCCCTCGAGTGGCGGGCTCGGGGCGCCAAAGCAGTCGATCAATTGCATCACGGTGTCGCCAAGTTGACGAGACCATCCGAAAAAAATTGAAAAGGGCGCCGGTGTGAGGGGGAAGAGGGAGGGGTGCTGATACGAATCGTTTGCCTCGACGACTGTGCTGGGCTGGCTCTCGCCAACACGAATGGTGAACGCAATCATCAATTCACTGCATTCAACGAAAACGCCGTCCATTCGTTTGAAGGACAAGTACGTCACGTTCGTTTCAACTCACAGCTGACCCCTGACAAGTGCTACTTTTTATCATCAGCTCCCTAAACATTGTTCTCTGACGCTAGTTTGGTGAACACTAGACTTAGCGTGAGCTAATTCTTTTCTAAATACACTCCATTTGTTTTCGTGGGTAGTACTTAGATATACAACTAGTAGCTGACATCATTGAAAGTACGCAGCTCATTGCTGCTCTTAACACGTGTAATTTTTCAATGAAAATGGCTGCGTCTTCTCGCTGGAGCTAGGCGCGTGGGGTATCGCCGCGCGCTACCGTCGACCGGCCGCGGCGCGCGGGGCATCGCGCGGGGTATCGCCGCGCATTTCGCGACTGGTTGGAGTGTGGTCGGAGGCTGGCCGGTTAGAGGCTGGCCGGCGCCAGTGCCGGGCCCGGGTGTTCCGCACGGAGCCACGGAGCGCGAAGCACGGAGCACGGAGCGCGGCTACGTAGGCGAGCCGGCCACCGCGACACTCCCTCTCTCTCTTCTTCAGTCGCCGATTCGTCCTCTGGCCGGGCAGACATGGCACCGCGCCTCCCCGCGTCCACGGCGTTGTTGGTGTGGCTGGGCTGCGCGCTGGCGGCGCTGGCGTGGAGTGGCGGTGCGGCCGCGGCCCGGGCCCCCTCGAGGGGCACGCAGCCCCGCCAGGCCCAGCCCCAGGCCCAGGGCGCCGAGGGGAGCGAGGGTGAGTACGACAAGTGGAGGCGGAGTCCGTCCGATGCGGCCGAGACACCGCGCAGCACCGCGCAGTGCAGTGCCGCCAAGTGCCGCCCGGAGGTTATCGCTTGGCCGCGCCGCGCGATTTCGTTTTTAGTGTCATCTTGTCTTGTTTGTTTCGGCCGGGTCGGCCGTGGCGGCCCGTCGCGCCGGGCTGTGCCGGGCCGGTCAGTGGCGCGGACCGCCAGCGTCGATACCCCGTACCCCCGCGGTGTAGGTCGAGGGGTATCGACGCTGAAAATGCAGTGCGGAAAATCCGTGACGCGACGCAGCGACGCAGCCTGGGCTGGGGAAGTCCCGCGCCGCCTACTCCTGTCCCTTTGACGCCGGGAGATGTGCCTCTGCCGCAGGCGGCGCCGTGACCATGCCGGTGCCCAACCTGCCTGACTGCACCACGCCCCTGAGCCAGGCCGGCAACTGCGTCCGCCTGCACAACTGCAAGCCGCTGCTGGACCTGCTCAAGACGTCGCGCCTCGGGCCGCGCGGCCTGCCCGACTCGGAGGTCACCCTGCTGCTCAGGAGGTCCCACTGCGGCTTCCAGGGCAACTCCGTCATGGTGCGTGCCTCCACCAGCCTCCGCGACCAGTCCAGAGATTTCACTGCCAGCACTAGTCGCTCTGTCTCTCTCGCACTCGTGGAGTGTGTTGAAGGGTGCGGGGGAGACAGAGCGACGCGAGCGGAAACCGGCATGACTCGTCTGCGGCGTGATTTCGCAGAGAGGTTTCATGGCTCTGCCTCCCTCGCACTCTCTCCCCACGGTACGCCCCTGGAGAGCGACGCAGACGCGACGTCCGTCTCTGACCCTTCCCGCTTTCCAGGTGTGCTGCCCGGTGGACGCGAGCGCCTTCCGCGGCAAGCCATCCTCCACGGCGGCCCCGGCCCTCAGCATCACGTACGCCCCCCAGTCGCGCCCCCGGCCCCCCGCCGCCCCCGGCGCGTTCGGTGGCTCGGGCTCGCAGCAACGGCCGGCCGCGCCCACGGTACAGACATGGCGGAGGCCTGAATCCTGGCGCAGACGAAAACAAAATGAAGCATGGATCAGAACTGTGTTTACCTCTCTTGCAGGGCGGTGACGCTGGCTTCGAGTTCAGCACGCCGGCCCCCGAGGCCTACCCCGCCCCCGGCTCAGGCCCGCCCACTGACAGCAACAACGAGGGGGCGGGCTTCGCGGGGGCGGCGAGCTACCCGGCGCTGAGCTCGAGCTACCCCGCGGCAAGCTCCAGCTACCCCGCGGCCCCGGAGGCGGCGCCCGCGCCCGCAGCCAGCAACCAGCAAGAAGGCCAGGACAGCTTCCCGCTGGAGAACCTCGGCCTCCTGCCCGTCGAGATCTGCGGGCTGATGCTGCACCCGGGAGGCAGCAACCCCGCCAACAACCGCACCGGCCTCATGCAGTACCCGTGGATGGCCCGCCTGGGCTACAAGCAGGGTGAGTGCTTCGTGTTACCGCCTTCCTGGCGCGTTTGTTTGGAGATTGATCTGGAGCGGTGTGTGGCACTTTGTGGCACTGTGTGGTGTGCAGGAGACGGCGACGCCGTGGAGTTCCTCTGCACGGGCAGCCTCATCAGCGAGCGCTACGTGGTGACGGCGGCCCACTGCGTCGAGGCGCGCGACGGCCTGTGAGTCCCAGTGCCAGCCCTGCTTTTGCCGACCCATTGCCCACAGTCTAACCGCCCCTTGCCGGCAGGGTGACCGTGCGCCTCGGCGAGAGCGACGCCGCCACGGACCCGGACTGCGTCGAGTCCTCGTGCGCGCCGGGCGTGGTGGACGTGGCCGTGGAGGACAAGGTGGTGCACGAGGACTACCGCCGCGGCGTCAACGACATCGCGCTGCTGCGCCTGGCGCGGCCCGTCGCCTTCTCAGGTATAGTAGCGCGCAGAGCCGCAGAGCGCAATCAAGGTCACCGATTTGAAAGTCGGCCCGGTGACGTCAGCCGTGACCCTCGGCACCACTCACGGCTCAACGTGTGTGGCGAACGCGGCAGCGCGGCGCTTCATCTCGTCTTGTTTGCTCCGCAGAGGCCGTGAGCCCCATCTGCCTGCCCGTGCAGTCCCACAACCGCCCCGAGGAGGACCTGGTCGGCCGGCACATGTCCCTGGCGGGCTGGGGCAACTCGTCGCCCTACCGGAGGCAGCGTGAGTATGCCCGCCGGACCCGCCGCAGACGGAGGTCCTTGTCCGACAGTGCCGCGTGCTTGCCCTGAGTCAGGGCCCTGACCGTCCTCCTTGGTTGCAGACGCGCCTAGCCGGTGGCTGCTGCAGCACCGCATGCACGTCGTGGCGCAGTCGGCGTGCCGTGCGGCGTACGACGCGCTGGACGACGTACACTTCCAGTCCGACAAGCACCTCTGCGTCGGTAAGATGCAACTGAAAGCACGCTCTCATCCCCCCACTGCGTTCGTCGCTCTGTCTCTCTCGCACTCGAGGAGTGTCAGAGGGACAGAACGAAGAAGCACTGTTCGGTGTGAGGCTGGCCCCGGCTGGCCCGCTGGCCCGCGTCGCGTTGGGGCGCGCTCGAGCCTTGAAACCATTGCCTGCAGGTGGCGGCTGCTACGGCGACAGCGGCAGCCCGCTCATGCTGGCCGAGGGCGGGGCTGGCGGCGGCGAGATGATGGACAACCGCGCCGTGCTCTACGGCGTGCTGTCGTACGGGCTGCCGGACTGCGCGCTGCGCTCCTCGCCGCTCGCCTTCACCAAGGTGTCGCACCACGTGCCCTGGCTGGTGCGCAACCTCCGGCCCAACCCCTTCGTGCCCAAGGACCGCTCCAGCGGCTCGGGTGTCGTCGACCCGCGCCGCACCCGGCACCCGGCACCCGGGGCGGGCTACCTCCACCAGCACTGAGGACGCGCGCCGCGTGCCGCGCCGTGCGAGTAGGCAGCCCACCGCGCGGCTGCGCTGTCCTGGTTGCCAGGCGCTGGAGGGGAGACCCTCGCCTCCTCGCACCACCGCCATCGGCGTCATCGCGGTCGTGCGTCTACACGTCTACGCTGCACGTACCTGTCCCGCTTTGCCCCGCCTCGCCAGCCACCGGAATAACCGCGGGCGCACGTGGGCGGGTGCCAAGGCCGAGAATAGCTCCAGCTCGGAGGACGGCGACACGGCGACGCGGGTTCGGCAGGGGACTCCGGATAGTATGTTGCCTCGTCGCTCTGTCCCTCTCGCCCCACTTCGGGACACCGCACGAGTGCGAGAGAGAGAGGAAACGACGAAAGCACTGTTCGGACCCAGCCTGCTGGGGGTCGTAAGGGCCGAGTGACGCGCTGGGTGCGGCTAGCCACCTTCGTGAGACTGCGATACAGTACGTTGCCATCCTGTGATACACTTGGTTGTTTCGTTACTTTTGATAATCTGATGAGCTTCATCGCGCCTCCAATACGAATGTTTCGCGGCGTTTATTAGTGGAGCCTCGTTTGTTTCGTTTACATCTTTGTTACATGTTAATTCACACATATTTAAAAATAAAAGACTGAAGAAGATAGAACACGCCTTGGGCATTCTTTATTTATAATTGTGAACTCTGAACCTCCCGCTCTGGTCCTCGTGACGAAATTGGTCCGGGGTTGTTACAAACACCAGCCAAATCAGAAGAGCATACCATAAACCGGTTCGGTGTGCGTGCGACAAGGCGGTGGGGTGTCCAGGTTATCGCCTCCCGCGACGGGGAATCCTGGAGCCAGCAGAGGTTTCCCGGCCAGACCGGTGCGTTCACGATGGGGGTGTTGAGGGAGGAGGAGGCTGGACCGCCTTTCCCTCTGACGTCGACAGGTGATTCATGCTCTGGAAAAGACGCACGCACACACACACACTCACTCACCCACTCGCCGCACACGCACGGAGAGAGGGGGGGGGGTCTGCATCTCGGTCTGCATCTCGGTGTTTGCTCGGACTAATTGTCCTTTGTCGGCCAATCCCGGCCTCTATGTGTCATTCCACTCGACTGACTCGCGCTGCTATTCATGAACTTGCAGGCTCCCCCGGCGTCACACTTCCCTTCCCGGTACAACTTGTGGGGCGTTGGATGAGCAACAACGCTTCGCGGTAGGTAAACAGCGCCCGACGCATCCAGTGTAGCATCACACACGAGTTCCGGCAATCATTGTTGAATATTTCTTTTCATTCGGATTCTAGCTTGTAGATTTTATGCGTCGCTGTCGTCCCATGGGAAATTCTCTGCTGGAGGTATGGCAGCATGATGGCAATGGCACCGCGGAGACGAGCCGAGCGCGCCGAGCCAAGCCGAGCCAAGCCGCGTCGAGCCGAGCCAGCACCGCCAGCTACCGGAGCGTTGAGCGTTGGCGGCGACGGGACGGGACGGGACGGGACGGGACGGGGCGGGCGGAGTGGGGGTCCGGAGTGGGCACCGGGCACCAGGCCGGCAGGTCCAGTGAGTGGGCTCGTCTCGTCTCGCCAGTCGGCCGAGCTGAGCAGAAGCTCTTCTCGCGGCACCAGCGCCGCAGCAGAGCGCCCTGGTGTCCGAGCCGTCCGCCGTCCGTGCCGTCCGAGCCCGGCGACGCCGAGCAGCCCGCGCCACACCATGGCCGCGGCCACGCCCTCCACCCTCGCCGCGGTGCTCGTCTTCGTCCTCGTCACGCAGGACGTCACCGCCCAGAGTAAGTCCAGGGCGGGAGGACGCCCTCGCCCTGCCATGGTGGTGGTGGGGTTGACAGCGGCAGGAGGAGGCCGCCGGTTTCGTTGTGTGCTTTGTTGTCACTTCCACAGGTGACACACTGGCGAGTAGAAAGGCGGGCCAGCGGGCGCACGGCGGGCGCACGGCGAGCGACGCCGAGCGACGCCACGGCGGTACTTCCCTCTGGTCTGACGCGGAGGGGCGCATCTCCATCTCGCCGGCAGAATGAAAAAACGTCGGTTCGCTCGGAAGCGTCACTTTCTCTGCGACACTCCCTTGGGCCGAGTCCTGGGCCCTCGTGGGCAACCGGTTGCTCACGGGGAAACCCCGACGGGGCGGGGCGGCCCTCCGGCCTAGAGGACCGGTCGCGTTGACGCGAACCCTCCGCTTGACAACTTGCCTTCGGATTCAGATTAAGATTGAAACCTGTCTCGAGTCCCTGGATATGCCGTTCGTGTCTCAGGCCAAGACGAGGCATGCTGAGGGGTGCCTTGTGCGGTGCAGGCAGACGGGGGTGGCTCTGGACTCTGGAGCAGAGTGACATACACGGCGAGCACGGCGTGGATCATGGGTGGCACGCGGTGGCGGAGCGTTTACCGTTCGCGGCGATACGGCACGGCCACGGCCACGACCAGACGCGGCCCGCCCGGCACGGGGTGCACACGTGAGGCGCACGTGGGGCTTCTGGCACTTCGAGTCCCGTTCAAGATAATGCTGTCTTTCTTTGTACTCGTTATCTTTTGAAAAGTCTTTTCGACTGTCAAATAATTAGCGGGCGAGCCTTGCCGGCTGCCACCAGCAGCGCCCCTCCCGTGGAGAAGCCGGCAGTGTCCGTCTCGCCCCTTCTATGAAACCCGATGAAACCGCCACCTCCTTCATCGAGCATTTGCGTCGAAGAAGCGAAGCGGGTGGCCTGAGCGTGGCGCCAGGGCAGCACCCCACAGTGGGCCAGAAGACCCGTGCAGGGCGCTACGTACTGCTAGACAACTCAATATCCATTGACCCGCCACCGTCCGCGCAGACTTGCCGCTTATTTTTCTGCTGTTTTGACGACCGCTAGCGCTAGCGCTTCCTCCCGCGGCCGAACCGCGGCCGAACCGAGGAATCAACAAGACACAACGCGACGGCGGACAGTGGACAGCATCGCACTAAACCTGTTGTGCGCGACGGCCGTCCCGTCCGCCTCGCGGCCACGCGATGAGATTGCCGTTGTAAGGTTAATTGTTTTGAGACAAGCCCCTGGAGGCCCCGAAGGCCCCCCAGCGGGCCGTGGCGTGTCACGGGTTGCCTGACCGTCGTGCTGTTGTTGCAGGGACGGAGCCGTGCCAGACCGCCGACAAGATGCCCGGCAAGTGCATCGTGCTGCACTCGTGCGCGCCGCTGTACGCGCTGCTGCAGGGCCCGCGCCCCATCGACCCGCAGGTCATCAACTTCCTGCGCGAGTCCACCTGCGGCTTCCAGGGCTCCACCCCCAAGGTAGGCCCAGCCACGGCGCAGCCATGGCGCAGCCCCAGCCCGGGTCCGACGTGCGTGACGCACGATGACGTCACTGCCGGTCCACGAGGCCCAATATCGCAACGCGCTGACGCCGAGGCTGACGCACTTCATGTTGCAGGTGTGCTGCCCCGGCCTGGACCCCGGCACACAGCCCTTGACGCCGAGGCCGCCGCCGACGCAGCAGCCCTTCACGCAGAGGCCCTTCACGCAGCAGCCCTTCACGCAGCAGCCATTCACGCAGAGGCCCCGGCCGCGGCCGCCCGTGGATGACCGCCCCGTCAACGTGCAGAACGACCCCAACCTCCGCCTGCTGCCGCACGACGTCTGCGGCCCGGGCGCCACCAACCGCATCATCAACGGCAACAAGACCAACGTGTTCGAGTTCCCCTGGATGGCGCGCCTCGGCTACACCTCCTCGCGTAAGCGCCGCCCCGCCCCCACGCCCCGCCCCCACGCCTCGTTCCGCGTCCCACCAACTCCGCCCCGCCCTCACGCCCCGCCCCGCCCCCGTCGCTGACTGGTCTGTTTTACAGGGGACCTCGTTGAGACGAGGAGCACCGCCGACCACTTCGGCGAAGGGCTGATAGACCAGCGGGCGGGCTCAGGCAGGATTTCTTAATTTAATTCTTTGTGTGTGTGTGTGTTTGTGTTCACCCGCCCCTGTGGGTGCACTTAGTGTAGCAGCACGCTGTAGTGTAGCTCTTGGAATGGTGCCAGGTTACACGAGGGACGGTGCACTTTGCGCGGCACCCTGTCTCGCTCACCCGGTGTATTGACTTGGCTGGTTTGCTTGTGTGTTTGGCGTAGCTTCTTAGCAGTCATCAGTCACGAAAGGAATGACTCCGGCGGTACTCCACGCGCAAGAGACGCCGCGGCACTGAAAGTCACTGGCGCACGGAGTATGGCCGAGGTCATTCCCTTGGCGACGATGGAGTGTGACCGGGGCAAGCATGATGGCACGGAGCAGAGCGTGCAACAAGGGAGTAAAGAGGACCGTCCTGGAGTGGCGTACGGTGGGTTGCCTACCGCGCGCCTTGCAGGAGCTACGCGGCCTACTTCAGACAGCCGAGTACGTCGGGTTGCCTACCGCAGCTCCGCAGGCGCTCGGGCTCAGCGTTCGGTGCGGCGACGGCGGCGACCCACCCCTCGACGCCACCGTGCACGATCACTTTGACGGGCAGCATGTTTGTTTTTCGTGTGTCGTAGTAGTTTGTCTCCACTGTAGTGCACGACGGTAGCTGCCCTGCCGGTTGATTCCACACGGTGCTTTCTCAGCTGTGTCTCTCTCGCACTCGTGGTGCGCGCCCTAGGGGTGCGAGAAAGACAAAGCGACGAATCACTGCCAGACGGACTGACTGGGACTGTCTGCGCAGGTACCGGTGCCATCGCGTACCGCTGCGGCGGCTCCCTCATCAACTCGAGATACGTGCTGACGGCGGCCCACTGCGTCGCGGGGATCAAGAGCACTGAGGCGCTGTAAGTCGACACCCGGCACCACAACGAGTGCACCGCGCGAACGACGCCACGCTCACTGGCTTTCTGTCGGCAGGACCACGGTGCGGCTGGGCGAGAACGACATCTTCAACGAGACGGACTGCTCCTTCATCACGGGCGTCCAGGTGTGCGCGCCGCCCGTCGTGGACGTGGGCGTCGAGGACACGGTGGTGCACCCGGGCTTCAGCCTGGAGGGCGAGGAGCGCCTGCAGAACGACGTGGCGCTGGTGCGGCTCGTCCGGAGGGTGCGCTTCACCGGTCAGTACGCACCACGCGCAGCTGCGCGCCAGTCCGGCGCCCGTTTGGGATTCAAACTTTGTCTGACTGCCTTGGTTCCGCTCTGCCCCCGCAGACGCTGTGCGCCCCATCTGCCTGCCCGTGGGCGACGAGCAGTACCGGAACCTGGACGGCAAGAAGCTCATCGTGGCGGGCTGGGGCACCACGGAGTCAGGCTACGGCAGCCGGGACCTGCTGCAGGTGGCCGTGCCCGTCGTGCCCGGCGAACAGTGCGTCGAGGTCTACAAGAAGAACGTCAACATCAACCCGGCCAAGGAGATGTGCGCGGGCGGCACGCGCGCCGGCGACTCGTGCAACGGTGACAGCGGCGGCCCCCTCAAGCAGGCCGGGCTGGGCGTCAACAACGACGTGCGCATGATGCAGTTCGGCATCGTGTCCTTCGGGCCGCGCAAGTGCGGCACCGAGGGCATGCCCGGTGTGTACACGCGCGTCGCCTACTACATGAAGTGGATCCTCAGCAACCTCAGGAGCTAGGCGAGGTCCTGGAGGCTGTCGTCGGGGAGGCAGGCACCCCGCCGCCCCGGGGCCCCGGGGCGCACTGGATGCACTGAGAAAAATGACGGCCAAGCCATAGTTACCTGCAGTGAAGTGACGTGTCGAAACCACAGGAGAGCTGAAGTGAACTCTTAACTTTGGTTCTGAACACAGGGCTGTGAACTTCGAGTGGATGTTGTGTGTGTGCGTGTGTGTGTGTTTGTGAGTGTGGTTTTTAAATGTGTTTAAATGTGTGTGCGTCCACCCTCAGTGTTGTGGCCATTCTTTTAATTTATTGATCTTTCGATAATTTCTTATCGTTCCTTTATGTTTATTTTTCTGAACTTCGATAATGTCGTCAATGAATAGATCAAAGTATTTATTATTAACTTCAACGTATTTTTATTTGTACGCTTCAGTTTCGACCATCCAATAAAATAGACAGTAAACTGAGTCTGAATCTGTAAGCCCATGCATATCTTGGTTTTACAGGACGTAGTCGGCCGAAGAACCACCATCAACAACCGACCTCTGTTTAAAATTGGATCCAAGTCTGTTCCAGCTATTCGATATTTAGGGTCCTGAGTGAGAGGCGGACACGGATCGGACACCCAACTGGAACTGCGTGCCGAAATAAGCGAGGACTCGTGTCACCTCACACCGCCCGAACTGCCGCGCGCTGCGTGGCCCGGCGTGGCGTGGCGTGGCGCGGCGTGGCGTGGCACGGCGTGGCGGTGGCAGCGGGAGGGGAAGTACCGGGGAGTACCTCCTCACCGAACCGGCGGCCGGCCGCGAGCCGCGCTTTGCCCAGCTTTGCCGCGGCGAAGGTCAGCGAGGCGGGGCGGAGGGGAAAAGGAGGGGGATCCGGATGGGCCAGCGACACTACTGCGGCAGCGCTCAAGTCGAAAGCGAAGAGCGCAGAGCGAATACGAAGACGCGGCGCGGAGTGGCGGAGTCACGCGACACGGCACGGTGGACCAAAACGAATAGAACGCGCTGCGCTCAGCCAACGCACCGCCGCAGCCGCAACGTCCGCACCGCAGCCTCGAATGCAACCAACCAGTCCCGGCCCGGCCCCATCCAGCCGCCGGCCTGTAGGCCCGGCCCGGCCGGGACGCGGCGGCGCGGGGCGCGGTGGGGCGGGGTGGGGCGGGGCGGGGCTCGGCCCGGACTCTCCTGGAGATGCTTGAGTAGCGAAAGAGCCATCCGCCCGCGCGGAGCGAGCGACTAGAGACCAAGACGCGGACGCACTGACGGGCTTCGCCGCACCGCGTGTTGACTACTGACGCGTGCTGAGCGCTGAGCGACGCGTGCCCGACACTTAGGCAACTCCGGCCACTCGAACAGGTTCGACGGGGTGGGGGCTCCGACGTCAAGCGCGCAGCCGGCGCAGCCCAGCGGGGTAGCCGACGGCCGCGGACACCACGGACCACGGCATCCGCGAGGGCGTCCACCATCACTGGCCATCTCGGCAACCGGCGTCGTCGGAGCGCTCTACTCCGCGGGACATGCGCCGCGGCAGCCGCGGCGACGGCACCAGGTATTTCCCATAGCAGCGGGGACGAGTGGGCTGACGTCACAGAGGCTCGCCCGCCAATGCCCGCCACAGCGAGGCAGCGGCGTAGGTGGCCGGCCGGCTCCATCGTCGCCCCGCAGCCCGCAGCCGCCGAGTCGCGGGGCAGAGCGCGGAGCAGCGAGCAGCGAAGGGCCAGGATGCGTCTGTCCGGCCATCCCAGACACCCTAGGACGGCAAGGCCCCGGCCAAGTGCAGCGGCGACCTTAGCAGCCGGCAAGACATTCCCTGCACCGTTTCCCGCTCGCCGCTCCGTATAGCCCTGTCCTGTCACCGAGGCCGCGCAGCCTCGCCTCGCACCGAGTGATCGCGAATACCCCCTGCCGTGTCCGTCACGGACAGATCCCCCGGCGGCAACGCTGCATGTCGGCGATTTCGGCAGGGCAAGCAGGGTCAGGGGGAAGAAGGGGGGCTGCCTCGCCCTGCCTCGCCGCAGCACAGCGGTACAGCCATCTCAAAGCCTTGGGTTATCAGTGCGGTCTAGTCGCCCTGGGGAGTCGCGTCTGAGTCCGTCAGACCGGGTCGCCCGCAGCGCCAGCAGGCCGACGCCGGCCGCGGTCTAGTCCAGACACGGCGCGGTCCGCGACAACCGCGAACACCGCGAGCGGGAGCGCGCGGAAACAATGGGCTGACGCAGCCTAGCCGGCAGCCACAACGCGACTCTGTTGAGACACCGTGCCATGGCGGCTGTTGCAGGCGCTGCAGGCCTACGGGGCGGTGATGCGCGCGCCCTGGCAGCCTCACGCCCACTTCAGCCGACGGCCGTCCGCGCCGCGCGCCCCGCCATGCTGGGGGTGACGACCGTGACCACGGCCACCCTGCTGCTGGCGGCCGTGACGCTCTCGGGTGAGTAAGGCTTCGAAACACCTTGCCGTCACCTTGAGCAGTGGAGCCGGGGGCGGAAGTGTTCACCGTCACTCCGTTGCAGCGGCGCTGACCAACGCCAACCCGCCGCCGCGGGCTGCCGCTGGGGTGGCGGGCGGTGCGGGCGCGGCGGAGCTGGCGGAGCGCGAGGTGCCCGTCGTCGACTTGAACGGCTCTCTCGGTGTGCCGGCTCCGACTGAAGCAAGAACGACGGGCACCATCCGCGAGGCCCTCGGGGGCGGCGTCGTGGACCCAGCCACTATGACGGCCAGCTCCACCCCGGCCCTGTCGCCCGGAGCACCTTCCGCAGACCGCCACCCTGCGTTCGGAGCCCAGCCCCAGCCCCAGCCGGGGGGTCTGCGATCGAGCGGGAGCCGCTGCACCGGGCCCCAGGTGTGCCTCAGGGTGGAGCACTGCCAGCCGGCCGAGGTGGACCTGCTGTTCGAGTGCGCCCCTGGCTGGGTGTGCTGCGTGCCCGCGCCGCCATCAAGGCCGCCATCGACGGCCGCGTCGCCGACGTCGAGCCCCCGCCCCTCGCAAGGCGCGCAAGGCCACGCAGGCCACGCCCCCAACCCTGCGACAGCAACCCCGCCCACTCCCCAGAGGCAGCCGCAGCTCCCTCGGCCGACGCCCTCCCATGCAGCCCCGGCCGCCCCCCAGGATCACCACCATCATGTCGAGCAGCAGCAGCATCAGCCGGCCACGCAGCGGCCCCTCCACTTGAAGCCCGAGGAAGGCCTCACTGTCCCGGTGCAGCGGCCACCCGCGCCGGCCCAGCATTCAGGCCATCCCAAGCCCCAGGCTACAGCCACGACGCCCCCGTCCGCGACGCCCCCGTCCGCGACATCCACCACCAGGCCCGGCCCGCACGCCACCACGGCCGCGGCCTCCGCCCCCAAGTCGCTGCTGCCCGGAACGGACGTGTGCGGCATAGTCACCACGGAAAACAGGATCACCAACGGCAAGATTGCCAGCCCGGGTCAGTTCCCCTGGATGGCGATACTCGGCTACCGAAGTAAGAACTGCGTAGGTCTAGTGACACCATGCTCCGTGCGCAAAGCGTAAGGGACTGCCCTTTCCGAAACTTACTTCACCGTGTGTCTATGTCCAGGGCGCGGTGACTCCGGCATCTCCTTCCTCTGCGGCGGCACCCTCATCAACGAGAAGTACATCCTCACCGCGGCGCACTGCATCAGCTCGCAGAACCGACCGTAAGGCCCTTCAAGTCCCTTCTGCTTCTGACAGACCCAGCAGGGTGCGGCAGGGAGGGACCATGTATGTTTTGCCTACCTACAGGGGCATGTGTTGCGGATTGCCTGCGATCAGATGCTGGGAGAATCCGGCAAAGGGGCCGAATCGTCTTGCTTCCTCCGCAGTTCCAGTTCAAGTGTACTCTAGCTACGTTCTCTCTGACCGCCAGTGTCCTGGTGCGCCTGGGGGAGTTCAACCTGACCGAGGCGGTGGACTGCGACCACGACAAGGTGTGCGCGCCGCCGCCCCTGGACATGGACGTAGAGAGCATCTCGTCGCACCCCGACTTCGACCTCCGCAACATCAAGCATGACATCGCCCTCATCCGGCTCAGCAGGAGCGTCCATCAGTTCTCGGGTACGTGTTTTCATCCTAGATAGGTCGGGTCGAATAAACTCTCTTTTCATACCGTGCCAACACTGAAAACACAGGGGCTCAAAGTACTGTCCTGGTTGGGACGAGAATACTTTCACCCTTGTGTTTCCAGCGCAAACAGTTTGTGCCAATTCCGTTTTCCCCGCCAGAGTACGTGCGGCCAATCTGCCTGCCGGTCAACGTCAACGTCACCGACGACAAGAAGTTCAAGATAGCCGGCTGGGGGAAGACGTACTTCAGTAAGTATATCCCTTTCCGGTGTGGCGGTGATTTGGCTTGGTTTGCGCTTTGACACACCCACTGCCTTGTGCCTTTGCAGGGGACGCTGCGGGCAGCCCCGTGCTGCAGTTCACCGACGTGAACGGCGTGGGCCACGCCGAGTGCAACGAGCTGCAGCCGCCCGAGCTGCAGCCGCTGGACCCGGGGCAGCTGTGCGCCGGCGGCGACAAGGGCAAGGACGCGTGCAAGGGCGACAGCGGTGGGCCCCTCATGGTGACGCTGGCCAACGAGGCGCCCACCGTGTACGGCCCCAACCACGTCACCTACCAGATCGGCGTCGTCTCGTACGGTCCGGACAGCCCGTGCGGCACCGCGCCCCTGCCCTCCATCTACACCAGGGTCACCGCCTACGTGCCCTGGATCCTCGCCACGCTCAGGCCCTAGCTACTCGCGGGACAAGATGAAAATGGAAACGAAAACACAAAACAAAAGCAACGTCAATTTCAATATTTGTTATTAATGAATAAATTACATTATAAACAAGGCAAAACAATAAACCAGAATCAAACAGTATTGGATTGATAAAACTCGCACCAAGCATTGATGGAAAAGAGGTGCCATAAATAACTTATTTGGAAGAAAATTCTTGTAATGTCAACCTTTAGCAGCATTGCTGCAAATTACGTATCACCATAATCACTAGATGCATGAGTGAACTGCAATGCTCTAATTGGTCTTGGATAATGACAAACAAGAGAGCACTGGAAACAGTGCATGAAAGGCAGGCAAGTACACAAAGTAAAAAAAAAACAAGATGACATTTTGCTGGCACTCAGTACCAGCAACACTATAATCATTCCATATTTCTTGCCAACAAGATACGTTAACCAGCATAAAAAACAATGTTTAACGATGTCACAACCAGTCCACTTTGTGTAGAATCACTTTTCACAAAATAATTGATTTATGTGATATAAAAAGACCTTGTGCCTTTTGATATACATCCACCAGGTAACAAAATAAATAAGTAAATTCATAAGTTCACATTCACTGAGCAGTATGTGTGAGGAAACTAAAATACAAATCCAATGAAACTTCCCAAAGGGGAACAAGAAGCATATTTTGAATTTAAAATGGCCAAATATAAAAAAATCAAATTTGATTTCATCTCAATACGCAGCTACACAGGTACAAGACTTTTGTCCAGACAAAGCACTGACATAATATTTCTGTGCATTTGTGCCATTCATGGAAACAAGCAAAGCATTTGAACAAGTTCAGATGCACTTTCAGACCACATGAGATCTGTCTCTGTCTCTCTCTCTCTCTTTGCTTGGAGCTATCACCATATTTAACAGATAATGTGTCCTTCCAGTAACAAGGACAAGTTTTACGTACACTTAATACCATCCTCATGAGAGCATGCAATTCATTTGTAATATTAAATTTATACAATAAGATCACGACTTTAATGCATTTGACAGATCAGAAGTCACATTCCTATAAAATTTGTCTTTAGGACAGAAGGAAAATTGAACAATATTTGTGCAGAAAGACATTTGTTTTTGTTTTATTAAAATTACTATACAACATTAAATCTTGAGATTGAAATACTATTAAACTTAATAGCTGCCTACATACCAGCACAGGTAAAATTTGTTATTGCTTTCCGTGGCATTGCAGGGCATCAATCCAGGGTGATTCTGAGGACCTTAATTAGTGTCTCCTATAAAAGATGTCTGCAACAGCAGCACAAGAGACGAGCATGCCTTCAGCCAAGACAAGAAAAATAGCTAAGCCTCACAGTCTTTTTGTCTGACGGCAAGTTGTAACACAAGGATCCTGCAGACTGGAAAGGGTACGGGTGGCTTCAGTTTGCAGATCACAGCTCGGCCAACGGAGCTGACAACGACGACGACACCTCATAGGGCGATGATCGAGAAACTTTTTGACGATGATTTCGGTGGCATAGTTTTTCACTCACGTAACAGTGATGAAGGCACCCATCACTCGTCCCCCTCTATTCACAACGCGAAACAACGAGACGGCTTTACGCGGCTTTGCACAAGTCCGGTGATAAGACGCACTCGCTGCTTAGAGTCGGATCCCCGCCATGGTGTGGTGGCCCGCCACAGGCATCACGGCCGAAAGGCCCACGGCCGAAAGGCCGAGCAGTGGCGGGGGCGGGGCTGGCGAGGGGTTCGGCCTGTATTCCAGGCCGAGGGAAAACCTTGGTCATTCGAGCACCACCACGGTGTCCTCCAGGCCCTTGGAGCACAGCTTCCTCCAGGGCTTCCGGGCCGCCCGCCGCAACTCGGGGGTGGTCATCTGCCTCCGGACCTTCCTGCACACAACACAAGGCATGGGTCAGTCTCCGACGGAAGCTCGCCGGTCGGCCCGTCCGCCAGGCTGACAGGGCAGACGGCCACCACGCCGCGCCATGGGCCGTGGCATGGGCCGTGCCACGGCACGCCATCGAGACTTACTTGACGTGCTCGGTGGAGCGGAACAGCACCTCCTCGGGGGCCTCCATCCACGACAGCACCTGCTTGCTGCCAGAGCCGGAGCGCGTCACCGCGATGCGGGCCTTGCCGTTCTGGCTGATGATCTGCCGGGGCCCAGTGTAGGGGGCGTAGGGCACCATGGCGTTGGGGTTGAGCCCCGCCATTTGCGCCAGGTTGGCCAGCGCCTGGGGGTCTTTGTGGGAACGTTTGTGGGGAGGGCCTTGCTGGGGGATAGGTGTGCCTCCGCCTGCAACAACACGATTTAACTGGTCCTCAAAACGCAACGCACACATGCACACGCAACACAGTCTCTTTCAGTGGCGGTCTACAAGAATGCGGCGTTTGGAAACCATTAGTTCTAAAACACGTCTTTAAAATGAGGGGGAATGGCTCTCATTTTAAACTAATAAATCTGAACTATCAGTTTCAGTCACAAACATTTCTAATTGCTACCAGGGGGTGGAAACAAGGGCAAAGCGTCTGCCCCATTGAACAGCAAACAACATTTTGGGTCAACTTGTCACATCAGCACAGGATGAACCCTGCATGTTGCCTGTTGAATTCGGGCACGTCCATCACGCGTCATAGTAGCCACAAAACTTTGTAGTCAAAAAGATTCATGTTTAACTCCAATCTCTTGAAATTAAGTGAAAAATTGACCATACAGCACTTATACTAGAAGTTACAACCAGACCAAATATAGAACCAGTTGCATGAAAGGTTTCTGTGGTTTTGAAGTAACTTAAGGTACAAGTGGTCAGCCCATGGGGCCAGTCGCTTTGAAGACATTTCTACCCCCATTTGCTACCTAAAGGACAACATAACTACATGAATATCTTCACAACCTTAAATCTGCGGAAAAGAATTTTGATTCGACATTGGACAAGTACATAGCGTATTGCATTCAATCATAGTACATAACAATGTTGTACAATTAAATGAGCCAATATGGCTACTTAAAATCTTCACTACAAATTTTACTGAGCTGAGAATATTGACACCACACTCTGAATCAATCTACAAAAAGCACAGTCTATCAAGATAAGTTCCATTGCTAAGCAAAGCATGGGCTCATAAGTACTAGTGCATCAACAACAAATTGTTTAAAATGTACTTAAGTCCTACACAAATCCTTGTGATTTTCTTTTAAACACACATACGCACATACACACTTGCACACATCACACACGTAAGTAATCCACCTTACCTTCACCATCAAAAGATGCTGTTGAGGGATGGAAACCATCAAGTGGAATTCACCAGCGATGAATGATATCTGATGGTTTGTTTAAATTTGGGCCAGGTAGCCTCCATTTGCTTTTGACTCTTGGTCCCGTTTTAAATGTATGGTAGCCATCAAGAGGTATTGTTATCTCATTTCATTTCCTCCATTTTGCTCCAAAAAGACAAACCATTATATGTAAATTCTGTTTTCCCATTTTTCTGAATCTACATTTAAATATATATTCTTCAAAATGAAAACAAAAAGTTTTTCTTCTCCCAATACTTTGTAAGGGGGTTTAAGGAAAAGGTGATTAAAACTTGTGGAACTAAACTGGTAGAGGCTGTTCAGAAACTTCAAAATCAAAATAACTTGAATATATTATTGAATGTCCAAAATTTGAGATTGTTTGGAAAGTAAAGAGGCACAGACTAGATAAACAAGTTTAAATTTATGTGTTTTGAAGACATTTATAAATTAGAGAAAACTAGATGAAATAAGAAAAGTTAAAGATGTTAGCAATGAGAGACACACTTTTTTCATTTTATGACAGCAGAACTCTGATGGTGAATGGCTGTAGGTGGATTACTTTTAAGTTTTTCACAAGAGCTCCAATAGATGAGAGATAAAAAAAAGCTTCCTTATTATAAACAGAAATGGTACAAAAAGTCATGATTTAGAAATAACAATTAAAAGAGCAAAAGCTATGACTGGATACCATCCTGCTAGTACACAATGCCAATTTGTGCTTATCAATAAGGATAAGTTTTCTTGTTCCCAAAAACTGACACACAATATAAGGCATGAAAAAATCCAAGGCAGAATGTTACAATCATTAAATGAGTAAAAGATAATTATGTTTTACAGGAAAGATACCACAACAAAAAGGCAGCATTGCGATTAGACAAAAAGTAAGTATCTTGGAGGAAATTTTCCCCTTAAACAAATACATTTTGAGTTGAAAGCCTCAAAGCCTTGAAACTAGCTTTTCACACATTAGCAGCTGAGGCTGCACGTGAATGAAATGCAACAGACCACCTCCATCAGCACTGCTAAAAGAATGTTTCTGGTCACAGTGTGTGCATCAAGGATATTGACTATTAGCGCAGCCAAATGTGTCATGTTTGTGTGCCCCGTGATTTAAGAAATTGTGTTATTGCGCAGCATAGCTAAAAGCTACATTCAATTAGGAAAAATGAATAGATTAAAAAAAGAGGAGAGAAAAATTCCATTGAGAAGAGGAATAGAGCAGAAGCTATTACTATGTAGAGAGAGAAAATCACACCTCACCCAAAGCGGGCTTATGAATGGTAAATCTGTGCTCAATAGCAGCCAAATAGCCAGAATAAAAAGGCTCCTTATCTCACATAGCTACAACTACCATCTTTGAAACTGAGGGAACAGTCTGACAAACTTTAAGAACTAACGAGCAACAGAACAACAGAATGGTCTTACGTAAGGGCCACCTTGTTAACTTTTCCTATTCTGGCTACTGAAAAAGGCCACTGGCACAAGATTCGGAAAGGAGAACAGATTCAAAAAAGTATTTACTTGTTTGACTTTATTGGCCATTCTGTAGATGCAATAAAATAGTGTACATTGTTCCATACAAGACATTGACAAACATTACTTGCATCATGAACTTCACTGCATTTGCTTGCAAAGTAAAATTGTACACCCATCTATTAACACATAGCAAAACATAACACTTGCACAGACGATTAAAAAAGATAATGAAAAAAATTAGAATAACCATCATACAACAACAGAAATTAAAACATGTCTAAAAGACAAATGCGCACACATAATTATGAAAAGTCTGTAACATTTGGCAAGAGCCATCAGTAACCCGATCACTGTGTTGGAGGTAGCCCAACACCAAATTGATTACGTTAATAAAAATTAAGTTTCTCCACTAGGCTTTCAACACAAAATGCACTTACAAACAGTACCCTTCCTGTCAGATTTTTAATATATATGGGTAGAATCTGTGGTCACTTGGCCCGTGTCATTGTGAAAATACCAACACACTTACGCACGAACACTATAAATAAGAAGCATGCATAAATAGAATGAGAGCAAACATCATTCCTGTGAAAAGGAAAGACTTATATCACCAGACTGCCAAATAGCAGACATAGTAGGAAAACGACACTCATACACTGCTTCTGAGTTACTATGAAAGAAGTGTATCAGTGTAGTTTTCCTTGTAAGAGACACCTGAGAACATGCACTTTGCACAATTGATACGAAATAATACCCTATTCCTTCATTGTGCGGCATTCAGTGTTTTGATGCCAACTTGAATCTGGTATCAAATGAGGTTATGAGTTTTTGTTTCTTACTTTAAGTAACACTTAAAGAAAAGTGTGCACTCAAGTACTACAAAATTACTGCATTGGGAGAAAAACCAATGTCAGTACAACAAGACATAAAGAGACATGACTTATGAAGAAATCAAATAAAAAGAAGAAACAAACTAAAAAAAAAACAAACAAGAATAATTAGAACTTACAACCTTTTCCAAGCACCACCAAGATCCATGTGAAAGAAAAGGTGGATGCACATGAAATCACATTCTTTGCCTCAAGTTAATGGAAACAAAGGAGTGCATGCACTTAGTCATCAAATCATAAATAGAATGAAATTGAGAAAATGAAAATTGGTAATACTAAAAAACATAGGGTTACTTCAACTAACTTAGGTTTACTTCAACAACTAATACTGCAGAGCGTGCAGAAAGCACATAGAACTGGACTATCAAATTCTAAAGTTGAATAACCCACCTTCTTCCCAATCCGAGTCTAGGTAATGCAAGGAAAGAGACAAAACTCACATTAGTACGAATCTGCTTTAAAAATAACAAAATAAAGTCATAAAGGTAATCATAAAAGTATGATTAGAGTTAATTCAGTTCTTCCAAACTAGGCGATCATTTGACAGGCAAAAATGATAGAAGTTTGAAATCATACTGATAGATGATCATTTAGTAAAATACAATATTTGGGAAAAATTGAGAGCATTAAAGAGAAAATATACATGCCCAACCCATCCCAAAACGGTGAATGAAATAGGTTGCCACTATTGGGTGACTAATCAGAAACATCATTTAAGCAGTAACGCTCAGGAAATGAAAATTATAACCTATCGTCATTACTGTTTAACAAAACTGCTTTGGTTTTAACAGGAAACACATTTGTAATATTGTAAGCCACTGTAGTTTTTGGTACACAGCAATTGACCTCAATTAAGAAGCTACTATATAGCATTTGCACCATACTGAGCAGATTAACATTGAACTAGATTGTTTTACTTAATCAGGACCGGACAGATCAAATATAAAATGATTTCCTTCCATTTTAGAATCACAAGAAAACAAACACAAATGGTACCCATTTAATCTGTGAAAATATTCGAGGGCCATCGTGCCAAACAAAATTTAACGCGAAGTAAGATTTGCCGACATTTAAAGAAGTCTGTTCCGCCTCCTTAACATATTTGTCGACTGTATAACCCCAACCAAGAATAAATATGAAAACATCCTGATGGGGTATAGGAAGGATAGAACAAATATAATATATATGTTAAGTCAGTCTCATAACACCATTCTAAAATGAAAATGGAAACTAGTATTCTTCTATGTAAGATCCCTCTCAAGTGACTGCAAAAGCAGTCTCAGACACTGATCAGAAAGCGTCCAAAGTACAAATTATTGGCTTCTCTCAAAACCAACTGAGGCAAATCAAAATAATTCAGCAGAGCCATAAGCACTTCGCCCACACACCCAGACATTCGCAGTGTTTGAAACAAAGAATGTTAAGTTAATAGCAATAATTGGCACCTTTGATGGGAGACAAGAAAAGGAAGGACAAAGCTTGTGAATTGTACCCACTTTGCCTAGTTAACTACTACCTACTGACATTGCAGTCCTTAGTTTGTTCATCTGCTTCTGTTTTCTTTTTTTTTTAATTTTCATTTTATTTTATATTTTTACTGTCTTTAGTCAGAAAACCTTGATCAATAACAAAGGATGAAACAAATTGCTGGAAACAGCCACATCCACCAAAGAGTAAGTTTTCAGTGAAGCAATATGTATCATAAAAATAATTAGTGCTGGTACAGCTTACTATAAACTATTAGATAACAGGCCTTACCTAATGAATGAATTGCCATCATTTTGGTGCAATCAAATTTTTTCCTCAGAATAACTTGAACACTTACAGTCTTTGGTAAAATGTACCAACATTTAGATTAGATAAAAACAATAACACAGAAGTCATTAAATATAAAAAGTACTTCAAGAAAATACTTTGTGTGGAATTTGGTAAGTAACAGCAATTTGACTCCAATGAAAGTACTTTTATCATCATTAAGTTTAAAATCTGCCATGATCCTTAGAAGATAAAGTTCATTTAGTTAATTTTTCCAAGAAGGAAAGAAGAGTGCCACTTAAAAAGTCTACAAAAATGGTTAAACTAAGTGAGGGGAAAAAGCTAAAATATTTAAGAAAAAGTTACAAACAAGCATGAAGATCTGGTTAACATTGCATGGTAGAACATTTTTCACAAAATAAAATGTAACTTGCCCATCACAGAGATAAAAAACGAGGTGGTATGTAGCATTACTCAACCCGACGCTTGTACTCACCATCCATGCCATTCACTTCGTCGATAGCTCTTCGCTTCAGGTGAGGGGACACATTGTTTAGGGGTATCTTCTCAGCTTCAGGTTTGTTGGGTACTCGTTCATACATCAGACTACCATCTGGAACAAGTTAGTGGTTGTTGCTGACATGCACCCAATGGGAAATAGTTTTTAAATTATAGCAATTATCTTTACCTGGAGCTTTAGGTGGTTTAGGGAAAGCCACAACTTCCGGTTTGGGCATTTTGCTCTTGTCGGTAAGAATTAACCATTCTGGAGTTACTGTTTCTTTGTAATGACCAAGCCGTGTTGCTATGGCTGTAACACTTCCTCTATCTTTTCTGCAGTATATTAGCAATTCTTTTAATTGTGCCAGTGACTTTCCTGTCATTTGTACTTGACCTGAAAACAAATTATTCATTACAGTATTTTCAAATGAAGAAATTTGTAACGAAACAGGACTAGACACAATGGGATCTTTAAAATTTGAATCTATACTTACATTCTTGCTTGATTGCAGGTACATTGATAGCCCAAAATGGTGCCCGCGCTGCATGACGAGTTTGCATAAGTTGACGACAGAGTCGACGTGAAATACGTGTAAGAGGAGTGGTGCACAAGTAAAACGCAGTTCTGGTTTTCATGATAGGTCGAGGCGAGCCTGCTCGCACAGCAAGACCATGGGCAGTGGCATAGTGTCGCGCCAGCTGGGTCTTGAGTTTGAATTCCTGACACAAAAGAGAGCAATGCCATTAGAAGAAATTAAAAAGTAAGCAACCATTACTGCAACATTTAAGCCCTACTTAATAAAAAAATACAAATCAATCTAATTATTACCTTTCCACAGCCAATAATATTGCAACGGTGCGGTCTATGCGATGCAAGGCTGGATGGAGCTCGCTCTGTGACTGATTCTGAAAGACAGAAGTTATATTATTAGCTATGATAATGAACATAGAAAGTGCCTTTCATTAAAATGAAACTCATCTGTTTACCTTCATCAGACACACTTGCAGAACCAGGCTTCTTCTTTATTTCTGTTTCACCTTCACCTATTCTAGATGGTACTTTGAGGCCACCGTACTTTTTCCAATATTGCCAGCAATTGTGGCATAGCTTGCACTGCATGTGGGATGGGCCCCAAGCATACCACTGGGTTGAAGATGAGGCTGCAAATGGACAAAGACAGTTATAACTAGCTTGATACAGCAAAGTCTTTCGACAAGAATTCAAAGTACATGAAACTTTCCTCACCATTGCAAGATTCACAAGCTTTGCCACTGATAGTCACTTCTCCATTACTGTTTCCATTTACAATCCCTTTGTTATTATTGATGACAGCTGAGTTAGGCTTATTGTTGCTGTTAAACAAAATATATCATGTAAACACCAATTTTTAGAAAAATTAAGAAAAAACAACTTTTTTTTTTTTTTTTTTTTTGCTTACTAATTGGGAATGTACACTTGTTTCAGCTTTGATTCTGCTTCAACTGCCTTGACTCGTTTCTGTTGAACATAACGATCTGTTGTTTTCCACATGTAGTAATATTCTATGATGTTCTTCAATGTTTTCCATGGAAGCTGAAAATAATAATAATTATTATTATTATTATTATCCTTGTAATCTTATTCGGAAAGAAACAATGAATCCCTTATTAACGATTGCTGAACAGTACATACAAAGTCTTGTCTAATGTCGTTGAAATCTTTCCCATATTTATCCAAGGCTTCCTCAAAGAGATTCGCTTCTGATGCAGACCACTCTTCCATTTCATCCCTACACAGAACTGGGCCAGTGGAAGGGACTAGAGATGATACAGCTGATGCTAAGTCGTAGGTGTGCTTATGCAAAGTATCCATTGCATGGAACTGCAATTCATAAAAATGATGAACATGATCACAGAATGAACATATTGTTTGTGAAACTGGATATATTAGTGGTAATAACTTACAAGAGTAATGTCCCTAGAAGCAGCAGCAGCACTCATGTGAAGGCTAGGCTGTTTAACAGAACTTGAACAGTCCAGAGCCCGGGCAAATGTTCCAACAGACCTGCAACATCAGTACAGCTACCATTATGCCCAGGACATGAAGGGAGTTGGCAAATCGCAAACAATAGGAAAACAACAAATAAACCAATAATATTTCTGTAAAGTGTACCTTGATATGACTAAGAACTGATCAATCTGTCTATCTGTAAGATGGTGGCTGGGTGTCCACACCAAAGTTTCCAAATCTTCCAACTTTCTTGAGTCATTTTCAGGATTTTCAAGTTCCTTAGGCATTTGAACAGGATCTACCTGGTAACGCCCACCGACTCTAATTTCTCCTTTGTCAGCCAACAAAGTTTTTTGTGAAGGGTCAAATACCAAACAATAAAAGAAGGTATCCTAAAAGAGAAAAAAAAGGAAGAAAAAAATTAGAAAAGGGGAAATTGAGTAGCCCTGTAATCATGATGAAACTGGAGGTATGTTTAATAATACTTACATCTTTATTCAGGTAACTAAGCAGAGATTCTGTCTCATTAAGAAGTGTAACAGAACATTTCCCTCGGATGTGTGTTGCTGGAATTGTTTCCACTTGGCGCGATAAAAACAGTTCGCGGTGCTTCAACTGATGTCTTTGCTTGCCATTTAGAGTAGATGGATCAACAGGCTCCAATGCTTTCAGCTTTTGGTTTTCTACTTCTTCCTCTAAGGCAACTGAAATAAAAACAAGAAAACAGACATGAGCTTCCAGGAAACTTCCAAAAACATTTTTCTGCTCTTCAGTTCATTAGCCTGACTCAAACGGAAGCGACTCGGAAGAGCGTTAGAGTTTGGCGCTGATGTGGCCTGGTTGAAAGTACCAGCAGGCAGATTCCGAATTCCGAGCTGGAGGCCTCCCTCTCGCACTGATTCGGCACGCCGAATGGGAGTAGTAGAGGGCTTACGAGGCTCTCCAGGGGTGAGGGGTGTGTGTGAGACAGAGAGGACGACCATGGAACGACGGTGCGCCCCGCTCGGAATCATTTTGCCGGCGCTCCACCGACCGGCTCCACCGCCGAGAGTGCGACAGAGAGAAAACGACGGAGTGCTCGCTCCGAACCATTGTGTAGGGGCACCTAGAGGGGCACCACCGCCACCGGCTCCACGGCCGCCCCAACGCCAGCGCTCCGCGCTCTTCGCCTGGGCAAGTCGTGTCCACATGTAGTGTCTGGACCGAGTCAGAAGTACAGTACCGCGGACCAACACGAAAGCGCTTGCGACGAGTTGAGCCTTTCCCTTGCATGCAGAGGGGCGTGCTTGGCCCTGCCGTCGGCCGTGCGGCGCGGTCAGGCCGCACAGGCTTGGCGACGCGCTGCGGCGCCCCGCGACCGACGCCCCGCGACGCGCAACGCGCCCAATGCTCGCAACGCTTGCCTGCAGCGCCTCAGCGGCCAGGGCGTGCCGGGCGTGCCGGGGCTCCGGATCGATAGACGCGCGGCAGAAAGGCAAGCCAAGTTCCCTTGGAAGGGCATGACATGAGCGGGGGTGCCACGGCGGATGCCACGGCCAGGGTCGGACGCACGCAACCTCCAGCGTCGGATGGCAATGGCACAGGGCGACCCGTGGGGTCAGCGAGGCTGGCGGAGTGGCGGCCTAGCCTCCTCCCTGCCACTCCTCAACTCTTCCAGGGAAGGACCAAAGCTGCGGGGTGTACCAAGGTTGCCCCGAGTCAAGAGTGGATCGCGTCAACAGCGCGAGTGCGCCCTCCCTTCGCAAAACCGACGCAGGAGCCTGGGCGTCGGAATACCTGCCTGCTGGTTCCAGCCAGTCACGGAGCCCTGCGTACTGTAGCCCCCACCCCTCCATTGCTCCATTGCGTCCTCGGGGTTGCCGAGAGCCTCGCGAGGGACGCGGCAGGACTGGCAGGACTGGCAGGACGCAGCAACCCCACCCCACCCCACCCCTGGCACCGGCTCACTGACCAAACCGGACCGGGGTGGGACGGGTGGCCAAAGCCAAAAGCCGACGCGGCAACTAAATAAATGAAACAAGTTTTCAAAGGGTGGCTGGCCAGGGCCAGGCACGTGGTGCCGTGGCGAAGTGGACGGGCGCAACACATGCCGGGAGGGGAGCAGTGAGCGAGAAGCCAGGAGAGCCAGGAGCGCCGGGAGCCACCCCCACGAGCAGCGCCTATAGCGCCCAGCGCGCCAAACGTGCGAGGGGCTCAGTCCGAGCCAACTCATCAAGCGGAGTACCGAAGGGTAGAAAAAGAGAGGAGGGGAGGGAAGGGGGAGGCGGTCCGCTTGATCGCGCGCGATGCACCGATGCGGCGGCCAGGGCGGCAGGCCGGCAGGGCGCTAACGGGCGGGGCGCAGGGCTAAAGATAGCCGTGGCAGCGCGCCGCAGCGCGCCGCAGCACGCCCACCAGCCCGTTTCGCAGGCCTTTCCGGGGCCGGACAGGCACAGCACAGGCGTCTCCTCTCCACTGCCGAAAGGCCACACCGCAAGACCGCCGGTTGAGGCGACGCTTCTGTTGCTATGCTGGCCGGGACGCGCCGCGACGCTACGCCCTCCTTGCCGCGCGAGGTGGCTCGGCCAGTCTCCTTCTCTCTCAGTGTGTGGCTCGTCTGCCCTGCCCGCCCCGCGACCACCCCTGTCCTCCGTGCCGCCGCGCCGCCGTGCCGGCACAGCGGGCTCCGCGCCACGCTTCGCGGCGAGCCGTGGCGGGCCGCGACGCCCTCCCCTGTACACTCGCGCGGTGGATCGATCGCCAGCCCTTCCCCTCCTCTGGCCGTGCCGACTCTCTGTTCATTTACTAATTCCCACTACGTCGCCGCTCTCAACGGCGCCCCGCGGCCAGGGCTGACGGGGTGACTCGGGTCCGGCGGGGCTGCGGACATGGCACAGGGCCACAGGGTGCCCTCGTCCAGCTCATCGCCTCACCGCAGCGGCGCGCCCCGATGCGTGCCGTTCCGATACCGAGTCCAATCTGGGAGCCGGCCGCCCCTCGGCGAAAGTGAGTGTCAGTGGGGAGGGCCGGCGCGCGCCCCACGGCCTCACGCCGAGCCGGTGCGGTGGCAAGGCCGGCAAGCAGCCCTGAGCCAGGGTCGCTGCCTCTCTCCCTCACCCCCGGCACCGGCAGCACCGGCAGCCCGAACCTACCGCAACGAGGGGCGGCGAGGGGTCCAATATCCCTGCACAACGCGATATGGCTGTCTGTCTGCCTGCCGGCTGGCTGGGTGGCCCCGATAGCAGAAACCGCGACAGCCGGATTAGCGCGGCGGCATCCCCTCGGTGCTAATCAAAACGGGCACCCCCAGCCAGCGGCAGCGCGGTGCCGCGCCAAGAGCGGCCCACCCGGATGGGGAAGGCCCTTCCGGGCCAAACCGAATGGCAAGCGGACGACTGCCGGTGCAGCCCGGGCAGCCTCTTCTCCACGGCCGCGGGGCTCGTGGGCGCGCAACGTGCGCGCAACGCACGCGCCCCGTGTCGTGTCGTTTCGTTGCCTCCGCGCTTGGTGCGCGCCTCCCCGAACCTCTCCTTGCCGCCACCCCTCCTCGGCAACGCGCAGCAACGCGGTGCCATTCCGTCGCACCAGTGCCGCACCGGCCTACACCGGAGTGGACCAGGACCACAGGGCCACCCCACACCCCCACAGAACGCCCTGAGGCGCGGCGCGGCCCTCGCTTCTCTCGCCCCCCTGTCTGTCTCTCTCTCTCGCACGCTCATTACGAACTCTAATGGGGAGGGAGGCTCGCGAGGCGTAGGCAGGACACCTTCGACACCCCGGCTCGTCGCCGCACGGGGGTGGCAAAGCGCGGAAGACGCCCCCCCCCCCTTTTCCCCGGGGTGGGGAGGCAGAGAGGGCACGAACGAAGGTGTCCAGTCCGCGGGCGTAGAGGATTCCCTCTTAAATAAAGGGCCGTCCCCTGAGCGCGTGTGGGTGCCGCGCCCTGCCGCGCCCTGCCGCGCCCTGCCTCGGCCGATCGATGTTAATCTCGCCAGAGACAGCAAGACTGGGCCTCGGCGACTCGGCCTCGCAAACCTCACGGTGGGTGCCGTGCCCTGCCTGCCCTGCCTGCCCTCGCGCCGTGACGCCGAACAAGTCGCCGGACTCGGTACAGCTCGCCGAACAGCACCGCCACGGTGGCGAGTTTCCCTGTCCACCTCGTCGCGTCCAGGGCAAGCAGGCCGGCGCGGCCAGGACGAGTGCCACGTCGGGCCGCCGTCACACACGCGGAGCTGCGAGGCCCGGGGCGCGCCGGGGCGTGGCGGACTCCGTTTTGCTGCTCTCTTTGAGCGGGGCTGCGAGGGGCTGGGACGACCAAGAATGCGGTCGCCTGCCGTGCGATTTCAGTGCGGAGCGACCGGCCCCCGGTGTCCAGCGGGCAGTGTTCAGCCAAGTGCATGTGGCAGGCGGAGGCTGGCCGGGGCCGGGCCGTGCCATGCCCGCAACGCGCCGCGGCGTCGCCCAAGTCAGCGAACTCGTAAACGTGCGGCGGTGCAGTGCACGGCAGAGGCGCAGTGCTGCGCAGCGCGGTGCGGACTGTACCCGACCCGACGCGATGCGGCGGCAGCACGCCGCAGCAGCCTCACGGCGTGGCCCGCCAAGCCGAACCGCCACGGCAGCCACGGCCGCACCGCAGGCCGCAGGGACCCCAGGGCAGCGCGGCGGCGGGTACAGTCCGCGCCAACAGCGGACGCCGCGGCGGGCATCGGTGTCGCGCCCCGCCGCGCACAGCGCCGGCCTTCCTCGGCTTTTCTTTCTCTCCAGGCCGCCCACCAATGAGTCCAGACCGTGCTGAAGGGGGGTGGGGGGAGAGGGGAGGGGGAGCTGTGGGCCTAAAGCACGGCGCAGGGCGTGCAGGGCCAACGCCTGGACGGGGCGCGGGGCGCAGGGCTCTCATGGCAGGGCCTTGCACGGGGCACCCCGGGACGCCCTACGCCCCGCCCCGCCCCGCGTCGCCACCGTGCGTCCTCGGCACTTGGAGCCGCCGACGCCGGGCCCGGGCCCACGCGGGCCGCCACGCCGGCCGCCCGAGCTGGCAGCCACGAGTGCCCTGCCCGTACCGCGGTGGCCGGGCAGGGCACGCCGGGCCGGCCGGGCCGTACGGCGGGGCGGGCCCGCGGGGCAGCAGGGCCGCCGGGCCGCGCGGGGCCGAGTACAGCCAGCCGAGTTGGAGGGACTACTTGTCGCTGCGGAGGAGAGAGATTCGTGTGCGGTGGTGCGGCCTGGCAGGGCCTGGCAGGGCCGTGCAGGGCACGAACGGCAAGGCAGGGCATGGCAGGACCCCTCTCCCCTTCTCATCCCGCTCCTCCAATGGCCAGGCACTTGGCTTGCCCAAGCAGCCCAAGCGGCCCCGCTTCCCCGCGACGGCGACACCGGAAGTGCAAGCTACCCAGAGACTAAGAGACCCAAGGAGGGCTGGCTGGCTGGCCTCTGCACCTGTCCAACTACTCACAGCGACCCCCGCCCCCGCCATCGGCCTCAACTGGCCGGTCACTGCACATTTCAGTCCAACCCGACTCCACGCCAAAAGTGTCAATGCCCAGCGGAGAAACTTTCAGTCAGACCACATGCGCCTTTACCCAGGCTACGCAGGCATTGGCCACATTGAAAGACATACCTAACAGTTCCACACTTTCTGAAAACCATGCTCAGGGTGTTGTCAGAATTACCCAATGGATATTTATTCTGTACAAGTACCCTGGTCTATCGCAAGAGATCTAATTAGCTTGGGCATAAACTTGACCAATAATACTATTCAAGTAAATTGAGTTAAATTAGTTAACCATTGGCATAAATGAAACAGTAACTGGATGAGGATGTTAATGTTAAATACAAACTGGAATGGGACAGTGAACGAATTTTCCTGCACTAACCAATACAAGAATGTAGCAGTGCTTAAGCTTAAATAATCACCTTGATGTTTGTCCGCTAACTGTACAAGAGGATTAGGAAGGTCTCTCCGCCGGAAGAAGCACATAACCTTGGCTTCCACATTTCCATTGGGAGTCTGAAAAATATGGAGCACATTAAAACAAGGTACTGCACCCAAAACAGTCAATGTTACTATTACACTAGATACCTTATTTAGTTCTTCTATTCTTCTAATGAGGAAAGGTGAAGTGGAAGAGTTTTCAAAATACACGTAATCTGCAAAAATAAAATTTCATTAAGGCTTACTCTAGCTGACTGGCAAAACCCTCAGGTAATAAAGAAGGTATTTTTGGCCCGTCCCATATTAATTTTAAAAAAGGTACATGAAACATCATGATCTAAAGTTAACAATGAAAAAAATCATGTAAGTGAAAAGAAAACGTATGAACAACAAAAAACAGAGAGATCCTGCGAATTCGAACAGCCTGGCATGTAGTTTGGCGATTGACTAAAGATATCAATGCAGTTTGAATGATAACAAGATGAAATGAAAGAATTAGGCAAAACGAGACGAGATTTCAGAAAAAGTATTAGACCTGATTTTCTCTCAAGACAAAATAAATTCTATTGCCACAACAGAAAAAAATCTTGATAATTTTGAAAGCAGGTTAGAGCTAGTGTTTACACTGCATCATAACCTTCCAATGACTCCGTGAAAACAACAACTGCGGCAAAGAAAACGATAGCTGGTTAATTCAGCCGGTCGTTCAAGTTTCAAAAAGTGAGAGAGAAGCCGACATGCTCTTGGAAGGCGTCTCTTGAAATTGCAGAGCGGCCCTGCTCTCCCTGCTCCCTTTGGTAATTAGTGGGGTACTAGTGACAAGTGAGAGATGCTCATCGAAAAGGGGCGTCACAGGCGTCAAGTCCGCCACAAAGAATATTTTATTTCAACTCAAATTGCGGAAGATTCAGCGAAGTGCGGATTCAAAGCCGGCATAATTTTTTGTCTTAAAACAGAAGCAAAGAGTTTGCTTGGGACGGCAAAGTAGTCCCTGTCCCCGCAATTAGCTGGCTGGCGTCAACAGAAATACAGCAAACGCACCCAAAACGGGACGGGTTCGCGGACTTCCAGGGAAAAGCAACAATTCGAAAGAGCCAAAATGCAGAATTAAATTCATCAGTGAGTCAATTAACACCCCAAGTTTGAGGTAAATTCGGGTACGGTATCATTCCGCACGCCGCTAGCTAGCCGGCCAGATAGGCTTAAAACTTCTCCAAGGGTTTACAAGTAATAAGTAGTACAAACCTCCGACTCTATACATATTTGCGGTCATTGCGTTATCTCCGATGATCCAGCAGACAGTGTAAACACACGGCGCTCAAAAATAAACACATTTAAGTCTTTGATTGTGGACGAGGAATAAATGACTACCGATCACAAGCTTCTCAAAAACAACAACTCGCCATTTTCATTTTCTGCCTCGACCGTCGACCGTCTACCGTCTTCCTGTTTGGAACTCAATCCGGTAGATGACGTCACGGGCGCGTCCTGCCGTCAGTGCTGCCGTCCGCTCCGACTTGCATGCCCCAAGGGAAATTTCCCTATTTTCAGTTTTGAGTTAGTCCTTCGTTTCCGTCAATTTGGGGTTGATTGGCAAAGCATCTGCACTAGGATGGCACAAAAATTTCTTTCAAAGCCATGCGTTTCCCGTGGACAGATTGATACGTTCGTCAAATTCTCAAAGTTTGCGGAGTACGAGAACTTTCCCGCGAGGTGGTCGGTGTTAGGACCGGCGCGCTGTTTGACAGCGGAGCCGAGGAGTCCCGAAGTGGGCCCGAACTAGCCCGAACCTCGCCGGCCCCGGCTTCGGCTTCCCTCCCAACTTTTGATTTGTTCTGCCTTTCGCACCATCATCTCTCGCACCAGGTAGGAAGGACCAATGCTGCTCAGTCCAAATAGCAAAGCCGTAACAGAAGCGCAGAACCTATCTTCAATATCGTTCTGTTCCAGTTTTGGGCAGATGATACCTTTAAATTATTATTGATGGCATGGGGGTAATGATGTGAAATGTGAAAAAAAGGCTGAAATATAGTTTTACAAAATTACAACATTTATTAAAGTAGACTTTCTATACATTCCTCCCAAGTTCAATCACTATTTCAATGTACAATGATGTTGATTACAAAACCATATCACAATAAATAAGTGAAGATTTGTTGATCAATGTATATGTCAAAGAATGGCACATTTTCTCTTGGGGCATTTGGTAAAACACACATCTTTGAAGAGACAATTTTAACTTTTTATACAGATTAACAAGTTTTTCTTTTAAATGTGTACCCCTTTCCCACACAAATTTCTGTACAATATCACACATTCAGTCAATGTACAGTCTCCTGCTACTTTCTGCTCTTGTCACAACCGCTAGGTGTGCAAGATGGATATTATTCACATAATGATACAAAATAATACTATGGATAATTTATGCTCGGACTTTAAAGACGAAAATGAATAACTGACTTCATGTTGGGGAAATGTCCAATAGAATATTTGTTAAGGCCACAAAGGTATACAACAGGAATGCACACAATTGTCAAACTATGGTAGCTAAGGGGAGGAAATAAAAGATGGAGGAAGTGAAAGCACTCAAAAATACTAAACTACAATTGTCATGCTTAGCATTGACAATGTAGGAACTTGAGAAATAACAAGCATTACAGAGGCAAATAAATACATTACACAATGAGACTCAGGATGAACTATAACAATGTAACTTGGCAGTCTCAAAGCTGGGAAAAATAACATTGCTTCACATCACTCCACATTTACATTAGAGGCAGTGGTGGACATTGCACTACAACTAAATCATAAAACCAAGTAATCATCCTAAATGAGACAAGTTGATAAATAATAATAAAATAAGGGAATCTAAAAATTGTAAACACATATTCCACCTTGCATTTTGTCTGTGGACCAGATTCAATGAATTATCCCACACAACCTAAGTTTAAAACAAACACATGGCAATAGCATGAGATAAAAAGGATATAACGGCAACTACATCAAGTCTAAGCTGCCTCAATTTCACAATCAGTTCATATGAGATGACATAAGATAAATAATTGATAAATAATTAAATGGTTTTTCTTTTTCTGGAAGCAGTGGATGAACTGACAAGACACACAATTTTATCAATAGTAAGATTCGTTGCCTTTCTTTTGGTTCCTGTATGTTGAGCATGTACTGAATTGAGCAATTAAATCATAAAACTGTACTTCTATTGGAGTGAATATTAAAAAATTCCAAGAAACATGTCTAAAATTAAAGCATGTAAGCAATTCTTATCTTTGGGCTAAATCAAAGATGCAATAGACTAAAGGTAAAGTTTTAGAAGATTTTCCATGTTGAGAGCACATTTACACTCCTCAGAAATAGCATTGTTGAGCATTTCATACCTCAATGGCAGCTGTAATTGGACACAATTTCATGCAAATTCAATGAAAAAAATTACGACCAGAAGGGGTTAGAAAGGGGAGAGGGACATCAGTGAAAATATTATTGCAGGCCGATTTGCAGACAACCACACAACAATTTTTTTCACAAACAGCAATATGTACAAACATTTCTATCACTATCATTCCTCAGAAATCAATTCCAAAAATAACATGCAAAACAGGGATCACTGATCATTTCCATTCAATATGCAAACCAGAAAAGAGGAGATTAATGAACATGAGAAAAAGTCCTACCAACAGAGTTAGACCTTGAACATTTCAGTCTGAGTATGATGTGACTAGAAGCAGGATTACAGTTAATACCATCCTGGCCAGATGTTGAAATACATTACACACACATGAAGAACAAGACACCTGCCTACAAGAAATGCAACTCTAAAAAAAATTATTCGGTACCATGGTCTCTCCTTATAATAAATACATTGATAAATAAGAGAGACGCTGGGACAATTGCAACTGGAAATACTCGCTATCTCAACAGCTGGCTGTCTCTAACATAGTCATCAATACTTAAATGAAGTCATGCTGCTTAAATAAAAGCAGTGAAGATCAATTGAAACAATAACCTTGTACAAAAATATCAAGAATGCTGAATGGAGTTTACACCAAAGTATTCTAAATATATTTTTGTAATAATGTGTTGGGTGCAGTTCAAAAACTACACACTTCACACAAGTTTATTTTCTTTTCTGATAACAACCTTTAAGAAGGCATGGTTAAGGAGTCCTGATAACAGCAGTCTTTCCGTTAGAAGCAAACTTTGCATTCAGTCTACTTTAAAGTGTTTTAACAGAGGAGATCTTCCCTTCAAACTTAGAAGACTCAATAAAACACAGGCCACAGGTAGCACTTAAAACAGCTACTATAAATAGCAATTGAGTTAGAGGATTATTAACTTAAGCAAGGACTACGACATACAGACAAAAATACTATCTTGAAGCGGGAAATAACTTGAACATTTAGGGAAAATACTTGAAGTTTGCCTCTGCAGATTGTTAGTGTGCGCCTTGCAGTATTTATGTTTTAAAAAAAATTACTTAAACCAACTGTATGTATCATCTGTTAAGCACATTGAATAAAACTCTGCTAGAACATGTGCCAAAAGAAACAACAGTACAGGAGGGGGTGAAAATACAGTAGTAGAGGGAAGTAGATTCTTGACCAGTCCTACCCCACAAAGGGATTACAGACTCTCCAGCAGAAAGCACACATACACACTTGCACATGCACACAAATACACAAAACAAAGGAGCCAAGTTAATTAACAGGAAAGATTATCACATTTCACCTTTGCATGATAAAACACCAATATGAGAAAAACGACAAGGAATGGACACTGATAAGGAATGAGAATTTTAAGCTTAGTCTTCTGTGTTGTAAAATGTTGCAACTTAAGGAAGTTAATACGCAATACTTTGGGACCTCAGTCTAAATAAGGGAAAAATGGAAGTCACAACAAAGACAAATGAAATGTGAGCCAATGCTCTCAAAAACAAAGTGACTAATTAGCATGCCTAGAAACATGCTTCAGAGAAACCAATGCTACAACACAAAGCAAATGAATCAGAAAAACAAATAAAACAGAATAATAGTCTGCGCAAGAAATGGAAAAAATTCTCAAGATCTCATACTGAAAAAAAGGGGGGTTACATTGGTTTTGGAAGGGCAAATTAGACAGTTGGCAGGAATGGAAAAGAACATGAAAGTTGCACAAACCTCAATATATCACCAAGTAAGAACAACAATTTAAAAAATAAGGTTCTTGACAACAGTGTTTTTCTAATACAAGCAAATCCCAGTACTGTGATTAATGATGGTCCCAGTGGAATAAAATTGTTCTAAAATCACAGTTGAAGAACTCGAGAGTTCAAAAGCAGGAGCACAAAACTTAAGTTGAGACACACCTTTTCTTGTTCTAATTTTCAAATGAATCATGTCAATGAAACGTAAATACTGGTACTGGCTACTAATACATGATTTTTCCTGTTTAGTCGGAATTTACATGTACATTCTGCCATCAACACTTTTAGACACTAGAAAGAACACACACTAGAACCAATAAGAATAAAAAGGTTTAAGTGCTGCAAAATAATTCATTAATGAGAACATCTTCACAATACTACCATTTTAAATGGAATTTCAAATGGAAATTTTACATGGATGAATACAAACTGAATACATACATATTCAAGTGTAAATATATATCTATAAATGTATATATCTCAGACTGAACAAAATAATTGTGCAATTACTGCACAAAAGTTATAAAAGAATATCTGTACAAAATTTTAAGAGTCTCATTGCCCTGTGAAAGGCACTTAGATAATTTACAGTCAACAAGATATTGTGGCAAGAGTAGATAAAACAATACAAGAAAAAATAGCCTCTGATCATTGAAAGAAGTTTTCAATAATACGTATTTACAAGTTTTTCTTCTACTTATGGGAATGTTCAGAGCTGTATCGTCTCCAAATGTGTAAAATATTTGCTCATAAACAAATAAAAATTTCTTCCTGACCCAGATGAAAAATTATTGCATTAGGTTGAGAAATCTGAGTTGACACAAAAATTGGACCCGATGTGAGAGATAACACGTAATAATAGATTCAAAGTTTCTCATCTTTTCATCCAAACAGGGGGAAACAAAGAAATGTTACATTGTTAAAGGAGCAATTGGATGGGAAAACTTTACTTTTACAATATTTCATGCACTGAGAAAGGAAGAGTAACAGGAAAACAAACAGTCCACACATAAAGAGACAAACAATGAAAAGGGGAGAATTGAAATCACAAATTTAGGTAAACCAACATTCACACATCGGAACATCATAATTCACACCCACATTTACACAATACAGATCTCTTGTCAAATATCATGTTTCATAACAATATAAATACAGAGGCAACAAGCTGAAGACGAGTTTGAAGCTGGAGTTCAGGTGCCTTTGATCACTACAACATTCCACCATTCGTCAGTCTGATGAAGAAGTCATCCCGCATGTTTTGATAAATTTAATGGCATATCTGCAAAAGAAAAGGAAAGCTGTTAGTCAATTGAATACACACTTGGAAATGCACATGACACTTCTACACCTGCAGTTATTTAAACAATTAAGACTTTCCCGACCGTCAGGATTTTATTAATAAACCAGAAGAGAAAGTTATGCAGCAAGAAATAGTTTATGTTGCAGTTTGCTTACAGAATCATTAAATTTGAAATTTGGAAGAAAATGGTCATTGTTAAAATATCTAAAACATGTCAATGTATGACAATTCAATGGAGAAAGAAAGATTTTTTTTATTGAAAGGAATGCACCCATCTAGCAGCGAATTCCCACGATTACAGCCCGGTTCCCACGGGCATGGGAAGTTTCCCACGGTCGAGGAAAACTTCCCACGGTTATAAGTTAAATTTTCCACTTATAAGCCCTAATTTCCTTCGATATTTCTAATACTCAAATTATTCTTTAGCGGACAAAACTGTGAGAACTGTGGGAAGAATCTCCAAATTTGGTAGGGCCAAAGCCAACGACCTGAATCCCTTGTTCCAGATGGTACCAGAGTTAGCCACCCCTTGGAAGTGTGGACTCCACTACCGCCCCCAACCCCTGCTGTCCGGCGCAACTGTCCCGCTTCGCCAACCCGGCCAACTCCCACGCCAACGGAAAATTCCCACGGATCGCCGACGCCAACCGCCCCGGAGACCTCCGTGCCCCCCGCGTCCCGCGTGCAACTGTTGCTCGCTTGCTTGCTCGCACCACCGCGGGCCGGACATGATCCACCCCCGCGCCGTCAGCCCCGCGGCCCCTACGCGGCCCCAGCCCCCTGGGGCAAGCGCACGGCCTTGGCACGGCACGGGGCAGCCCTCCCTCCGCCCGTTTCCAAAAGTTCCCACGGAGAGCGTCAAGAAAGCACGGGATGCATCTCCTCCTCCAGGCCGGCTCGAAGGTGGGCAGGCCAGCCAGGCAGGCCCAGCAGGCCCCGTCAGCCAGCCTTTAGCCGCCCCCCTCCCTTTTTTTCCTCCGCCCCAAACCCCGCTCTAGCGCTGCCCAAGCGCTGCAAAGACGCGTGCCTTTGCCTTTCGGAGACGCTGGTGGCTGCCACCATCACGGTTGGAAGCTTGGTAGGTAGGTGGAAGACAACACCAATTTTGCCCGATTTCACTTTGACCGGCTGAGCACAGCCGTTGTCCACGCGGCCAGCGCCTCCAGCCCAGCGTGCCTGCAAACGTGGACAGCCCTAGTGCGAGGTTCAACGCTCCGCTCCGCCACGGCTCGACTCGGCTCCGCTCTACCTGCTGTGCGCTCCGCCGCGCGCCGCGCTGCCATCCAGCACCATGGCGACGGCACGGGAGTGGCTGGGAGTGGCATGGCACGGCTGGCACGGGCACGCCATAGCGTGACGTGGCGCGGCTGCGCGGCGAGTCTCGGCCGACCCGACCCTGCCGGGCAGGGCGGGCAGGGCCTGCCCTCCAACGGCTTTCCCACGACAATCGTCATATTCGATGTAAACGATCAGCTCCAGCGACTACCGTGCGCACCGTGCACCGCACTGCCCCGCCAACGCGCCACCGCAGCATCATGACGCCACCACGCGCACAGCAAGCCCTCGCCACCAAATAATTTAAAAAAAAAAATTAAAACCCATTGATTTAAATTGCCAAATTTCTCCCAAATTTCCGATGTTTTACGCCTAGCGGCACCCTCCGACGAGTCTATGAGAAAAGTTCCCACGGCCCGTAATTTTTTCCCATGACCGGAAAACGATTTTCTGGAGTTTCCACATACACACCACTTTTACCTGTGATGCCAAATAACGTTTTAACAAGACACAATGGTATTTTTCCCACGCATCTGTGTTTTCTCTCACGGAAAACCAAGGGGTTCCCACGCTACACGCGTCTGGGAAAACACTATGCTGTTTGATTCGCGAGGTTCTTAAGGGCGTAAGTGCAATTTCGCACACGTCCTTCCGTAACTATTAGTTTTTCCCACGTTCCCCGACTTGTAATACCGACAGTACTGAGTTGAAACTGACAAGAACGTCCGTCACTTCGCCACACTTCCCTTTTTCCCACGCCCCCTCATTTTCTCCCACGCTACAAATGACATCTTCCACACCCAAAGCCACCACGGCTTGAACCTAGAACACGCAAAAGCGCCTCATGGCTTTTCCCGCAAGGGCCTAACCCAGTTTTCCCACGCTCCTCCATTTTCTCCCACGGTGCCAAACGGCCGTTCCCACGCTCCCACGAGTTTCCCTCGCGGGGCGCGGGCACACTGGTGCGTGCCGGTTGTCTCGCCACGGTCACTAGAGTACTAAGGGTGGCCCCCGGCGCCTCAGTGCCTCGGGCCGGCCGAAACCACCACCGGAAGCGCCGCACCCCGCACCGACGCGGCGACGCGGCAGCGCCCTGCCGACTCGCGACTTGCGACTGCTCGAAGCTCGAACCGGCGGGGTGAGACTCCCTCCAGGTGAGACAAACCAGCCTCCAAGGAACGGCAAACCCAAATAAAGTCCCAATTTCGGGCCGATTCCCACGGAAGACAGCAATTTCCCACGCCCGAGGCAACTTTCCCACGCTTGCTAAAAATTTCCCACGACGCGCCCGTGACCCATATTTGACAGTTGGTAATCTAGTGTTGTAACAGGTAGAATGCATCCACAAAATTATGGACAGAAATGCTTTTTTCTACAAATAAATGCATTTTTAACAGGAATTAAGTTTAGCATTACAACTGACCTAACATACATAAATTAACCAAAGTAACTTTCAAAGTAAGGCACTTCAGAAAGCCCTCAACAGAAAAGATGCAAAATCATGCAGAAAACTCTTGATCATAAAAAGTTTTACTGCACTTTATATGTTACAATTTAAATGGTAGAGCGTAAAAGGATTATGAGACTTACCATCATCTTTTCTTATGTCATCCAAGTGAGGCTGATGATTGAGCGGTGCCCAAGGCACATGTCCAAGGGGCGAGTGGTACTGGGGCGCAAGTCCAGGAAACAGAGCTGCTCGTTGAAGACTAGACATGTAGGGGATCCACAACGGTGGACCTGGTGAATGAGGTGGAGCGAATCCGGAGTAGTATGGGTTGCTGGCCGGATGAGGGGACATGTAATGTGGATAAATAAGGGGCGTGGGCATGTAAGGGGCATAATGGGCGGCCCCTCCCACTGCAGCTGGTATGGCAGGTGAGCGCAGACCAGGCGAGGGCGACAGCGTTGGAGAGGTCACTGGCTGATGCCGAGGAGGAGACATCTTCCTCACATTTCCTGACTTGGGGACACTTCTGACTTTGTTGTTGGTATCAGAAGCATCTGATCCAGTTTGCGATGAGGGAGACTTTAACAAATTGCGTAAAAAAGATGGTTCTGAATCTTTGGGCACAACTGGCTCATCTTCTCTGGGTGCTAAGAGAGAAGTTATGCTGTAACTACTTGCTGCTGTTTTCACAGGGGGAGGCACACCCACTGGATGCAGAGTGTGGCACGTAACGGTACTATTGTTGGTTGATGCTGAGCCATTGCCTTGTGAGATTCTTGATTTCTTTTGCTTCGAAATATTTCCTTCATCAATACTAACACGTTCCAACTCCCTCAGTATCCTTTTCCGAGGTGAGACAATGTTGGGATCAACCCTTCCACTTGGGATTATGGGTCTTGAAGTCTCATTTGTCTTCACTCTGTCTATTAAGCTTTGTACTATGTTTGGCAGCTTTCCTTTACTAGGTGTCTTGGACATTGAAGAATTCATAGAACTAATGGAACTATTGAAAGAATCATCCGCATCTTCCTCTTTAATCAGAGGTGCCTCAGCTGCATCATAAGGTCTTCTTCGCTTTCGCCTGATGGATCTTGAAAGAAAGCTAAGTCTCCTGATACGGCGTGCAGCATTCAAAGGCCTCATCAGAAACTGTAAGTGAGCCCCTCTTCCTCTGCGTGGGCTAGCCTGCTTAAATGAGTGGTCCCTCTGCCATGGTGACGATTGTATTGATGAATTATCATCTGAAACTAGAGAAGTATAACATTTCAAGATCAACTCAAGAAATTTACTAGTTAAATTTAAATTAAGACCGCTTACCACTAAGAGATGGAGCAGAGCTCTCTTGGCGAGGCGCTCCTGGTACCGGCCAATTCGAGACCCAACACATTCTATCCCCATCTCGCCTATATGACAGTTCCAAGATCGATTTACCATCTACAAACAGAAAAAAGAAAATCATGTTAGAAGGCAAATAAACAGTACACATTGATAATATTCTCAGGAGTGTGAAAGGATCATTAATTAGAGAATAAACAACACAAAAACAACTAAAGGTCAGAAGTGTTATGGTGAAGATCCATAGACACACTTTCATATACGTATCACTGAATCTTGAGATAATCGACAATAAAATAGTGACAGTAAGAGGTCTAGAAGATCTAACGGAGTTATGCCACCACAACTAAAACTGAATCATCATATCTTTGGGGATCAAAGAAAAAACAAAGACAACTGAAAATGTAAAGGAATTTAAGGTTATGACACAATACAGCAGACATACACAAAGCTCAGGAATGCTTGGTGTGGTATGATAACAGTACAAAACCCCATAAAATCGAAGAATTCACAAGATTGTCTATTAAATAACCCACAAGGGTCATACCAAACAAAGTCAATACTGAGAATTCAGTAGGCGGGTGTAGACATCCTAACATTCAAGCCTACACGCCAGAAAGCACGTAGTTAAGAATTCTTACCTTTAAAAAACTTAAGTCTTCCTCCCGCAAAAGCGTGAGAGGAGTCAGACTCCGCGGGATGGGGCCTAACCCCGTCCAACACATAGCCTCTGGGTCTCTTGCTAACGGCAGCGGGGACTGGGACTTGTACTTCACAGACCCCGTTGACGCTCTGTTCCTCCGTCATTTTGGCACATGTTGCACTTGCTTCGATTTTCTCCTGGATTCGCATTTCGGTGCGCCCTCCTCACGCCGACCTCCCAAAGGCCACAAACTTCAAAACGGTGCCCCAGCCCTGGGCCGATATCGAGGCTGGCTCCATCGTCTGGTAGCCTATCTCAGGATGCTTCGTTACTGGCACTGGCCCATTCCACCTGCTATTAATGTCACAAAAACTTCACTTATACCATTTTCCCCGCTTCACTCGGTCAATTTAGAGCAACGGCCAAGGTACAACACTTCAATTTCATCAGTCTCACATTCGCTTTATGTGTACTAAAGCCACAAAATCAGTCAAATTCCAACGCCGAAAGGCAAATTTCTTCCTCACCCTCGTCGTCAACATTCCACTGTTCCCACGTTCCTTCGAGCAATCCACCCATAGTCCGGTGGCCAACGTTCCTTCGTTTATTCGTATGACATTGTAAATTGCTTTTTGTTTCAACGCAAGTTACAATAAAATGAGGAATTGAAGTTTTCAATCTTTAGGAACGGTTTACAAGCGCTTAAATCTACGATTTAAGCTGCAATTTAGACGGAACTTCCATTGCGTACAAAGATACTTTCAAAACTCGCTCCACTTGAGTGGTGCACCAACAGAACAACTGTTACGCAGACGTAAATACAAACTTCATACGACGCCTATTTTCAACTTCTTGATGGGTAAAAAATAATAATTTGAATTTTTCTTGGTCTTTTTTGCCTTGGATAGGAATATATGGTTGTAAATGGGCATATTGTCAATCATAGGATATTGTTGGACCTGCGATTTTTGTTGTGTCATGTTGTCAACGCCCCCGCCTGTTCCATCGTCCCCTCTGGCACGTAACGGACAGGGCTGCACCCGAAAGGGTAGCCCGTGTCGGCTGTCTCGCTCTCGCACGCAAGATTCTACGAGGCGGACAGAGATGGAGTATGTACACAAATGAGGGGGAGGGGAGAAGGAGGGGAAAAGGGAAGGTGAGTGATGATCCGTTGCCGTCCGTCCTGTCGGCTGCTGGTGGCCGTGTCGGTTGTAAACACAAGATTATTGAAGCTAACAGCAAGAGCTATTGAATACGAGAGGAAATGAAGACAAAATACGAAAAAATGAACGAGGCAATGGAAAGAGATGGTACTTACGTAGAAAAGAATTCAATAGGTTATAAGAGACATTGCATCTTAAACAGTGTATCAAACGAATATAACCTAAAATATTGTCCATAACATGTACATACTTATGTCTTTAATGCCTTGCGATAACAGCGGTGTCATCCCTGATGCACACCTGATTGCTATCTTGTATGACTTACTTTTATGTTCAAATTATTTCAGGTGATCCTGATGATGATTTTTTAAACCACGTGGAGACAGACTTAATTTTGCCAAAACTTGAGGACCTGAGAATCAGAAACGTAGTTTGCAAGGCAGATAAGGAAGGTAATCTTTCCAATAATTTTATGCTGTTCTGTGTTTTCCTCAAATTAATTGATCTGAAAAGATACTAATTTTGTGTTTTTTGTTCTGCACCATTACAGCTCTGGAAGCATGTCGGCAGAAATATGGATTACCCCTTTCATTTATGTGTTTCTTTGATTTTATATTTTATGGGCTGTGTATTAGCAAAGCTAGAGATTCTGAGGATATTCAAGATGATTGCATGGAAGAATATCTGGCAGTTCGTTCAAGATATAGGCTCACAAAAGATCCAGCTATGTTAAAACGACTGAAGGCCATGGTCTTCCCTCATAAACATCAACCAGATCCATCAAAAGTTTAAGGCTTACATTTCATTCGTTCTTCTTACTTGTCGTTTTGAACTCTTTCGTTGTTGTTGCCAAGAATTGTAATTATTGTAAAACATAAAATTGTCTGCCATTTTCCTTACATTGCAGTAGAATAAAGTGTTTGTGTTCTTTATCTTAAAACTATCCTAGACTTTTTTCTGGCTTAAAGGCATTGGAATTGTACTGCTGAACTTCTTTACATTATAATAAATCAATGATGACATTGACTGGGAAGTGTGAAAGCACATTTGAAAATCTCATGAATAATCCGCTTTGGACTCACAGCCCATTAAGAGGCCATGCCCTCTCGCGAGAACAAAACTCTTAAGAGTTTTTATTTTCCACCCAATATGAGATAGGAGGTCTTATGCCTTCAGCTGATTTTATCATTAGACAGAGTTAAATTTGTCACACTCGATGGACACACCATGCATGGTTTATGTTCGCACAATAGTGCAGTACGCAAAGGGCAACTCTGTGCCGTACTGGCTGGTTTTTGCGGCGAGTCCACAACCGTCTTCTCGGACTGGGGGGGGGACACACCAGTTTTTGCTGTTTTTGCCTATTCACAGGGCGGCGATTGACTTTTTGCCTACCTCTCAGGCGTCTGTTTGGGTACCAAGTGGGCTCCATGGAGTGGGGGGGGGGGGAATGTCCTTTCGCCCCCCATGCCCACCCGCTTGGCCATACGCGCATGGAGAATAGACGTCTTTTCCCTGCGTTTGCGGCCGGTAGCGGTGCGAGGCAGCGACCGCGGAAATGGGGTGCGGGGGGGGGGGGGAGAACAGCCCCCTCACCCCGAAAAGAAACGGGAGGGGGTATCATCCCCCGTTTCCAGCGATAAGACGTCACAAATTTGTGTAGGATAGCCAAATTTGAACTCAGCGTTCTCAAAAATTCGCTGACTTTCAGCTCGCTTTCGCTCGAATTTTTTGGTACTTTCGATGACTTTTAGCTAATACGCTCGCTTTTCCCCTTTTCAAATTCGATGGCTTTTGGCCCGCTTCGCACGCGTTTTACCGAGATTGGTGGCCAAACAGGGCCTCCTCCTCGTCGTCCCCCCCCCCTCTCTTTTCCCGGGTGAACGGGCGAAGAAGTACATCCGCCCGCGGTTCCTGGTGCGGGGAAAAATAACCCCTGAAACTGCGAATAGTACGCCAAAACATGTCTCTAGAATATTATTCAAATTTCGTGACATTGAGTCGGTAGCGCAAACTCTTTAAAATGCGAAAACTCGTACGCATGGTTTTCTCCGTCTGCAGTCATGGTCGTAAGGTAGGCCTCGATTATGCTGAGTGTGCTGTGTCGCGGGTGTGCTGACCGGGTACGCGACGCAAGGGACGCGCTGGCCGACGGGCCTGTCGACGGGCTGGGCTGCGTGCTCATTGCCCATGCCTCTCTCCCTCTCTCTTCCTCTCGGCCGCAACCGCACCGCCGTCGGCCTGGCCTGTGGGGCGGCCTTCCCCGAGACGCTCCGGCTGCACTTTTGGGTCTCCGTGGCATGGTGGCGACGGCGGCCCCTCGGCGGAGGGCCCGCCAGTACCCACACGACGCCCACCTCGTCCGCGTCCTCCGCGCCGCAGACAACGCCGGGGCCCCCGTCGTCGCGGAGTCTCCGCCACGCCACGCACAGGTCAATCGCTAATGGGCTGCATGGTAAGCAGGGCGCCAAGCGGCTCAGGCAATTCGAGGCAAGAAGAGCGAAGCAAAGCGTTGCCAGTGCCGGGTCTGAGTGTCGAGGTGCCGGGGGCGGCCGGCGCTTAGCTTCGACCGAGACGCGCGTTGAGGAGGCGAGTGATAAGAGAAAACGGGATAAATTGCCGTCGGTCATTTTACTGTTGCGGACGAAAAAGGAACTGAGTTCCGACGTGTGTCTCGTGTGTTCAGTCAAGTGGCGGCCGTCGGGAGTGCGCAAAAGGCCACCATTCGTTGGCAGTGGGCCACCGCCGCAAGTCGCGGAAGTGTTGACGGCGACCGATGATGGCCGGGAGGTGCCCCGAGTTGTCGAGAGTAAGTCACGCCTCCATTTCATCTTTGCGTTTGCTGTTGTGTTCCTTTTAGAACGCGTAGCCATCGCTTGGTTGTCGATGTGACTTTGAAACAGGTGGAGAAAGGGGGGGGGGGCAATCTCCCAAAACTTTTGGACGGGTCGAGCTAGTCGAGCCCCGCGATACAAACCTCTGAAGTACGCGAGTTTGATGCACGAAGGGGGTGAGGTAGGGTGGTCCAAAAAAAAATGAAGTTGCTCGGATCGTCCAACGCCGCCCGGATTTGGATTCTACATCGAAAAAAATAAAATACGTGTTTTTTCATTTTTCGAAAAAATATTTTTAGGACCTCCTCAAAGCCCTCAAAGTTTTTAACAGTGCTATTAGAAGGAAAAAATCGTAACTTGGTCATTTTTTGACCGATTTTCAAAACCGAAACGGGGATTTGTTCGTTTGTGAATGCTTATTACGAAAAAAAATATGCCCAACCCTCTTTTTGGTTTGCCTAACTTTCAGGGGCAAAAAATGACTAAATTTCGGCCCAAATTGGCAAGAATTTCCGTTTGTAGGCCGCTACAGCCACTCCAAGTCCACCTTGTCAGCATGACGGGGTGCCCCCACCACTAGGCAAGCCCCATGAACAGAAATGAGATGCCGAGTGCAATTTGCCTACCTCATAGGGGCATCAAATCGTGGATTTTTTCGAAAATCTATCAATAGTGGTGTCTCTTGGGGCCTCTGGGCACTCAGATGGGCACCCTTTCACCCGGTTCGGTACCCGCACTGCGTGATGAAAACAAACTACAGGAATTGACTGTTGAGCACCTCATGCCTACCTCTCAGGACCAGAAAAACGTAAAATTTAGAAAATTCCTTTATTTATTGATGGCTTTTCTTGTGGCCTTGCGTGGCTGCGGTTCCTCGCGCCAGCATCGTCCATTCCTATTGTTTGTTCTTATCACGTAGTGTGGGTACCGAACCGGGTGAAAGGGTGCCCATCTGAGTGCCCAGAGGCCCCAAGAGACACCACTATTGATAGATTTTCGAAAAAATCCACAATTTGATGCCCCTGTGAGGTAGGCAAATTGCACCCGGCATCTCATTTCTGTTCATGGGGCTTGCCTAGTGGTGGGGGCACCCCGCCATGCTGACAAGGTGGACTTGGAGTGGCTGTAGCGGCCTACAAACTGAAATTCTTGCCAAGTTGGGCCGAAATTTAGTCATTTTTTGCCCCTGATAGTTAGGCAAACCAAAAAGAGGGTTGGGCATATTTTTTTTCGTAATAAGCATTCACAAACGAACAAATCCCCGTTTCGTTTTTGAAAATCGGTCAAAAATTGACCAAGTTACGATTTTTTCCTGTTAATAGCACTGTTAAAAACTTTGAGAGCTTTGAGGAGGTCCTAAAAATCATTTTTTCGAAAAAGGAAAAAACACGTATTTCATTTTTTTCGATGTAGAATCCAAATCCGGGCGGCGTTGGACGATCCGAGCAACTTAATTTTTTTTGGACCACCCTAGGGTGAGGGCGCCTCTGCCAGCCCGTGAGTGCGTGAGAGTGAGAGAAGGGGGCACCAGACTCTCGTCGGTTCCACTGCGGACAAAGTGATGTGACCACCATCCTGCGCACCGGCGATGTTCAACAACATGCAATCGTTCTCCGGCGAGGCCTGGCCAGGAGGCCTGGCCAGGAGGCCTGGCGAGCGTCAGGGATTCACGCAGGCCCCCTGCATGCTTGGGGCGTTGTGACGTCCTGATGTCCCTGATTGCCGATGCCGTGGGAAATTGAAGAGACCGTCGCGTCTCGTGTCGTGTAGGGCAGCCCCACACAGCGCGTGCAAGTTTGCGGATCACATGGTCTGGTGGGACGGGATGGGTTTGCCGTGTGATATGCATTACTGCAAAGGTCACTGTTGGCCCGCCATGAACAGTCGAGAGACGGTCCCGAGAGTCGCGGGGGCGAGTCGCCAGGCCCAAGGCGAGTCGCCCTCGCGACTCGCTCTCGTTAGCTGCATATACCACAAAACCTGTCATTTTGGCTTTCTTGGCCCAGAAAAGGGGTAGTCAATGACCGTGGGCTCCCTCCAAAGTAATTGTCATTGATTCTGCTGCTATCTGCCAATGCATCGGCATCCATGGAGTTATAAGCTAGTGCAAAGGCGAGGGAATTCCTCCCCCCCCCCTCCGGGCCCCCAATGCACATAGGCAGTGGAGCATGACCTGCCTAGTGGGCAGTGCCTACCTACAAGGGTATTCATTGCAGTGCAGGTGCCTATCAAAGGGCGTTTAGAGGAAGGGGGCGATCGCGCCCCACGGACAGTGGCGGATCCAGAGTCGGCCCAAGGGGGCCGACAAAGCAGCACTTTTTGCCTACTTACAGGGGAATCGTGGTGCTTTTTGCCTCCTTTCAGCTGGCTTGGGGGGGGGGGGGGGAATTGTCCTTTTGCCTCCCCCCCTTTCCCCCCCTCTGGATCCGCTCTTGCCCACGGAGCCTTCTCCCTTCTAAAACGGTCACTGCACTAGCGGAGGGACAAAAGCGTTACGTTTAGGTTATAGCCAGGGAATACGTGATCGAGCTTACGCCGTGAAGCCGCATATTCATATTTTTCAGTGTACAGGACGACGGCGCGCTCTCTGTGCCGGCGAGACCCGCGGGGCGCGGGGCCCCAGGAAAAAATGTAAACGGCTGAAACCAGTTTGCAATGTGTTTCGAAACTGACTACAAACATAAAACACGGAAGAAACTGTATGTAAACTAACATTGACATTATTGAGGCGTTTGCATCAAGTATGAAAACCTGCCAGAACCATCCCGAAAGCAGCCAAGAAACATTTTGCCAAACTGACTACATACTGTTTCCTGCGTTTCCAAAACAGGCCATAAACACGTGGCAGCCGCGATAGGTGAACAAGGTGAACATAGGCGCCGCGCCGCCGTTCCCGTTGTCTGCGGGGAAGTCCACGGCAGGCGACTGCGTGTTCCGCACTCAGGCCGGAGCAGCAGTTGCAGCAATGATGGACACCAGGTTCTCGGTGTGCCGCAGGACTAGTGCGTCACCACGGTCGCCACCCTCACCCTCGCCATGGCGGTGGTGCCGTCGCGGCCGCTGCCGCCGGGCATCCCCGCGGACTGGGCCGGCGCGCGGAGGCTGTTCGAGGCCGCCACCAAGGGGCTCAAGTGCGGTGACCTAGTGCACGCGCGCCACGCGTCCTGCTCCAAGGCGGCCCTGGACATGCTGGGCGCTTCCCTGTTGGGCTCCGTCCGGTTCTTCTTCCCGTTCTACGTGGTGAGTGCAGCAAGTGCGGCCACCACGACTGATGCAGCATGCGCGCCTTTTGCTCCGTCTCTCTTGCTCCTTTGCCATACGCGATCCACCACGCCGGATAACGTGATCCGGGCGGGCAGAGATGTGAGAGGGACAGAGCGACGAAACGCCGTGGGCATCAACAGGCTGCAATTTGGCCAGGCAAGGCGTCGCGCTTCTCTCTCTGAGACTTAGCCAGCTTAGCCACACCCCCTTGCAGGTCCACGCCGCGATGCACAGCAAGAAGGCGCTGGCGGGCGACAAGGACTTCTACAAGGACATGGCCGTCTACTACGCGCGCTCCATCCTCTTCGGCGCCACGATGGGAACCACCTTCTGCGTGTCGAGCTGCATCATGGTGTGAGTAGAGCAGAACGTGTGGTGTTAGCGGCCGGCCTCGGCCCCTGCGCAAAAATCCTATGCCAGGTGTGGGGTTCGAACCCACGATCCCATGAAGGGAACCAGAACTTAAGTCTGGCGCCTTAGACCACTCGGCCAACCTGGCTCGCGTTCTGGGGGGTACCCAAGGGCTCTGCACTTGCTCTGCTGGGTGGGGGGTGGGTGGTGGCATCCCGAGGCGCATGGCGCATGCTCGGTGAAGGGCCTGGGGTAGCGCCGGGGGTAGCGCCGGGATTCGCGATCTGCGATCCGAGTCCGATCCGCGAGTCGCTCGTGCAGCATCGGCTTCATGTCGGCACGCAGCTGCACACGGGCCGGGCCGGGGCGGCCGCCGGGCGGGGAGCGGCTCGGACGGTCCGGGACCCTCCCCTGGTATCTCCTGCAGGCTGATGGCGAGCGCTTTCGCCGCTGTCTCTCATGCACTCATTGGGCCTCCCGTGGAAGTGCGTGAGAGAGACAGGGCGACCAAGCACCGAAGCACTGTGCGGAATCGCTCTGCTTTCTCCGTCGCTCCCACAAGTGCGCCGGGAGTGCGACAGAGAGAGCAGGTCGCCGGCCGACGCCGGGATGCCTGCAGGGCGTCGCAGCGCGACGGTTTACTTCCTCCCCTCCCCCCTTCGGCGCGCGGCGTCGGCGTCACTGCCAGTCCGCGGCGGAGCTGGCGAGCTGGGTGCAGCACGGCGTCGCGACGCGTGGCGACGGTTAGCTCCACCGCGACGCTACGCGACGCCAAGCACCACGCGCCACTCCCCCACCCTCCCCACCCCACTCCACCCCGAGCCGGGCAGAGCCATGGGCCATGGCTCGGCCGTCGGAACATCAACCAACACACAACTGATTCAACATGTTTCCCGTTTCCAGGCGGCTGGTGGGAGGTTTCGCGTTCTGGACCGCGCTGCTCGTTCCGGGCTCAATCTCCGGGCTCTCCATCGCCGTCGAGCACATCTACAGACGCCGCATCGTCATGAACACGTTTTACAACATGGTGCGTCAATGCAGCATTCCCCGTCCCGTCCGCTCGACATAGACAATGTTCCTCTCTGCCACTGTGCTCGCCTTGATCTCGACGGTCGTGTTGCAGACGCTGGACTACCTCTACCTGCGAGCGCAAGTCGCGGGGCTGGTGCGCAGGACTGCCGCGGCAGAGACGGCCGCCTTCATGGCCCTCAACGGCCTGCTCCTGTACCTGCTGCACAAGGCGGGCTCGAAGAAAAGGTCGACGCCCGTTTTCTGGTTCGCAAGTTTGTCTCTGTTCATTTTATTTGCCTTGAATGGCATTGCCCAAATGTTTGAGCCCACCGTTTAATGTACTTTTCTTTCTTTTATCATTCGAAAAAATAATGCGAAAAACAGGTTTTTTATTCCCGATGGAGAAAGATCAGATCAAAGTAATGAACCTAAGAGAATATGTCCAGTTCCACACAAGGGGACTTGCTGGGAATCAGCAGTGCAGGTTGTTCATGCTGGACGTGGACATTTAGCTCCATTGTCTTCCTTTATGTACCTAAGCCCCTTTTTTTCTTCTTTCAGGCAACAGCAAAATATTCTGCGGTAGCAGCGGCCCTGCAAGCCTTGCGGGTCGTGATGAACAGAGGAGGCCAGATTGCAAAGTCTCCTAATGTTTTTTTCAGTCACTTTCTATCTAGGAAAACAGCTGCTGGCATCGCCTCCTTAGGGGGATACGTCCTCTTGTACAAGGTCAGTCTGAAACAGTGGCGTGCGCAAGGGGGTCATGCCCCCCCCCCTCTTTGACCAGTAGACAGCCGCCTGGAAGGTAGGCAAATTGCGTCACTTTCCCGCTGTAAGTGAGCCAATAGCATGGCCTGACACCCCACCCCCCCGCTCAAAATTTTTGCGCACGCCACTGGTCTGAAAGGCCTTTCCTCTGAAGGCTCTGTCTGCGTACCGAGTGTTTCGCACGTCCCTCTTTCTGACCACGAAGACAAAGAGCATCATCCCCATCCTCAGAGGCCGAAGGTCTACCCACGTTGTTGCCTACTACCTTGCAGGCCTTGCAGGCCTCGTCCAGCGGCGCACCGGTGTGGAGAAGGTTGCCTACCCGAGGACACCGCCCTGCCCTACGTTACCCCTAGTAACCCTTACCTACCCCCTCTGGGGGACGTAGGGCTCTGTGCCCCCCCCCCCCGTCACGCGCAACACGTAAAGGCACAGATAGGCCACCCGCTGCACTGAGGTGGGGTGTCTTTGGAGTCTATGGTTCACTGTCAAATAACACGAATCTTGAACCAGGTCTTTCCGTTGTTCCAAAGGTTGTGCGCTGTGTGCTAGGGGTGCGCCAAGGGGCGGACATGTGCCACCACAGCGCTGTGGCAGGGCTTATTGCAGGCTCAGCTTATTGGCTGCAGCCCAATACCACAATCCTCTCCTCAGCTCTTATTGCAATTATCAGAGTTAGTATTTACACAAATTTGTTTGATTTTTACTGTTTCCACAGAATAACGGTAACAATTTGCCCACTGTCTATTTCAGTTGCTGCTAGACTACTTGCCACGGAGAGCTGAGATATTAGTTAAATGGCCTATGCCAGAGCTTCTATTTGCTCTTTGCAACGGTATTTTAATCCATGCACGTTGTATGGATATGGCACATTGTCCAAAGTTTATTGTTCACATGCTGGATACTGCAACTCGGAACAGGTCAGTGTAAAAAATAAAATAAGCACTGAGTTTCTTTTCCTGTTTTGATGAAAATGGACTAAAGCACCAGAGCCACATCAAATGTCTGTCTTCTTGTCATTGCTCTTAGTTTGTTTTTCCTTACCATCCAAAGCTTAACTTTGTCTCTCTTTCACAGATCACAAATCATCTATGATGCTTACATGCAACAAGTGAATAGAATTCAGTTTCACAAACAAAATCATACATAAAAAAGTTCACAATGGAATTTTTCTTTAAAAACTGTGATATACTGTGAGATACTCAAATTATGGCTCTTCAAGTTACAATTTTATGGATAAGACAGATGTTAAAAGTATAGAGATGCTATTGGTTACATGCCAAATGTTTTATTTTGTCAGCCTACAAATTTGTACATTTGCTTCAGTATCATTTTCCCACAATTCCCCTTACCGCCCTTCCTTGTATTCAGGCCATTTACTACGTGAGTGAATGTACTTATGGTTACTTAACCAAGCTCTATGGATGATTATAATTTAAACCAAGTCCAATTCATTTTAAGAAAATTGTCCATACACAAAGAGCCATATGGAAAGAAACCAAAAATGAACAGACATTAAAAAGAAAACAAAAAACATTTCAGCTTGGAAGAAACATGGTCATTAATAAATGTCAAAATTTTATCAAAACCCCAAATTACCTAAACAGACACACATCTCTCTTTCTACCAGACTTTTACTGAACATACCACTTTGAAATGGAGAACACTCTTTATTGATGAAAAACAAGTTCTCTTGTTTCTTTGAGGGACACCATGCTTTCAATTGACATGCTGATCATACATGAAATAGAATGTCCATGTTTCTCTGAAGGCCATTATTGGAAGCACATATGCAGAAAGACCAGGGAGAGAAGAAAATCACAAAACATAATTGCAATATCATGTCAAAAATTGTACCCCCTAAAAACCCTTGGAAAAAAAACTTTCTCAGGGTGACAATCAACTTGGTCGAATGAAGTCATTATATGATATTCTCTGGCGTCTGTTCCATGGAGAACTTCCTAGCAGCAATTGAAAGTAAACAGATACAAGCGAAAAGTTCTTTGGGAGTTCAACACTAGGACTTTGACCTCACCACATGTTGATACTAAAATAAAAGTATCACAGAAATCTTAAAGTAAAAGAGGGTTGCTAGATTTCTAAGGTAGAACTAGATCAAGCACAAAGCTGGTGCTTGGAAGGCCCGGTGGTAGTCATTAGGGTTCATAATTTCGATCCGCCATACAAGTTATTGCAACCTGTTCCCATGGCACCTGGCACCTGATGCAGCAGGTTCATTGTACTAGTACAATACACAAACATTTCAGTGCAATTAAAAGAAGAAGAAACTGTAGTCAGTCAAAGCAACGTTTGCCCCTGGAGCAATAGACCTAACAATGACTCCGATTTCATCAAAGCTTGCATTGATGACGCGATAGAAAAAGAGGAACTTGATAGCATCTTATAAATACATGAATATGCACTTCCAAAATAAAGGACAACTTCTACCCCGAATCCTTCTCAAGAAAATATAGCGTTCTCCCTTACATTCAAGGACCAATCGTAAAATACCTGAAAACTAACCAAGGCTGAACACAATAAAGAATTGTCAAACTATAAGATGCAAGAGCCTGAAAGAATATTCCATTAACCTTAACATCCAGACTCAAATGATGAAATAACATCAGATAGCATGGTAAGACAGAAGGAAATTTGATTCGAACACCTGTTGATATGCAGGAAACAGGTTAGAAACAATCTGGCCAACACATGTAATGTCATTTCTACTATAAAAAAAGAATAACATCAACTTTTCACTTATAAGTTAGTTTTATTATTATTACACTAAAACATTCACACAACACAGCACAACCCAGATGGAGAGCCTTCAATGCCTGTACAGGGTGTCTACAAAGTGGAAAAATGAAACAAAATCCTGATTTCATTTAAAAAAAAAAGGACTAATTAACATCTAAAGTGAAGATTTTAGGCATATTTGATAATATAGAGCTCTGAGCTACATCAAAATGAGGAGAAAAGAGAGGTAAGAGAGCTACTTTCATAAAACAAAACAAATAAATTAAATAATTGTTTCAATTCCTTTTTTAAAAAGAGGCAAAATAAATTTGCACATTTGTAGTAGGAGCAGTCGTAAACTTTAAAATTGCTTCATTCCTGCAGACACCCTTAACTTATCACTTTGTACAGCTGTGTGCATTCTAAAAACTATACAAATGAGTTGAGACTTGTTCATACTATATACACCAAACGAATCATAAAGGGTTGCTCCAAATTGTTACAATTAGAATAAAATACCTCAACTTCCTTGACACCATCACATTTAAACTTTCGCAGGTCATGAAAACTTTGTACAGCATGACAGCAGTCACTCTGGGGTGAATTGAATACCTTGACCTTCCACAGCTGTACAAAATAATGACAAAGTACATGTACAAGCTGCTGATTGCACAAAATCCACTTCCAACAGCTTATTCAGGCATTTGTACTGGACTCCATGATTTTGGCACACTTTAATGCAAGACTGCTGTGGCATGTTGACAAAAACTTAAACAAAGGAAACAAAATGAAACATATTTCACAAGTAACAAAGAGAAATACATGCTTTAAATAAATAAATAATAAAAATGGAAAATCTACAGGTCCTTTAAAAAAATAAAATTCAAGGAGCCAAATAACAGACCGATATAACAAGTCTGTAAAGATACAATTAATTGAATAGAAAGATAAAATAAAATTGTGGCCCACAAAAAGAGGCTTGTCAATAAACTTTAAGGACCTTAAGGAAATACTAATGAAAAATGAAAGGTCAACGTGGACAGGCGCCAGAGCATGTCATAGATGATGACAAAAAAATACCAAATACATGCAAAATAAATTTTTTTTGAGGAAAAAACGAAAAGCAAGTGTTTTTTTTCCGAACATACCAAATCAGTCCCACAAATAATATCTGTACTGGGTGCCTGAATAAGCGTGGGCACAGGGTATACCATACTTGTAGGCTGTAATTCACTTGCAGAAGGTGTAAAATCCAATTACATTGAAAAACTGATCATGGATCAAAAGCCACATTATCACTAAAGAGCCCCATGAAAGATGAGGATCTCAACTGAAGCTTTGATTTTCATGACAATCTTCAAGAAAGGAAACCCAGACAAGAAATGAGAGGCTGTAAGTGAAAAAAGTAAGAACAACTTCATTATGAAAGTACCATACAGGCATAAATTTACGGCCACTTGAAAGTCAGAACTTGACTACCAATTAGAGTTCATTAAAAATTGGAGTTGGGCCACAGGTAGTCTTACTTCACAAATATACGATAAATGAACGTCTAATTTGAACTCCAAATGGCTGTAAACGAAAGAAAGGGAAGTAAACAACTCCATTCAGAAAGATGACTTTCATAATAAGTCTTCAAAATGCCACCATTGGCAACATTGGTATAATCAACTTTGGAATGATTATTCCATGTAGGTTTGGTTCACTCACCAACAGCTAATAACATTAAACATTTATAAAAATAAGCATGATCCTATTCAATTAACAGTATGTAATATACAAAAGACAGAAAGAACTAAATACAAGTGAATTAACAGGATACTTTGTAATACAGTATACGAAACAAGCACGCATCACCTAGGAAGCTTCTGGTTTTAAGCAAAACCAGAGGCTGTCAATAGCAGAAAATTAATTGGTGAAAGGTGAATCTACAGTACACAAACCAGTCTTCTGTTCCTTGACATCTACATTTAAGTTGCTAGGAGTTACTTTTTCCAGTGCCTCTGTCCTGGGAAACAATCAGAACTTCTGAACATGTCGTACAAGCAAAATAAAGCATGCACTTCATAGATGTGCCTCTGAATGAGCTAACTGATGGACTGATGTGTGGGTCATTTTAACAGGGAAATCTGATGGTTTCCCTCACTCCTCCCAACTCATCAAATGCCAATCCACCTTAAATCACACCATATTCTATCACTGGCACACTAGGTGAACAGACCGAGGGAATATTATAAATGGGTAACAGGTTCTGAGAATAGAGGTGATTGGAGTGATAGGAAATGTTTCACAACCAACAAGTCCAATTATGTTTAAAAGAGCTTCATTTTAAAAAACAATCCAGAAGGCAGCAATTTCAGGCAAAGAAAAGTACAATGCCAAGAGGGCAATAAGGAATTTTAAATTAATTTGAGCAAATCTGATTATGTAGTTAACAATGATTTGTCAAAATTGCAAAACAGAATTCAAAATAAATTGCGGTGTTTACAATTTTACTCATTCTTCTTTGAAGTTCATCGCCATAGACAGTTGGTTTGAGGTTTGAGGACTTCCTTCTCTAATGCCACTGGTCCAGTGCAGTTACACTCCAACTCGTATTTAATGTTAATTTACATTACATTAAGAATCAGAAACATGAATCATCGACAATCCAGCTCATGGCAGAGTGCACATGCCAGCGCACTGAAACACACACACACTCAGACACTATTTCATAAATCAGTTTCAGATGATGTACAATGTCCATCATGAGAGACGTGCACGTTTATGTACAGGAGTCAATAAATCACCATTGCTGTCATCTTCATCTTCATCGTCAGAATCTCCTTCATAGTCAACCAGTCCCTGCAGAAAACAGGAAACAATTCGTTATGAAGCCATTCCTGGTTTAGGTGCTGAAAAAGTGTGCAGAACAAATGATGTTCTTACCTTTTTGAACTTGTCTGAAGGAGAAGCATTTAGAGGGGAGCTGCTTACTGAATTAGTCATGCTCATGTTATTGTTCATAGCCTTGCTTGGGCTGGTTGTAAGTTTGCTCGGATTCGCCTCGTTCTTTTTGTCCACAAGTTTAGCTTGAAAATTAAAGAAAAGGCAAACATTATTTATTGTGAAAGAAGAAGAGTCACAGCCAAATTTTCAATCCATAAACAAACAGTCTCTAACCAAGAGTAGAATTGAGGTCAGAGTCCAATTTTTTGGTAAGAATATCTGCATCTGGGCCTGGTACAACTGAATCCTCCTCAAAGTCTTCTTCTTCATTAAACCACATTTCTTCCTCCTCTTCCAGCTGCCGCTGGTCTCGGCGGTATCGATTGTTTCTCAGAATTGAGGGCACACTATTTTTTCACCCAGGTAAAGAAAAGAAAATAAGATTAAATTCTACAAAAACTCTCCTTAAATTTTAAACAAAGTATGAGTACCAGGGCCCTTACCTATCTAAGGACGGCCGATCTCGATCCTTTAACTTATCAAGGTGTTGGTCGTACCTCATCTTTAGAGACTTGAATGTTTGCACGTAGTCAATATCATCCAAAACTTTACTAAAATTCTCTACTACATGAATACACAACGTCTTGATATCCTCCTGAAACCAAAACATAAAACCCTGTTAGGATGTTCTTCCAAGAAAGAAACCATATCAATACATAGTTGAGGATAGCTTACCAGTTTGATGAACTCAAACATCTCAAGAATTGCAGAATCCAATAAATTGTATCTGCCATTGTTCCTAATAAAAGCATCAATTACAGGGGCAAAAAGATTACCCTTTGTGATATAACGATTGTAGAATTCGTCCTTCAGGGCTATTATTTTTCTCATAAATCTCAATGAACAAAGCACCAAAAATGTGTGAGTAGATTTCATAAGAACAAGGATTCTTCTAAGTAGATCTTTTGAAAGAATGCAATTCTTTATGTGGTAGGTGTGGTGCTCAACACAAAATGAGAGCAACTCGAGAATAAGTCCTAGTAGCTGCACGGTCTGGTAATCTTCTTTAGCAGGCCAATCTGAAAGAGTGTTGGTAAGAAGAGGACCTGAAAACATGTAAACAAAAAAATGTTTTAATGTTGCACCTGACAAATAACATAACAGCTAAGCACATGCTAACATACCAATCAATATATTGACACTGTGCTTGTAGAAATAGTTCAAGAAATCTGTCTTCTCTGATTTATTGAGAGATGCCATCATATTTTCTGGGTCAAGGAGGATTCTCAACACCCCCATGAGCTGGACAGCACCACCCAATTCAGAGTCAGTGTCACAGATCATCTGGTCTATGAGAACATTCAGCAACATTTGATCCTGTTGAATAAATATGTTTTTACATTAAACAATATTACAAATGGAAGCACAAGAGAGAACCAACTGTTACTGAATGGACAAACCTCATCTGTAGAATTAGCCTGCTGCAAGGTGTAGTCCCTTACAAAAGAAGGGTTGAATTCAACAATATATGTTAAAATATCTATTGATGCTGACTTTGTTTGTGTATCATCGGAAGTCAATGTAATTTCTAAAGCAGAAAGAATTCCTAGAGAAGTGAGTGTCTGCAGAAACAGAATATTAGTTATTGATTTTGTGACAGATTTTACTTCAACAATCCATTAATATACAACAATCAAACCTTGTAGAATAATTCTTTTCCCTGTGGTTGAAGGTTTTGAGAAAAGTTGCAAAACTCTTTCAAGAAAAGTACTAAGTCACGTCTCTTTGATTCCTCTGTTGACTCATCAGTAAGATGGCCAAAAAGCTCAGTGAGAAATTTTTCATCATCCTAAAAACAAGGTTTTAAAAATAAGGAAATGCTAGGTTTTCTTCCCCAAGTACAAGTGGTGCCTGAGTCTCAAACAACATTAATGTTATTAGTATTACCTGAATCAATGTAACTATTTCAACCTTATTGAAAAATATGAAACTTGATAATGTTGAAAACATATTGTCTTCAAAGACTGATGGTGTTGGGAGCACTACATCTTGAATGTATTGTACTCTATACGTTTGGTGAATTTTTGCTAAGAGATCAGCATTTGAGATAGGAATTACTTCTTTAAACCTGGAAATGGTTGAAATTATTTTTTAGTACAAATGGGTGTGACACAAATATATAAATGTAAAATATGATTGGCAACTGAGCTGACCTGGCCAGTTCTTTCAGGTACTCTCTATGTTTTTTTGGTGTAGGTGATGAAGGATCGTACTCAAGACATCCTACGACATCAAATATAGAATCGTCTAGGCGGAAAAAAGACCCACATTAGAAACACTTGTAAAATATACAATTTCTATGATGTAAATCACTGCCTTTAGATCTCACCTCCAAACATAACTTCAAACAAAGCATTCTTGTTCAGAAGAAATATGTTCTTGAACACTTCATACAAATAGTGCAGCCCCTCAATGTTATCAAGATCTTCGCACATATGGAATAGATTGAGCAGTTTACGGATGTACCCTTCCGTTTCAATTGCAACGGACAGCTTTTCTTTCCTCATGGGGGATGTGAGACAGCTGCTAACAACCTAAAATTTAAAAAATTAATTTTAAGTAAGTGACGTTAATCAGTGGTAAATAAGCACAGAAAGTGGTTTCTTGTAGGATACTGAAAAAAAAAGAGTCCAGGTCAAAACAAGAGCAAATACAAACCTCATTTATTTCTTCCAATCTGCTAAGCTCACAAGGAGGAAGGTCAATTGGAGGAGCAGAATCAGACATTTCATCGAACCGCTCATCTTCACTTTCTTCTACTATGTCCTGTGTTATTTCAACGGAAGGATCTTTCCCCTGAACCTAGATCAACATTTAAGATTACACATAGAAAACCTGCCATAAAGATAAAAAATAATACAAAAAAAGGAAGTTTTAACAAACCTGACAGATTTTTTCCCAGATTTCATCACAGCCTGCCTTCTCTTGAAAACTGAGGGCAAGGTCAAAATTATCACCTTCTGACCAGACAATTAATGTGTCCTGTACTCAAATCAGAGGGAAAAAAATATTAAAATTTCAGTTTAAACTGCAGATTTTAACTGCCACCTATAAAATGTCGATCTATACTGACCTGTTGTTTTTGGTAGGCAGTGTCCGGCTGAATTTTGGACTCCAGGAGGAGCGAACCTTACATGAGAAATAAAAGATGATTAGAAATGTCCAGTAGGAAGCCCAGAATAAAAGTGATACAATTTGTGATTATATTTACCATCAGATTCTGCCCTAACAAGTAACGAAATTCCTTTAAGTCTGTCAACATATGAAGATGAGACATGACCTGTCCCACGGTCATCCCATTGCCTATCCGCATTGAGCGCGTAGAGTTTTACGCGCCTACGAGTGTCCGTCATCTCCTTGTTTAACTATGCACAAACATTGATCTGCAACAATGGAAGATATCTTGTCAATAAAAAGGCTGTGATGACAAACAAGTCACAGCAATTAAGAAATTGTTCAATTATTCATCAAAGAAGATTGAAAAAAATGGCATTGGAATATTGATTTCTTATTTTGAAAGGTACCTAACCAATAAATAACAAAGTGAGAGAAATTTGAGTCAATCCTGAGAGTAAAAATTTTGATACCAGACTGCAAAATTTGTTTACCACATTTTGAATAAAGAAACTTAGTAAAAATATGCCGCTTGGAAAAGTCAAGATAAATTAAAGAAGGTTGATGTACAACACAGAAGCTGACATTAGTTGAATAGCCTTGACTAGGGTAAATTCAGAGAAATGGTCAACAAAAATTTGGAAATCTACGATTAAAATACAAAAAATCCACACAACAGTGACGTCGACTGACTATCTAAGTTACTCTAGTGAAGTTGAAATACAGGAAAAGTATGACATTTGTTTACTAAACACGGTGTCAGCCAAGGGCACGTACGCGGACAGCAGACCTTGGGAAGCTCTCTCAAGACCGGCGACGTCCAAAATGCTTCTGATGTGCACATCCACAAGTTGATGGAAGCAAATTGGATAGTTTAATACACTAATCGCAAATCTAACACAGTAAAGCTTGAGCTCCAAGGGAAAAAACTTTTAAAACTGCTTGTCTGACTCAGTAGACGGCAGAAAGCGACCATTGCCTTGAAAACCACAGGTTAAGTAGGGTCCGGCTTCGTAACGCTTGCCTCAACAAACCCGAGTATAAAATTCCAAATAACAAACAATCATACTGTGCGACCAAACTAGTACAAAACCGACAATTTGAGGACTCAAAATTCAACGAAAAAGAAATTAACCACAACAAAGAGTACCGCAACATAAAATCAATAAGAGGAGGACGGCACACAGCTACACGCATGAACCTCTCGCACAAAGAAAAGCACAGAATCTTAGAGATACCTAAAAGTCATAATCCATTCATTACGTGTTGAAATCTTCTTGGAAATTGTATATTAGACTCTACTTTCATATCTGGGTTATTACTACGCCATTTTGGATTTAATAACAACGCTGCACGGGGTTTACACGGACGTCACTACGGACTTCGATTTTAGGGCTAGGGGAGGTTTCGTCTTCTCCGGCCAGGGTTTGGTTGGTCCGCTGTCCGCTGCTAGAGGCAGCGCTTCCGCTGGAGGGAAGGGAACCCTCGCTGTTTTGACAGTGGTGGGGTGGGAGAGGCCCAGAGCCAGCGATCTCGTACCAACCGTCACCGCATAAAATTTAGCAAAAGATCCCGTGAAGATCAAGAGACCCTGTGAAATACACCTTAACCACGCTAGGACTGCAGTCTGTCTCGAAAGGTGGCAATGCGGCACCCTCCCCACGAGTGCGAGAGAGACCCTTCCGCCTAAATTCGTGTGCGCCCGCTGGTCACATCTGCGACACCAGGAGCGGTGCATCTAGAAATGACCTGATGAGGGCAGCTTGAGACAAATGTATGTCTGTAGAGCAGGCGCAGGCAAGTAGCATCACGGCACTTTCTTCGCCATCTCGTGCCAATTGTACCATCAGCAGTGCATGAGCGTTGAGCATACAATACCCTCAGATGATGTTACTCTTTCCGTACTGAAACCGGCATACGGTCAACTCTTGGGACTTCCCCAGCAGAGGAGCCGGTAGCACGGCCACCAGCTGCGGCGCAGTCACGCACCCTGTCTGGCCGGACGATTCCTACGAGATAAGACTGTGGTATGGAGGCAGCCGTAAGCCCCTGGCAGCGCTTGGAGGGTCTCCAACGATTTCCAGGGCGGTACAGCGATTTAGCCTGAGTCGGTCCTCGTGCACGGCTTGAAGGTCCCCCATGGTCCCCCATGGTCCCCCACCCCTCCGCCCCGCCCCTTTCTGGACGAGGCCACCTGTGATCTAGTGCATCACAAACACGGCCCCTTGGGCCCGAGCGTCATAGTATATCGGTATCAACAAAATGTTTTTTGTGGCGAATCGAGAAAGTGGTCCCAGTACGCTTTGCGCTTTTCGTAAGCGACAGTTGGTAGCTGACTTCACCTCCATCCACCGCCACTAAGCGAAGACGAGGGAGGACGACAGACCCTGTGGACAGACTGGATGGCAGTAACTGGATGTCATTCATGGTTTCTCGTCCATCTTCTGCATTCATCAATTTCTTGCGGAAATATGTTGCACGCTAAGTCGTTGCCAACGCTGCAGCATAAAAGTCGTTGAGGATTTAGTAAAACAGATGTCAGTTAACCCGCCTGACAATATTCGGAACCGTCCGACGTGTGCGACAGTGCAACCCAGCCAATTTGTAGTCTTTTGGCCCTCCAAAAGAATCTAGATCTATGATGTCCGAAGGATGCTCCCAACTTGACAAAAAGCGGTTACCCATGTCTCGGCTGCGCAGGCTGCGCTGCCCTCTCGCCCTCTGGTGGAAGTAGCCCTAACTTCTAGGCGCACTGCGAAAACCGCTAGGCTAAGGGCAGATTTTGCTGCCAACCATACATGTGCGAAATGAAATTTGCAAACCCATATTATGTGAAAATTTTGCCTCCTGTGGTGTTAATTTTCAAGATATTTAATGTTCCTTGAACGCGTTTCGCTCATACTAAATTTTTCTGTCACCGCCGCTGTTGTTTGCAAGCGTTAATTTCAAAGGAGAAAATGGCACTTTTGCATTCGCGAAACGTGTTTTTTCTCTCTACTTTCCTTTTTGCACAAGCAAAACCTGGTGAAATGAGCGAATGTTTGGCAATAATGTTTGGGATTTCTGTGTAATGTGCTGGAAATGATCACTGAGCATCCATATAGTTGTCTCTGGAAAACCATTCTTCTCGTCTAGGTTCATTCTTCAGTCCAAGTGAGTAATTATTTGCAAGTATTAGCTGGTTCGCGAAGGTAGCGAATTCGGCTTGGGAGCCCTGAGGCTTAGCAGTTGTGTACGTGCAAAGTTTTCGCGTTGACCATTTAAATAGGTTAAAAGCCGATAGAGGACTGTACCGAGCCGGGTGGGTATCGGTGGCTGTCGAGGGTCCTGAACACGCCGGTGACTTCGCCGGTACCTCTGACAGAGTCGCCTGCACCTCTGTTGTAAAATAATGCTCGATAACTTATATTGACCTAGGGATGAACCCAAACATGACCTTACCATGTTCCACTTATAACCTACTGGTTCAATGAACTTATTCTCAGATTGGCCCTCTATTAGAAACCCTTAATATTTTTTACATTAATTTGTGACGAAATGTGAGTTTATGGTCTGTAAACTTTTCCTAAAACTCAATGAATTTTAATTGGCAGGTAATGATTAGATTTTATCTCCATACTTGTAACATTCTGTGAGAGTTGTAAGGTGATTTTGATAAATTCTTCTAGGTACCGTTGTCGCTTATCAATTAATTTTTTATTAAAGCTACAGTTGTGAATTATGTGTAAATTTTTGTGTTACTTCTGGTTTCAGTTATGGCAGCAGAACAATTCTGTTTGCGATGGAACAACTTCCAGAGCAACATTGCTTCTGCTCTTGGCAGTTTAAAAGCTGAGCAAGACTTAGTAGATGTGACACTTACTTGTGGTGGCAGAAGTGTCAAGGCCCATAAAGTTATATTATCTGCTTGTAGCCCTTATTTTCGGGCTGTATTTAAGGTTGGTCCACATCTGATCACTTGAAACTCATGCACATTGATACAATTATTGCCAATTTTCTGTTTTTATTGTTACTTAGGAAAACCCATGCCAGCATCCTGTTGTAATATTAAAAGATGTCCGATATGATGACGTTCTGGCTCTGTTAAGCTTCATGTATCAAGGCGAAGTGTTTATTACTCAAGATCAACTGTCAACTTTTTTGGAGACTGCAGAGCTATTGCAAGTACGAGGTTTGACTGGAGCAGTAAGTCCAGTAAAAGAATCGGTTAGTAGAATTTTATAGAAATATATTGTTTTGGTCGACTGAGTTCATAATAGTTTTGATCATTGAAGCTGTATTGTTAAGTGTGTGGAGAAAAGTGCTGACCCTTTATGCCTTTGTTTCAGCCACAGCAGAAAAGTGGCCAAGGGCTAGCACCACCAGCACTGAGCAACATCCTACAGAAGACTTTCTCCAAATCATCTACTATAACCCCATCATCTGGAGGCAGCTCATTAAGTCGTTCATCTTCTTTTACAACTAAACATGGTCATGGATCATCAAAGCGCCATGCCCCTCCTTCATCCACAAGTCCTCCATCAGACGCACTATCAAACAAGGAGCAATTATCTGCACCATCATCTCCACAACATTTACCGAAGAGACGCAAAGCCACACCTCGCAGAGTCAGTACAAGCAGTCTGGCTTCCTCAGATGCTGGAACTGAAAATGCAAATTCAAACTTAAGTGCACCTGACCCATCTCGTATATCTGATGAGACTTTAGCCCACCTAGAAAATGTAACAGTAAATATATCTGAAGTCAAGCAAGAGCCAGCTGATCGAAATTCTGACTCAGGAGCTCTTGAAAATGACCTGGATCACGAAGATGATGGCGAAGTTTACAATGACCACGATGAAGATGATGGCGATAATGATGAGAGTAAGAGTGGCTTTTATATGGAAATGGATGAAAGCAACGAAGCTGGTACTTCGAGTTTATTGGCACGATCACTAGCTGGAGTTTCACCTCGAAGCACTGATGGCATTGGTAAATTCCTGATCCTGATTACTTTGCTCAAACTGCTTTCAATTTTCTCATAACCAAGCTTGCTACAAAGCAATAGTCATTTACAGAAACCACTGTATGAAACTAATTTATTTTTCTGTTTGCGTTGTAGGTGGACTTTCAGGAAATAATCAAACCACAGCAACTGATCTCACAGCAAGTGGTAAGTTTCTTTTCTGCATAAATTTCTACTTTTAACTATGGGTATCTTCTGCTTTTCTGTTGTATTTAAGCATGGCCAAGCCTGAGGGTAAACAGTATAAGCTTTCCCATTGCATGCCTCTTTAAATCTTGGGTGTAACTTCAATTTTACTTTTGGTGTAAGGTTTTTTCCTTTCTTTCTAAACTTATTTCTCCCAAGTACAAACCCCTCTTTGAACAGCAAGCAATTTTTATAAAGTCAAAATGTGTTTTGCAATCTCACTTAGTTATCTAGAAAGCAGTAAAGAAATGTAATATTCACATGATCTGGTGAAAGCAAACGTTCTCTGTTCGTCAGTCTGCTCCCCCTCCCTGTATGGCTGTTATTTATCAGTAGTTCTCAGCACAGTGTTTGAGTCAATGTTTTGAGGTACATAGGTAATTTGTTTTTGTTGTGTTTGAATATCTCAGTGTTTTTGCCATGCTATGCTTGTTTAGTTTTGGGCACAGGGGTGACAAGTCTTATTGATTGTTAAATTTTGTCTTCGAAAAAAGAAAAAAATAGTTGTACAGGTTCTGAGAGAAATGTGTGTGTGGTTTTGGTTCTTGTGGTGTGATGGTTTCAACAAAGGTTTTGGATTTGCTGGATTCTTAAATATTATTTTTGGTGTATCTATCAAGTGTATTAGTCAGTTATTTTACAGTTTCATTTCATTTGCATTTAAGAGCTGTCAGTGTGAGTGTCACTCTGCTCCAGCAAAAATTTTATGAATTGATCTGATCATGCATCTTTTATTGTATTTAATTCTCTTGTGTAATTGTGCTGTATCAATATAATACTTTAATTGAACTGTTGAAATGCATGGATCTTGTAGTTCCCTTTGATTTGTGTGGAAAGTAAATTAGGTATGCATGTTTACTTGCAAGAAATTTGTAAGGAAAGAAGTAGCCTTTGTGCAAGAAGTATGAATTTGTTGGTGTGGAATATGGCTGAGGTGAGTTCCTTTGTATGTAAGAGATTCAATTTTGGTCTGGTTAATATTAATCTCATAATCATCAGACTGGTTTTCATTACAAGTAGTTTGCTCCTAAAACAAAATTTCACATTTTTTTTTTATCATGCAGTTTTCTTTTTCTTGTTATTCCAGATGGGGGCAGGGAAGGTTATTTTAGTAATTGGAGTGGAGGAACTCTTCTCAACATGGAAAATCTGGCCAATTTCACATTCAATAATGGAAATTCTCTAGATAACAGTCTTGGATTGAATCGACGAACCCCGACAACTAGCAGCTGGTCGTGCATGCAACCTCGTTCTTGTACTCACTGTAATAGAACATTCAGTAATAAGTTCAATTTAAAGCAGCACATAGAAAATGTCCACACGCCAAGCCAAGCCATACCCTGCCATATATGCAATCGCTCTTTCAAGAACAAGTGGTACCTTAGAAAGCATTGTGTAACTTCACATGGTGCACCACTCCGGAGAATCAAGACATCTGCTGGGAAAATTGTATACGTCAATGAAGCGACAAGCATCACTCCATTTTACCTTAACAACAAGGTAGATACTGTTTGAGACTTACAGACTTGATGGTTGTCGTGGGAGAATAGGCACAGCCATACAAATTGTGAATTACTTGTGATTTAAGCACTATTACTTCAAGTGGTAGTGCCTTAAATTTTCCTATGCATTAAGTTTTAGTTGCCCAGTAGTAAGTGTGGGAACGTGAAACTATTTTTGTTTCTTATGAGTGAATAAAGATGTGAATTTTTAATGTTAGGTTTTATCCCCAGTGCATTAATATTAAGAACTATAAGCAGAAGCAAAACCTTCAGCTGACCATTATCAGCATTCTACTATATCAACTTTCTTTTGTGCCATATGCCCCTCATTTAGTCATATCATATCTTGTTGTGTCCAGTTATGATTGAAATTGGCATTGCCTCTTTCTGGGCCTATGATGTGTACTATTGACTGATACCATTAAGTGTGAATTATTACTTTCACAATGGATTGTCTATTAGGACCTAAAGCTTTTCAAGAGCACTACAAGTTAGTTGCATTTAATTAAAAGTTTGATGGGTAGAAGTCCTTTTAAATTTCCATGGAATTTTTTTGTACAGTTAAAAGACTGACTGAATAGTGAAACATATTATAATTACCATAGTCTTAACTTAAAATTTCTCAAACAATTAATGTTTGCACTTTTGTGAAAACATTCTCATTGCTCAATTTTAAGTCCCTCACTTCACGTAAACAATGTTTTATATCTTTACAACAGGCTGTGTATACTTCTCAGTTTTTCTGAGTTGCGTTAAGTACAAGAACTGGAATGTTTCCAGTTTATGACTGCAAATAATAGTGTTAAGTTATGTGATCCACATTGCATCAGTATTCCCCTTCAAGTTTTCCCCGAGTCAAAGATTTTTTGTCATAATGAAATCTGTCTAAGGTTTGCTGTCAATAAGGATTCGTTTAGAAATTCTGCTTATTTTTCTATGAGCAAATTTTGTGTAGTTAATTTTAAAATTTAGATTTAGTTCTGATCTACTTTTATGTATAATTATGTAGTCATCTTAGCTCATGTCCCTATCTATTAATAAGCATCAATTATGCTGTCTGTATCTCGCAGTAATAAAAATAAATTGAATGCTTCTTTGTCCTGTTTTGGATCACCTTCTACTAACAATCACTTTCATTTCATTCATTGAGCAAAACAAGTTGCAGTGACTTCAAAGAAAGTTCAGCAAAAATTAATTTATGTAATCCTTAGCAAAAGAAATGAGAACTTTTCTCGTTTGTTCTGTTTACAAGGTTCTTGTCTTGCTGTTCCTAAATGGGAACATGTAGAATTTCCTCCCCCCCTCACTAAACTTTTGCCTGCTTTTATGTTGTTAACACACATGCTATGCCGCACACACTTTTCTATGCTTCCTGCGCAATTTATGACATCTTCTCAGTTTTCTAGATTCATAAAGGCCAAGCTGGGTAATAATGTTCAATTAAATATATTTAGCCTCACGGAACGCAGGTGTCATTGTTTTAATATTTCATTTCCTTTTTCTGTTCAGGTGATGGGTCGAAAGGGTCATCATTGCAGTGTGGAACGTGCCCCCATTGTGGACAAAACTACTCCAACCTTTCTGCATTGAAGTATCATGTTCGTTTAGTTCACTCTGACCTCACCAACCGTCTCTGTTGCCACCTATGCCCCAGATCATTTGTTCAAAGGGAGCAATATCGTCAGCACATGTGGGACAAACATGGCACTCGTAACTAACAGTCTTCCTGTCTCAATTTATTTTTCACACTAATGCATAGAGTCCAGGGGCTCCTCAACTCCAACAAATCATGAGAAATGGTGCATGTACAATGCAATGCGTTAATTAAAGTTCGGATGAATGTTTCAAAAAAGAAAACACTTATTAATAATAAATGTGTGCACTTTTGAACCATGACCATTTCCTAACAGGCTAAATGGTCTTACTGAACATCTGCCTTGTTTCAGAAACGAATTCAATCAGTTAGAAAATGAAAATTTATGAGCCAAGATCCATCCTGAGAGTTGTGTGTTGATCCTTTTTCTAGTTTATAAATACAAGATTGAAAGGATCAATGTGAACAATTGCCAAACAAATGTACACTGTTCTCTTGTGTGTAAATTCCGAGCACATTCTTTGCTAATTTTCCTGGTCTCTTTGTGATGACAGGACTGTGCATTATGAGAGACTCATTTTTAAATGGGGTGCCATGCTTGTCTGGGTACGTTTGTACTCCCATTCTTGTGATATGCTTTTAGGTGCAGATGTACAGATAGTATTACAGGGTTTAAGGAAACCTCTTTAATAGAGTGTTAGATGTTGTTTAAATTTTTATTTAAATCTTTGTCTGAAGTAGCTCTAGGTTTAGATGTATCGTAAATTAATGTTTGAGAATCTGTCAGTAGTGCACAATGAAATAGGAGAAATGTCGATTCTTCAGTAGGAAAAAAATAATTATTGTTTGGATGTTTGTACCTGAGGAGATACGGAAATGTCGTTGTGGGGCTCGTATCAGAAATTGATAGTGAGATCTTTGAGTGATAAGAAAAGTAATAACTAGTGGGTGTGCATCTTCCCTTCATTTATCTTGTGGAAGGACAACTCACCATCAGAAGCAGGCTGTCACTTGTTTTTGTGGTGGAGCAAAAGAGTGAAGTCAATCTAGGATTGTGATATTGTGTTGGGCTGTCGAGGTAAATTATGTTTTGGAATTAAATTTGCGCTACTGAAGTTGTCCTTGTAGTTGATGATTAAACTTAAGCTTTTATAAAGCTAAATATGTTTTAGGTATAGTAATTACAGGTCATGAAGTGGCAATGGTTGAGCGTTTGTAAATATGTCCATTGTTTTCAACTGCGTGTTTCAAGCTTGTAATTTGCAAGTTTAAATGAAAACAAATTATGTGTAGCTGACCTATGACATTTGGACAAGTCTAAGTTTTCAGTAAGGTACTTTTCATTTTACTTTTCTCTGTGGTCATCTTCACTTTGTTTAGTATTCTTCTCTGTTCGTTTGTTTTTAATTAAGATAAATATTGTTCAGATATGGCAGGACCATCAAATAACTTGAGCATCACTTTACATGTAAGTGAATGTGGGCTTTGTCTCTCAACATTTGCAGTCAAATGTGCGATATATATTTATTATTTTCAATTTTTTGTTTTCTTAAGCATTGCTGCTAATACTAACAATGTCCCTTATTCTCTACCCTCTGCCCCCTTCCTTTTTAACTGGTTATTTGTTATCTTTGGTTTTGAAATTTTTATTGTGTTGTATCCCTGGTGCACTTATTTTTTTAGAATAGCTGTTGCGATGTGGATACAGTTGTACAAAGGTGTTTAATTACTTTCTATTCTTAAACTGGGTGTTTTTGGTCATATTTGAGCATTCCAGATGATGCACTTTTGTCATCACTGTTTCTTTGTTGTTTAGTAAAGAACTCTTTTTTTCATTTTTCATCTTCCTTAAAAAGATGAGACTTTCACGACAACAAGCTCATTCATACCATGATGTAACAGATGCGATTCTTGTATAGTTTTTGTAGAACTACAGTATTGCATCTTTTCTTTCTTAAACTTCTTTTTTGATGTAAAAATTTTGAACAACAGTTGATTTTGTTCTAATTTGGTTCAGTTGTTTCGTAACTAAGATTTTACTAACTGTCCATTTTAACACAGTTTTAAAGGCATTTTTGGAGTTATGCGATAGGACCTGCTACAACCTGTTTCTTGTTTAAATTTTATTTGATTGTTGTCAAAAAGTTTGCAGTGTTCCTCTGAGCAAAGGTGTGTTTATTTTTTGGGACTCTGTCCATTTTTGCACCTTTGTACCACATTGCAAATTTCAGTTGTTGACCAGTACACTAATGGGTTATTTATATTTTAGAGCAGCTTGGATCTCTGAGGGTTGCCTGGTCCCAACCTAGCAATCAATTAGATTCTATCAAATTTGTTAAAGGTTTGAATAGTATTTATTTTAAATAATAATTTATGTACATTGTGCCAGTCGTCATACCTTATATCTGTTCCTGGTTAAAAAGGATATCAAACTCTATTTGTCATCTGAAAAAAAAACCAAAGCTTTATTCATGTTGATTGTGTTATTATTTAATTTTTATGTCATGATTTAGTAAGTTGTTTTTAATCCTAATTTTAATTGAGGGTTTCATAGTGTAGGAAATCATGTGCTCGGCAAAGCTCTCTACTTGACACCTGTAGTAAGTTTGATGGGACCAAAAATCTGCTGTTTAGTGAAAATTGTCTGATGCAAGGGAGGAACTAGTTTGGTATCTTCTCATGTTTTGACTATCACCCAGACTTTTATAAAGGCTCAATGAAATGCATAATGGATATTTATCATTTGTAATTGGATCTATAATTCATCTCTTAGTGCAGATTTTTAAAAATTCGTCCTGTGTTACTTTAGTATCCTGCTGTAGATAGAAAAGGGAAAGAAACTTTTGTGAGAATGGCTACAATTCCTCTTACCAGGCAACTTCCTGAAGTAATTGAAGATCTTTGTATCTTATATTTAAAACGACTGCAGGACCCACCCGAATTAATAACCCAACCTGCTGACACACTTAGCACTCGTTCTAAAATTGGCGGCTGGTAGTTTATTGCATGTTCAGGAATGATGTACCCACTTGTACCATAAGATTATTTATGGTTGCCCTCAATGCAAGTGGCTCCTTGCATTGAAGTGATGTGATTGTATTGAGTTGTGATTTGGTATTTGCTGTGTTGATGCAGAAGAGAGCAGTATTCCACGTTAAATAAATGATATTTAGAATTAAAGTTGTGATTATCTACTTTCTTTCTATTCTTTAAACCCATGTCTAAAATTTTAGACCAACATTAAAACAACAACAAAGGGAAACAACAAGTGCAGCAACACCAAAACGTGCTCAATCGAGGGCCTCACACCCCACATACATGCGGCATACCGCAGGCCGCGCTGTGCCGAACCGTCCAACCCAACTGCAACATGACAGTGATTTTGTCGTAGCTTTTGTTCCATCTGGCCGACTCGGTGCTCCGGCTTCGGGTCCTTGCCTGCCAATGCGAGCCTGACTATAGACCACGCGCCCGGCCCGGCGCACGCACCGACCGCCCCACGGAGGGCGCCGGAGCCGGAGCCGCCGCTCTGTACTTGGTGTACAGGTCCCGCCAGAACTGGATCATGGGGCCGCTGAAGCTGTCGGCGTGGAGGGTGAATCCGTCAGCCTTGAGCTCCAAGTACGTGACGTCGTTGTCGGCGGAGGTGTTCGGGGGCCAGTTCACCGGCAGCAGTTCCGGCACGGGCTCCGGGATGGGCTTGCTGTGGGCATGCACGTTGTCGTCGTGAAGGGAAGGCGAGAAAAGGGCTCGCCGGCTCGCCGGACGGAATGTCTCATCGGCAAGGCGGCAACGCACACTCACCCGTACGTGATGAAGTTTGCCCACATGGTGGACATCCTCTTGATGGCGAGGGCGGCCTCGGCGCTCGGTTCCGTCTGGGTCGCACTGGCCATGACGTAGCGCAGGTCGTCCGAGTGCACCGCCACTGTGGACAGCGAAGCAAGCGAAGGCAGCCGTGTAGCCGCGAAAACGCGAACGCCCCGACGCGGCGCGACGCCAGGCTCTACCCCCGACTCACCGTCCTTGACGTCCTCCGAGGTGGCCAGGCGCGAGTTCAACTCCGTCCGCACGCTGAACTTGAAGAGGAAAGTGTCCGCCTTGTTTTGCTTGGCTCGGAACATGGCCAGGCGGTGTGTGTCCGTAGTTTCCCAGATGTTGTCAAAGTACTGCAAACAGCCATTTTGTCTTGTCAGCTTCTCCAAAACCCCTTCCAGGCGGCCGCCGATGGCATACGATCATGTGTGGTCTAGCCCTTAATGGTAATGGTAATGTCAGAAGCAGCGGGTAGGCCACCGTCTGCACACCACTGTGTTGCGGGCCGGGTTGCTGGCCTATCTAGCAGGCGCTCACCGTCTTGAGGGTGCATCCCAGGTCGCAGTTCTGGGTCACGGCGGATCGGATGCCTTGCCTCACTTCCTCGATTATTGTGTCGTAGTCAACGGTTGACTCCGGCAGACCCAGGATTTTCCGCGTGTCTTGGAATGGGAGAAGGTTTTTCGGGACGTGGCGAGCCAGATTGGTGACCATCTCCTCGTCGACTTTCGGATCCAACTCGGGGTCTGATGGAGGAAACTGCGTGTCAATAGTGCACACCGGCCTCAGCTTCTGTTGCCTCAAATGCAGGCAACAATTCCTGCGGTACACCTGTGTCGGAAGGGTTCCCCGACCTCAGCAACTCGGTCAAACTGAAGCGTGACACAGGGTCTTTTATTCAAGCCCACTGCCCTTAGTTTTACTAGAGAGCCCACCTGAAGCAACTCTCGAGAGCAAAGCCAAGCTTGTCTATAGGCAGGCTGAGGTTGGCAATCCTTTCTACGCAGGTGCATCGCGGTAAGTTTTGCCGTGGTAACACAGGACCCAGCCGCCAGAGAATCAAACGAAAAAAGTATCGGAGAGAAAAGGCTCGCGGCCCCTCACTGTTGGAGTAGTAGTAGAAGCGCCACTCCGCGTTGGTGTTGCTGATGAGGAACGGGATGGCCGGCGCGGCGGGGTCGTAGAAGTAGCTCTCGGCGTCCCTGGTGATGACGCGCGGCTCCCCGCCGGGCACCTCGGGCCGCCGCTCCGGCGTGGGCACGAACGGCAGCTCGGGCTGCGACTGCCTCTCCTCGTCCCCCACCAGCACGTCGTGCCGGTGCAGCTCCTCGATGCTCGCCCCCATCAAGTACCGCTCCGCGTCCTGGAGGTCGGTGACGGGCCGCCCGGCCAGGCTGGAGGCCACCTTGAGGGCGGTGGCCACATGCGACTCCTTGTAGTCCCAGCTGTGGAAGGTGGTGCCGCTCATGAGGATGGCGCCGTGGACAAGACCTGCAAGGCGAAGCAGCGAAGCAGTGCCACCGCCCGTCCAGTGAACCAAGCCGAGAACTTCACGCCTAGAACGCGGAGATGTGGAATTTTCAGTCTCCCCACTTGAAATTGCGGTCTCCACACTTTCGGTGTGGAGCTCTCCACGTTTTCACCATGCCAAGAAGGACTCTGTCAGGTACTCCAACCCGTCAAATTGAGAAGAATTAATCCGCTCTGAGGCAGCGTGGAGTTCTCCCGACACTTGGTTTTACAATAACTGCATGGCTCTTTCCTCAACACAATAGATGTAAGAAAAAAATCCGTCGCCAAAACTTGGCTTGACTTGGCCTGACGGGTTCTTTTCGAGGCCCACCCTTGGTCTGCGGCAACATGGTGAGCCAGGACGCCAGCCCGGAGCCGGCCGACTGGCCGCCGATCGTCACTCTGTCAGAGTCGCCGCCGAAAGCCGCGATGTTGTTGTGGACCCACTGCAAGGCCGCGATGTTGTCCTTGGTCGCGCAGTTCCCTGGAATTCCCTCCGTGTCCAGACTCAAGAGGCCTGCAGAAGGAGAAGCAGGCCGTTTTTCCAGCGCGCCAATGGTGTGGTTTAATTTAGAAAACAGAGAGCGTTGCTACCGAGAGAGGCGAGCCGGTACTGCACGGTGACCACGATGACGCCGTGCGGCAGCAAGTAGTCCGGCCCGAAGCGCGCCGGGTCCGCGGAGCCTCCCAGGAACATGCCTCCGTGGATGAACACGAACACGGGTGCTTTCGCCGCCTCGTTCTGGCAGTGCCGTACAGTGCGTGACTACACTTGGAGCAAGTGCCCCCCTCTCCTCAATGCCTTCGCGGTAAACCCATCTCCTAATCGGCTGATATGCTGCCTGAGAATACCAGGGGATCTTCCTGGGACTTGAACCATACTGGTACCAGGTACCATATTCCTGGTACCAGGAGATGGATTTACCGTGTTGACCTATGCGATTGACCAGCAGAGCGATTTCAAAGGGCTTCACAGTGCTTTGGTCTCTCTCTCTCTCTCTCTCTCTCTCTCGCAGCCCCACGGGACAAAAGGGGGCAGAGAAGAGAGAGGAAAAAGAGAGAGAGAGAGAGAGAGAGAGAGAGAGAGAGAGAGAGAGAGAGAGAGAGACGAACCACTATTCGGAACGATTCGGAACTAGCCTGCAGCAGCAGCAGAGCCTTCAGCGATGGACTCACGGCGAGCGACGAGCGACATCAACATCGTGCCTTACCAAGTTGGCGGTGAACACGTTCAGGTAGAGGCAGTCCTCGCTGCCCTCCAGGACGCCGTTCATGCCCTGGGCGCACTTCGGCGCAACCTCCGTAGCCGGCCGCACCCCCTGCCACCCCGGGTGGGGCCTCGGGGCCTGCAGGCACGCATCAATCAGACAAGCGTGCTCTTCAGTGCACTGCACGCCACGTGCGGGACAGTCTCACACCATTTGGCGCGAAGGCCTCATAAGCTTGCAAGTGCGGGACCTAGACTGTCCCACACTTGCAATCGCCCGTCTCCTGGCATTGAACATTGAACCTGAGAGCCAGTGTTGAAGAGAGACTGTCCCACGCTTGGATTTGCTGTGAGCTTGTTTCTTCCCCGCAGCCAGAAGCCAGACCGGCTTACCTTGAATCTCAGCTGGCCGATGGGGGCCTGGGCGAAGGGCACCCCCAGGAACGAGGCGTAACGCACACGGTCGGTGCCCTGAGTCCAGGCATACGCCCCCTCTAGCTGGCCCTGCTCCACCTTGACCACGGGGCCGCGGGGGCGGGGCGTGGTGGGCACTGGCGGGGAAGTGGGGGCGGTCGCGGGGGTGGTCGCGGGGCCGGGGCTGTCGCCGTCCTTGGTAGCGAAGTAGGCGATGAGCGCCACGGCCACGATCGCGACCACCAGCCCGACGGCCAGGAGCACTGCGAGGAAGCGAAAGGGTACTCAGGGGCCTGCACTCTCATTTCCTTACAAACTATTCTCAGCGTACGAAGAACACCGTTTTTTTACAAGTTATGTAGAGCTCTACATGCTTGCTAGCAAAAAGAAAAAGAAATTGTATTTTACAAAGCAGTTTTGCGTATTTACGTAAAAATGAAAATAATGCACGTCACAATAGAACCGACCGGAGGGAGGGGCAAAGTAGCGCTTTCAGGCGGATTTCTTGGAGTCAATTAAGGGGGAAGGGCCGTTGCCTCATTACTTGTCCTCCTTGCAGCTCTTGATCGCTGTGTTCCTGTAGCTGTGTACCTTATACTTTGCGACATGCACTTCTGAATGCACTTAGTCACTCTTACGTCGACCACGGCCCGGCATATGACAAAAACTAGCTAAAAAGTCACCAAAAAACCGCATGACGAGTCACGTTGTTTTCTGGCGAGACTTACAATTCATTTTATGGGAAACTCGTGCTTTAATATCGTCGTGACAAGTAATTTTTTTTCTGTCACGCCATTTTTTGGTACGACGTCCCTGAAACGGCACAAAGGGGCATAAAGTGTGCGCTTTCGGTGGCGCGTTGTGCCTGGAAGTGCCTTACCTTTACACGGCGTGCGCATGATGGCGGTCGGAGGCGCGTCGTTGACTAAGCAGTGGCGATGGTGTAGCAATAACTTTGCCTGACACTTGAATCGATAACGGACGCACGGATTGGAGTGCTCGCACCATGACTGCCAAATCAATGCGCCGGGCTGAAGGGCACCGCAGGGTCGCGACCAAGGAAACGACCGAGAGAAGCCACTTGACGGAATGAACAACAGAAAGCCTACAGGGTGAGTTTTTTCGATGTGTCAATAATTTTTTGGAAGCTTAGGCACCCCTAGTGGATCATTTTTCGCCAGTGAACTAGCAGGCGCAAACGTCTAGTTACTCAGATAATAAGTGTTATGTAATTTACCTTCGCGCCCACGAGGTACTCTCCCGCCGCCACTGAGGATGGCGGGACATCACGAGTGGGTGTCGTGAGACTCGCAGTACTCAAAGGCGTGCCGCTGACTTCACGGAGAAGCCGTGGAGTCCTGCCAACCTCGCGAAGACAGCCGCGTGATCCACTGTTACGCAGGCCACCACGACAGCCACTTGAGACCCTTGGCAACCCCTCTGAAATGGCAATTGAACGGGCCGCCGCACCCCTGCGACCTTCGTTGCATCCCCGCTAGACCCACGACCAGCCCACGACATCCTCTCGTGAGGTCTTGTGACCCTCAGTGGCCACAGGTGCTTATCTGGCAGGTGCGAATGTCCATTTGTAAATATCAATTATCTCCGTACCTAGACGTTTGCGCCCACTAGTCCACTGGTGGAAAACGATTCTTTCGGGGAGCCCATGCTACCTACAAATTATTGACACAGAGAAAAAACTCACCCTGTATGGTGCGGCACACCGTGCACAAAGTCAGAGTGACTTTTCAGGGGTGGTTTGGCCTTGCGACGAGGAGTGCTGCTCAGGCGTTAGCGGTTTCGAGGCCAGGGAGGAAGGGTGGGGAGGGGGCTGTGGTGTTGTTGGATTTATCATTTCAGTCGTCATCAACACGGTAGATCGAATGACGCTCTTTCTCTTACTCCAATAAAGATAAAGAGGACTCACAGCATCCGCACTGCTATTCAACGAATGTGACGTCGCTAGCCGAGGCGAACGTGTTGGCTCTTGACTTTGCACTCATCCAAGCGAAATTGGACCAGAGTTCAAGAACAGTGCACGGTGAACAGTTCCTCCTCTCTCTCTCCCTAGAGGGGGGGGAGGTGGCTGTGGTGTTGTTGGATTTATCATTTCAGTCGTCATCAACACGGCAGATCGAATGACGCTCTTTCTCTTACTCCAATAAAGATAAAGAGGACTCACAGCATCCGCACTGCTATTCAACGAATGTGACGTAGCTAGCCGAGGCGAACGTGTTGGCTCTTGACATTGCACTCATCCAAGCGAAATTGGACCAGAGTTCAAGAACAGTGCCGGTGAACAGTTCCTCATCCTCTCTCTAGAGAGAGAGAGGAGAGAGAGAGAGAGAGAGAGAGAGGGAGAGAGAGAGAGAGAGGAGAGGGAGAGAGAGAGAGAGAGAGAGAGAGAGAGAGAGAGAGAGAGAGGGAGAGAGAGAGAGAGAGAGAGAGAGAGAGAAGGGAAGTACAGTTGCGGCATTTGCATTTGGTTTAGGATTACAGTTCAAATGCTGCAAACGCCCAGCCCGTTATCGGGCGGCCTTGAGTTCATGATCCGTAATGGCAAAAGTTTGAAAGTAAATTGCGTTTTTTTTTCACGAATAAGGAGAACTTTCATCCCTTACACAAGTGCAGCATGCAATCGCACAACATGGCGTGTTCTATGACAAGACTGTTGAGTTTTCAGAGGGATGGTGCAGTGGGTACCATGAAAGCTCGCATGAAAGTAATACATTGTTTCAGTTCATGGAGCTTTTATTAAATGCTCGTACAATTATGCGCTTCCGCATCTTAAGCCTGGGGCTTGCCCTTGGAATCAGGCTTGCCCTGGGGCTGCTCCTGGGGCTTGCCCTGGGGCTCGGGCTTGCCCTGGGGCTCAGGCTTGCCCTGGGGCTCGGGCTTGCCCTGGGGCTTAACCTTAGGCTCAGGCTTGCCCTGGGGCTCAGGCTTGCCCTGGGGCTTAACCTTAGGCTCAGGCTTGCCCTCGACCTTTGGCTTGCCCAGGTTAGCGAGGTGCTTCAACGCCTTGTGGTAGGCGGGGCCCACCGTCTTCTTGAGAAGGGCGGCGAGCTTGGGGGCATCCTTCTGCCACTCCTCACCGAGCTTCTTCTTGATCTCGGCGACCTGGGGCACAACCTTGTTCTTCCACTGAGCCTTCAGCTGGTTAATCTCCTTGGCACCCAACTTCTTGAGCTGAGCCTCCTTGGCCTTGATCCATGCCTTGATGCTCTTGGGCTTCTCGGCTTTGGGGGCTTTCTTGGGGCCTTCTTGGGGTCCGTCCTTGGGGGAACCTTGGGGTTTGCCCTTGGGGAGAGCTTGAGGTCCGTTCTTGGGTCCCGCTAGTGGACTGCCCTTGGGGCCCTCCTTCTGGGGTGGGGCCTCGCTGGTGACGGCCTGTGGATGGGATTCACATAAGCTTGGCACTACACTGGCTGCTCAGTAATCTGACTGGAAGGCCATTACGGTGGTAGCTGGACTCACCGCGACGACGGCGCAGAGGGCGAGGACGACCAAGCTGAGACGAGCCATGGTGGACGATGATGCCCTCCGTCCCCAGCAGCGCCCTTTTAAGGCCCAATAGTCGTGACTCGCGGCCGAACCGTAAAGACACCGAAACTACTTGCAGCTGTCGAACGCCCAGACAGACGCCCGAAAACGACGCGACGTATGTCGTTGAGAAATCGACTCTGTGCTCAAACAATCGTCAAATTCCATTCTTAACGCTCCATGCGAACTGACCTATGAACGACGTTAATTAATGACCACAGTTAACCGGCCAGTTGAAAAGATAGTCGGTACACTGTACGTCACTGTTTAAAAAATCACTGTCCTGTACAGCAAAAACTACCAATTTTTTTTAAAGAAGGTTGAGGGCTCTTTCTTTGGTGACTCTGCACATATTAACTTGGCCGCATTCAGAGACAGTGCTAGTTAGCTTTGTGAGTCTGTTAATGCATGTATTGCAATGATGACGTGCACGAACACAGTAAAAACTCTACGAAGAACCGCTTTGAAATACGAAGAAAATGAAGGCATTGTAAAATCTACAAAGAAATGCTTCGTATTACGAAGCAAATTCCTTCGTAATACATAGCATTTCTTCATAATACGAAGCAATTCTACAATGCCTTCATTTTCTTTGTACTTATGAAGCAAATGCTTTGAAGGCATTTAAGAGTGAACGATTCGGACAAACGAATCCATATCGAACCGTAAACATGGCAAAGTAAACGACAACAGCGCCCACTGGGTATTCAATGCCAGGGTAAACATGCTCAAGATTGCGGGGGAGTTGATGAGCCGAGAGCTTTTGGAATAAAAGGAGGAGCCTGGTCCTCCAAGTCGTTGAGTCCTGTCGACATGAAGCGATCCGCAGTCTTGTGTCTCCTGGTGGTGGCCTTGGCGCAGGCCAGGGTGGTGCCAAGAGTCCCAAGAGACGTCGCGGGTCGCCTCAAGCAAGCAAGCAGCCTTTGTCGTAAGTATAGCCAGAGCAACAGTGCATTTCAATCGGAAATCTTTTCCTAAAATTGAGGTGAGGTGTAAGTGAAAATTTGTACCAAAATTGATAAAATGAGGAATTTAATAACTTTGATATTTTAGTGTAAAATATCTCTATATTAACGACAGTATGCTCTGAGGGTCTGTGTCATGAACCTTTAAGTAAGTTGTTCATGTAACATGGACTGATGGATGTATGGGCCTTTTCTGGTCACCCAACACACAATTAATGTCGGAGAAATATTTTTTACTCCGTCAACTGGTCACGCATTCAGATTTGTTTTAAACTGACCACACTTCTTGGAGTAGGTCTTTGTGGTCCACGAAACACTGTAACAGAAAGATCTTTCAAAAACTGTCAATTTCCTCAAATCGTTTAAAGTAGTAAAAAATGGAGGAAAAAGTGTTTTTTCCAATAGGGTACTTCGGAGTAAGACTGGACCGGAAGTCAGCGACAGAACGGGAGAAACAAAAGAGCGTCGCGCGGCCGTGCTGAGCGGTGGTGGGGGTCGAAATCGGCGGAGTGGGGGTGTAGGCGGCGCGCGCATACTGCCCCCACTCCGCCGATTCCGGCCCCCACCACCGCTTAGCACGGCAGCGCGACGCTCTTTTGTTTCTCCGGTTTTGTCGCTGACTTCCGGTCTAGGTTTCCTCCGAAGTACCCTATTAAAAAATGTTAAGCTTGCTCTGTGAAAGGCCGAGGTAACTTAAAAACAAATTTAAGATCATTTAGTCAAAAAACTTTGCGTAGCTGATTTTTCTATTAAACGCTTAATTTCAACGAAAACAGTCTACTGTGGCTAAATGAGTGTTTAGATTTCGATGAAATTCGGTGTGGAATACTTTCCTACCTAGTACTTAAACGCCCTAAAGTTTCGACTACCTCAGACAATTGGTATAGAAATTACTATTTTCAACCACACCTCACCTTAAAATGTATGTCCTGTGGCTAAGTGTATCGTGTAGTTTCCTTGGCGCCATGACAAATTTCTTGCTGAAACGTTCCAAGAACTAAATCAAAAGCAACAGTCCGTCCGAAAGCATTTAATTAAATTTAAATTAATCACTAAAATCAATGAAACTGTGGCTCCGATTTCCAAAATATAACTTATTTTGAATGACTTTTAAAGCGATTAGAAAGGGATGACGATTTTGAAACGACGCCCAACCACTAAAGTGAACACATTTCCTGTTGTTTCCAGCTCTTGTGGAACCGATCGTCTTGTCACTGGGAGCAAGTTGCTGTCAAGTTTGTCCCATCATTTGTGGACTTCTTGGCCTGGGATGCATACCAAGCGAGTGTGACTCAACTGGGTGCTGCACTTGCTCACCAAGAACATTTACTACACGACCACCAACAACGCCTCCATGTGACACCACAACAACCACAAAGGCACCAACAACACCACCACCATGTGCCTCAACGTTGACATCAACAGTAACACCTACAACATTAACGCCTACAAGATGCAACACGGTGACACAAAGGACCACACCTCCATGGGAACCTATAACTTCAACGACTATCATCACAACGCCATCAACCACCATCATAACGACGCCACCACCACCTACACCAACGCCAACAACAACGCCAGTCTGCAACACAAAGCTACCATCACCAACAACGGAGACACCAACCACGACCACTGAGACACCTACCGAGACACCATCCACAACTACAGAGACGCCTTCCCCACCGACTGAGACACCAGCCACGCCCACTCAAACTCCAACTACAACTGTGACGCCTTCACCACCCACCGAGACGCCACCAACGACTTCTCAGACGCCTTCTCCGCCGACTGAAACACCACCCACGGCCTCTGAGACACCTTCGCCGCCTACTCCAACCCCAACTACGACTCCCCAAACGGAAACGCCATGCGACAGAACTCCATCACCACCAACTGTGACGCCATCGCGACCCACAGAGACTCCGCCAACTGAAACACCACCCACAGAGACTCTGCCAACCGAAACACCACCCACAGAGACTCCGCCAACAGAAAAACCTCCCACAGCGACTCCGCCAACTGAAACACCACCCACAGAGACTCCGCCAACTGAAACACCACCCACAGAGACTCCGCCAACTGAAACACCACCCACAGAGACTCCGCCAACTGAAACACCACCCACAGAGACTCCGCCAACTGAAACACCACCCACAGAGACTCCGCCAACTGAAACACCACCCACAGAGACTCCGCCAACATCATCTCAGACGCCATCTCTGCCGACGGAAACACCGCCCACGCCCTCTGGAACACCTTCGCCGCCTACACCAACTCCAAGTACAACTCCAGAAACGGAGACGCCATGCGACACAACTCCTTCACCGCCAACTGTGACGCCATCAACACCATCTGTGACGCCTTCGACACCCACAGCGACTCCCTCAACTGAAACACCACCCACAGAGACTCCGCCAACTGAAACCCCACCACAGAACTCCGCCAACTGAAACCCCACCCACAGAGACTCCGCCAACTGAAACACCACCCACAGAGACTCCGCCAACTGAAACCCCACCCACAGAGACTCCGCCAACTGAAACACCACCCACAGAGACTCCGCCAACTGAAACACCACCCACAGAGACTCCGCCAACTGAAACCCCACCTACAGAGACTCCGCCAACATCTTCTCAGACACCATCTCTGCCGACGGAAACACCGCCCACGCCCTCTGGAACACCTTCGCCGCCTACACCAACTCCAAGTACGACTTCAGAAACGGAGACGCCATGCGACACAACTCCATCACCGCCAACTGTGACGCCACCAACACCAACTGTGACGCCTTCGACACCCACAGTGACTCCGCCAACTGAAACACCACCCACAGAGACTCCGCCAACTGAAACACCACCCACAGAGACTCCGCCCACTGGAACGCCACCCACAGAGACTCCGCCAACATCTTCTCAGACACCATCTCTGCCGACGGAAACACCGCCCACGCCCTCTGGAACACCTTCGCCGCCTACGCCAGAAACGGAGACGCCATGCGACACAACTCCATCACCGCCAACTGTGACGCCATCAACACCATCTGTGACGCCTTCGACACCCACAGCGACTCCGCCAACAGAAACACCACCCACAGAGACTCCGCCAACTGAAACACCACCCACAGAGACTCCGCCAACTGAAACACCACCCACAGAGACTCCGCCAACTGAAACACCACCCACAGAGACTCCGCCAACTGAAACACCACCCACAGAGACTCCGCCAACTGAAACACCACCCACAGAGACTCCGCCAACATCATCTCAGACGCCATCTCTGCCGACTGAAACACCGCCCACGCCCTCTGGAACACCTTCGCCGCCTACACCAACTCCATCTACGTCTCCAGCAACGGAGACGCCATGCGACACAACTCCATCACCGCCAAGTGTGACGCCATCAACACCATCTGTGACGCCTTCGACACCCACAGCGACTCCCTCAACTGAAACACCACCCACAGAGACTCCGCCAACTGAAACACCACCCACAGAGACTCCGCCAACTGAAACGCCACCCACAGAGACTCCGCCAACTGAAACACCACCCACAGAGACTCCGCCAACTGCAACGCCGCCCACAGAGACTACGCCAACACCTACTCAGACTCCGTCCCCTCCCACGGACACGACCTCGCCACCTACCACCACGATCACAGATACTCCAACCCACAGTGAAACCCCCCCTTCGACTCCATCAACACCTTGTGACACGAACACTCCTACCCCCACGACTGTAACTACTCAGAGACCAACAACGTGTCCAACCTCTGCAGTGACTACTCCGAGACCCACTACCCTGTCGTCAACAACATTGATACCCACGACGGTAACTACCCCGAGGCCAACGACTCTTCCGCCCACGACAGTGACTACTCCGAGACCTACGACGTGTCCACCCACGACAGTGACTACTCCGAGACCAACGACTCTACCACCCACGACAGTGACTTCTCGAAGACCTACGACGTGTCCAACCACAACAGTGACTACTCCGAGACCTACGACTCTCCCTCCTACGACAGTGACTACTCCGAGACCAACGACTCTACCACCCACGACAGTGACTACTTCGAGACCTACGACTTGTCCAACCACAACAGTGACTACTCCGAGACCTACGACTCTCCCTCCTACGACAGTGACTTCTCCGAGACCAACGACTCTCCCTCCCACGACGGTTACTACTCCAAGACCTACGACCAGCCCTCCTACGACAGTGACTTCTCCGAGACCAACGACTCTCCCACCCACGACAGTGACTACTCCGAGACCTACGACTTGTCCATCCACAACAGTGACTACTCCGAGACCTACGACTCTCCCACCCACGACAGTGACTACTCCGAGACCTACGACTCTTCCACCTACGACAGTGACTACTCCTAGACCTACGACGTGTCCACCTACGACAGTGACCACTCCGAGACCAACGACTCTTCCACCCACGACGGTTACTACTCCGAGACCTACGACTCTTCCACCCACGACGGTTACTACTCCGAGACCTACGACTCTTCCACCCACGACAGTGACTACTCCGAGACCTACGACTTGTCCACCCACGACAGTGACCACTCCGAGACCAACGACTCTCCCACCCACGACGGTTACTACTCCGAGACCTACGACTCTTCCACCCACGACAGTTACTACTCCGAGACCTACGACTCTTCCACCCACGACAGTGACCACTCCGAGACCAACGACTCTCCCACCCACGACGGTTACTACTCCGAGACCTACGACTCTTCCACCCACGACAGTTACTACTCCGAGACCTACGACTCTTCCACCCACGACAGTGACTACTCCGAGACCCACGACTCTCCCGCCCACGACTTTGCGACCTACGACGGTAACTACCCAAAGGCCTACCACCATCTTGACTACTACTTTGTGCCCCTCTACCGTGTCGTCCACAACTTTGAGACCTACGACGGTAACTACCCCAAGACCCACGACGCTTCCACCCACGACAGTGACTTCTCCATGCCCAACCACCCTTTCGTCCACGACGGTTACTACTCAAAAGCCCACTACAATCTTAACAACAACACTGTGCCCTGCCACCCTTTCGTCTACAACTATGAAACCCACGACGATAACTACTCAAAAACCTAGCACAACTCTGTGCCCAACTACCGTGCCACCACCGACAACGCCTCGTGTTCCGTCGACGACGATGAAACCGCCACCAACAGTTGTTGGTGGTGGTTATTAGGCAAAAATATTTTTACTTCAATTTCATGTTTGCGCCAATTTTTGTGTGTTTGTTTTTCAGACAGTAAAAACCTTACTGTTGTCGTCTGTTCCTTGTTTGAAAATAAAGAGAACAGTAGTTGAAACTAAAGTGAGCTCACTGTGACCAACCCAGTAGTCCCAGCAGCGCCTGACGACTGGTGCATAGGCAACTCATTCAACACCTGCTGTCGCCTCACACTGCCTTGGGGCAGAGTGCCTCTCCGATGGTTAGCACGCGTAGGCCGTGCCGCTGTACAGCCCTGTTAGCACCCTGCTGCTGAACGGAACAAACCGCCTCCGATGATCCGATGGTAGTTGGTCCGGGTAGGGGGAAATCTGATTTCTGTGCGTGGTGGTGTGCCCATGGACCAAAAAGACAAACAAAGTTGTCGTCGGATACAACAGCGGAAGCCACCCACATGCGTCCAGCACTTTCGTCGAGAGGCCTGTTTCCTCGCTTCCGGGCAATACGCATGTGCACGTGCGGAACCTTGACATGCGGCAATCACTGCGATCGAGACTTTTCACAACTTTCACTTTTCTCAAAAGGCGGGTGTTTATGCCCAACGCCTTTTAGAAGCATTCTCTGCTCAAGTCGATTCCCAATCCGAGCACTAGCTTCCGTCCATCCCCACCTCCCATCTCGCTCAAGGGTATCGGCATCACCCTTCGAACCACCGCCATTAGATCCGTGTCGAAACAAGTGAGAGCTAGTCCCTGAGGCGGGGCGAAGCGCGGCGGCCTGCAGACTGATTCCGCACAGAGTGTCGTCGCCCTGCCTCTCTCGCTCCTGCACGGACCGACCCATGAGTGCGAAAGAGACAGAGCAACGAAAGCCATGTTCGGAATCGCTCGGCAGCAGCCGAGCCACCCGCCAGCTAATGGACCGTGTGGGCGAGATGGAAAACCAGGTGCGAAAGCCCGGCCGGTTGGCCCTTGGTGGGCCGGCTGGCCCGGGGGCAGGGACGGCCGGCTGGCCCGGGGGCAGGGACGTGCGAGACCCCGAGGCGCACAGGTAGACGGCAAGGTACTTACACGGCGCTGATGACACACCGCGCAGATGGGACTGCAACGGGCCAGTCAGGCAGCTAAAGTGGGGACTATCCTCACTTCACCCTGCAAGATGCCTCTCGGTATTCTGGCCCGGAAGAACAACAATGAGGAAAGCCGGAAAGAAATAAAACATCTTTTGTGTAATTCTAGCTGTGGATGGGGTCTGGAGCTCATCCACCTCGTAGTTTTCTTAAAATGGATCACTTTTAGGTTTTGTTTTTACCCTTTCTTCTTCTTCGTTTGAAAAACTCGAGCCGTAGTATCTCAAGCTCCTACGGAGCTTTCTCTTCGTAGCCGCAATACAATCAAAAAGCATAGCATAATGATTGCACGACTAAGGTTTAGTGGACTGTTACCTATGATGAAAGTATCTCAGAGACTTGCAATCATTGTCTTCATACAAATACGAACCAATTTCTCAGATGAGGACAGATTTGTATCGTACACTCCTGTGAAATATCGCAGCATCGTAAATTCAGGGTGTCGCACGCCGCCGAGTGTGAGTCCTGTCTTGTTGCGAGACGAACAAAGCACCGCTTTTGACATGCAGATGGTTTGGTTCTCCAACGGGTTCCGCAAGGCCGTGGGCCGGGAGGTACCGGCGCGGCTCCTTGCGGTGCTGAGAAGAGCAAGGCCCTCAGGCCGGCCAGATATCGGCAGATGTAACAGGCAACGATGCGGTGGCGTGCGCCAAAGACTGGGTGCTGCAGTCTGATCCCGAACAGTGCTTCCGGCGCTCGGTCTCTCTCACGCTCATTGGACGAGCCGCTGGGTGTGCCTGAGCGGCAAAGGACTGTTCGGAATCTGCCTGCTGGTGCTTCCTTTGCTCACGGGGTGTGGCATACGGCTTACGGTGTGTGGACGGCAGTGGGCCACATGGACGTTGCCTGCTGAGGCATGCGGGCGCATGCGCGAAGCGAGTCAACCGGTTGGAACCGAGTCGGACTCGGAAAGGAACGGCTGAGTGGCCGGCTCGTCGCCGCGGCCATTATCTGATGAATGAAAGGCCGAGCAAGCGGATAGAACCGAGCCGGGCCCACTGGCCCCGCCAGGCCCGCCAGCCTGCGCATAGGGGCTGCGTGCGACCCGGCGTCGTGGCCAGCCGGCCCTGCCGCGCCAGCAGGAGCGACAGAGACTGCCAGCAAGGTCAAAGCCGCAGGCCGTAGGCAACCTGCGTCCACATCTCCCAGCAGCAACAGCCTCCTCCACGTGCTCCCCGCGGCGTTCGCGTCCCCACGTCTTGCTGGAAAGCCTGACATAGTTTTCCACAACGACGACGCGAAACCGAGTCTGCCGCAACACACGCCCGCCCATTCCTCGGATCAGCCTTAATCGAGCCACACGTCTCACACTCACCCTTCGTCTTCTTCACTTTTGTTTTGGCTTATTTGACTGCAGTTTTCGAACCTGCTGGAAATAGTTATGAGCAGGCTGGACTGCAAATATAGTCAAATAGAAAGTTGTCACTTGACTGGATGAGTGAGCAGCAGCTGCCAAACGGTGGAGGTGGGCCGAGGTGGACGGTGTTCGCTGACTCCGAAGAGGTTCTGGTTCCAACGGCAGCGTTTCGGGACCAGCGCGCACAGCGGCGGCGCCCTCCCACAGCGGCCTGCAAACAATCGCCCGTGGTCCGCGCCGACTGCATGCACTAAGGACAGCGTGTGGTTGCGGCAGTACAAGCCAACCCCAACTCACGGACATTCAACCGATCAGCTAAATTTTGAATTTGCAGAGAATCCCCCGATCGGTGGGAACGATGTCTTACTCTTCGTCATCATAGTTCTTAATTAGCCCGCTCCTCCAGCGGAGGCGGCTGTTCGCACCCACCGTGTGCCGAGCGTGGCGGCGTCGCAGAGGTCTGGCCGGGCCACTGCAAGTGTCGGGCAGTCGCCTGGTGCGGCGACGAGGCGGAGAGGGGAGGGGCGGGGCGGGGCGCGCGGCGGGCAACCGTGCTTGCTTGACTATGCTCGGCAGTCCGGGCGGGAGGTTCGGCGGGCGACACGGCGAAGCACGCGAAGCCGCCAAGACAGACAGTCCGACCGCACCGCGCCGCGCGCCGCAACAAACAAAACTCGAACCGCGGAACTGCGACCGGCAGTAGTGACGCGCGCGAACGGGGCCCCTTAAAAGCAAAACTTAAGAGCCTTTCCCTCGCGAAAACGACTGTGAGTGATGTAGCTGTGTAGTGGCTGAGTCAATGTCGTGTGTCCATGTGAGTGAGTCGCAGTGTGCTTGTGTAGTGCTTGGCCGCTTGGCCGCTTCATCGCGGAAATGCTTGACAGGAATGGAGTGGGCGGCGACACGACGCGCCGCGATGCCGCACTGCTATCTGCGGCCTGTGATTTCACCGACGCCTTATCAGGCCGCCGTCGGCCCGTCGGCCCGTCGCTTCATTTTGTCCGCTTGCTAGTGCTGCAGCAGTCAGCCGGTGGCCCAGTTCCATCCGCGGTGACCGCGGCGCCGGCCGGCGTCCGGGACCACGCCGACGATGCGGCGATGGCGTCCACCTGACCTAGCGACTGGGAAGCGTGCACAAAGTGCAAGGTGATGCTCCGGGAGTAGCGGCCAGCTCTGCACCTGCAAGCTTTCAACAGGATAGTGCAATGTCGCTACGCTACAGAGTAGTCTAGTCTACGATTCGAAGAATCGGAGACGCGGTCTGACTGGCAGTGTCTGCGCAGTGTGCACGATGAGAGACTCTGCTCGGCGAAAGACGTCGGTTTTAAGGGCGTACGGGTGGCAAAATTTTTTTTTCGGCATTTGATAGTGTTGGGTGTGTTTTCTAATCCTGCCGAGCGGTTTTCCTCTGTGACGCTTAGTTTGGGCGTAACGATGCCTACAAGTTCGAAAATTGTGCGTTTTTCGCCATTTTCGGACCCAGGTTCCTGGAGAACCAATGGGAGGAGCATAGTGAAATTGCGCATGCTTGTAGAAGACAACCACAGGTATGATGTAAAGAAATTTCGCGGTGATCGGGTTCAAGGGAAGACTCCTGGAACGCCTTGAAAATGGACAGTTTTGTGAAGTGCGCAGCGACTAAACTACAAGAGTGAGGAGGTTGAAAAACCTTTACCTCACAGCCACGACTTTCCTCTATTGATTGCAAAAAGTTCCAAGTCGCTGGAACAAACGGTTCATCCAGAACCTGGGTCCGAAAATCAAGTATATTTGCTGTCGTTTCAACAGGAGAGAGAGACAAGCGATGTCTTGTCTTTCTCGCATCGACTTGTTTCCGAAGCAGCCCCCGCTGCAGGTAGCCAGCCGGGGAACAAAGCGAGCCCCAGACCCTCGCCGCCGCGTGCCGTCTGGGACCGGACTGCAGCCAGTGCGGAGCCATCTCCAACTTTTGCAAAACGGGAGGTCAAAGCTTCGGTCAAAATTGTCGCAGGACTATTTTTCAAAGTACCATTGGAACCGCGATTTTGCGAGAAAACCATTTCTGTCCGATTGGACGCTGAAAAACGGGCCGTTCAAAAAATTTCAGTCTGGGGTTGAGGGTCAATAAATCCTCTTGTCACCATCCTCGCTTCGGTGCGACGAGCCGCCGGCAGTGAATGAGGCCCTCGACACAATAGACAGGGGGCGACTACCTGGCCTAGTCCAGAGAGTCAAATTTCTAACGCGTCGCTTGACATGTTTGCAACGATGACCAATGCACGCGGGACAAAATTCTGGATCTATTCATGCAAAATTTGAATTCGAGCGATCATTTTGACGAAGCAGGACAAACTGCATTTCACACCTACACTGAAATGTGAACCGTTTCGTGACAAGCATTTTGGTAGCGTTGTCAAAAATTGTCATTTTACTATGAACACGGACTTAGAAAAATTACAGCCGATTGGCCGGACAAGCAAAACTGCTCGGCTGCTCATCGGAGCCCAGCTCCGGAGGCGAGTTGCCGTTGCCCCTCTCCGGTCGGGGGGCAATAAAAGCTATTGTGCTGTAGTGTCTGCGTGGCCCTGCCTGACCTGGCTGCAGTCTGGCGACGCCTGACGGGGCCAACGCTTATTCGGAAAAGCCTTCTCGAAATGGACCGCCACCCTTACGTCCTTAAAGTGTGCCTTCAGTTAGCACCAGTGATCCTCGAGTCGCTCCGTGCCTCAGCCGCCCCTTCTCACGTGTCTCCATTGCACCGGCCGAGCCGAGCCAACCGATGGCGAGAGACGAGCGGTACTGCGTTGCCGGCGTGCGTTGGGGGCGTGCGTTGACGGCGTGCGTTGACGGCGTTCATTGGCGGCGTGCATTATCAGCGTGCGTTGACGGCACGCGTTGACGGCGTGTTTTGACCGCGTGCGTTGACGGCGTGCATTATCAGCGTGCGTTGGGGGCGTGCGTTGACGGCGTGCGTCGACGGCGTTCATTGGCGGCGTGCGTTGGCAGCGTGCGTTGACGGCGTACGTTGTCGGCGTGCGTTAACGACGAGCGTTGACGGCGTGCGTTGACTGCGTGCGTTGACTGCGTGCGTTGACTGCGTGCGTTGACTGCGTGCGTTGACTGCGTGCGTTGACTGCGTGCGTTGACTGCGTGCGTTGACTGCGTGCGTTGACTGCGTGCGTTGACGGCGTGCATCCGCAAGGCGCGCGCCACCACCCACGTGCAGAGTGCAGAGCGATTCCGCAACGGCCCCGTCGCTGTGGCTGTGCTCCCGTCGCGACGAAACTCTGTGCGAAATGAGAGGTCAACCGAAAGCAAAGCGAGGCAAAGCAACAATCTGTAGTGGGCATCGCGTGGCAGTGCTGGCCCCAACAGTGTCGTGCCCGCCGCGGCGCGTGGCGTGGAGCGTGGCGTGCGCATGCCCTGGCTAGCCGGCTGCTTTTCCAAATAGTGATCTCATCGCTGTCTCCCTCGCACTCACCGGGGTGTTCCTTAAGCGTGCGAGAAAGAGAGCTACGAAACCGTGGCCACTGCATTGCCCTTCCAGCGCGCGCAGATAACGGTTATCACCCGATAATTCCGCAGGGCGCAGGGCTACCATGGTGGGGCCGCTCGGCCAGGTGGGCGCCGCGCCGGTCGGTCCGACGTGCCCTGCCCTCCGCGGCGCTGGCGGCGCTCAACATTGCGTGCAAGCGCGCTCGCCGCGCCGCGCCACACCGCGTCCGGACACAGCTGTGGTCTAGGGCACTCTAGGGTTACCGCCCATTCTTGTGGCCCCTGCCTGGCTGCAGCTCGCCGCGGCTGGCCGTGCCGGCGGTGAACACCGCGGCGCCACGGACGGCGGCGTACCTGCAGGCCGACGGAAGCGGCGGAAGCACGCGGCTCGCAGCTCCGACTTTGTAGTGGAACAACGACCGGCCCGGCGACCTGCGTGCCGACAGACAGCCACTTTGCGTCGTGTTTCAGAAACGCTGGAGTGAGGTTATGAGCTGCCTGGCGGCACAGTACGTAAAACCGATTGCCGTTTTATGGCGACAGACTCGCTGAAAGAAGTTAATCTTGTCGTGGGTGGCTGAAACCGGTGACACCGTGACGACATAATTCTTCTTTCAGGCTGACTGATTTCGGGCGGTGGCTGTCTGTCTTGCACTGGCGGGTCGTTGTCCCGAAGGGATGCACCCGTGTGAAGCATTTCCGGACGCCTAGTCCGCGCTCTCGCCTTACTTGTCCCGGCCGCGCATTGCCGTGCGCTCCAATGCACACGCACGGCGACGCACGGTGCGTGCGTGGAGGCCGCGACACCGTGAGCGAGCAGCGTGCCGCCGCAGGCGAACAGAGGCTCTGTCTCTCGCACTCACGGGCATCATTGCTGTAGAGCGAGAGAGACGGAGCCAGCCAGCTGTGTGTGGTGAGCAGTGACGTCCGCGCTGCTAAACCCGCTCATGACGTAACCTGACCTCAAGGTGGGCCGGAGCCTGCCGCCTGCGGCCCGATTCCACACAGCATCGCTCTGTCTCCCTCGCACCCAAAGCGGACGTGCCGCGAGTGCAAGAGAGACGCCACTTGCGTGCTGGCCGGCAGGTGGGCATTAGGTGCAGGGATTAGGCACCACGCCGTCCGCGCCGCGAGTACAGCACGGCCGCCTCCAGGTCTGCGTCGAGCTCGCGGCTCTCCAGGTCCAGGAGGCGGGCTGGCACCCCTGGCACGGCAACCACGTGAGCAGAGCGGATCGGACGCGTCCATGACCCTGCAGCTCGCAGCCCTCTATCCTCACGGCGTCAGCCGCAGCCAGACGATCGAGTTGACCAGCTGACTTGGCGGTTCCGCTCCTCGCCGCCCCGCCGCCCCGCCGCCTCACCGCGCTAGCCGTGAGGCCGAGCCGTTTATGTAAATAGAGTCGCACGGCTTCGGCTGGAGCGGCCGAGGCCTCTACGCTGGGCGTCTAGCCTGGGCGTCTAGCCTGGGCCTCTAGCCTGGGCCTCTATCCCGGGCCTCTAGCCCGGGCCTTTAGCCTGAGATTGTAGCCTGGGCGTCTAGGCTGGGCGTCTGGCCGGGGCGTCTAGTCTAGCCTGGGCCTCTAGCCTGGGCCTCTAGCCTGGGCCTCTAGCCTGGGCCTCTAGCAGGGGCATCTAGCCCAGGCTAGCCCACGTTAGCCTGGGCCGGCCGGCGAGGCTCGGACCGGCCACGCGAGCCTGCGCGGCCAGCGCGAGTAAAGCTTGTCTTCTGTGTTCGTTTGTCGGCCCAGGTGGGCCCAGGCGGGCCTAGGTGGGGCCGCGTGCCGCGCAGAGTCCTAGAGCGTGGCCACGCCTACCGTGTGTCCTTACCGATACCTGCAGCCGGCCGAGGCGCAGCGCAGCCAAGGACGCGCCGCGCTGCCGCGCTTCCGTGCCGCCTTTCATCACCGCGACAAAACTCTTTTACGAGCGTGCCCCGCGGTGCCCCGCGCCCTCGGACTCTTCCTCGGACTCGTCCTCGTCCTCCAGGCGGTGCGTGGGCGCCGTGGGCGCCAAGGCATCGCCAAGGCATCGCCAAGGCATCGCCAAGGCATCGCCAAGGCATCGCCAAGGCATCGCCTACACTCTAAATGTAGGGTGCCCAGCAACTGGGCGCCTTTGTCGCCCGCCCCACTTTTTAGGGTGCCAAATGTCGCCCAGTTTCTGGGCACCTTTGTCGCCCAGTCTCGGGGTGGACAAATCATACAGTAACCGACCCTCTCCCATGGTAGAGCATGCTCAGGTGTCTAGATCCTGGGCGACTAAGGTGCCTAGATTCTGGGCACCTTCGGCACCTCATTTTGCTGCTGAGCCATGGGTGAAGGCAGGTTTCTTAATGGTTGTCCACCCCGAGACTGAGTGACAAAGGTGCCCAGGAACTGGGCGACATTTGGCACCCTAAAAAGTGGGGCGGGCGACAAAGGCGCCCAGTTGCTGGGCACCCTACATTTAGAGTGTAGGCATCGCCACAGTGCCAAGGCAGGTGGCTTCCTCGGGGCTGGCTTTACTGGTTTGCCGCGCACCGCCTTGCCGCCGCGGCCGCGCGGTGCCGCACTGTGTGTGTGCGACTCGCGGCCTCGCGTGGGCGGGCCAGGAGGAGGCGCGTCCGCCGAAGGCTTTGTGTGTGTGCGTGCGCTGTCGAGTGTGTGAGTGTATGCACTGCTGTGTTTCCCGCGCCGGCCCTAGGATCACATTCGCAAGCTAGGCGCGCAAACAGTGCGGTGCCGGCGGTGCCGGCGTTCGGCGCGGAACTGCAGCCACACTATCGGCTGGTGTGTGTGGTTGTGTGTGTGCCGACATTGCCTGGCCTGCTTATCGGCTCGGATTAACTCCACCGGGTCGCAGCATTCTCCGCGCTCTTCCCCGCCGACGGTGGCGGCGACGCGGCGACTCGTCCCGACCATCCTCGCGCGGCAGGCTGCTGCGGCTGGTGCTGGTACTGTATGGGTAATGGCGGTTTGGCGGTGGTTCGGCGGCGACGCGGCCAAGCTGTGACTGGCGGCCTGGCGGTCCCCCGGTACACACGCTCTTCGATAAGACGGGCCAGCCAGCCCAGGACAGCCGCGCTGTCACGAGTGGCGCTGGATCAGGTGACGGCTCCTCTGACTCGCCGCGCCTCCGACAGAATTCTTTTGTCAACCGTGCGTACCCTTGGCACTTGACAGCCTTTGCATCCTTCTCGGCAGTCAGGCGGCTCCTTCGGCAGCCTTTCGCAGTCCTCGTGGTCCCATCGGCGGTCCCTTCGGCAGTCCGTGCGGCCGCTTCAGCACGTCCTGGCCTGTCCTGGCCGCGGCCGGCGGCCGGCCACAACATAACGCAGCTAAGAGCACGGCGCGCCGTGGCGGTCGCCGAAAGGAAGTGCCCCATTGGCCTCAACCACCTCCCCGCCGCCCGCCGCGGCCCGCCGCCACGGGGAGGACGCCGTCGACGCCGTGCGGCCGCGTCACGCGGAGCTCGAGTAACCCCGAGCACTCCGGCCCTGCCGCCAGCTCAACAAGTCTGAGAGCGCGGAAAAGAGACGGAATCCGACAACACGACAATGGGGCCAGAGACATGTTTGGAGTCGGTGCGCTCTGCGTCGCTCTGCGTGTCGCGAGGCTCGTAGCGCCACGACCCGGATGTAGGTCAGGGTCGCCGGCCGGCCGGCAGGGCAGGGCCCAAACTTGATTGAGTCGATGGGCAGCAGATATCTGGCGCCGCCTCGCTGCCGCCTGCCGCTCGCCCCGCGCATGTCGATGAACTGCGGCTAACGGTCGAGTCTGGTCGGGTCTGGTCGCGTCGCAGGTTCCGTTCCTCCTCCAAGAGGAGCACCGCTAATTCCGGCCCGCCTCGCAGCGCGGCGCAGCGCGCCCAGGGCCCAGAATCTAGAGCAATTAGTGAGTGCAGCTGGGCTGCTTGGCCGCACTGGCGCTGCGTCACCAGGACCCCCAGGAGTGCACCTGACCGCCGCGGCAGTGGGCGCTCGACGGGATGCTCCGCCGCGGGGCGCTTATCGACGGGGAGGTGCCCGGCCTGGTGCATGGCGACGCGACGCTGCTCCTGCGGGCCCAGGGTTGCTGCGTGGCGCAGGCAGGGTTCATTCCGTTTGCGACATCGCTCGGATTTCGCCACGCAATGCGGCGCGCCGAGGCGGTGGACGCTAGTACGCCAGTTAGCACCCGGATAGTGCCATTAAAGGCATTAGTGCCTGCGGGCCGCCGCCGGGGACCCTTGGGCCTCGCGGGGCGCGCGGGGCGGGGCGGGCAGGGGCGGGGCACGTGCGGGGCGGGCGCAGACGAGTCGCACCTACGGGGGAAAATAGACCACGGCCGCGAAAATCGCCCAACGCGCTCGAGACGACACTGGTAAATCGTGCAGAAATAGCGGAGCGGCCGGATTGTGTAGCATTTCTGGTAATAGGGCAGGATACATTGATTGCCTGACCCTTCGTGCCTCGTCGGCAGGGCCCTGACCGATCCTGACTTATTCAGTGCTGTCCCTGTTTCAGACGCGGCGATGGCTCCGGGACGGGGGCCCCCCGCGGGGCCGGCCGGGCTGGGCGCGATGGCGGTGCTGCTGCCGCTCGCCTGCCTGGGCTGCCTCGCGATAGCGGAGGCCGCCGCCACAACGCCGGCGCCAGGTATTGTCCCCGGAATCGGAAATCGGATCTGCATCCAAAAAGGACAAACGTGCTTCCGCGCGACTGCGAATGAGAACGACCTTTTTTCCCCACTTTGCAGTGCCGAAATGCAAGCAGCCCCCGCTGGCGGGCAACTGCACCACCTACCTCCACAAGTGGTACTACGACGGCGACGTGTGCCGCACCTTCACCTACGGCGGATGCAACGGCAACCTCAACAGGTTCAACACTGAGTACGAGTGCCTCGCGGCCTGCGCGCCGGGCCGTAAGTTGGAGCTTGGAACCTTGTGAGCCGCCACGGCGCGCCACAGCCGTGTTCGGTCCCGTGGCCAGCGTGCTCACGCCGTCACGATGCTTTCGCGCTGTCCGCAGACACGCTGCCGCCATACATGATTTCCACGACCACCACGCCAGCGCCCCGCGGCGTCAACGCCTCCACGACGCCCAAGCGGCCGGGCACCACCAAGAGGCCGCCGCCGACGGAGCCGCCGGTGCCGCTGGCGGACCGCGGCCATGAGCTCACGTTCGCGGAGACGGGCCGCCAGAAGGTGTTCATGATGACGCGCGGCGACGCCTTCATCCAGGTGGACGACCACCGCATCCCCACGTTCCAGCTCAGGTAATGACGTTCTGTCTCTCTCGCGCCCACACGGGATGCCACGCCCCACCGATGCGAGAGAGGCAGGTTGGCAAATGCAATGTGCTTCCAGGCTGTGCCGCGAGATTTCGTTCCAGTTCCGCACGCGGCTGCCGCACGGGCTGCTGGTGTACCACTCCGTCAAGAACAGACCCGGCGGCCTGGAGCCCTACGCGCTCTACGTCATCGTGGAGAAGGGCCAGCTCAAGGTGGTGCACGTCATCGGGAAGCACTCCACGTCCGTGACCGTCGGCGAGGGTGCGTGCCGCGGCGTGCCGTTCGCCTCCGTCAGCGCCTCCAGCAAGTGCTTCGGGATTCTGACTGTACCATGCCCACAGGCCTGAACCGGGACACGTGGCACACCGTGCTGGTGCGCATCGACGTGCCCAACTCGCGGCTCCTGGCGTCGGTGGACAACCGCACGGCCGAGGCCAGCATCCTGGGGCTCACGCCCGGCTACGGCGTCACCACCGACCTGCCGTCCGTCGTGCTCATCGGAGGTGAGGAGGAGGAAGAGGGCCTCTAGGGCGTCGACGAAACAGGGAGGGACTGCACGGTAGGCCAGAAGACCGGTGGAGGCGGCCGAAATTCTAGACGCGTTCTGACCTCTATAGTCACTAAGTAGGACTCGAACCAAACGTGTGACCCTACCGATGGATTCCTCGTCTGGAGAGCAATCCATTGGTGCGGTCACACGCTCGGTTTGAGTCCTGTTTAGCGACTCTGGAGCTCAAAATCCGTCCAGAGTTTTGGACGCCTGCGCCGCCTGTGGACTAACACTCGGCTTGCGCAGGTCTGAGCCCCGAAGAGAAGCTGCACGGCGTCAAGTACATCATCGAGTCCTTCATGGGCTGCATCAAGGACATGCGGCTGAGCGCAGGCAAGAGCAGCAGCGAGCTGGAGCCCATCAGGCCCCTGGTGGCCAGCAAGCACGACAACGTCCTGGAGGGTTGCATCAACAAGTGCGTCGGGCTGCTCGGCTGTGACGACGGGGCCCTGCAGGGGGGCGAGGGGCAAGGCAGGACAATGACAGTCTTCTGGTTGCAGGTGCCGCACGCGGGACAACCTGTGCTTCGTGGGCAGCCACTGCATCAACCACTACCAGGACGTGTCGTGTGACTGCTACGGCACCGAGTACGAGGGCGAGCGCTGCGACATCTACAGTGAGTTGCAGCAACCTGTGAGTCAGCCTGGTCCCGCCCTTCGAGAATATGACCGTGTCCTTGTTGCAGCGGCGACGGTGCTGACGCTCAGGGGATCATCCTTCGTGTCGTACCGCATCTACGACTGGAAGGACAGAGTGCATTCCAACGTCAACAGAATCAGCTTGTTTTTCAAGGTGACTTTAAACACTTCTCCAGCCGTCTTTTCGGAGCGGAGCGTTCTGAAGCAGGTCCTCTCGATTCGATTCGATTCCAGACCCGGTTCGACGACTCGGCCCTGTTCTACGCGAGCGGCGAGACGGACCGCCACCACCACATCGCCGCCTCCATCGTCAACGGCTCGGTCGTGGTGGAGATGGACTTCTGGGCGGGCCCGGCCATCGTCACGGACATGAAGACCATCGTGACCAACAACCACTGGCACAACCTGACCATCTACCACGCGCGCGACCGCGTGCACATCTCGCTGGGTGCCGAGAAGAAGGAGATCTCGCTGCCGGGCACGCAGCACTACCTGCAGATCGACCCCGAGATCTACATCGGCGGCGGCCCCGAGCTCAACAAGAAGCGCGGTGAGTACGCACTGTAACCACTACGGCACACTCCATGAGTGCGAGAGAGACAGAGCGAGAAGTGCGGGCGGCGGAATAGCTCGGCTGGCCCTGCAGTTTGCTAACTCTCTTGTCCGTCTTGCCGCCAGGCCTCCTGTCCAACAACAACTTCGCCGGCTCCCTCAAGTACGTCTTCTTCAACGACGTCTCCATCCTCTACGAGCTCAAGAAGGGCAACCCCAAGGTGCACTACATCGGCGTGCTGGCCCCGGAGTTCTACGAGGCGGACGTGGAGATCATCCCGCTCACGTTCCCCTTCCCGTCGTCGCACATCTGGTGGCCCGCCAGCAACGTGCACAACAACCTGTCCCTCTCCTTCGAGTTCAAGAGCTACCGCAGCATGGCCGTGCTCGTGTCCTCCAACGTGACCACCGCGTCCGGCACCGGCTACATGGAGGTGAGGTGTCGCCGTCCCAGGGAAAAGGAAACACAAAGGCGCGCGCTGATACTGTTTTCGGTCGCAGGTGCGCGTCGTCAACGACCAGATCCGCCTGGAGCTCATCCCGGAGATCGGCAAGAACGTGACGCACCTCACCACCGTGACGTTCGACTCGCGGGCCAACTGGCACAACGTGAGTGCGCCCCGGAGTGCGTGGAGCAGCGCACGGTGGATTTGCCAGAAGACCGGTGGAGGCGGTCAAAATCCCGGAAGGGTTTCGAGCTCCAGAGTAGCTAAATGGGACTCGAACCGAAAGTGTGACCCCACCAATGGAATGCTCCCCGAACGAGGAATCCATTGGTGGGGTCACACGTTTGGTTCGAGCGTATCATGTGTATAGCGACTCTTGAGTTCAAACGCGTCTCTGGTTTTGGCCGCCTGTGCCGGTCTGCCGGCCCACTGTGGAGCGCAGCGCTGCAGGCATGCTGCAGGCCACCCCGACCGCGCTGACCGGCTGCCGCTGTGCTTGCAGGTGGACCTGACGTACTCCAAGGGGGAGGTGCGGCTGACGGTGGACTACCGCAACAAGCAGTCGCAGCTGTTCGGCCTCGAGTTCACCATGGGCGACCGCGTCATCATCGGCAGCGCGCTGGGCAGCAAGGCCAACACGGGCCTGGTGGGCTGCATGCGCCAGGTGGTGGTGAACGGCGTGCCGCTGGAGCCGCGCTACGTGGTGCGCACCAAGCACACCGTGGGCACCGTGTCGCTCGACAACTGCCAGCTGGTGGACCCCTGCACGCGGCCCAACGCCTGCGAGCACGGCGGCAAGTGCTCCGTCAAGGACGACCGCGTTACGTGCGACTGCAAGGGCACGGGCTACATCGGCAAGAACTGCCACTTCGGTGAGGGGAACCAGGGAAACCGCCGTCTTGCCTCAGGCCACTGGCCACGGCCGCGCGGCTAACCGGTGAAGGCGGCCAAAATTCTGGACGCGTTTTGAGCGTAAAGAGTTTTGGCCGCCGGCGCCGATCTTCTGGCCCACAGTGTGGCTGTCAAGGCACCACGCTGACGCACTTGGTCTTCCTGCAGCCGAGTTCCGCAAGACCTGCGAGGAGCTGGCGCTGCTGGGCTACACCAAGCCGGACGTGTACCTCATCGACATCGACGGCAACGGCCGCTTCCCGCCCGCCCACGTCAAGTGCGAGTTCCAGTCGCTGGAGGACGCCACCAAGACCATCGTGGAGCACAATCTGCCCAGCCAAGTGGTGGGTGGCCGTGCTGGCTGACTTAGTTTGCTGCTCGCCTTAGTTTGGGAGCAGTCTTGACGCAAGTTTGTTGAAAAAGTGGAAAACGAGATGAATCAATTTTGCACGACTGTTGGCAGGACGTGCGAGGCGCATCCGAGTCGGACTTCAGCTTCACCATCAAGTACCGCGAGTTCACGTCCGAGATGCTGCAGGAGCTCATCTCGCACTCGCTGTACTGCTCGCAGTACATCAAGTACGACTGCTACAAGGCCCCGCTCGAGCTGCACTCGGCCACGTGGTTCGTGTCCTCGGCGCGCAACGGCACGGTGGACTACCTGGGCAACGTGAAGCGGGGCTCGTGCCCCTGCTCGGCCAACCGGACGTGCGTGGACCCCGACCTGTCGTGCAACTGCGACGTGACGGAGAGCAAGTGGCACTCGGACGAGGGCTTCTTCGCCACGCCGTCCTCGCTCGGCATCACCGAGATGGTGTTCCTGCAGCAGAAGGACCTGGACGAGGACGCGCTGGGCAGGATCACCCTGGGCCCGCTCGAGTGCGTCGAGACGAGTGAGTTTCTTGCTTCGCACCGCAGTGGATTTGCCAGAAGACCGGTGGAGGCGGCCAAAACTCGAGACGCTTTTTGAGCTCCAGAAGTCGCGAACAGGATTCGAGCCGAACGTGCGACCCCACCAATGGATTCCTCGTTTGGAGAGCAATCCATTGGTGGGGTTACACGGGTGGTTCGAGTCCCATTTAGAGACCCTAGAGCTTAGGATTTGGACCGCCTCGACCGGGCATTGCTGGAGGCGTCGCTGGAGAGTGATCCGTTTGTCCCAGACACGCAGACGTACGTGGTGACGTTCACGACCAGCCAGTCGTACATCGAGGTGCCGGGCTGGCGCAAGGGCGACATCGCCTTCAGCTTCAGGACCACGGGGGAGAACGCCATCCTGCTGTACCAGCCGCCCATCCGCCCGCACCTGCCCTCCTTCATGGTGGCACTCACCAGCGGTCAGTGTCCCGCTGTTCTTCGGTTTGGCGTTACTGCTTTCGATCAAAACTGGGGGCTGCACTGTTAAAATCGATCGGAATGCTACCATATTGTTTAGAAAAAATTATATTTATGTCCAGAGCACTAAAATTCCGATACGTGAATAGTAATTTTCCAATCTGTTTGGGCTTTTTGCTTCATGGGCTGAAAATGTGCATGAAAAATCCTACACATTTATAGGAAATACCAAAATAATTGATAATGCGATTGTTTTTGTGTTGTGCAGACTTTAAGCTCACGTTCAACTTCACGCTGAACACGGGCCGGTCCCGCGAGCTGGAGATCAAGTCGCAGCGCCGCCTCAACTCGGGCGAGTGGCAGAAGATCTGGATCGACTACAACGAGCACCACGTCCGCTTCATGATCAACACCGACTACCAGATGGTGGACCTGCTGCCCGAGGAGGAGTTCGGCCCGTTCGAGGGGAGCATGTTCATTGGCGGCGCCACCGAGTGAGTCCTGCACCTTGCTTTCCGTGCCCAGCCCGAAATGGGCCTGAAAAACGGTCTGCCCGTGGACTAAACGCGGGCACAGCTGTCAAAGCATAGGTCCAAATTTCCGTTGCCATGCCCACGCAGACTAAAACAGAGCTAGAAGCGGCAGCAAGACCGCTTAAAAACAACCTTATTGTCCTTTTAACAAGTAACACTTTATTTCAAAACAACCAGTGCTACCCTTCTCAGGATGTGGCAAGAAGGCCCGAGCAGCAGGCTGACCGCCCCCCGCTTCTCCTTGCAGGGACTTGCTGAAGAAGAGCTCCATCTCGCAGGGCCTGATCGGCTGCTTCCGCGGCCTGGTCGTCAACGGCGAGGTGCTGGACATCTACTCGTACATGAGCGTGCACCTCAGCGAGATCATCAAGGACTGCAAGCCGAGCTGCGACCCCAACCCGTGCAAGAACGGCGCCCAGTGCAAGGAGCTGTGGTCCACCTTCAAGTGCGTCTGCGAGAACCCCTGGGCCTACATCGGCCAGCACTGCGAGACGAGTGAGTTAACCCTCTAACTTTTGACAAGTGTGTACTTTTTTGCTATATTTATCTTTGTTTTCATTTTTGAGATATCAACGTGAACGCCATGACCATGGTCCGCATGGAGACGTACATGAACAAGAACTTCTTGTTCAACAACACCGACCCGGAGAAGAAGCTCCTCAAGAGCATGCTCAAGGAGAACATCCTCCTCAACGTGCGCACGTACGACGCCAATTCGCTGCTGCTGTACGCCAACGACCACCTCAACAACTTCGTGCACCTCTTCATCCAGAACAAGAAGAACCTGGTGTTCCTCTTCAACTCGGGCAACGAAATCAGGCGCATGTCCGTGCAGTACCCAGGTGGGGCCCTAGCGATGCCTGTTTTCTGAGTGCTGATTTCGAACACTGCTTTCACTCAGCCTCTCTCGAACTCGTGAGGCGCAGGGGTGCGAGAGAGACAGGGCGACAAAGCGCTGTCGGATTAAGGCTGGCCTCTACTGAGATGTGCGCTTCGTTTGCGACGCAGGACTCAACAGCGGCAAGTCGGTGCAGATCGCCATCATCCGCAAGGGCGGCGACGTGACCCTGCACGTCAACGACAGGAACACGACGATCCACGCGCCGAACGTGCTGCTCACCGAGTACCGCCACAAGCCCTGGATCAACGCCGAGAAGGGTGAGTGGGGGCGACGCCGCATGGCGCTACCACTGGAAGTCTGCCCCGCTGACGTGTCGCTCCTTTCCCACAGAGGTGCTGGCGCCGCAGCGGCCGCCCGCCCCGCCCACCGACTACTTCCAGATGAAGCTGGGCGGCATGCAGGACGAGACCCTGCTCCGCGTCAACCCGGAGGCGCACCAGCTCACCGGCTTCATCGGCTGCCTGCGCGGCTTCAAGATCGGCAACACACTGTACGACCTGCAGGCCAACGCCACCAACCCCATCGGTAGGCCAGGAGCAAACACCGCCCTCCCGCGGCAAAGAGACGAAATCGCCACGCTCGGCCTCCGGTTCTGGTTCCAGACATCGTGGCGCCGGCCGGAGTCATCCCGGGCTGCCGCATGAAGTGCGACGACGAGCCCTGCAAGCACCAGGGCATCTGCATCGAGGACTTCGCCAAGGGGGAGAGCTCGTGCAACTGCGAGCACACGTCCTACTACGGCGAGTTCTGTGGCCAAGGTGCGTGCACGCATGCGGGGAAGCGAAAAGTTTAAGTTCGACAAGCGCCCGGAGGCAATGGCAGCCGAATGGCATACGTTCATGTGTAGTCTAGCCCTTAGTGGCAATGGTAATGTGAGGGTAGGCCGCGCGCTGGAGTTGGCCAGGGCTGTGCGGCGTGGTGCCTACCCTGCCGTCTGCAGGCGCTCAGGGGCGAGGTAGGCCACGCGCCGTGCAGCCGCACTGGGCGGGGTGCCTACCCTGCTGTCTGCAGGCGCTAAGGGGTGAGGTAGGCCACGCGCCGTGCAGTCGCACTAGGCGTAGTGCCTACCCTGCAATCTGCAGGCGCTCAGGGGCGAGGTAGGCCACGCGCCGTGCAGCCGCACTAGGCGGGGTGCCTACCCTGCCGTCTGCATTACCATTACCACTACGGGCTAGACCACACATGATCGTAGGCGTTCCTGGCGGACACTGCTGACTGGGCCTGAGTGCCGAACGCTGAGCGCTGATTTCTGCCTACAGAGAAAGGTGCCGACTTCGGCGGCGAGTCCGTGCTGCTGCGCAACTTCACGGTGGAGGGCGAGGTGAACCAGGTGAAGGTGCAGCTGGCCTTCTCCTCCAACGACGCGCGGCACCGCAGCACCGCGCTGCTGCTGATCCAGACCGAGACCCGCCGCAGCTACTACCTGCTGGTGGCCATCTCGGCCGAGGGCGAGCTCATCTTCGAGGAGGACCGGGAGGGCACCGCCACATCCATCGGCGCCCGGATCAAGGACCGCAACTTCCTGAACGGCGCGCGCCACTCGCTGTACTACAAGCGCGTCGACCAGTCCGCGACACTGCTGGTGGGTCCGCGGGTCGGCGGCGCTGCCGGCACGTCCGTCAGGTCAAGAAGCTGACCGTGTTGTTGTTGCGCAGATTGACCGCGAGCCCGTGGCGCTGCAGCCCATCTCGGTGCTGAGCTACACCGAGGACAAGGACGCCAGCCCCAGGGTGAGCGACGCGGTGCACATCGGCGGCCTCAAGACCAGCGACCCGCGCTTCGGTGCCTACACGTCGTACAGCGGCTGCCTGTCTAGTGAGTGTTCATGTTTGAAGCAGCGCACAGTGGGCCACAAGACCGGTGGAGGTGGCCAGAGTCGCTAAATCGGGCCCAAAACGAACGCGTGACCCCACCAATGGATTCCTCTTTCGGAGAGCAATCGATTGCATTGCGGAGGTCACACATTCCTTTCGAGTCCCATTTAGCTCAAAACACGTTTAGAATTGGCCGCCTCAACCGATCTTCTGGCCCACTGTGCGGTGGGGTGACGCGCACATGCCAACGAGCTGCCCTCTCAAAGCACCCTGCCTCTCCAGACGTGTTCGTCGAGGTGAACCACCAAATGATGAAGCCGGTGGACGAGTACATGGCCTTCATCAAGAACGGCTCGGAGAAGGTGCTGGTCATCTCGCCGTCAGGTGTCCGCAGCGCGCAGTGCGCCAACTTCGACCTGATCCACAAGCCGCGGCCCAGCCCGTCGCTCAACAGCAGCCTGGTCAGCGTGGTGAGTCCTCAGCCCCAGCGGCACCAGCCCTCGGTCGCGGCCATCCGTGCCGTGGGCTGTCCGTCATGAGCACGAGGGGCATGACTTGGCGTCACGTGGCTTGTGGACGCGGCCAGCGCGTGACGCCGTCCGACGGACTGTCCGTGTTGCAGGGCCGGGACAAGGCGTGGGTGGAGGACTCGCCGAGCCGGGTGCCGTACAAGTCGCAGTACTCCGTGCCGTCCACCGTGGAGGAGGGCTTCGGCAAGAGTGAGTCACGGCCTTCTTTACCGCCGTCGATGGACAGTTGGCGAGAAAACAGTCTGACACAAGGACGACTTTGACTTTCTGTCCTTTCTTACGCACCTCCCCGTTGCAGTCGCCTTCATCGTGCTCACGTCCATCTTCGCGCTGGTGATGCTGGGCGTGGCGTGGGACGTGTACCGGACGCAGCGCAACTACCGGCGCCGCAAGGAGGCCGAGGAGGCTGCGGCCATGCTGTGGCACAAGCCGCCGCCGCTGCTGCCACCCACCGCGCCGTCGCCCTACAAGGCCCGCCAGCAGCAGCAGCAGCAGAATGGGTCGGCCTCCAAGCCGCTGCTCAAGGGCGAGCCGCCCAGCGCCGTGCACGTGGCGCCGCCCGTCGTGCCGCAGCAGAACGGCCGCCAGATCCGCTTCCAGGGTGAGTCTCGACGTCGCAACCTCTCCACGGCCACCAGGACGCACGGTGGATTTGCCAGAAGACCGGTGGAGGCGGTCATAATTCCAGACGCGTTTTGAGCTCCAGTGTCGCTAAATAGGACTCGAACCGACCGCGTGACCCCACCAATGGATTGCTCTTCGAACGAGGAATCCATTGGTGGGGTCACACGTTCGGTTCGAGTCCTTATTTAGCGACTCTGCAGGTCAGAACGCGTTTTGAGTTTCAACCGCCTCCACCGGTCTTCTGGCCCACTGTGGGAGGGCCTTGCCCTTCTGCGCACCCTCCGGGCGCCAGGCTGATTTCCAACAGCGCGCCGCCGTTCGGTTCGGATATCAGTCCTCAGCCGATAGCCGCGGCGATACCCCGCAGCGGGAGGGCGTTGGCGATACCCCGCGCGCCGAGGCCCCGACGCGGGGTATCGCCGCGGCCTGGCAGGTGCTGGCTGTGGCTGGGACGGGCGCCGTCGCCGTCCCGGCCCGTCCCGCTAGGGGCTGGCGACGGCCGATAAGGCGAGGCGCGAGGCGTCACATCGGGCCGTGTATATTGCATTGCGATCGCAGTGGCGCAGCAATGCCGCAATGCACGAGGCGCTGCTTTCATTTCCGAGGCGGGGCTTATGTTGCCAGCAGCATGTCGCATTATTTCCCCCCGCGGCCTGATCGTGTTTTATTGCCAGCTCTGTCCCCCCCCCCCCTTTTCTCCCCGCCACTGACTCGTTGGGTTTTGCAGGTTTTCCAGGCTTTCCGACAGGGCCGCAGACAGCTCGGGGGATCTCGGACGGCCCTCGCCAGTGTTGGTTTAAACTTCTTCTTGTCTGTTTTTAAGCTAAACCATTTTTGTGTTGAGCTGCAGTAGTGTAGATGGCCGCAATGCACCAGTGTTTAATGAACGTCCCTCTGTAGCCGCGCTACGTCCCGCGCCCCGCGTCTCCATGCCGTTTTAATAATGGGGCTAGAGTCGGCGCTAGGGTCCCTGACAACGTTTCCATGTGCTCGGCACAGTCACCGCCCAGTCACCGCGGAAATGCGCCGAGCGAAATGAGAATCCCAGACCGTGGAATCGGTGCCACAGTGAAAAGGCTGATTTGACAGCTTGTCTTCCAATGACGTCCCACGTCCCGGACTGGATGCGTCCCGTCAAGGTTCCCCACCGCGAGTGGGCCCCGCCCCCGCATCAAGCCCTCCATGCTGGGCGCGCTGTGAGTGCAGCAGACCAGAATCCAATCTTGTCTCCCATTGAGAAATGGCGAGGGGGTATGCGCTCTCCGAACCTGTGTACCGACTATTACGCTATTACGCTCTATTACGCCACAAATTAGTCGGAATTTAGCTAAAAACGGCCTAAAACACACCAAAATTGATAAAATTTTGACAATTTCGGCTATTACGCGACTATTACGCGTATTATTACGCGTGCTATTACAGATAGAGTGAACTGACTATTACGCGAGTGCATACCCCCTCGAGAAATGGTATCGCAAATATTACCCGCCAGGAACTTTTCTCCGCTGTTACCTTGCGGAGGCTTAGAGAAAAGGGTCGCTTTCCGGTCAGTTTCTGCACCGTTGCCGTTGAAGGGTGTATCACTGTAGGTCTGCATTCAAGACAAAAATGTTTTTTCCATACCGTCCCTCACGGCACGCGTACGCACTCGCACAACTTCTGCCGAGCGTTTCAACTGTGACTGTTCGGCCTGGGCAGCCCGTGCGCACCGAAAAGTTTTCAAGGAGTCTAGGCGTCTAGAGCGACGCAGTGACGCTAGCGCGCGCTAGCATGGCCGAGGGGTCGGCAACTCATATATTACTTCGTACGCGGTGGCTATATTACCCGTATATTACCTGTATATTACCATATATTACTTGCATATTACCACAATTTCGCCTCTATAATACCCCTATATTACTATATATTACTTTGTATTACTTTATATTACACATATATTACCTATATTACTGGTAATATACGTATACTCCCTCGTACACGGCCAAGAGAAGTTGCCGACCCCTCGAGCATGGCGCTAGCGAGGTCGGCACGTGGAGGTAGAGTGCCACGTGGATGGTAGAGTGGCCACCAGGCCGTCGTGCTTGTCCAGGAGTCGCACAGTTTCCAACAGTGTACCTGAACCGCATTCCATTCTCCATTTGGCTTTGCCTGGACGCTTCTCTACGTTCGACATAGATAAACACCAACGACCCAAACCTTTTGCAGCGACACGACTTAAAGTAGTTTCATAGCTAAAGGGTCTAGTCAAGTGCACAACTGTTACCACTGACAAACCGACTGAAAATAATCAGCAATTATTTTTAAAAAAGCACCTTGGTGCTAAAGCCACTTTTCAGGGCTTTAAAACATTTTTAGAATTTTTTGTTTTGTATTATGTATTATGTAATAGCAATTATATATAGGCGAAAAAGTTCTGCACTTGACTAGGTTTTGTCCTGACGAGAACCTCCAAACACGAAAATGGCGGAGCTAGTAAAAAATATTATGACAGTCTAACGACGGCCAAAATCATTCCCTCAAATTATCAAGACGTTTTAGATCGCGAAAATAAAAATTGACGTACAAAAACACATTGTTTGTGTAGATATTGTGTCTTCAGAAGAGACTGCGAGTTGGGGCCGTCAGGTTGGCAATGCTACTCGGTCCCAGGTAGCCCCGCTCTTTCGTATTTAATGGACTTTCCGAAGCACAAATTTCTCTTGCTCTTTTAGGAATAACCCCATATAATATCCGTTCTTACGTTCCACGACTCTTGGTCAAGTTATTGCTGAGAAATAATTACATAGCAGCTTGTATTCCGTCCGAGTGGTTTGAGTGCGCGCGCCACTAGCGCTGCGGCGCCGACCGGAAGGACCCGGCGCCATTGCCGCCGATCGGACCCGCTTTTGGCTCTTTAAATACAAATATTTCTCTTAAAAGCACATGAAGGAGTACTTTCATTTAGACCGTCGCGTTCCTCATGAAATTATGAACCCGCCGATTAGTTTTTTGGATACTTTTCACCGTATACAAACTGAAAGATATGAAATTTTCGGGGCCCTTCCGCGGCTCTCCCGTAAGGTCCCATGTTAAAATACCCAAACTTTAACTCTAAATATCTTGCAAACTAATGCATGAACGATACTTTTCGAACACACCAACGTGTAGCGGAGGTTCTCGTGAACAGTTTGGTATAAAAATATACACCCTTTCACCGTATGGCCCGTTCCACCTCGCGGTAGCTTTTCACCGTTTCACCCGCCAGCCTTTTTGTCACAATAAGCTGTGGACCAAAATGAAAGAACCTCAAACAAAGGGCCCTGCACTCACCCAGCACTCAGGGGGAAAAAGCCACTGTGCTTTTTGCATTTTTGTTTTACAAAAGGAAATATCACTGCGAGAGCAGTCGCAAACCTATATTGCGAGCCGACGGCTCATCGGCTGGAATCGTACAATGCAATAATGGATTTGGCCACCTTTTTTCCTGTCTGCTGCGAGTGCACGGCCCATCTCGACGCGACATCGCGGACTAATGGCGCCACGCCCCTCGTTTGCTTTTCGCAGAGGACCGCACGGACAGGGAGCTGCAGTGGGAGCCCCTGAGCGAGGAAGAGAACAAGCTGCTGGACCAGGTGAGTGACGCCAGCCCCGCCAGCCCCGCCTCTTCTCTCTCTGGCTCGCACACGCCGTGGACGCCACCCAGGACGCCCCCGGGGTCCACCAGCTCCACCCCCACCCCCGCCCCCGATCGGGACCCCCAGGACCCCCAGGACCCCCAGGGCCCCGTGGACCCCCAGGCCCAGGACCCCCTAGCGCGCTCGGCGCTGAGTCGCCTCATGGACTACTGGACGTGGCCGCGGCCGTCTGCAGAGCAGCCCGACGAGGCGCTGCTGTTCTGACAGCAGGCAGTGGTGCCAACCCGAAGGCGCGCCCCGCTGCCCGCCGCGTTCCGCGAGGGCCCAGCTTGGGGCCCAGGCGGCCGAGGCCCGGCCGAGCCTGCAGGTTGGCAACCCTGACGGCCTCACAGCCTCACGGCTCGGGGCGGCGCGGCCATGGCGCGGGCACGGCACTGCTGCTGCGGCAAGAAACCAATGCCGGCTTCCTCACTTTCCAGTCGCTGAAAGAACTTTCGATCAGTCTCGGGAGCCACGGGAGCGTTAGCTCGGAAGAAGGGGCGGTCGTGGCCCGGGCTGGGGCCCGCCAGGAGGACCCGCCCGCCAGCGCGCAGCCGCTGCCGGTCAAGATCTCGAGGGGCGCGCCCATCTCCTCCACCAGCGAAGTCACCCTCAACTCGCTGTACGACTGAGCGCGCAGTGCTGCGCTGTGCTGCCCAGTGCGACCAACCGACCGGAAAAAAAGAGAGGGGTGCACTCCAACCGTCAACTTTTTGTTTTGTCGTGTCCCCTCTCGAACTCGAATCTGAATGTATTGTTCTCGGCGCTCCGTTCGTTCCGCGGGCCGAGGCACCGAGGCTGAGGGCGCTGGAGGGCCCTAGAGGGCCTCGTTGGGCATCCGCATGCGGCCGCAACGGGGTTTGCCGATGCTGATTGCTCTTGGCTGGTGCACCCCTCGCAGCAGAGACGAGTGCAACAGGGTAGTCTGGATTAGTGCATCTTTTTCTTCATCAGGGAAACTGTTGCATCGTCTCTTCCATTTTGGAAGTTGCAGTCGAGCCAAAAGATTGTGTTCCTTTTCCTATCACTCATAGTTCCTTCTCATCGACTGGCATGTACTTACTTTTTTAAGATCTGATATCAAAGTGAAACTTAGTTGCGTTACATTCTCTAGTCAGCCTTAGAAAACGGTCTAGTCTTGCGGTATTCGCAGTATTCTCATGTACTCCAACCTTGGTACGAAACCCTCAGTACCATTTAAATGTTAGTCTATTATTGTACATTATAACGATTTATGTGCTGATGCACGTAAAAACCAAATGATTGCTGGTTATATCAGTATTTACGTTTTTATAGCTTTATTTTCTTCCAGTGATCTGTGAATGTTGTCATCCGAGTACTTTCATTATCTGGTTGTATTATTTCACTAGCTTAATATGCATGTGCTGTTATGAAAACTAGTCAGAACACTTACAACTAGAAATAACGTTTTCTCTTTCTCTCTTGACAGTCATTTTTTTTCTTGATTTTGGAGATAGTGTATACCGTCTGTGAAGTGTGCGTTGAATTATACGTCACGATTCCACAATGGTGATCCTATTTCTTCTCCCGAAAAAAAATCCTCAGTGTGGGACCTTCCTTTTTCCCTTTAGAAGTAGAGCAAAAGCACACAGTCTCACGGCGTCGCTTTCTATGGAACTGTCTTGATGATCAGCCAAGAGTACAGGGAAGTCAGAACAGCGTCAACATGCCTTTCAAAATGAGAGCTGTCATTCAATTCGGTCCGCAACGACGGGACAGACTTAATGGCGACTCGATTTCGAGCGCGGAGCGCGCCCTTGGCGCAAGCTCTCGGCGCACTCGGCGCGCTGCAAACTCATTATTCCGAACGCCAGATTCCTCTCTGGAGCGCACTGAGGAGGCCGCAGCCTCGCACAGCCTCTCGCAGCCCACATCCCGGCGAAGCCTCGCGAGCCGCACAAAGACCAATCCGATTCCACCTCAATCACTGCAGCGTGCCAGCGCGCGCAGCGGGTCGGCCAGACTGCGCCCACAAATGGGGTTGTTATCACGCGGCGCGGAGCCACGTGGGGCCCACGCGGACTAGGCCTGCGCGGCCCGCGCGCCCCGCGCCATCCTCTCGTTATAATGAAACACTGCGCCGTTCCCGAATCCCCCAATCCCAACGCATGCACCGGCGACTCTAAGCCACAAATGGCATCAAAGGTGGTGAGCTGCGCAGCTGCGCCGCGCAAGCAACATCGGCGAAAGCCTTTAACGACTCGCTCTGTGTGCACAGGGGTTGCCGGGGGGGCTCGATTTGCGGAACAAGTTTCCGCCCATACACGAGGACGATCACGACTCTGAAGAAGTCTCAGGTGCGTACAGTGACACCGCGACACGCGGCGCCCCAGACATTCTTCTCAATGTTTGCTTTGTGCTGCAGAGCCCGCCGACCCGGACGACGCTCTCACGGACGACGAGCCGGACGAGGGAGGGGCGCGCGCGGGGCTGCCCGGGCTGGCCCAGCGCCCCGTGCAGGCCTTCCCCTCGCGCAGCGCAGGCCCGCAGCGCCCGCTCGCCCCCATGCCCGTGTACCTCGCCGACAACGTGCGGACGTTCGCCAACCCCATCAGCTACCTGGGCGGCCCCCGGCTGCTGTCCAACAGCACCGCCCCCCGCACAAGCAAGGAGTCCGTGCTCTCCCTGGACTAGGCCCCGATGCTGCCCTCTCCCTCCCCCTCCCCCGAACAATGCATGCACACCGTGGCGTTGCAAGAACGCGCCGAGCACGCGGGCGGTTTAGTGATACAGTGGTGTGTTTTGTCTAGTCTCCAATTAGTGATTTTGTTGCACTCGGTCTGCCACCTTGTCGGAAGACTTCAGCGGTGTAAAACTTTGTAAATATATTGATAGAGAATGCACCGTTAAAGACTGTTCTAATGTAGATTATATGTTTCCATTTACTCGTCTTGAAATATGTTGAAGTGTGTGCCTTATTTAGAAATTGTGTCAACTGTCACCGGTTGTTGTACATATGTATGGTAGTTTTTGATGTTTTGAACTCGCCTTAAAAATTGGCGCAGAAAATTTGTAGTGTTTCCCAGATGACGCGTGCATTTTGGAGCTTCCAAGACAGCAAGTAGTGTACCATTTCCAAGATGATCTGCGTTGAGAGATGCCGCGTTCCGTAATTTATGACTTGTTAGTAATAATAGCGGTCAGACTTGGTCGAAACTTATGCTAGTCGCTTCTACATGCATTGAAGCTTAACCAGTTTATCAAAAAAATAGTTTGCATCGAAATACGCAGCTCACTTTGTACCATTGAAAGTGATTTTTACGTGTCTTTGTATGGATACTTATTCTTCCTCTCATTCTTGTAAAATATCACTGGTAAAATTAAAGCGTAGTTTTAAGCTTCATTTAAGCACTCAACTACGCTTAATCGCCTTACGCCCTTCTTCAAGCGTACAACTACGTTTCAAGGCAATTTCTACCCCCCCTCTCGCATTTACATTGGACGAAAGGAGTGCATTACACCTTAGTTTTACCAGTGATTCTAAATCAGTTTTAAATTTATTTCTTAAATGTAGAATATATATTTTAAGTAGCTTCTCGCAGGATTTTCGTTTCTCATACGTGTAAAAAAAAGACGTTGGTTAGGCGAATACACTGACTGACCTTTGGACAGTGAACCCGTTTCAATAAGCAGCGAAACAAACTTCTCTTTTGCTTCTACAGACTGTGATTGTTGGTGTGAAAAGTCCGAAGGGGTTGGTTTAGCGTAGCCCTAACGAACTCTTCGCAAGCCCCCAAGCCAAGAATCACTATGTCGAAAGATGAGAAATACGCCGCTGACAACGAGACTCAAGTTGGCCGACGATCTGTCGACGCATTCGCCTCTGCAACTTCCATTTTCTTTTCCACCGTTAGCGTGACGAGTTTGGGCACAATTTTAATTATGATAAGACATGGACGAACGACTACTTCTGTTGGCTGTGCGTGCTCAAAACGTTGTCTGATACTAATAAAGTATTTTGTGAAGCTTCGTCTTGTTTACCGATGTCTGGGGACTCTGAGAGCGGAGGCGAAAAGAGAAAGAAAAGACCAGGAATTCCTTGTTGACAAGGAATTGCGTTATTGTTGGTCCAGACGACGCGACCGGAGCGGCCCACGCGCCGGCCTCTGCAGGCTGAGGAGCCTTCACCCCCCCCCCCCCAAATTCTCTCTTTCTCTCTCTCTCTCTCTCACTCATGGGGAGTCCTGAGTCCTCTGAAGGAAGAGGAGAGAGTTAGAGAGAGAGAGAGAGGGGGGGGGGGATGAGGAGGAGAGAGAAATCGCTCGCTATAATCCCCTTTCCCGAATCGCAAAGTTTGCCGGACAACAAGTGGCCAGCACAACGGGCGGCAAGACACTCGAACAAAAGCAGGGGAGAATGTTGCACGCCACTGAAGAGGAGCCTCTCAAACTTTACCTTGATCCTGAAACTCCAGGAACAAAAGCATCGTACCTGTGATGGAAAATGAAGCAACTACCCCGTCGGAGAGGCGGCATTCCGTCCGGCGGTCCACCATGTTGATTAAATCAACAAAATTGCCGCCAGGATGGAGTATATTGGCATTCAAACAAATATCCGAGAGGTTGACAACTCGCAAATTACCCCTATACCGGCTGCATATTATTTGTATCACACCCGCATATTAGCGTTAAAATACAGAAATGTCACAAAAAAAACTCGCACGAAAAGGTTATACATGAAAAATCAGACAACGGTTCCCCACGAACCGCACATGTTACAGTAGTCCTTGGTAGGCCAGGCCCGTTGTGAGTCGACAAAACGCGTGTCGCGTAAATCAAAATGTGAACTAAAAATTTTATGGTATCGCGGAAGTTCGATAATTTATTTGAAAGGAAGAGTACTCGTTAGAGTATTATCCTCTGACTTCACCAAAAAAGGTGGAAAATGGGGTCCTGCCCGGTCCTGCCACTCTCCCACGTGTCGGGAAGGCCACCTGTAGTGAACCACCCCTCCCCTTTTTAGGGGGCGGGAGAGTGCCCACCTGATAACGGGACAGGCTTCACCATGCTATCTACCGGAACAGTGTAGGTACTATGGTTTGGACCACTGCGGACAAGTCGTGCCATGTCCGCGTCTGTTAGATCCACTCCGTTCCAGCGAAGCGCCCGCGGAGTCGAGCATAGGCAACCCGCTCGCCTCGTACGCGAGACTCTGGCAGTTTGCCTACATTCAGGCTGGGACCGCACGTGATAGGGTACTAGGGTAGGCGAGCATTCTGACGATGGGGTAGCATCGAAAGTGTATGCGCCTACCAGGCAATACCAGGGTTTGCTCTGAGAAATTGCTTATTGGGCAAGCTGATGTTGACAACCCTTCCGACACTGTGCTGTAGGGACGGAATGTTTGCCCGGTTGTGTGGCAACACAGATTCAGGGCCGAACCTGGTCAGGCCTGATGCGATGATTGCAGAATCTAGATGTCTCTCGTGAACTGCGGCCCCCCGAGGCCACGCGACAGTCCACGTGGCCCCCGACCTTCCGGGAAACAGCAATCAAGCCTTGTGTCACTCGAGACGGAGGAAGAGTCGCAAAACAAGACAATAACAACTCACTCCAGCTCAGCGCAACACAACGTGACACGGGCACACACACACCTACACACACCCCTCCACACACACGCGCGCACCCACAAGCTTTATGCCCGGACCGCTCCAACGCACATAGCCGAGCAATTTCGAAGAATCGTTTCATCGCTCAGTCCCCCTCTCACTTCTACGGCGCGCCCCACGAGTGCGACCGAGATAGAGCGATTGTTCGAAATTATGCGTCTGCAGCGACCGCCTGCACCGCGCGCGTCGCTCTGGCTTCAGACTGAGGGCCGTTTACGTCGCTGCGTCTCGCCCGCACCTACGCGGTGCGCCCCATGGGTGCGAGGGAGACAGGGTGTCGAAAGCGACTCTCGGAGTCAGTCTGCTGGGGGTGTAGGTGGGGGTGTAGGTTGGGCGCGGCGCTGCGCGGCAGGCCTGCCTGTGGCGTGGCAGGGAGGGCTGCGCGGGCTGCGCGCGCTGCGTCAAGTCGAGTCCCTTTCAGTCCCGTCCGCGCCGCCGGGGGAACAGGTCGAGAGTAGAGCGCTTGGCCGCGCCAGGCCGCGTTTCGCCGCGTCTCCGCCAACACGACGACTAGCTCGCGCTCCACGGGGTCGGGGTGGGCGCCGCACTCTCCGCAGCGCCCCTCCCCGACGAGCTCGCTCGGCCACGCCATGGATTCCGGCGCTGAAGAGGCCTTTCGCGCCGCCCGCAAGAAGGGCCGGTCCGCGTCCATCTGCGCGCCGTCCTCCTCCTCCATGGAGGCCGTGCTGACCAGCGCAGCCGCCGGCAGCAGCAGCAGCACCGCGGCCACGCCGACCGACCCCGGCACGCCGGGCACGCCGTCCACCAGCCGGCGCCGCCGCCCCGCCACGCGCTCGCACTCCGCGCGCATCTCCGGCAACAAATCGGTGCGCCGGCCCCGCCAGCAGGACCAGCCGGCCATGTAAGCATGTTGCGGCGGCAAGCGGCAGTGGAGGCGCCAAGCGGCAGTGGAGGCGCCACGCGTGGGCGCTGTGTTCGCGCCAGCCGGCTAGCCGGCGGGCTGTCACACTGTCACCTCAAGCCTCGAGCCGCTGGGGCGGGGCGGCTGGGGCTGGGCCACGGGACACGGAGCAGCCCACGGAGCACTGAGCAGGCCATCAACACCAGACGGAAACTTTAGGAGCCTAGCCCTAGTCGCTCTCAGTGAAAGTGGGTCGAAGCGTAAAAGGGTCTAAAAGGCTGCCGGGATGCACGCTAGACCTCCGAGGGAAAAAGGGAGGGGGGGGGCGTAGAGCAATAACGGCTGGACACACGGCCGGCCGGCCTGACCTATGGCACGTTCTCCCACGGTCGCCCTCTCGTGCAAAGCGGCGCTAAGCCCTCGGCATGTTAGCAGAACCCATTGGCGAGGGCCCTGCTACGGTTTATTGCATGGGGGAAGGGGCGGGATGGGCAGTGCCGGCAGTGCCGCGCCATCTAGTGGCAGATGATTAATCTCGACTTGTTTGCTTCCCACTTCCACGCATGCATGTTGGACCTGCCGAGTCATTTCATTACTCGCAACTTCGTGAAATAGTAAAATAAACATCAGGGTGCAAAGCGCGTGCGTTTGTGTGTGTGTGTGTGTGTGTGTGTGTGTGTGTGTGTGTGTGTGTGTGTGTGTGTGTAAATAGGCGCCGCGTCCACAGGGACTTGCAGACCGTCTTCGACCGTCTTGCTGTCCGTCCCGCTGCGAGAGTTTGATTGGGTCCTCGATGGACGCCTAAGCGGGGAATGCAGTCCTCAACGTTCCCCGGTTTCTTTCTCTTTCTCTTTTTTCCTACCGACGCAGTGAAGCAGGAACACTCTGATTACATAAAGAAGGGTGGGGATTACGGCGACGGAGCACCTCACGCCCCTGACCCTGTACCGCGAAAGGGGAAAAAGCGCTCCGTTTACTGGTTCAGCAGAATAGCTAACAGAACCAAATAAAAATTTAATTTCCGTAATTGAATCAACCCTCTTTTTACATCCGAACGGGTTCCTGCCCCTGATGGACCACCGATAAACACAGCATGGCGTGCCGCGCGCTTGTTGGAGGGAACGTGGGCCAGGGCGGGCCAGGGCCAGCGCTGCTGCGCTGTGCGGCCAGCGCTGTGCGGCCAGCGTACAACAGGTAATGCGGCTGGTGGCGCTCGCTTGCCGCATTCTATCTGGTTTCTATCAAAAAACGATAAAGATAAAAATAAATACACTGATGGGTAGGAAACTGGGCGGGAAATGGATTTGGTAGGCGTGGCAGTTGGAAGCGCGTTCCACTCAGCGAAGCGCGAGCTCTGTACTCGTGTTATCTAGGAATCAACCGACCACTAAAACGGGCATGTATTTCTGCGGGCATTCGATCCCAGAGCGGATACCCGCGACACGGCTAAGCGCTCCCGCGGCCGTGTCCCGTGTCGGCCCCCTGGCAGCCCCCTGGCAGCCCCCTGGCAGCCCCCTGGCAGCCCCCAGGCAGCCCCCAGGCAGCCCCCTGGCAGCCCCCTGGCAGCCCCCTGGCAGCCCCCAGGCAGCCCCCAGGCAGCCCCCTGGCAGCCCCCTGGCAGCCCCCTGGCAGCCCCCTGGCAGCCCCCTGGCAGCCGCCCAGGCTTCGTCTCTCCAGAGTCTCCATTCCGGTGACCATGTGCTGTCGCCGGCCTCGCCAGCGTTGTACGGCTGGGCCAAAGGCAAAAACGTGCGAGAGAGACAGACCGAGACCCGAACGCGTCACCCGAGCGCAGCCGAACGGAGATGACCGGTGCGGGTAAAATTAAATGGAAATATTTGTTAGGAGTCGAACCTCCGGCATGTGGGCCTGTTGCACACGGCTCCGCTCTGATGGCCTCGAACTGGCCGCAGAGGCACTGCACTTTAAGCCACTCGTCCAGCCTCGCCTCTGAACGTCACCCTCTCCTTTTTGCCGCAGAGGCACCATGCGCTCCGGCACGTCCGAGCCGCGCCTCAACCACCACGGCGACGGCTTCGGCGGGCCGCGCATCGGGGACGTCGTCGGCGCGTCCGGCTCCAACACTCCAGAGAGCTCTCCGGGCGGCCGTCGCCGTCCCACGGGCGGCAGGCGAGCCACCTCCATGCACCACGCCCACACCGGCACGGTCCACCGCGACCACCACCAGCAGCGCAAGTCCACGGCCTTCCTGGACGTGCCCGACGTGCGCGGCGCCCGCCAGCCGGACGAAGATGAAGACTCCTACCGCCTGCGCTCCTTCAGCGCCACATCCAAGGGTGAGTCACGGGCTTCTTGCAAGGCGGCCTGCAGGCGGGTGGAGGCGGCGCGCTGGCGCACCACTTCACGGGGGACTTTGTGGGCGCCGTAACCGACCGCCACTCACTTGGGGCCGCAAGTGCCGCCTCCCACCGCGCGGCGCAGCGCGGTGTAGCGGCCGTTAACGAAGCAGCAAGCAGCCTGCCCAGCCGCCGCCCCAGTCTGCCCCGGCGCCCCGGCCCAATCGCCGGCGGGCTTTTGCCAGGCTTACACCAGGCCAGTGGCCGCTAGCACGGCTAGCACGGCCAGCACCGCCAGCGCCGCGAGCCGGGCCACCGCCAAACCCTGAAATTGAGCCGCGGCCATTTTCGCGCCGTCACTCTCCCTCTGTCGTCACTCCCGTTCGCGCTGTCTCTCTCGCTCTCCCCGACTCGGCGGGCCTGACGGGCCTGGCGGGCCTAGACGGGCCGCGGCGTGGGCCTCCCTCCTCCCTCCCGCCGCCCGCAAAGGAGCGAGCCGCGGTCGGGTCTGTCGGAGTGCCGCTTGGGGTGCCGCTTGGGGTGCCCCGCGTCCTTGCCACAGAAATACCCTTTTGCTTTGGCAGCGCAGCATTGTCTTGTTGACGAATAGCGGGGTGGGGCGGGGGTTGGGCGGGGCGCGGCGCGGCGGGGCGCGGCGGGGCGGCCTGACGCGGCGAGCCGAAGCAGAGGCCACTTCACGCTGCCGAGGCGCGCTGCGCGCTGCGCGTGCCGCCCGGCTCAGCACGTCCCAAGCCCCGCCTCTCCCTCTTTTCCTTCTTACGCTTCTTTTGCTAATTAGGGTCCAGGGCCCAGGGTCCGCATCCGGCGGCGCTACGCCATGAGGCTACGGGGCCTCCAAGCAGCTTCTCGCGAAGGGGGAGAGAGACATAGACAGAGACAGAGAGAGAGAGGGGGGGGAGTTCTCCACACCCCCGGGGAGATGTGGAGGGGGCTGGTGGAGGTTCGCGGTTCGTCGCCGCGGGCCTGGGCCAGGTCCAGCCACGCGATGCCGCGCAGCAGTGCTGTCGCTCTGTCTCTCCCATCGTACTAGGGGTGCGAGTGCGAGAGAGAGAGGGAGAGAGAGAGACGGAGAGACGGACCGCTGTTCGGGATCAGTCTACGGTTACGGTTCGTCTCGCTCCGAGTGCACGGGTTGGTCCGATGGTCGCGTCCCAGTCGAGATTCGCAGCGCGCGCCCCGACCGCACCCCGACCGATGCGCTGGGCTCCGGATAAAGCCGATCGAAGTTTCGAATTAATACAAAAGGCGAACCAATTCGTGGTCCGCGTGTGCATTGGCAGCACTGGCGCTCTATGGCTGCGTTGTTGCGGCCGCTCATTCAATGGTGGCGCCACAACAACGCAGCCCTGCCCGCGCGCACGCCCCCGCGCCCCCCACGCCCCCGCACGCCGCCCCGCGCACGCCCCCGCGCACGCCCCCGCGCACGCACTGTGCGGCAATGGGGCAATGTGCCACGGCGGCCTCGGGCTCGGCCGTGTACGGTGTACGGTGTACGCACGGCCCGCCAATGGGACCAGACCAGACCGCGTTGGCGGCGTTGGCGGCTCGTTGGTCGTCCGTTGCCGCTGATCCGATTTGGCGAGCCGCTGCGCCGCTGCAGCGACTGGAAAGACCGTGCGCTGTCTCTCTCGTTTTCACTCGGCAGTCCCTCTCCCTCCTCTCCGGGCCCCACCGGGGGAGGGGGAGGGCAGGCCGGCGGGGGAGAGGGGGAGTAATTAGGAAATGGCGATGGTGGGATTAATCTGGGCGGCCGGCCGAGGTCCGCGCCACCGTCCCGCCGGTCATGCCCATGATGGCGCCGTGATGCGAGCGGCAGAGAGAGAGAGAGAGAGAGACAGACAGAGAGAGAGAGAGAGAGAGAGAGAGAGAGAGAGAGAGAGAGAGAGAGAGAGAGAGAGAGAGAAGAGAGAGAGAGAGAGAGAGAGACGCCCCTCGGCGACTGGCAACACCCAACCGCACAGCGGCGGCACTGCCTGGACACGGCGAGCAATTACCGTCGCGGGACGCATATTGGTGCGCGTGTGTGTGTGCGCGCGCGCGTGTGTGTGTGTGGCTGCAGCGTGCGTGCGTGCGTGCGCGTGTGGCACGCGTGCCGTGCGCGGGTCTGCCGCTGCGTTCCCTCCGGTGCTTGCGGCGCTGGGACTGGTACACTGGGACTCGGCACACCGTTGCCGCCAGCGAGGGCCGTGCTAATGGAAGGAGCCACGCCTGTAGTCCGTTTCTGTACAGGCTGGTACAACCCCCCAGGGCGCTGCATGATTCAAAACGATTCGCCCGAGTGTCCCCGCCCGGGTTCCCCGTCCGGGCTCCCGCCCGAGGGAGTGTTCCAACTGAAAGTTGGGTTCACGCGCGGATCGGCTGCCGAGAGGCCGGGTTCTGGGTCCTCGGCCGGGGGTGGCCGGGGGCAGCAGCGGGCCCTGGAGGCTCTTTAGAGGCACCTGGGTTCCCCGCAGTGCCGCACTACCTTCAGGTTTCAGGGCTGGCCCGGCCGGACTTACTTCAAGAGCGCTTGTCATACTTCCCTGCTCCCTTTTTTCTCTCTCTCTATCTCTCTGGGTAGAGCCGCGCCACGAGGCTGTCTGAAAAGAGAAACAAGTGTGAGCGAGCAGCGCTTTCGTGGCACGACCCTCGTGGACAAGCACCCTGTTCCTGCCCCCCACCTTTCCCCTTTCCCCAGGGGCGGCATGGCAGCTGCTCTTCCTTTCTTACCCCAAAAGATTCCATTTCTGATGAAGCTCTGCCCAGGTCCCCCAGGCCGTGTCTCCCCCCCCCCCACTTCGTGCGCCTTCCCGCGGGGCCCCACCTCCGGCCTATGTACCTCCGGCCCCCCTCCGACCGGGCCTCGCCAGGTCTCGGGTCCAGAGTGGAGCGAGGGTGAGACGCATTTGATTCGCGTGCAGTGCACCCAGTACGCAGCGCGCAGGGTGAAGGGAGGGAGTGGAGGAGGGCTTCCTGTGGCTTTTTCGCTCAGGCACACCGGAGAAACGGTAGCGTGCGAGATGTGTGTGTGTGTGTGAGTGAGTGTGTGTGCGCGCGCGCGCGTCTGTGTGTCTGCGTGTATTTGCGTATAAGAAAATTTTATGCCGCCGTAGAGGGCAGGCCATCGGCCGGCGTGGGCCGCAGGGCCATGTAAGCCGCTCCAGCTCAGGATTTGGTGGCGCCGTCTCGGCCGTCCTCGGCCGTCCCCTCGGGCAGGGCGGAGCGCGGAGCGGGGCGGAGCCGATCCTTGGGCCTGTGTCGAGGCCCTGGGCGCAGCCGCTCGGCCCTTTGGTCTCGGTGTCCGCGACATGGAGGAGCCGAGGCCGCGGCACGTGGCGGCCCCCAGTCAGCCGAGTCGTTTCGTCGCTCTGTCTCTCTCACACTCACGGGGCTCTCCGTAAGGGTGTGTGAGGGAGACAGAGCGATTAACCGATAGCCGATCCTCTAATCGCTCGGCAGCAGCAGGGCGTGTTCTGCCCGACCAAGTCCCTCCGGGTCGCGGGGTAGCTAACACCGAGCAACACGCGCCAGGTCTGGCGGACTCAGGCCAGTCAGTCTCTGTCTCTCTCGCACCCACGGGGCGTCCGTTAGGGGTGCGAGGGAGACAGCACAGTGGAGTCAGGTGCTGCGGGATATACGGCCGTGGCACGCCAAGCCGCGGCACGAACCTCCAGGCCTCGTCCCGTCGAACAGTGCTGTCGTTCTCTGTCGCTCTCGCAGAGTCGCAGCCTCGCGAGGTTGTCCGACGCACTCCGAAGAGTCGCTCTGCTGTCCAGACCAGGCGGCGTAGGGCGTCTCTCTCGCTCTCGTGGGGCCTGGGGGCGGCGCTGGGCGGCGCGCATGGATGCGAGAGGAGCAACCTGCAGCGCCAAGACCCGGCAAGGCACGGACTGGTGGCGACGGCCCCGGCCCTAGGCAGGCCGGCCGGCCCGCACCGCCCACCGCCTTGTCTATTTCGAGACGCCATTCTAAATCGTGGCTGTCAGCCCCGGTCAGCCCTTGATGTCGGACGCGCCTCCACCGCCTGCCACTACTACTGCGACCGGCCCGCGGACCGGCCGCTGCCGCCATGCTGCCGGCACGCGGTGAATCGCGGCCCTTACAGCGCCGCCACTGGCCGCCACACCGCAACGCCGTCGTCACTGTCACCGAGCAGCAGTCCGACCTCTCGCTCTTACCCACGCACTCCGCGACCGCCACCCCTTTCTAGCCCGCGGACTGTGCCTCGGGCACCCCGGCTTTGCTCAACAAAACTCTTAGTTTTTGTGGCGACCATTTCTCACGTGCGTGTTTGGATTGTGTCGAATGGTGTCGGTCACACGTCTCTCTGTTGCTTCTGATGCCCGATTGTAGACACGGATCGCTCGAGTTAGTGACCCATTAGGTGTGACACCCGGGCCCCACTCCCAGCCCCACTCAACTCGTCATTTCTGTTAATAAACCACGAGACGTCTGCCGTCTGCAGGCGTCGGAGCGTTGCCCTCCTCTCTGAAGGTGGAGTGGATATGCTGGCCGCGCCGTTACCGGAAGTGGATCCAAGACTGGCAGAAGGAATGGGCGGCTAGGAAAGCGCCCTCCTCGCTCTCCATAGCCCGCCGCTGCCGCCGCTGCACCGAGGCGCGGCGGTGGTCGTGATGTTGACGGATCTTCGGTGATCATCGGCCCGCTCCGCTGCAGCCCAGCAGCACCACTCATTCAACCCACTCCTCGGCGGCCTCGCCAACGAGACGACCTCCTTGGCGCAGAGTCGTCGTTGTCGCCGCGGCGGCGCTTGCGCTCGGCTTGCGCTCGGCTTGCGCTCGGCTTGCGCTCGGCTTGCGCTCGGCTTGCTTTCGGCTTGCTCTCGGCTTGCTCTCGGTGCAGACGTAGATATCCGGCCGCGTTAAATCGGCCGCGGCCATCGTGCCGCTTTCGGGGCTTCGGCACGCGCCGTGCGTTCGCCGCCCTGCCCTGCCCTGCCCTGCCCTGCCCTGCCCTGCCCTGCCCTGCCCTGCCCTGCC